TGAAAGCAGCACTTCATCATAGTTTGTTTCTAAAAATTAAGGTTACAAGGAATTTCTCAGCCCACATGCCTGCCTATATTTGTGTCTGTGGGTGTTATAATGTAATTATAACTTTAACCGGCTTAATACTGATAATTTATTTGATTTTATTTATTAGATTTATATACTGCCCTTCATCATAAGATCTCAGGGTGGTTCACAAGATAAGGATACAAGGTAAAAGCACAAATAAATAGTTAAAAAACAAAAAACAAAATAATAAACCCCCTCCCACAAATGCGTTTAAAAGGCTTCCTTACCACCTCATGGGAGGGCACAATGCTGACCCACTCATACACAGTCTATATTTGGACGGGCCTTCCATATGGTCCCAGCAGAAGTAAACTTTTCACAAGATATGGTCCAGCTGCTTATTGGTGCTACAGGGAATCTGCCTTTGCCATCTGTGCCAGTTGCCACTAGCATGGCAATGTGTGTGCCAAGCAAGCTGTCACCAAAAGCTACCTGTGGATAGAATCATAGAATCATAGAGTTGGAAGAGACCACATGGGCCATCGAGTCCAACCCCCTGCCAAGCAGGAAACACCATCAGAGCACTCCTGACATATGGTTGTCAAGCCTCTGCTTAAAGACCTCCAAAGAAGGAGACTCCACCACACTCCTTGGCAGCAAATTCCACTGTCGAACAGCTCTTACTGTCAGGAAGTTCTTCCTAATGTTTAGGTGGAATCTTCTTTCTTGTAGTTTGGATCCATTGCTCCGTGTCCGCTTCTCTGGAGCAGCAGAAAACAACCTTTCTCCCTCCTCTATGTGACATCCTTTTATATGTTGGCACTTCTGGGGTTATTTAGTACACACACATCCATATTCAGAGGTCAGAGGACTTGATCACTCATGTCTTAACTGCTCTTTGCTTATTATTCTCCCACCCTAGTTGTGTAGGTAAACTGGTACTGAAAGCTCATTAGAAGGAAAACCTTATTGAGTATTCAGTGGTCTTAAGAATCTACGCTCAAATATGGCACATGTTCAGTTTTGGTTGCTAAGCAAGCCTTGGATGAAGATCACACTTTTAATCTTCTACATGTAGACTTTGGCATTGACCAGACATTTGAATGTTTTGCATTAACAACCCTGCCTTTATTAATTATAAGAAAACAAGCCATTTACAAGCCAGCCGAAAAGGACTGGGGCATTCTTACCTAGCAGTACTTATTTAAAACTTAATTACGTTAATGTATAGATAACTTACACTTACCCAGAGTTCTGCTTTCCTTAATAAGTGTTCAAGGTCATCAAAATAACTTGGGTAGCATCAGCTGTAAGACAGCCATGAGCTCTGTAGGGATGGTACATATTATTTCTTAAAAGAGCTTATGATACTTTACTTATACCCTCCCCCTTTCAACTTAGCTGTCTCAAAGTGGAACAGTTAGTAGGTGTGATGTTAAGTGGGTTTAAAAAAAATGAAATTTCAACCTTCCTAGAATATAAATAAAATCATAGTATGCACTGGCTAACACCATCTGAACATAACTGCTGCTGTTAAATAAGATTATTTTAGCGAGATTAGAATTTGGGACAGGATAGGGGCTGAAACCATCTGACCCCAATGCCTGTATAAAAGTACAGACAACAATTAACATAAACTTTCTTTAAAACAAGGTAAAAATTGGAGAAAAAAATATTAGGTAAGGTAAAGGACCCCTGGATGGTTAAGTTTAGTGAACAATTAGTGAAATTGCCAAACTTAAAAATAAAATAAGAAAGTTTTGAAATATCCCTGAGCAATTGTGATGCTTTTACTGTAGGAAAACAATGTGTAATATAAATTGGCACTGGTTAAAGCAGTTTTAAGTTGTTTATTTTAGAGAAGAAGCCATAGGAAATGGGTACAGCATTTTTTTTACATATGAAAGGTCCCAGATTCCTCCCTGCTGTGGAGGCTAGGGCCCAAACCAATGGATTTAAGATACAAGAAATGAGATTCTGAATAAACATCAGAAAGAACTTTCTGAATGTAAGAGCCGTTCAACAGTGGAATAGACTGCCTTGGAAGGTGCTGGACTCTACTCCCGTGGATGTTTTCAAGCAGAGGTTGGATGGCCGTCGGTCATGGATGCTTTAGTGAAGATTCCTGCATTGTGGGGGGTTGGACTAGATGACCCCTGGGGATCCCTTCCAACTCTACAGTTCTATGATTCAGCCCTTGGGACCTCCAGTTAAAAGGATCATAGCTTGCAAGTGATGAGGAGGAACTGTCTCCCCGATACACTGAGGAGCTGTTGTCAGACAAGACAGTGCTGGAACATATGGTGGTCTTGGCTCATTGCATGACAGCATCATGCACCCGTGCTTAAATGAACAAATTCTGAAAATTTAGAAATTGGGCCTAACCTGTTGTGATGTGAAATAAGAAGTGTTGCTCCTGAGCCTGGCTCTTTTGCAACTTGTAAATACATGAGCCCTGTTTGCTTAGTAATCTAAAACATCCTGTGGTCTGCTCAGTACGCAACTCAAGTTGCAGATGCAAGTGTGCACCAGCCTTCTGCATAGTGCTTATATAACTGTTCTAGAGGGAAAAGAAATGTACAAACAGTCCCTTCGATTACATTTTGTCTGGTGTGTTGTCACTGTGCTTAAACTCTAGCTAACTTTACATGAGAGGGCTGAGCAAATATTAACTTTTTCCTCTGGGAATAAGGTCAGGCTGCCACAGTATTCCAGATCTGGCCTTTTTAGTGGTTCAGCCGAATCAAAACAGCTTTCCCTGCGGTTGTTCTGTAAATGACACACTCATCACTGCTTTTCATTTTGGAGATCCAGCCTTCATGGAGTGCTAAAGAACTTAAGGAACATTTAGTCAATCAGTAACTCTGGTTTAGCAAACCAGAATATTATTTAACTCCTCTTTCTTTCTTTCTTTGCACTGTGGGGCTCTCTTAAACCTTGCCATATGGTTGCCACTTTACAACCAATACGGGGAAGACCCCTGCCCACATCACAGGGTTATTTCGATCGGGGGTTTCAGTCCCTTGCATTTCCAGTGAAAAAGAACCCAGAGTGGTAAGGCTAAGGGACACTGTCTGGGATCCTGGAAAACATTCCAAGTAGACAGTAGTGGGTCAGTTTCTGCACAAGGTAGCTCTGTGTTTTTGTATATCTATCTCAACCACCAGAGTAATGGACCCTTTCCAAGTTGGAGTGATGTCTGAATTCCCGCACAGCTTGTTTGTGTGAAAGTACCATAAGGGTTCGCTCTTCCTTTGCAAAGGTGCCTCTACCCACCACAAGGAGCATGGCTGATTGTCTTGCAGGAGGCGAAGTTTGGGAGAATTCTGGGGTGTATCCATTATGCGTCACCAAAAGTGATCCTCTTAAGGGTATAGAAACTGCTTATGTCCTCCTGTTCTGAATGCAGTAGAACCTCCGCTTACGTAACCCTCTGGTTACGTAAACTTCGGGATGTGCACGTGGTAAACCCAGAAGTATTTTACTGGGTTTCGCCATGCGTGTATGCGCAGAAGTGGTCCTCAGGTTGCGGAAACCTTGGGATCTGACCAGACCTCTGGAATGGATCCCGTCCGCAACCGGAGGTACCACTGTACATGCATGAACACTGTGGGAATCAGGCAAAACCCTCTTTAGTTATTCCTATGGATATATCCAGTGCAGTTTAATTATGTTCATGTGCATACATTTCTGGAAAAGGGGCTAGTGAAACTTGCATAGAGAAGCCCTTTTTCTAATTTTCAGCTTGTGTATGTTGACTTTGCTCAGCTGTCAAGCATCTCCCCCCACCATCCATGTACTTATCCCCTCTAGTGTAAATCAGTTATGGAGCTTCTCTTTCACCCTCATAGGCATATAAGGTTCTATAAGTTTGCTTCTGCTAATGTTTGTGCGAGAAACCTGTAGCTTATCACCTAATTTGTCCTGCTTCGTTGAGTAATGTGTCAGAAATGTATCAACAAAACAAGAAGTGTTTTCCTCCTTTTAAAATAAAGGTGTCTTTGTGACCCGCATTTGCTACAAAAACCGACAAGTATAATCTCTGCAACACCAGTTTCTGGAATTGATTTTGGTTCCAGCATTGATGGTTCCTGCTTGCACACTTGGCTGGCCAGTCTTATAGTGATTTTTCATACATCTAATGCAATTCATTAGATGAATTGCACCCCATGGATGATATCCAATATTAGTCATACTCTGAGTAGACCCACTGAAAATCAAACTTTGATTCCGTCTTTTGTTTAGATTTAAAAACTGCATTGTACTTTAATGAAAACAGATATAGTCATCATTACCTGGAGGGGTGGGTAGAGGAGAATCAAAATTATAATACAGTGGTACCTCGGGTTACATATGCTTCAGGTTACATACGCTTCAGGACTCCGCTAACCCAGAAATAATACCTCGGGTTAAGAACTTTGCTTCAGGATGAGAGGCGCGGCAGCAGCAGGAGGCCCCATTAGCTAAAGTGGTGCTTCAGGTTAAGAACAGTTTCAGGTTAAGAACGGACCTCTGGAACGAATTAACCTGAGGTACCACTGTACCTCCATGACAGTTTTAATTTGGGTAACTTTAAATCTTTCCTATATTGTAGGTTGTGTTTTCTCCAAAATATCAGCTATGCCATGATGTGTGGCCAACATATCTGTCTCTTCTTAGCTCTATAAAGACAACTGCTATCAGTTTCTCGGTTGACCAACTGAAATACTGTTTCTTAGTTAACTATCTTATGATGTATATGCAACACAGTATATAACTGAGTAATAAACAGCCTGCGGTTGTGCTGGTGAAAATGTTTAGCACAATATTTTGCTGATATGCTGTTCTTTCTGTTTCCTCAGATTCAATGGCCGACTTAAATGGTTGTCAAGACTCCTGACATACACATTTTTCTGGGCATCATGGATTTTCAGGAATATAGCCTGCAAAGCAGTCTCAAAGAGTAGCACCTGCCCTCTAATGTTTTATTATCTTCACTGATTGTAAAAATGGCCAGCAAAAGGAAATCCACAACGCCTTGCATGATACCACCAAAAACACTGGCACTGCAGGAGTCGCAACCAGGCTCTGTTGGAGTTGATCATGAAGGATCTCAACAGTCTGTTACTCCTGCAACTCTGCCTATTAGTGACACTGTTGTTCACAATAATCACAAAAATGGGCTGTTGTCCAATGGACATAGTGGTATCTTAGATGGTGATACTTACAGATGTATGTATTGCAATTTTGGCTCTCGAGACATTAATCAGTTCCTTGGTCACCTTGATTCTGAGCACATAGACTTTAGCAAAGGCCCGTCCTTTGTGTGTGTGCAGTGCAGTTTCCTGGTCAAGAGTCACAAAGAGCTTTCTTGCCACAACGCAGAGTGCCACATTGGGGAAACTGGCTTAATCTGGAATGTCGTGAAACAAGGCAAGCACGTGGTTGTGGAGCAAACCATTGGAGATGCCAGCAGCAGCCAGGACCTTCTGGGGGACCTCCCTGAGGAAGGTCAAGACAGCCAAGCTGAAATTATCATTACCAAAACACCCATTATGAAAATAATGAAAACAAAACCAGAAGTGAAAAAAATCCACACGCTGAAAGAAAACGTATCTAGTAAACCAGTCAAGGAACTAGAGAAAAAAGTTGGCGAGCAGCCATTCACCAATGGACCGGTGCCAGTGAACCAATCATCAACAGGAACAGTTAAACCAACACATGTTGTCAATGGCTCAATAATAGGAAATGTACCTGTTTTGCAGGCAGGCCTCACTCAATTTGTGCAGCTGCAGCAGCAGCAGCAGCAGCAGCAACAACAACAACAACAGCAACAGCAACAACTTCACCAGCAGCTACCCACTTCAAAATCCCTTCCCAAGGTAATGATTCCCCTGAGCAGTATCCCAACATACAATGCAACAATGGACTCTAATAGCTTTCTGAAAAACTCTTTCCATAAGTTCCCTTACCCTACCAAAGCTGAGCTTTGCTATTTGACTGTTGTGACCAAGTACCCAGAAGAACAGCTGAAGATTTGGTTTACCGCCCAGAGGTTGAAGCAGGGTATCAGCTGGTCACCGGAGGAGATAGAAGATGCACGGAAGAAAATGTTTAACACTGTGATTCAGTCCATACCCCAGTCCACCATTACAGTGTTAAATACACCCCTAGTTGCAAGCCCCGGTAGTGTTCAGCATCTCATTCAAGCCAGTTTACCTGGCCATTCTGTTGGGAAACCCGAAGGAGCAGGTGGTGTATTGGTTACGCAACCAATAATATCAAATGGACTTCAAGGGACAACCTCATCTCTTGCAATAGCAGTCACATCCATTCCAAAGACTCAGATAGCAAAGCCGCCTGCCACTGTCTCAGTTTCTAGCACTTCGTCCCCTGTGAAAGTGGTGAGTGCTGCTCCATCACAGCTCACCGCTTGCCCAACTATAACTTCACAGGCATTCTTAGATCCCAGTATATACAAAAATAAGAAGTCTTATGAGCAGCTCTCTGCATTGAAAGACAGCTTCTGTAGGAACCAGTTTCCTGGACATGCTGAAGTGGAGCGGCTTACAAAAATCACAGGCCTTAGTACAAGGGAAGTTCGAAAATGGTTTAGCGATAGGAGGTACCATTGCAGGAACATCAGAGGTGGCAAAGCTATACATGCTGGAGATAATACAATAATAATAGATTCTGTGCCTGAAATTACCTTCACCTCTTCTCCCAAAGCAACCCCAGAATTAACTTCCACGTTGGCAGCAACACCTGCTGTTCACACCCCAGCCCGCCGGCAATCCTGGCACCAGACACCCGATTTCTCCGCTACAAAATATAAAGAGAGGGCTCCTGAGCAGCTCAGAGCGTTGGAAAGCAGCTTTGCACAAAATCCCTCTCCTCCAGAGGAGGAAGTGGACCGTTTGAGGAGCGAAACCAAAATGACGAGGAGAGAGATTGACAGCTGGTTCTCGGAGAGGAGGAAACGGCAGGTGATCAAAGACGCAGAGCGGCAGAGGGACGATGACGCCGAAGACGACTCAGGGGAAGACGAGGGCTCCTCGGACGACTTGAAAGCTTCCAGTGAAAATGGCTCATTGGATGCAGCCACCAGCTCTCAAACGCCAGGAGAGCGCAAAGTAACCCCTATAAAAATCAACCTTAAGAACTTTAAGGTGACTGAGTCAAATGGCAAAAGTGAGGTGCTAGGCTTGAGTGAAGATGTCCAAAGAGAGAACCCCCGGAAGCCCAAGCTAAGTTCTAAAAAGACTGCTCAGCAGAGACATTTGCTCAAGCAGCTCTTTGTGCAGACCCAGCGGCCGACAAATGAACAATATGACCAAATATGTTCTCATACAGGACTTCCCAGGACTGAGGTGATTCGTTGGTTTGGAGATAGTCGCTATGGTTTAAAAAATGGAAATTTGAGGTGGTATGAGAACTACAAGCATGGTATCTTTCCTAAAGATCTATCGACCTCCAGTGAGGCCAGCAGGGTGGTCCTGCAGGACTATTTCCAAAAGAACAAGGTGCTTTGTGAAGATGACCTCCCAGGACTGTGTGAGAGAACTCAGATGACTACTCAACAGATCAGGCTGTGGTTTGCCGAAAGGCTAGATGAAGAAAACAGGGGAGTGTCAGACACAGGCAGTGAAGATCAGTCCTCAAGTGTTGGTGAGCCAGCCGGCAGTCAAAAAGGGACAGTCGATGCCTTTTCTGAGGTTTCTGAGAACAGTGAATCCTGGGAGCCTGGAGGTCAAGATGGCAGCTCTGAGCTTGGAGATCCGGAGAGTCATCTGCCTGTTGTTCACTTTGGTAAGTGATTTCATCTTAACTGTTTCTGCTAATTTGGCCCTTCACATTTCAGCATTAAAAAGTGGTTTAAACAAACAAGTGTTGATGATCAGATGAAACTTCAGTAGGAAATCACTTCCCCTTTTTAGAGGGGGCTAAAGATTTCACAGAAATGGAGGGCTGAGAGAGATTTTTTTGGGGGGGGGGAAATGATGGCACATCAATGTCCTGGAAGGGAATTTCAGTCATAATGCGCAGCAAGGGCCATTGTTCATTGGTAGAGCAACTGATCTGCATGCAGATGAGGTCTCTGGTTCACTGCCTGGCATCTCCAAGGCATCTGAAACCCCAGAGAGCCACTGGCAGCGGTTCTCAACCTGTGGGTCCCCAGATGTTGTTGGATTACAACTCCCATCATCCCTGAGCTTTGGCCTTGCTAGATAGGGGTGATGGGAGTTGTAGTTCAACAACATCTGGGGACCCACAGGTTGAGAGAGGCTGGTTAGACAGTACTGAACTATGCAAGCAATGGTCTAGATAGGGCAGATTCCTATGTTCTGAAAGGGTAAAGGGGCCATAGCCCAGTGGTAGAGTGGAAGGCGTTAGGGTCAAGCCCTGGCATCTCCAGGTAGGGCTGTGGAGAGACTCCTGTCTGAAACCCTGGAGAGCTGCTGCCAGTGAGTTCAGACAGTATTGAGCTAGATCAGCCTTTCTCAACCTGTGGGTCCCCACAGATGTTGTTGAACTACAACTCCCATCACCCCTAGCTAGCAAGGCCAGAGCTCGGGGGTGATGGGAGTTGTAGTCCAACAACATCTGGGGACCCACAGGTTGAGAACCGCTGAGCTAGATGGTCCAGTGGCCTGACTCAGCTTCCTGTGTTTTAAGACTGCATCATTCAGGAGAGGGGAATTCTGGTCTGTTACAGATAGAAAAGTTAGAGGAGGGGAAATGAAAGGGAGCTACATAATACAGATAAAGTCAGAAGATAGGCAGGCAAAGAACAACTTCTTAAGCACACAGACTAGTAGCATTGGGCAGGCATTCTAAAGCAGTTCTCAAAAAACAAACAAACACTTCCTTCTCAAAATAGCTGAGGTCATAATGACTTTGTGGGTCCGTCCCCCCCACTCCACAAACTCACTCTTGGCCTTTCTGCCTGCTTATTCTTTCAGTATTGTAGAGTGCATTGTGACACGCCTGTGTGTTGTTTTCAGAAATGGAGTGAACCAGCCCTGCCTCCTCCGAAGGATCTGCTGCTAACTGTCTGAAGACTCAGCAGCTGTGGGCCTCATTCTGAAACTCTGAAGGTCCTGAGGAAACACTGCCATAATGCCAAGATCATACTTTTGTAAAGCACATTGGGGAGTTAAGCAAGAGGGAACTGATTACTCAAGAAGACCTTATTTTTGTGTGTGGGAAGGGGCTCATTTTTGTATGTTTAGTTTTAGTCTAGCAGTCTGCTGCCTCGTCAAGCATAGGAGCAGAACTGCCACAGTGGCAAAAATTTCCTCTCTCTCAAATAGATTCTCCGTTTTTGTTTTCCAGTGGACAATTTCCTTCAAACTTCCTATGGAAACGGTTTTTCTTACATTACCGAGTGGCCTGCAAACAGGATCATGAATCTGGGGCATTGTGTTAAACGTTATTGTTTCATAGAACTGGACTATCATTGGCATAATACATTCATAATCTTTCAGTGTTTGTTCTCTGAAGGCTGAATCATTGCATGTACAGAAAGAGAGAGACAGACAGACATCCTTTCACCATTGAATCTCTAGGTATGGAAATAAAAGCTGCAACTGGCACCCACTCACCAGGGAGCAAGTCCCATTGAACTCTATGGAACTTCTGAGTTGACATAGGGTTGTGCTGCTAATCATGTGTGTGTGTTTTAGGGACAGCTCTGATGAGCAGTATTCCTAGTTTTTGTGCACAAAACCAGGATAATAAGAATATGGCAAATTACAGACATTCTAATTGGGCATTTGTTGCATGCTAGTAGAGTGGAAATCTGGGGGGGGGGGGGTGTCGGACAACAACAATGACCCAAACTCTGGCATCTGTCATTCATTCATCTTATAATGACAAACAATGTGAGACTTTTCTGCAGCAGAATCTATTACTTGAATTAATCTGCAAGTATATGAATCAATGCACTTTTAAAACACATCTAAATCCAGATCCCTTGTTTAAAGCAAGCAAACTTAATTTTTTTATTAAGAAGACTGTAAGGGGGAGTGGTGGCCATGAAAGCAATCATCACATTTTGCATATCCCTACCCTACCTCTGTGTTTGGACCAGAATTGTGTTTTATCCCATACCTTATTTCAGAGGGATGATCTGTTGGAAACGTTTGCCATTTCTCCCATACTTCCTAGCCATTTATGAGCTGCTGCTCCCCCCCCCTTTTTTTTTTGGTCAAGCAGCTTTGCGCTATCTTAATTGCACAATTAATCTTACATGGTTATAGTAGGTATGCTTCTCCCCCTACCTACCCAAGTCTGGGCCTCTTGTTGTTTTTTAAGTATTTTATTTAATTATTTTAATAGTATGGAAAAATTATAATTTAATGTGCTGGAGTTTATTTGTAGTGGCTGAAAACGTTTATTTAAGTGAGTCAGTTTGGTGGCACTAAGTAACTTATACTGAGTGGTTATAGGGAAGTTTTCCCTTCCTTAGAACCACCTCAGGTATCTTCTCCAGAGGAAGCACTGGATCCAATCCCAGCTCGCTTACTGCAGCTATGTTGCAGCCATCCCCAACCTAGTGCCCCCAGATGTTTTGGACTACTGTCTGCTCCAGATGGGCAGGGATGATCGGAATTGTCCTCTCAGAACATCTAGAGGGGCACTGTGTTGATTGAAGGCTGCTGTACTGAGTATATCTCAAGTCTCTGGTTCAGAAAGGTTGTCTTTGTGTGATACTTCGTTCCACCTAAATTTTGTTAGCTTGTGGCTATCGTGTCCTCATGAATTCTTTCCCAAAAAGCATGACTGTATCTTGAGCCTTTAAATCACAAGTTTGTGTGTTTTGTCCAAGCCCCCTAAAGCACAACATGGTATTTTTCAGTCTCAGAATTCATCTGTGTGCGAATCTGAAGGTGGAAATGCACACATTGCGTGGAGTTCTTGGATTCTTAGTTTGGATCTTTTTCACAACGCAACCACTGATGCTACAATTTGAAGTCACAGCTCATCATGTGAGGAGGGGGACAGTCTCCTCTTAACCCTTTCTCTTTGTATCATGTTTGTGTGAAAACCACGCCTTCCAGCCTGGTTCTACAACTCCCCCCCATCCCGCCCCAGTTCTACCCTTCTCCATACAAAATATATTTGCACACAATAGGAGATACTTTAGTACAGAAGGGGGGGAAATGTGCAGGTTCGCAAGCTCCGCTTATATTATGCAGCAATCCACATATTAAAAGAAAAGGCCTCATCTTTCTGCTTCTGCTGTAAGGTCCAAAGTGGGGACTCATGGCTCTCCCCTTCAGTATCATACCTGAAGGCCATCTATGGCTCAAAGATATTTCCATGAAAGAGGTCTTGTGAGTTCAGCTTCTGCTCTTCATGCTCAAGTAGGAAAAGGAGCCCAGCTAGCTTGCAATGTTAGAGCTTCAAACACAAGAACCTACTCTTAAGACGTAGATAGATTTGCTGGAGTTTCTTTCTGCTTTCACACGAGAGAAGCCTCATTAGCACTTCCATAGCTCTTTTGAGAAACAGTGTGGGATAGCTGCTAGAACCTACTGATGGCATGGCCAGGCCTGTTTATGGTTTACTTTAGAAGCAAGGGGCCTGGATCCAGGGAAAGTTTGTGCAATGAGCTTTGACTAAAATATTGTAGCTTCCTTTTACTGCAATGCCTTCAGAGAACAAATGTGGGTCTTGGGGTACAGTCTTCAAAGGAGATTGTAGGCCACTGCTATAGGGGTGAATGGGAATGAAGCCAAAGCTCTCAAATGAAAGAGCAACCTCATTCACTTCAATGGGAGTGGCACAGGAACAGTTCTTGGCAGTCTATATCCTTGCTTTTCTATGTCTACATACATACAGGTTTGTTTTAAGTATGCACATATACAGTACATATATGCAGTTATTTTATGCATAGCATCAATATTAAAAATGTACATGTACAGATTGCTGTGTAATTGGAAATCTCACTCTGCTCTTAAGAGGGAAAAATAGTTCTGTGTGCAGTTAAAAGGACTTGGCATCAAATTTGAAGTGGGTGTTGAGGTCTACCTAAGGATGGCAGGGTGAAGGGATTCCTAAGGCTGCGATGTTACTCAGAAAGCAGGATGTCAGAGAGACCCAGTTCCACGTAACTGGGTGTACAATTAGAGTAGCCAAGTTTAATAGCAAATCAGACATTTTTATGATGTACTTGGTTTCAAGCCTTGAGTTCAGGTTTGTGGTTTGCAGACCTGCAACTTCAGTGGACTCTGCGTTAGCTTGTAACTAAGTAGGTATTTAATTTAAATTAATTATCATTTAGGCTGGAACTGTGGCAGAGCATCCCTGGTGTATGCAACAGTCACACACCAACAACACTCCTAAAACATTGCAGGCACTAGCCCTGTGGCTGTACCAGTCTGCAGTGCAGTCATATAGCATGGATCAGTTGAATGCACAGTTCATGGTGGTTCCTACCACATTGGTGTCTGATCCAACGACTGACTAGCTTTGGGCATGCGGATTCCAATGGGGGCACACAACTCCCTCTCTCCAGAGCAAAGGTGGACAGAGGAGCATAATTGGGACTTGACTTGCTGACTTGTACCCAATTTAAAGCCATATTCAGTACCTTAATTTGAGTTTTCAAGACAGGACTGATTCCAAAGAGAGGATGCTATGAGCTAATGCATCCTCTTGCTTCCTCTCTCTAGCAAAACCATAGAGTTTTAGTTGATCTCCCCAGTGGTTTCACAGCTGTGTTTCATGTCACAAGAAGCATCACCGCAATTTTGCACAGGTTTTCTAGTAAGAAGTTCCAACTCTTGAACTATGTAGAAAATTTGGAAGAGGCTTTGCATACTGAAGGGACCCTGGAGAGCTGCTTAGATGAATCAGTGGTCTGACTCAGTATAAAACAGCTTCCTAATTCAAAGAGGCTTGTCATTTTTGTGAGTCTGTGTTTGGAGAATGAGTTGTAGGTCTCTACCCCACCCCACAATACAAAAGCCAATTTTGACAGAGATTGGATGTTTGGTGGTAAAACAAGTCTTTTTTTACACTGATTTATATACATGAATCAGTCTCAGTTGTAGCTAGAAAATTAAGTACCATTGTAGAATTTACAGTGGGGAAAAGTTATCCTCAAACCTCTCCTAAGGATATTGGAGCACTTTGGTTAGAAATGTGGCTGCTTAGCTAGTGGTAGACACTGTTACATGCTGGGCAGTTAGGCAAGGCACTTAGGAGCCGGGTTTCTTGGTGCACTGAGGATGTTTTATTTATGTGTTTCATTTTCTGAAAGCATTTATCTGCTTCTTCACATTGCATTCTGCTCCTGCCCCCACGTTTCACAAGCGCAGGAGGGAAAGTACTTGGGTAGGAACCAAAGTACTCAAGCCCGTCAGTCAGCTTTGCAAACATAATTACATTAATTTATTTTGACTCATTGGCTTACTTTTGAACTTGCATTATGACCTTAAGTTTACTCTTCCGCCCATCGAGTTAGTCCGTGTGCATGTATGTCTCCCCTCCCATCACAACAACCTGTAAAGCAGGCATGGGGAACCAATATCTCTCCAGATGTTGCTGCACTACAACTCCCATCACCCTTGACCATTGGCAAGGGCTGGTGGGAGCTGAAGTCCAACAGCATCTAGATGGCCACTAGTTCCCCATTCAGGCTTGGCATTGTTTGCTCACTCCAGGTCACCTCTTGGGCAGGAATTTGAACCCAAGCCCCCCCAGCCCCAGTTCAATGGAATGTTCACTACCCTACACTAGCTTTGAGTTGAACAGAGCCACACCACCATATTAACACAAACTTGGCGTCTGTATTGGCTTAGTGAAATCAAGATTAATACTAGTGGTACAGCTTTTGCATAAACAATAACTTGTTGACTGGCTCTCTTGGCGTTGCTCAAGCTGTGAGATTAGGAGGTGCTCAGTAGATGCTTTGACTTGACAATGACACTCCATATGGCCATCTCATCAAATAAATCTTAACATGATGATGGCATAGCATTGCAGCTAGTGCCATCATTGGCGGTTTCAGAATTTGGAAATGGTGCCAGGCAAGATCATACATACACCAAGTCTTAGAAACCATTGTTCATAATTGAAACCTTTTTTAGAAAATCTCCTCCCCCCTCCATTTATACAAAATAGGCACATGACAGATGAAATGTGGAGATGCAAAGCATTCTGAACCAGAATGCAAAATGTTTTTAGATCAAGGGAAGGGATTGGAGTGTGTTCAGCTGCAAGCACACAGTGTCTCTTCATGTGGTATTTATTAGTCATACTTGAAATCTTAATTTCATCTGTTCCTGGTTCCCAGTGAAACTTCTGCTAGTAGTTGTTTTTAAAACTGAAAGCCAGTTGAACCACCCTTTGGAATGGGAATAGCACACTGTAAAATTCTTAATAATGGGCTGGTGTGCGTGAGGCTCACCAGTAGAATGAGCTCTGCTTGTGAAGGTGGCTTGTTTAGTCTTTTTACAAAGAGGCAAGCCCTTGTGAGCTGCTAGGAATTTCTCCTGTGCGCCCTCTGTTGAACTGAATGAGATCTGTATGTAGGAGAAGACCCACAGCTCATTGGTAGAGTGCATGCTTTGTCTTCAGATGGTCCAAGATTCAACCCTTGCAATCTCAGATATGCAGCAGGTGTCGTCAAAGACCTTGGAGAGCTGCCACCGATGAGAATAGACCAAACTGAGCCAGATGAGGAAATCTACCTGATTAGGTATAAGGCAGGTTCCTTTGTGCAACTTTCTCTCTCTATGGGGCTAGCAGGAAAGCTTCTAGGTCAAGGAATGATGTAAACATAGTGTCAGTGCATCTCTTCCATTAACTAGCAGTAAATGAATGGCTCCCTCATAGACCTAATGAAACCCCAACCCTGGAAGCAGCTTTGAAAATGCACAAGCCTGTCAGAACTGGATTCATGTGTTAATAATTCAGTGCGTATAAAAGGACTGGGTGGTAGATGGATAGAGCATCCAAAACCAGTTTGAAAACCATATTGTGATATCAGTTTCATAATTTTTGACATGGCAATTTTGTGTGTATGTGTGTGTGTGTGTGTGTGTGTGTGTGTGAGAGAGAGAGAGAGAGAGAGAGAGAGAGAGAGAGAGAGCTGCCTCATGCAGAAGGCACCAGCAAATATCACAATGCAGGAAAAAGCATGAAGCCAGCCTATGCCTCTACAACTGTAACTGCATCCTTATTTCAGACATCATGGTATATTGGTATATCGTGATGTGAAGCTGAAAACCAGATATCGCCCAGCCCTAGTGTATAAGCATTGTTTTGCTTGTCTCAGAAATCTAATGTTTGAACTGGCATGCACAATATGGATAATGCATCCCCCCCCCGAGCCTCTCCATAGTTTGCTCTCAATTTTCTCAACCTCTGCCCCTCCAGCTGCCATTGGACTGCAACACCCATCATCCCTGCCCATTGGCCACACTGGCTGGGTGCCCCTGAATCTGTAAAGCAAATTGGAAAGAGACAAATGGCAGCCGGCCTACTGGATGTGTGTGTGTGTGTGTGTGTGTGTGTGTGTGTGTGTGTAGAGGAAAGTCCATAAAAAATTAGGGCTCCTACTTTTACTTGATGCCATTTCGCCCGTTTCTCATTTCCAGGTCTTCTGATAATGACAGATGATGTCTGGATCATGTTGGTGAAGGATATGTTTTATTTAAAAAATGAAAGTTACTATAAGGGCATGCAAACAGTGGGGTTCTCTCAAGTGAAAAAGACCTCTCAGCAATCTGTGCCAGAGCAGGAATTGTTGCTCTTACTGAATTAGAGCTCCTTCCTTTCCCCACCTGTTGGTTTTATCCCTACCGTGCTTTTCTTCTTATGGAAAAATCCTAGCAGGTAACCTGAATGCCTGGAACAAATGAGTAAGAACATTTGCAGATGTTCCTGGGTAGTTTCTATCTTTAGGATGTTTTTGCTATGGATACCCAGTCAGATGGGTGGGGTAATAAATTATTAGTATCATCCATTTTTCTTCAACTTTGGTGAAATTATCTCATAAAGCAGACCGCAACACTTACTGACTTTCAAAGCTGATGGAAAACTGTTATAAATTGCACCTTCTAATGCACCATAGAAATTTGGTTTATCCACAAGGTTGCTGTAATGTAGCTGAAAAGGGGCCCTTAGCACCAAGCTTCGGATGGGTGGTGGTCTGCTTTCGTATTGGGGAAGGGGGGGGGCTAACTTACAAACTACGTGAAGAAAAATTGGATTCTTTTTGTACTTTTGGTAAAACTTTTTGAAGAGGAAAAAGCTGAAGGTGTTGGTGCGGGTGAAGGTCAGTTCTCCTTTGGCCAGAGGGAACTGGCTCCTGGTATGATGGCACTCGCTCCTTTTCAGCAATGACGCCACTTCTGCGAAGTGAACTGCAAGTTTCCCTTCATTTTGTATATGTGGCTATGAGGGTGGGAAGAGCTTGCTTGTACAGTTTGGTGATATGAGACCTTTTTGGTTGTTCCTAATAAACGACGAGGGGGAAAAGCACATTTGTAGCTTGTCAATCTTGGTGGGAGGGGAAGGGGTAGAAAAGAGAAGTGATGCCTGTTGCATTGGGCTGATTTTCTCTGAATTTGTCTATTTCATTATATACCACCTTTGATGAGTTCCAGTGTACATGGGCCTCACCCTCCAGTTTACTTTTACCAACAACCCTGTGAGGTAGGTCCCAAGGTCATCCCATGAATTATATGTTGGGTGTGTACTTGAATCTGAGTCTCCCTGGCCCTAGTATGACAGTCTATTAACACTATAGCCACAGTGGCTCCTTCCATAAAATTGTCACTATGTTGTGGCTGGATTTGGAGTGTGATTTGGTGAACCGAGATCCATGAATGCAAATTTTCAAACTCTGGTTATGAGATGAGAAAATTATTCTGTCCCCAACAGGTGTATTGACATTTAAGTAACTCACTACCCTGCTGTATAGTTTAGGAGTCCATCCAACTGTTCTAAATTGCAATATAAGCTGCCACTTTTTGAACAATTTGGTTTATTTGCACACCTGCATTGGTGACAGTCCATTGTCCCATCCACTTTCCTGTCCATTATAAGCAGGCAACTATAGTAAGCCACATACATTGTGGTGCTGTGTGCAGTTCCAGTTGCTGGAAACCACCGGAGGCAAGAATGCTCTTGTGGTCAAATCCTGCTTGCTGGTTTCCCACAGGCATCTGTGAGAGCAGGATGCTGGCCTAGGTGGGGCATTGCCCTGATCCAGCAGGCTCTTCTTCTGTTCCATTTTTAAAGCAAGCTTCCTTGCAATTGAATTTCCTTGAAACACTTGGGACCTTGAGCATCACGCAATTAGTGGGAAGGGTTGTCCATGTGAAAACAGCTCTCCATCTCAGTGAAGTATTCCAAAGTCAGGGCTTTGGGGCTTCCACCAAACAAAAACACAAGGAAAGACTAAAATAAAGTTACTTGAGGATTTTTTATTGTGCAGTCTGATCCGTCCCAGCCAACAGCCAGCTGATCAGAATCCATAGGACAGGAGGAGTCAGGCAGGACTCTGCTCCTCATAAGAGAGTCAAATAATATATAGTAAAATACTGCCACAGAAAATGGAACTTGCCTTTGGAGACTGGAGCATGTTTGCCTTCTGCTCCTGTCTGGGAAGCCCAAATAAAAACAACTCAGTTCTGTTGGAAGGGTGGTATAGCTTCTCTAGTAAAGCACAGCAGCACAACTATCACTGCTGCCACGTCAACATGGAATGACTGGTTAAAGTTGCCCCCACCTGCTCAACCACAGCAGGAAGAAGATGGCCTAATTCCTGTGGCCTGAGTCCATGGACACTGGTAGCGGCTGCCTCAGAAAGGGGGAGATGGTTTGACAATATGCAGAAATCTCCCCCTGCCCCATAAGGAGGTACAACAGTGAAGTCAAAGAGCAAGTGAACATTGCCTTTTGTAGTTTTCCTGGCCTGGAAACTTTGGCCTCAGCCACAGTGCCTCTCTTCAGGGAGACCAGGCGCAAGAGCCCATAGCTTCTGCTGCACATACCTGCCCCATTAGTGATGGCTGAAATTCAACAGAATGGGAAGCAAATTTAAAAAAGTTTGTTTCAGTGGCAAGAGCTCTAACTCCTGCAGAGATGCCTTTGGCTCAGGTTTCCCCTCCCCTCCTCAACCCTTTATATCTCAGTCACTTTTAAACAGTAGAATGTAGTCTTCATGTGATTCTGCCTCACACATTTCAATGAACTGGTCACCCAAAGGAAGATTATATAGGTGGCCACTTTTGTGCCTAAAACCATAGCTAATGCAATACATGATCCACTTTTAGTAACATTTTGTTTGGGAAAAGACAGACTCGAGGGCCTTGCATAGCTTGAGATGGCCACAGAGGCCGGGCCTGGTAGTTCCTACCAGGATTGTGCTTGACTACCACGAGAAACGCTCCTACTTCCTTCTGCCATGGAAATCACCTCACATTCTGTGCACAAGCTGTGATTAAGGAGTTTAATAACTATAATAATAACACGATAGATAGATCCAGGTCCTGTAGGCTCTGCTGGACAGCTCTGAGGGCATTATCCTCTCTATAAACTACAGTCTTGGGGAAGAAGGATGTCGATGAGAGGCCACTGCATCCAGCCTTAGGTACTGACAAAGACATACACGTTCAGCACACCTAAGTTTACGGCTTGGTTCAGAGGGTCTTTTGCTGCTGTTGAGTTTTTGTTACAGGTCATGGTCAAGACAATGAAACCATTGATTCGTAGATTCTTTTTTAAAAAAAATTCTCCACTTGAACACCCTTCGGAAGAGAAACTCGAAAAGCTGCCTGAAAGTAGGCCAAAGCAGTGACGTTTCCATAGAAACCAGTTCACAGCAATCCGTGAGAATCACAAGCACTGGAGGGTGCTTTACAGCAGGCAAAGGTTGGGTTAGAGGCGGTTGTCCCCATTCACCCGTGTCTTTCGCAGGACCCTGCAGGGAAGGGGAAAAAGGGTTGAAAAACAATACAGCTCTCCAGCAGACTATAAAAATGCAAGTTACATTTGGAAGTGCATTGAGGGATTTCTTCAAGAGCCACATATCTAGTGACACTGTGCTGATTTTCTTGAGAGAAAATGTAATGGCATTTTTGTTTTATCCACCTTTGCATCCTGTCCAAGAAACTTCAAGATTTCCTCCTTTTTATCTTTATAACCATTTGTTAGGAAAGTGAGCTGGAGAGGCAGGGATCTGACCTGTCAGGGCCATCTTGTGCACCAGGATTTAATCCCAGGTCTCATCCAAACACATTGTCCACTACAACACACTGGCACCTACTAACCTTATGGGACGTTGCTGGGTGGGTACCAAAGTTTAGTCATGCATTTACTCTATAATAATCAGATAAATTTACACCATCTTCTATGACTGGGAAATGATCGACATGTGAACTGGCTGTTAGCAGCTAGCACCTGCCGTCTCTGAGGCTTGATTCTTACTTTTTGATGCTATGCCTTCTCACGAGGAGCTGTTGCCATGGCAATTTTGCACAGGGAATATTTTGCCTGGCAATCTGATTTTTATTTTTTTCCTTTTGAGGGGAAACCACTGAAAACTTCCCCATTCAATGATACATCTCTTGCATACAGAACGAGACCCCCTAGGCCAGCGGTTCTCAACCTGCGGGTCCGCAGATGTTGTTGGACTACAACTCCCATCATCCCTGAGCTCTGGCCTTGCTAGCTAGGGATGATGGGAGTTGTAGTCCAACAACATCTGGGGACCCACGGGTTGAGAACTGCTGCCCTAGGCCATTGTTCCCACCCTCCCACTGCCACACATGGGAACAGTGCATCAGGGCTATTCAGAGAATGAGAGGGGTTCCATTCAGCAGTTCCACTCAGTATGTGTAGTGCCATCCCCAAGAGGCATGCAATGGGAGCAGACCTCTATGTTCCCTGTTCCCATGGGACTAGCCAGCTCGTGGCTTTTGTGGGGGAGGTGGTCGAAAGCACGATATTTCCTCTTGCCCAACATATCCCTGCAGAACTCAGCAGCCCCCTGCCACAATCATTTGGGATGCTGACAGCATTGCAGGCAGTGAGGAGGCTTGCTTTCCCTGTCAGGGAAGGCTGGCATTCCAGCAGAATCAGCCCTCTTCCCAAAACAAAGAAAAATGATAATTCTCCTATCTGGGTGCATGCTTACTGGCCTTTGCAAGGGCAGCCTTATAAAAGCACAACATTTTTCCTTCTGCATGCATGGCTCAGTTGCAAGTCAATAAGCTTCCCATGGGAAATAATACGTTAAGACAAAGGCTCCTTATGCTATGCAACATTTCAAACTCTGCAATACGTAAGGACACCTTGGCCCTGTAGAAGGGACTGAAGCTCACCACCATAAATGGTCAATTCGCAAATGACTGACTAGGAGACATTACCTGACTTTAAGAATATCAGTCTACCTTGAATATTCAGAGCGCCTCAGCCCTACTGAGCTCACCTTCTGTCTCGATTGTCAAAGTGGTCTGCTAGCTGCTCCTGTGACATCCGGAAATCTTCAAATGGTTGTTGATATCGGGCTTCAAAGGAGCCTTCTCTGGCTCTGCCTCCCGTCTGCTGGCTTGGAGAATCTGCTGACCTGTCTCGGAAGGCCGAAGCTCCAAAGGGGCTAATCTCCCCATTCTCCTGCTTCAGAATCAAAAAGAGAAATAAGTTTTTTTTAAGTCGTGACAAGACAGTTGTCACATATTAAACTTTTTCAACCTCAGCTTAGGGAGACTTTTGCAGGACGCTGCACAGCTCCATCAATAGTTAAAGAGCGTAAGACTTACTTTGCCAGGGGTGATATCGATTTCCACCAGCAAGGCAGCCAGTTCCAGATCCTCACTGTAGTTGTTCTTCAAAGGCACGGCTCGGTACCCTAAAAGACAACAAAAGGAGCTACAATGGGAGCCAACTAACGGCAGTCAAGTAGTTTCACCGGCCCCATTCACACATCATGGCAAACCAAATTGCTGTATTACTATGATTGTGTCTAAAAGGGCCTTTTGAAGCCTTAGGCCAGTGATGGCCAAACTTGGCCCTCCAGCTGTTTTAGGACTACAACTGCCATCATCCCTAGCTAACAGGACCAGTGGTCAGGGATGATGGGACTTGTAGTCCCCAAACAGCTGGAGGGCCAAGTTTGGCCATCACCGCCTTAGGCGCAAAGTAAGCAAACTACCATCCCTGGCTTATTTTATGTCAAACCACAATCAATAAACCAAAAACACACGTTGGCTACAGATTATGCTTTGCAGGGAGTGACTCCCCAATTTGCTCCGAAATTAAGTGTGGTTAGGATTGCAGCCTTGCTTTTTTCACCCAATTAACAACAGACGTTTGCAATTTATTACAAAGCAACTTTTCACTGATTGCACAACAACATCTATGCTCCCATGAATCTTATCAGCAGAAATATGCTTCCAAAGATATTGGAAACACCTTTCAACCACATACCTGTCTTCAGGCCTTTAACCAGGAATGTGGCCTGAGCTAAGAAGTTCTGGTCGCTGAACATATCCTCTTCATACACAACAAACCGTAAGAAGGCAAACTCTGGGTTACTGACATGGAAGTGAAATGACTTATGAGCCCAGGCAGGATTCAGGCCATTGTCCACTATATTAAATAAACAAACAAACAAACATACAACATTTATCATTTCCGGTATTTTAAAAAGAAAGTAGTTCAATACTTTTAACAGTCGTTTAGCTTAATCCACAGTAAGCTGCTAAGTCTAGTGTCGCAGAACTCCTTTGTCAACAACGGATTACAGAACTACTCTCTGGAAATTAACTTCCACAGCAGCAGTTTTAAATGGGCCACAGTTCTTCACATTCATTTATTAACCTTCCCAGTTTAAAGTTAGTGAACCTTAGTACAAATCAGGTGAGAATTAAAAACAGCTACAACCCACCCCTAACAATGCCCACCTCACTTTGATGCTGCCTCCACTCTGCCACCCTTCACAGCATGTAGAAGACCAGCCCATTTCTTTACAAAAGGGGCTATTTTAAAATGAAGGGTTTTTTGGGGGAAGGAGATTGTCAGGGAACTGCCATCGGAGCTGGAAGCGGAGGGAAGGCTCCAAAGGGATGGCGGAGAGGGTCCCAGTAGGGAGAGAGGGAGCCCGTCTGCTGGGGAAGGAATCAGCGTAACACCAGTAGAGAAGGGGGGCAGATGGGGGAATCGGAGAGGAGGCTCCAAGACTCCTCGCCGGAGACCAGCGGAGAGAGTACGGGTACTCCACTGCCCACACCCTCCCTGCGCAGAAGACTTCCGCGCAGGGAGAGTAGGAGGAGACTTGGCGTCAAGGAACTTTTGTGCTGGAAGAAGTTTAAGAAACGCCCACTGACGGATTCTGCCAGCGACTGAGACAGTCACGATGCTGGAGGCTGTTCAGTCAGAAAGGGTTTAACCAGGTAACCTAGCCAGGAGTGGCGGCAACTTACGCACGAGCAACCCCTAAACCCATTACAGAGATGTATTCACCATGGTTTTGTATAGGGTGTGGCTTGAAGGGTTGTTGCTGGGGAGTGGGGGCAACAGTCCTCTCAATGGAGCAGACCCTCATCCTGAACGCTCCCCCCTCCCAGAGCAACCTTTCAATTTGGGAGAGTGGCGTGACTGTTTTCTTGCATGCCTTCATTCAAGAAACCATGAAAGCCCTGTGACTTTTGCAAGTACCTGATGGGAATGCTCACCTTCCTGCGTCCCTAATCCTTCGTTAACCATCTTCCAGAATCTCACAGCTGTTCCACAGCACCAAGCACCAACCTGTTTGCCTGGAATGGGGGTGCTGCCTCTAAGAGGAGTGTTCACATGTGTTTGTGGCACCAGCTTAATGGGATCTGTTGCTACCCATCATCAAGGAAGAGCAGGTGGTGCACATCATAGACAGGTATGTGGGAAAGGGTGCAATTTTTTCAGAGAGCTGTCCAAAATTTGTCACCACTTTAACTGCCTTCCACAATGAGGCTAAACTGAGACCTGCCCAAGTCCATGCAACCGGGTTCAGGGCAGAGCAGGGACCTGAGGCCAAGCTGTTCAACTCCAAATCCAATGCAATCAGATGGGCTCTCAAACTTAAGCTACCACAAACATGCATGTGTGCACATTTATTGCTGTAGTTACTGTCACAGTTCACCTGCCATTTCCCCCACTTTCCTCCTAAGACGATGGTCTTGGACTCTTTCCTGTCTTACTGAGACACAGCATTCTCTGAGACGCCTTAAGTGTTTCTTCATTAACACAGAACAAAATGCTCCAAGAACTTGCCAGGGCTGCACAAACCGGCTCCTTATTGATGACTAGGCCAATTTGTACAATCAACTCCATGTCTCCATTTCTTTTCCAGCCATCTCAGTAATCTAATGCATATCAAGCAATCTGCTACTATACGATCTCATTTCTGCAGCGGACTGTAGCTTCCACTCTTGGCACCAGAGTGGTTTCCACCCCCTCTTTTGCCTAGCATTTCTTGCATGTCAACTGAGCAGGAAACACTCATTGCCACATCACAGACTGTTTGGAACTGGCCAGTGCTAGAATGAAGCTCAGAAAACCTCACCTTCACACAATGATTTTGAGACATGAGAAAAAGCAGCCCAGGGGCCAGGGTAAGACACGCAACAGGAAGAAACCCCAAATGTCAGGTCACCGAGTACACATATACTTCTGGCGATGAGAAGGAAGCTGGTTCAGTGAACAGGAAACACTTCTTGCCACCTCAAAGAGGCTGCAGTGCGCTTGGGACTGGCTAGTGTTACAGCAAATCTTTGAAAATCTTGTCTTCACACACTGAGCTGAAAGCATGAGGCCAGAGTAAGCTAGCAACAGGAAGGGGACCCCTAATGTAAAGTACACATATACGTCTGGGGATGAGAAGGAATTCGGTTTACAGGAGTGACAGGAGCGATGGAATATTTTGAGGCCCTCTTCTTAGCTTGAACCAGTGCCAGATTTACGTATAGGTTATACAAGCTATAGCTTAGGGCCCCACTCTCTTGGGGTCCCCCCAAAAAAATTTTTTAGAAAAAAAACCTGGATGTATGTTTCCAAAATAGAAGATAAAAAAACAAATAGAATATAACCCACATACAGCAACAGTGTTTTGTGCTGTGTAGGCTCCTTTGATGTAAGTAATGGGCCCCGTCTGCTAGCCTGCTCCCTAAAATATCACTGGTTTGCTCATTTCTATATATAGGGTGCCTACATTCTGCATGTGCAAATGGCTTTAGATACCTATTAGGTCCATAAATTACCATATAGCATATATTCATCATAAAAAACAGTGACAATTTGTTGTTGACAAAGGACAGCTGGACATATAAAGGGCCCCATTACCTTCAGTAGCTTAAAGCCTCCTTAAACCTAAATCCGGCCCTGGCTTGGACTTACAAACAACACTGTCATGCCTTGCAACCCGTTTGAATTTTGGGTAGTTCGGATACTCACCCACCATCTCGGTCTTCTGCTTTGCGTTATCATAATCAGCTCCAGACACCTCAACCTCTACGAAGGGGCAAACAATCCCTCTTCCATTTTTCGGAAGGTGTCGTGCCCCGAGGACCTACGCAGGGCAGGTAGGGAAGACAAAATTAGGCCATTGCTTTGCACGGTTTGAGGAAAGGCTATGCACACTGCAGCAACAGGCCCATTCCTCGATCTATTGAGGTAACTCCAGCACAGACAACATTTTCAAAACAAACAAAACGTTTCAACCATTGAAACTAAATACAATTGGTTGTGGCCCCTGGACAGCTTTCTCCAACAAGACATAGTACGTCTGTTGAGAGCCAACACCTATTTGACAGGTGCATGTGGTGCAAAAGTGATGCACGGGCAAACTGAAGAGCTGGGGACGAGTTTCATCCCATCCCCAGGAGGCTAAGGTTGCACAAACAAGAGGTTTACTCTCGTCACATGGTGGGTACAGAACTGAAGTCTACACCGGATCTGACTTGATGGCATTAAAAATGCAGAAATGAAGGGGAAACTTTTACAGGCATTTGCCCATCTGATATCTTATGAAAGAGCCTAAAGTCGCTGGCCCTGATCCCATGTACACATGTCTGGGCGGAAGCCCCATCGGATACAGTTGGACTTACTTCCAAGCAAACATGCACAGGGACTACACTGCGAGTCTCACTGAAGCCGCTGGAACAAGTTAGTCATAACTAACTTAGTCCCATGCTTTCAGTGGCTAGTTGATCATGACTGAATCCCAATCAGCATGAACAACCCTAGCTAGGATTTAGAAATCTTTTGTCCTGCCTCTCATATGCCCTTTTCATTCTAAATAAAAGTAGAATGACAACAGAATGACAGAATTGGTGGTGTGTGCCAGGACAGGAGCAACAAACAAATCACACTGCTCTTTGCTCCCCTGCTTTGCACTTGACTTAAATCATGAAGCCAGAGTCACAACAATGCTTTTACATTGAGCCCCAGCTAAATACAGAACACATGAGGTTTCCAAGTGGAGGGTGCCACCTATGGGTGGCAAAAGGTTGCATGCCATTTTTCTGCCCCCATAGAATTCCCCTCCGCCCCTACACCGTGCAGTCCTGGTGCGCCTCTGCTCCCTTTTGTCATCTATTTCAAGTCAATTTGCGCTGCTGATTTTTTGCCTGGGTGGCATTGACTATTTGGTTCCATCTCTAGAGGGCTACTCAGCACACTTATGTAAGATGGTCCGTTGTTATTCCGGCTGAGACAAAAGCACCTCCGGCTCAACATTTGGTGATTTGTTTGCTAGGAGAGAAGAGCCTTAGCTTACAAAATTACTGTTATTATTTATTAAATAATACCGCCCTTCATCCGATGATCTCAGGGTGCTTTGCAAGATAAAATACAGGATAAAAATCACAAATAATTAAAACAAAAACAAATCAAAACAATTACCCCTGCCCCCACCAAAACAAACACATTGAAAGGGCCGTAGAATATTAATCAGCCAAAGGCCTGGTTGAAAAGGAACGTTTCTGCATGGCACTTAAAGGTGTATAATGAAGGCACCAGATGAACATCCCTGGGGAGAGCATTGTGCAAGTGGGGAGCCACTGCAGAAAAGGCCCATTCTCGTGTTGCCACCCTCCGGACCTCTCAAGGAGGAGGCATTTCAGTGCATGGTATTTGTATGAAAAATGAAAAGGGGGAAAAATATTTCAGCCCAAGAGTTGCATTCCCTTGTGGGCAACTTTCTCAGGGCTCCATGCTGGTGGTGGGCAGGGCCAGAGGATCAAGTAGGTGGAGAAATAAATGTATTACACACACACACACACAAACGCACACAATGTCTCTTCATGATGTAATGTAGCAGTATTCTGAAGCCTGGGGCTGTAGGAGAAGGGACATGTCCACGCAAACCAAAGTCAAAATAAGGCTTTGTTATAGCAGGCATGCAGAGAAGAGCATAACACACAAACCTCAATGGAAATGGAAAGCGGCTCCACCCCCCGCAGAGTGCTCTTGTCAAAGGGATCAAAGATGTCATCCCGCATGTTGCCCGGTTGCAGCATGAAGCCACATCGGCCTCCAGACATAAACAGGGCCTGATTCATCTGCATTGGCTTATCTGCAAAAGCACAGGGGGCTTAGATGAGGAACAGCTCCAGTACTATGCAGTACAATTAAGGACACTTCAGGGCATAACACCCGTGTTCGAATGAGGCCCCTGAGGAAAGTCAGTGCTAACTGGCCAGCTCACAAAACGCTGAACACCTCCGGTGCAGTTTCTTTTAGAAGGCAAAGATAATTAACCATACTGATAATGCTGCTAGAAGGGCACAGTAAAGTATCTGCCGCCACTGAAAGGCTCGTGACAATTGAAACCTGAATAGGCTGAGGCAATATCGTGGTTACTTTCAGACTTCAACACATGCAGGCCCACTCCCACATTTTGCAGCAAGGGTAGCCAAAAGGAGGAGGAGGAGGAGGAGGAGGAGGAGAAGAAGAAGAAGAAGAGTAGTAGTAGTAGTAGTATGGATTTTATATCCTGCTTTATCACTACCCTAAGGAGTCTCAAAGCGGTTAACAATCTCCTTTTCCCTTCCTCCACCACAACAAACACTCTGTGAGGTGAGTGGGGCTGAGAGACTTCAGAGAAATGTGACTAGCCCAAGGTCACCCAGCAGCTGCATGTGGAGGAGCGGGGAAGCGAACCCGGTTCCCCAGATTAAAAGTCCGCCGCTCTTAACCACTTCACCATACTGGCTCTCAAAACAGTTTCATCCAGGCTTCACTGGACTACAGTTCCCATCTGGGTCAGCATGATGGGAGTTGTAGTCCAACAACATCTGGAGGTTGCCATGTTGGCTACCCCCAGTTTTAAGGTTATATAAATTTGTTCTGAGACAGCATCCTAGCTACGCTGACATATGTAGCAACCCAGAACAATCCAATTTTTAAAAAAACTGCTAACATTATTTATTTTTTTGATTTGTGCACCTCCTTTCATCCAAGGACCACAGGGCTATTCACAACATAAAAATACAATATGAAAAGACAAAATATATAATAAAACAAAAGCAGAAGCAAAGGAAAGCAACAACCCCCCTCTCCCAGACACATTTCAAAGGCCACAGAGTATCAGCCAAGTGCTTGGTTGAAACGTTTTTGACTGCTGCCTTAATGAAGGCACCAGGCGAGCCTCACTAAGGAGAGCATTCCAGAAACAGGGAGCCACTGCAGAAAAGGCCCATTCTCGTGTTGCCATCCTCCGGACCTCATGTGGGGGAGGCACATGAAGAAGGGCCTCAGATGATGATCTCAGGGTCTGGGTAGGTTCATATGGAGAGAGGCAGTCCTTGAGGTATTCTGGTCCTGAGCCATTTAAGGCTTTATAGGTAAACATTCAAATGAAGAAGAAAACATAGCCCAACTCCCAATCATAAGCAAGCACAAAAAGCTTTTGCCCATTATAGTATAACAATGCAAGCAGTTGGACACCAGACCATACAGAAGCAATACCTTTTTCCTGCAAAGTAGACATGCCCTAAGTTGAGCTAGACAACCATGTGCCGTCCAGCTGTTGTGGACCATAACTCCCAGCCAGCATGGCCAATGATGGGACTTGCAGTCCAACAACATATGGCAGGTACCATGATGTATAATCTTGCCCTAAGCTACGGTCACCACAGAGAGGAACCATCATACCACTGCAACAGCCCAGTGCAAAGGGTCTCTCACCTGGTGTCTGGAAGTTGAGTGCCACCAACTGGCTGCCACAGATCCACATAGGCAGAGGATCATAGTTGGAGGAGTCAAGGCGCTGTCCCTTTGGATAGATGCGGGAAAGCTGTAGCCGGTTATATTGCAGAAACTTCTTGCCTTTGATCTTGTTGACATACTTCTCTGCCTTGGTTTCAGGGAAGGAGGACATGTCTCTGTAGCAAGCCCTGTCTGTGCCAATCTCTGTACAGGAAACAGGGCAGACAATGATATGGGGCAGCCTAGGTCAGAATGATCCCACCACAATATTTAACAGGAGAAGAAAGAGCAGTGGGGAGAGAAAGAGCTTTTCAGTTCCACAAATAGATATGCATATTTCTAGTCATTTCTAAAAACAAACAAATCATTCAACTTCAGAAATCTAGAGCCAATTTTCACATCCATAAAAAATTAAGCCATAAGAATCTATGTCCACTTTTTCTTCAGTGGGATTGTTCAAGTTGTGAATTGGATAAACCAGAGTCGTGACTAAATAGTACCATATTTTTCACACTATAAGACGCACCCAACCATAAGACGCACCTAGTTTTAGAGGAGAACAAGAAAAAATATATTCTCTCCCTCTCTGTGCAGCGCCTCTCCAGCAAAGTGGGAGGAGAAATGGAAGGGGCTCCGTTTCTCCTCCCACTTTGCTGAAGGGGCGCTGTGCAGCTTTCCCTCTCTGCACAGCGCCTCTTCAGCACTGAAGAGGCACTACGCAGAGAGGGAAAGCTGCGCAGCACCTCTCCAGCGAAGCGAAGTCAGAACAGCAAGAGGGATTGCTGTGCAGCAAAAGCAGCGATCCCTCTTGCTGTTCTGGCTTCTGGGATAGCCGTGCCGAGCCTCTTCAGGGCAGGGGGAGCGTTCCTCCTATTGCCCTGAAGAGGCTTTGCGTGGCTATCCCTGAAGCCAGGAGAGCGAGAGGGATTGGTGCGCACCGATCCCTCTCGTTCTCCTGTCTTCAGCGAAAGCAACGCAAAGCCTCCTGAACGCAGTGGAAGGAGCACTCCCACTGCGCTCAAGAGGCTTTGCATGGCTATCCCTAAAGCCAGGAGAGCAAGAGGAATCGGTGCACACCGGTCCCTCTTGCTCTCCTGGCTTCAGCGATAGCTGTGCAGACTGCATTCGCTCCATAAGACGCACACACATTTCCCCTTACTTTTTAGGAGGGGAAAAGTGCGTCTTATAGAGCGAAAAATACGGTGTATCCAAGGATAATGAATTTGCAATGATTACAAATTAGGTTTTGAACCAATATAGAAAAGAAATACTATATTGCAACTACGGTGTGTTTTTGTCATGGTTGGCAAACACCTTTCAAATACCTACAAGTGAGAGTTTTACCAATCTACCCTGCCAGATTGGCAATGATTTAGAAGCTTCAACTAAAACATCACAAGGCTGAACTAATGCCAGTAATCAGCTCTAGCTGCGCAATGGGTCACTGCACAGGATTTGGAATCTGCACATACTTTCTTCATCAAAGGGGACAGGACGACAGTAGATGACCAGCTCAGAAAGCTCGAGCGCTATCTTCTTCCTCCTCTCCATCATCTTGCCTTCCGAAAGCTGACAAAGAATAAAAGACATCAGGGTTTATTAATTGTATGGGTGGAAGCACTGGCTCAGGTACACGCTAACAGAATCGACATTCAACGAGCAGAAAACAGCAACAGCAGGACAAGTGGATTTCACTGTGGTTTGAAAAGTGCATGGAATATTGTGAAAAGTGTGCGCTTTTCTACAAAGGCACATCTTCAAGACAGTCAGCAAACCTCTCCCCACTGCACTCAATCACTTAAATACATATAGCTGGCAGAGACAGCAGGGAACCAACCTCTTGCAGAGATACAAAACATGATGAGTGGAGCATCTCTATTCTGGTCTGTTACTCTTCGGGCATTCCTATATAACCCAGGAACTCAGATATTTAATTTTATTTTCACATTTCATGCAGTGGCCACAAAAGCCTTCATAACAAGTTCCTTAACTTTTGCATCTATGGCTTACAAAAGTTTAAGAGGCCGCGTATCTTACCCTGGCATCAGCAGTTTGGGCGGCTTCACGGATCTTCTTCACCCAGTCTAACAGGTCTTCGTGTGTGTCAGCTGCTACATCCAGGGACCATCGTGTGATGGAAGCCATGCTGATAGAGAAGACAAACATGCGGTTGTTCTTTCCCTCTGGGCGGATGGCTGTGGATGAGGAAGGAGCAGAAAAACAAGGATTAGGCCACAGCCTGCCTCAAGACCCTCACAGACACAATCTATACCAGAGTTATAGTTAAAAATTCTCCATAGTATGTAGGTGGTATTGATAACTGATAAAATGAGAAAGAAGAGGAGATTGAAGAAGGGAGGCAGAGACAACATCCTAGTTGGACTGTTTCTGCACCCCACAAGGCCGGATGCAGACAGACTGTTGCCCCAATAGACATCATCTGCCCTGTAAGAAGGAAGAAGGCAGGCTAACATCAGGGCCTTCTCAAGTTGGCTTGTCCCCTGCTCCCCTGGGTCAATTTTACATGGTGTATCATCATTTGTTTTGGTATTTTAAAACTGTAAACTACTTTGGGTGCCTTGTCAGAAAGGCAGTATATAAATGCAATAAACAAAGTCTCTTTGAAAGAAAGGAAGCAGCAATGGTATTTTTAAGAGGTAGCTTCAGTGAATATCAACCTTCCCAGACCAAGGGCCTACATTTAATCCCCAGACCCATGTTTAAAATCTCTCTCTCTCTCTCTCTCTCTCTCTCTCTCTCTCTCTCTCTCTCACACACACACACACACACACACACTCTCTCTCTCTCTCTCTCTCTCTCTCTCTCTCTCTCACACACACACACACACACACACACACAAACTCTCTCTCTCTCTCTCTCTCACACACACACACACACACACACACACCCCTCTCTATTTCCTCTTCTCTTTTTGAGCATTTGACCAGACCAGACTACTGGTCTAGCCAGTACTGTCCACTCTGACAGGCAGCGTCATCCCAAAGTCTCAGGCAAAGCTTTTCTGCAAAAACACTACCCAATTCTTATTTATTATATCTTGCCTTTCCCCAACAAGCCCAAGTCAGCTAAAAATGCAGGTTTAAACACCAAATCAACAATCAGTATGTTTGAGAATTGGTGTTCAGCAGCAAAGGAGCAACTCAGCAGAATGGACAATGAGGTGTGTCACTTTGCACCAGACAATCCTGTTCCAGGTTTGATCTTCAGAACCAGGCACTGTAGATGAGCGGTCTATCCACTCTTCTATATTCCTGTAAGAATCTTATGTATAAATCACTGGTGCACAGATCTTGCCCAATAGTCAGACCCATGAACTCCAGAATTCCACTGTTGCATGACCATCTTCCCGCAGGCAGGCAAGACCCATGCATTTGAAGGCGGCTTGAAATGAGGCAAAACATTCTCATATTCACAGCCCTTGCTAAATAGCAACCCAGAGAACTGGTCCTGCACGGCTGAGCACTTAGCCACACAAGGCCTTTATCCTGGAGCAAAGCCTTGGGAACAGAAAACCTGCAGATTAGCAAGGAAAGGTGGGTTCTAAGGAAATAGTTGCAGCCGAAAATCAGCATCGGTTATCGCTTCTTGCCTCTCCTGCCCACCACATAAAGCATCTACTTACCAATCTGACAGGCTGGTACGTCCAGAACTCCCCCAAGTAGGTCTCCCAATGGACTGTTCTCATCTATCTGTTGCTGGAAGCAAGTTCATAGCATATTACTACATTTCTTCACATTTTAGAGTCTACCCTATCGTGAGAACCTCAGGGGAGGCAATAGCACTCACCCACATAAATGCATTCTGTTTTAAAATAGCAAAGTATTCTAAAAATATTCAAAATGCCTATCCTTCCCTTGGCCTCCCCCTCCATTGCCAGCTGACTACTCCCTGCTTGGCAGCCTCCACCGTCCAATATGATTTGTGGATAGCAAATTAGAGCTACTCAGTCCTCTGGGAAAGGACCATCTGACACTGAATAAATGCTAAAGAGTAGTAAAATTAATTCTGGATAATATTTAGATTTGCCACATTTGAGGGGAAAGAATTTTATTCCAGCGGAGCTTTCTTCTGAGATACCTGCCTGTGCGATTTCATCATACAGTCCTTGCATAGAGGTGTTAACTGTGAACAGAACCAGGCCAGGAAGGATAACTAACACAATCTTTCTCTTATCTACACACAACTCTGAACTGCAGATACTTGCAGCCATGTATTATTAGTTATTGTTTTCATCACTGTGGCAGATAACAACACTTATTTTATTTCGTAACATTTATATACCGATTGTTTGTAAAACAGACAAAAAACCCCTCAAATAAAGCACTTTAAAATGAATGAATTAAATTTTGGACTACAACTCTCAACATAACCTGACTATTGATCACACTGGCTGGGACTTACGGGAGTTGTAGTCTAAAACACATGAAGAACAACCAGATTGCAGAAGGCCAAATTGAAACTAATATACCAATGTAAATGTATTCAGGCAGCAACAGAAGGCTGTCGGCAATGGACTCTCCCTTCATGGAGTTTTGTAAGCAGAGGTTGGATGGCCATCTTTAGCTGAGATTCCTGCATTGCGGGAGATTGGACTAGATGACCTTGGGGATCCCTTCCAACACTGTGATTCTAAGTCTCACTGGGCAGAGAGACCCAGAGACAACAACAGCAAAGGTCCTCTTCCACATCCCAGCTGAATGTAAACTAGGTGTTTGTGCGATGCATAGGACAGCCCATCTGGAAGATCTTACTGAGCAGGCAGGCTCACGTGGAAAAAGGTGGCCCTTTGGGTATTTAGAAGGCCTTATTTCGAGACCAAAACTCAAGCTGAGCTTTCCCCGGAATCTGAAGCTGAAAAGACTCTGCAGCTCTCTTTCCATCTTTCTCCAAACTGAATGCTCACCTCCCTCTCAGGCTCCAAGCCTGTTGGACTAGCTATTTCTTCTACGTAGTTAGATGGAAACCACAGCTGCTTCTTACCGCCACAGTCTCCTCTCCACCTGGAAGAAATGAAAAGATGCAGGTGCCAAGCCATACACGTTCTACACAAAACTAGTGTTATTTTGTACCAAGGTGATCAAAATGCATTGATTAGAACATAAATGTTTGGCATTAAGCAGACCAACAGAGCTAGCTAGCTATGCACTAAGCTATAGACCTGCCAGTAGTGGAGTGTGCAGGAGGGCAAAAGAGGATACTCTCTTGTTAATTTTGCCTTGATTCCAAGGAATGGAAATAAGTTACCAAATTCATGCCCTATCATTACCACTAGCAGAAACACTTCCCTGTGCCAAAGTGTAAAGTGATCTTGACTAAGGGCTGATGCTGAAGTTCAGTAGCAGACCCTGTATCTGGAAACCCTAGTCCAGGCATCCCCAAACTCGGCCCTCCAGCTATTTTGGGACTACAACTCCCATCATCCCTAGCTAACAGGACCAGTGGTCAGGGATGATGGGAACAGTAGTCCCAAAACTGGCAAAGCAGCATGGCGAGTTTATAATACAAGATGGAGAGGAGAGGGGTGGAGAAGTTGTCGGAAGGAGTTGTAAGGGGAAAGGGTTAAGTCTCCCTTTCAAATCACCTCTACCAACTCTAGCTGCTTTTCAGCTGTTCAGGAGCAACCTAGGTTCCCAGAGTCTGGGAACCAAAGAGTTTGGCTCTAAAAGTGAGGCGGGTGTTCAGCTTCGCATTTTGCTTGTTTAAAACATATAAAAGGGGGAAGTTCTTTTCAAAAGGCATTACCAGGAATGGGAAAGTCAGCAAACGCCCTGTTGCTACTTGGAGATGTGATCTCTGGGAGATCTTTTTAAAAGGACCGATCATCTGATGATTAAAGGAAACTCACCAGCCTCCTTCTTGCTTTTCTACATTCTGGATGATGGCATTTTTGGTGAAGGTGAGCTCGTCCTCCCGTTGAGCCTTATAGTCAAACAAGGCTTTGACAGCACACTGAAACACATACAAAATAATGAGGCCGGGTGATCATGGCAGAAGCCGAGATGAAGTCACATAACACTTATTCCAGCCTGGTGGAATGCTCTGTCTCATGAGACCAGGGCCCTGCGGGATCTGATTTCTTTCCGCAGGGCCTGTAAGGCAGAGTTGTTCCACCTGGCCTTTGGCTTAGAATAAGTTTGATTGTCTCCCCCTCTTTCTTTTTCCTTTCTCCTCCTATGAAGAGATTGTACCCTAATGTTTTAATGTTGTACCTTAATCTTTCAAATTTTATTTTAATCAACTTGTTTTTATTATTGGTTGTTAGCTGCCCTGAGCCTGGTAAAATTATTATTATTATTATTATTATTATTATTATTACTACTACCAAGAAATTCTGCAGAAATCCACTTACAATCAGGTATCAATACCTGCCTCTAAGTCTTTGTGACATGCAAGACCACCGTGGGGGAAAATATACAGTGCAATCAATAGGACAAACTAATGATTGGCCAGGAATTTGCCCACCTTTCAGACTCCCATTACTAGGGTTCAGTTCTCTTTCCAATTGTGTGTGAAAGTCAGAAGTTTCCATATGCAAAGAACTTCATGAATACACTAGTGCCTGGGGTTTAAAATTTAGTGTACTAATGTTTGCAGGGAGGGTAGGCTTTTACATTAATGGTTTGTTAAGAGCATTCTCCAGACTAAAGATTATGATTTATGATGGAGATATGCAAATGCAGCCAAGGCAAGGACTGATCCACAGGGACCACCATGGTGCTGGAGCGCAATATTAACCCTTCCCCTCTGCATAATTTCCCCAATGGAAGCCACCTCCTCATAAGCTGCTACTTGCCCTGGTAGTGAAAACATATTGGCCACACAAGCAATTTATCAGCTGATCTCATCCCAGTCATATCTCGAGGTACAAGGAAAATACCTTGAAGGTTGGCATAGGATTGGCCTCCACATAAAATCCTGGATTCTGACCTTCGTAGAGTGAACCGTAATCTGGTTCCTGGTGAGCAAAGGAAAGAGGATGAGTCTATCTTTATGTTCAGGCATGGATCACAGGAGTTAGAAGAGGTGGCTAAAGCCACTCACTTATAAGGCGATTCTACAGCTTGGAAACAGGTTGAGTCTCCCCCCACGCTATAGAGTAGGGTAAGCAACTTTTTATAGCCAACTTACTAGATTCTTATCTCCCCAACCCTTGGTGGGACAAATTTGGTAGGCAGGTGGGGCTGTTTATCTGTCAATCACCAGGTGTTACAGTGACATCAGGCAAAGCTGTACAGCGGTATCTCGGGTTACATACGCTTCAGGTTACAGACTCCACTAACCCAGAAATAGTTCTTCAGGTTAAGAACCATTAGCTAAAGTGGTGCTTCAGGTTAAGAACAGTTTCAGGTTAAGTGCGGACCTCCGGAACGAATTAAGTACTTAACCCGAGGTACCACTGTACTTTGAAGCCCCAGTTGTTGGGATTTCAAAGCGCAGCACAGAGCTGTTTGCAAAAGGGCTTTCAAACAGCCATGTGCTGCTCCTTGAACCTCCAAAAACTAGAGATTTAAGATCAGCGTGGGGTTGTTTACAAAAGGCTTTTTAACAGACTAGCACTGCACTTTGAAACTCCAGTTTTCAGAATTTCAAAGAAAAGTTCAGGGCTGTTAGAAAGCCCTTTTGCAAGCAGCCTCACACTGCTCTTTAAACACCCAAAAGCCAAAGGTCCAAGGAGCAGTGCAGGGCTGTTTGCAAAAGGAAAACTACTTCCTCCTTCCAACAGCTGGATGGTAAGAGCATGCCTTAAGCTCTCAGTTGTTCCTTTGAAGCCATGCCAATACTTGTCCTGCACCTGACATCTCATATGACGTTCAGTGTGGTGTTAGTGGGTGTGGTTTGGGGGAAATGGCCTCACAGGTCAAATTCGGACCACTAGAGGGCCAAGTCTGACCCATGGGACAGAGGTTCTCCATCCTTGCTCAATAAGTGGACATCTCACTGAAGAGAGGATATTGTGGATACCAATAGGCTGGTTGACAAATGCAGGTCGGTCTTCTAGCTAGGCAGTACCAGAGATCCAACTATTCCATTTCCATAGAGAAGGGATAGGGACAAGTGAGAGTGATTTTGAAGAATGATTAGATCCCCTGGCAAGCAAAGACTGGGATTTGGAGATTCCCCACCCCTGTCATAGAGCCATATTCTAGAAAAACAAGAGCAGTTGCGACCACAGTCCCAGGAAGAACGCACTGGATTCCATTCCTAACACCATACTCACCGCCGTCCCGATCTTCTCCAACATTTCCTCATTAATCGGATACCTCAGCTTCATCTTGCGATACAGCGGGTGCTTCTCATAGTAGCTGATTAAATCCACCAGGCTCTCAAATTCCGAGTTACCCAAAATGACGGTCTGGCCATCCTGCTGGACTCGGCAGTGCTTTATCTTCCCTTCTGCCCTGGGGAACAAAACAGCAGCAGAACAAGTGATCAGTCATTTCCCAAACAACCACTTAACAACGGCTGAAGAGAGTGTTTGTTGCATGATGACTGGGGAGGGGGGATTTACTTTCCTTCCCTACATTTCACAGCCACGACAACACATATATAAGGCTTCCTTTGAAGGTGACCCGGAAACTACAACTAAACCAGAATGCGGCAGCTAGACTGGTGACTGAGAGCAGCCGCCAAGACCACATAACACCGGTCTTGAAAGACCTACATTGGCTCCCAGTACGTTTCCGAGCACAATTCAAAGCGTTGGTGCTGACCTTTAAAGCCCTAAATGGCCTCAGTCCAGTATATCTGAAGGAGCATCTCGACCCCCATCGTTCTACCTGGACACTGAGGTCCAGCGCCGAGGGCCTTCTGGCAGTTCCTTCACTACGAGAAGCCAAGTTACAGGGAACCAGGCAGAGAGCCTTCTCAGTAGTGGCATCCATTCTGTGGAATGCCCTCCCACCAGATGTCAAAGAGAACAACAACTACCAGACTTTTAGAAGACATCTGAAGGCAGCCCTCTTTAGGGAAGCTTTTAATGTTTGATGGATTACTGTATTTTAATATTTTGTTGGAAGCCGCTCAGAGTTTGTTTGTTTGTTTGTTTGTTTCAATATAAGGCAGTCCATGGTACCTGGGAGACAAACTACTCACCGAAAGGAGATTGCATAGGAGTTTGGCTCGCTCCTCTTGCGCACCAGAAAGGCCCCATCCCGTGGCACCCGCATCAGCATGCGCTCTGCCAGAGGCCGGGTGAGATTAGCGTGATACCATCTGGGGGGTGAAAATATTGCAATGTAAGTGAATGTAGCACAGCAGTACCTGATAAATGCCTGGACCCCAGGATTAACTCTGTTTCACAGAAGAATACAAAAAAGATCGAAAGCTCTTGGCTGTATTGTTCCCTTTGGAGATTTAGAGCCATTGTGGTTTCGTTGCGGAAGCAGGAAACCAGCTAATGCAGCATCACAAGCCAAGTCTTCCTTTTCACTAGGGGCCAGTGCAGAAGCAATGTTTCCACTGTTAAGAGGTCAGAAACAGACCACATATGGTCTGTGGGTCCTTCTCTAACATACAAATCCAATCCTTCCCTGTGGCAAATCCATGCTTAAAGGTGACCTCTGCACACATCCCAACCATGGTGAATGCTAACTAAGGCTCCAAGCTGATCTGCACACACCAGTCAGGATAACCATGGTTAACCTCCAAATGGATGTAGGCAGGTTTTATGCTTAGGGATTTTGTGGCACAATGGGATATTGCAGGCACAAATCTCAAGAATGTTAATTCTCCAAGCTCTTAAGCAAACTTGAAGGAAAGGAAAATGTGGTCCTTTGGCTTCCTTCCTGAGCTCTGTTCAGCTCCATTTCATTTCTCTGCATCTCTAAACTGGGGATCCATAATAGTTCAGAGGTAGATTTTTATTAAAATTAAATGTGTGTCAGCAGGGAAGAAAGCTTTGCAGCTTTAAATAAACAGTGCAGATGAATTTAATGTAAGAGAGCAGTTTGAGCATTCTAGAATACCATTCAGATTAGACTCTTTGGAGACTTCTGGGCAATTTGTCTTTTATGTTAACCAAGTTGTGGAGAATGGCCTGAAAGCACCAGATTTGTGTGTCTGTCCTGCCTTTCCAATGAAATGCTCCAAGGGCCCACATAACAGGATGAAAATTCAATAGAAGACAAGCACATAATATGGAATAACAGCTAAAATGAAGACAGAGATAGCACTGTAGTTCCTCTTCTGAAGCAAAGTAGGTTAGTAGGGCAAGGATGGGGAAGTGGTGGCTTTTCAGATATTTTGGGGCTATAACTCCCATCAGCCCCAGCCATTGCACCAATGGTCAGAGATGATGGGAAATGATGTCAAGGGACATCCATAGGGCCACAGGTTCCCAACCCTGCAGTAGGGCAATAGAACTAACCAAAATAAAACCACTCCAATTAAATGTGAGCTATATCCAAAACTCTGTGGGTTAAACCACAGAGCCTAGGACTTGCCGATCAGAAGGTCAGCGGTTTGAATCCCCGCGACGGGGTGAGCTCCCGTTGCTCGGTCCCTGCTTCTGCCAACCTAGCAGTTCGAAAGCACATCAAAGTTCAAGTAGATAAATAGGTACCACTCTGGCGGGAAAGTAAACGGCATTTCCGTGCGCTGCTCTGGTTCGCCAGAAGCGGCTTAGTCATGCTGGCCACATGACCCGGAAACTGTACGCTGGCTCCCTCAGCCAATAAAGCGAGATGAGTGCCGCAACCCCAGAGTCGGTCATGACTGGACCTAATGGTCAGGGGTCCCCTTTACCTTTACCTATATCCAAAATTATCACTCAAGGTGCTAAATTCAGGCTACAATATTCTTGAGTGATCTCAGCCCTAAGGCAACAACTTTATTGGAATTCTGACATAAGCAAAAGGCCAAAAACGCATTGGCTTACTCCTTGCTCTCATGAGCGTTGGTCTGTGGCACAGGTTCAGTCAGCCTCATCTCAAATTCATTGCATCTGAGTGGCACCTGCTGATAATGAGTGATGAGGTCATAAAGACTGTTGAACACCAGGTTATCGGTGAGGAAGAATTTGGGGCTGCCAGCATCCTGCCGGGAATGGATCCGGCAGTGTTGCACTTTCCCATTGCGCCTGCATGCAAGAAAAACAAAGGTCAGCAGTGAAATCCCACGTGTGTTTACACAAAATAAGCCCCAGTCTACTCAGTGTAGCTTAGTCCTTAGTAAATGCATTTAGAATTAGAGCCTAAAATTGCTTTTTAAAATAAAGAAATATTATTTTAGTTACATTTCCCCCCCAAACAATAGCGGACACACTGCCTGAAAACATGTGTCATGTGAAGAGTGAAAGTTGCTTATTCGGTAGGGTGGAATAGATTGGGATAGGTTGGTAGACCTTGAGAGTATCCAACCAGCTCTTTGCATGGTTGTGCAAACAACAGGTGGTGAGCAAGAAAGGGGAGAAACAGCAGCACTCAGCTGACGAAAAGGATGAAGCAAAGGTTGCTTGGGGAAATTTCAAATTACACGAAAAACTAAGACCAGGTATCCAGTAGTGTGTGGGCTTCAAAAAGCCTGACCTAAACTTCAGTCCTAACGCTACTTATCTTGGAGTAAGCCCCACTGAATATATATGGTTAGAACTGTGCTGTTAAAATGTTGGCATTAATGTGTGTGCATTTACAGGAACAAGTTTCTACCCCTCAACATTAAAACCTCGGAACACCTTCGCAACTACTGCTAAAGCCTTAGAAATCCAAGATGTGGTATGCAACTATTCCAGTAATCAAACAGCAGGGTTCCTTCGCACAGCAAAGCTTCCTGTTCAATCTAGTGACTAACTTCAAAAATGCAATGGACTCGGCATGCTGGCTTTGGATGTGAAAGACAGGTTCACATCCCTTCTCACAGCAATGCATCTCAATGTGTGGCCTTGGGCAAGTTACCATTGTTCTCACAGATGTGAGGTCAAATAATGTAAACACTGCATAGAATTCAACAGCAATGGTAAGCTAAATAGTAGTACACACACACACACACACACACTGCTTCTCAATCTGCCATTAGCCATCTTTTCCCAATTCCTACATAAATTGAATGAATTATGTATCATCCAAGTATTTGCCTAACAGGCAAATTCCATGAATCTTCTGGCAAGAGGGAGAGAGAGAGAGAGAGAGAGAGAGAGATTGTGTAATGCCTCATATCCATTAACCTGCATCTTTCAGTTACACATCTAGTTACAGAGATAACTGAAGGGTGGATACCATACCCAAGAGTTTCTTACCAGAAAGAAAGGGTGTAATCGCCAACAAAGGTCTCACTCTCTCGCACCAAGAAAGAACCGTCAGGGGCTCCTGTCTCTATGCAGTACTCGGTCAACAGCCTTTCTGCTATGTGGCGCCCATCACGTCCGGCTCCCAGCTTGCCATGGAACCACTTTTCCGTGGAGTGGAGTTCAGTGCTGTTGCTCACCTAGTATGGAAACCAAAGAAGGCTTACCAGCTTAGTTACCAGAGCCATACTACATTGTCTTGAAATTCAACTTCCTCTTCCCAGTAAATCTCCTTCCAGATTTCAGGAATCTAGATTCAGCGCAGGAGGAGACCAGTGTTCTCAGGAGCTTCAGAAATACTCCTCAATGTGCTATTATACCATAAATGGCATACAGCATAAATGGACAAGCAAACTCGAGAGAGACCAAGGGGCATGCAGCCTCTACATCTAACAACAGGCTATAACCAGTATTTGTGAAAACAGTGCACTCATGTCAATGTGCAGGCAGCTGCAGCGTACCATATAATCACAGCTTCACAGGGGATGTTCAATGGGGCCCTTTGTTTATATTTATTTTTGGTGGGAAGTCAATGCATGTTTATTTTGGGATTTAATTTGCTGTTTTTCCTTCTTTTTTATAGTGGCCTTCCTGTTCACCATTTTTTTCACTGCATGAAGATGGGCTTTTCTAATATGATGAGGAGCTCAGTGTTAAATTGGGCCACTACTAATTAACAGAGGGAAAAGAAGACATGATTGGTCTGGCTTGCTTTTAGCCCTTCCAAAAGCGAATCACCATAGCACACTATCATCAATCACTGGATCGAGGGTATTTGAATGAAGATGGTATAATATGGGAAACCCACTTTCAGTCTTATTTGGTTTGTTCTTTAAGTTTCACACCAATAGGGCATCTTGCGTCCTTTATCACAATACAAAAAATACACTGCAAATGCCCATAATGTTCATAGGTGTTTTTTTAAAAAAATCATGACTGTATTTAATGAATATTTATCTATGCTGCTCAAGGTACAGTGGTAATATATACCGCCGAGACAGCTGGCTACTGGAAAGGAGGGTGATGAGACAGCAGGTGCAATGAATGCTCCTATACTTGCACCACACTGACCTTCTCACCACCTCAACTCTTCAGGTAAGCACAGGTAATATGGCTGGTGGGATGCTAAGTGCACAGTGGTGCCCACCTCCAGCTGCCACTGCTCCATATGTCGCACCCATACAAGCACCTTCTGATGTAGGAAGAGTCATTCCTTCCAGACCTGAATGGCTGAGAAGCCTGAAGATCTGCAGCAGCTCAGAAGAAAAATTGTGGCAAGTTGTTTCACGTACCTCCTTTTGCTCCTCCTCATCCTCATTTCCCAAATCACTGCTTCTCTCTCCAGAGTAATAGATTTTGCTACTAGTCAGGACAAAGTAATGCGGGTTCCAATCCTGCAAACACACATGTAAAAAGATGTTCATCCTAGAATATCACCCTCAAGACATCAAGTCTATTGGGTTTAGGAAAGGATTGCGGGAAGACCAGAAGTAAAAGGGGGGGGCTTATCCTGAGACTAACATCAACCAACATGTTGAGACAGCCTTTGGACAAGGACCTGTCTACTTTGTAAGTGCCATACAAAGTAAAAAAATGATAAGCAGCACCTGCCTAAACTCTTCTTTTTTTTAAGTGTCAAATGCTTCCATTTGTAAAATGGAGTCCTATGAATATATTATACAGAGGGATTTGGCTTTGCTTTGTATTACAACATATTTTACTTACAGTCACTGCCCTGCAAAGGCCCATGTGATCATTTAAATAAATGTTCATGTTGGCCAGATCCAAGACACCACTTTTAGCCACATGCTGCCCCCCCACAAGGCCCCTGGCAGCCCTGCCCCAGTTGGCTTGTTTATTCGTTATAGGGTGGAGACATAGCATGTGGCAGTACCCAAATGTATTTACATGCTGAGCTTTCATTCATCGTTCCATTACCATGCATTCGTTTTAATCATTCTAAGGTGTCATTATGGTCAGGTCTAGGATGCCAGCAATCACTGGCTGTAGCAAGTGAAAAGTCTAGGTGTAACCAGAGTGTCAGTAGAAGTGAAAAGAGAAAGTTTTTGTGTGCATTAAATGGATCACAATACAGTGGTGCCCCGCAAGACGAATGCCTCGCAAGACGGAAAACCCGCTAGACGAAAGGGTTTTCCGTTTTTGAGTTGCTTCGCAGGACGAATTTCCCTATGGGCTTGCTTCGCAAGACGAAAATGTCTTGCGAGTCTTGAAATTTTTTTTCGCTTTCCCCCCCCTTTATTTAAGCCGCTAAGCCTTTAATAGCCTTTTAGCAGCTAATCTGCTAAGCCGATAAGCCTTTAATAGCCGCTAAACCGCTAATAGCGCTAATCCGATAATCCGCTAATAGGGTTGCTTTGCAAGACGAAAAAACCGCTAGACGAAGACACTCGCGGAACGGATTAATTTCGTCTTGCGAGGCACCACTGTACAACTATGGTCGAAAGAGGGGTTACAGCATCCCTTCTCAGTCAGCTTAATTGCTGTTTTGATCATACAGACCAACCAAGTCTAGGCAACTTAGTAGCGAAGCAGTTGAGTCAGAAGCAACAGCAACAAGAAGCTCACATGATTGATGGGGTCTTCGAGGTAGAGGATTCCATTCTTTATTGAGTTGCTAATATCATTCTCTGAATACACAGCTGTGGATGGCACTTCTTCATAAGCACTGCCCTCAGCCAGTTTCTTGTGCTGCAATGAGAGGTATACACCTCAGCTTCTCTAAAAAATGAACCCAAGAGAACAAGACCTGCCTTTTGGATATCTCTAGGGCACCCACAACTAATTATGGGGCACAACAGAGTTTGCACACTAAGGTAATGACCCTGAAGATTTCCTAGCTAAATCCTGCCTGAAGTTCAACTTTGAGAATATTACTAAGGTGAAGTCATTATAGTAGCAAACTTCCCAGCATTGGCAGTAAGGGAGAGAATTCTGTAGATCTACAACTGTGGACCTATAGGGAACATTCAGTATCTAATGAGAGCTTTCCCCTGAGCTCTCATAAACACCCTAAGGCACAAGATAAATATTAGATTTGTTCCTAGCTCACTAAAGAAATCTAATCTCCATCTCATTTCGTAGGCCATTTATTTGCCTTCACAATGCAATAATTGTGATTCTATATTATTTGTATAAATCCCCAGTACCAGAAAAAAGAATGATATACATTACATATCCAGTTAAACTGCAATAACTTAAACAGCAAGGATGCTATATTGGTTGGCACATATATAGGAATTCAGTGGGTCACGAAAACAGGGTTGTTGTTTTTTGCAAAAACAGGGTTTTTTGTTGTTGTTGTTGTTTTGCAAGATGCATCTTGTAGTCCACAGTATCCCTAGCCAGGCAGATGAATTGTTTTTAGATTTTACAAGCCAACTAGCCTTAGGCAACTTGCAGTAAAGTAGTGTGTTTGAAGCTGTAATGCCAAGAAACCATGTGCCCCACTCCCCATTTTGAGTTCTAGTAGTTATCTCAGCAGCAAAGGCCATGGAAAAGACTTGCCTTTATGAGAATCTTCCTCTTCAGCTGGTTTGGAGATGGAAGTCCATCAGCAGAGATATCTACTGGTTTGGTTAGCAGCATGTCTCCAAAGATCTTCTTAAAGTTCTGAGCCATATTCCTCTGCTGGGCGATGCTGCAGTGATCCTCAATGGACAGAATAACAGGGAAGCTGAAAGCCAAACAAAAACAGCAAGCGATGGTCATTAAGCCAGAATAATGTGGACTGGATAGTCTAGCTGTTAGAGACTATTATTCTATGGTAATTCAGGAGGCACCCATCTCTCAGTATGATCAAGGCTGTGTATATACAAGTGACTCTGTGGGAGCATAGAGAAAACACAGAATGTAACGGGCAGAGTATTCAGCTTCTTCAAAATCTCAGCTTAAGGTTTTTAAAAGTTCAAGTTTTTCTTTAAAAAAATATGCTTGAAAGGGCACTAGCAGAGCCTGCTGAAATGTCTGGATCCACATTTCATGTCAAGTGAATTGCAGATTAAAACTTCCAGTAGCTGGAGATGAAGTTTCACTGCCTTGCATAGGTCCTACACCCTACCAAAGATTAGAAAAGGGGACACATTATATAACTTTATAAAAAAAATGCATGATGATTTATGCAAAATAAAATTAATTATGTAGCTTAAATCAGCATGTATGCCAGTTTTTTTCTTAGTTTCATTAAAAAAACAAAACAAAACATTTTCGTCCCAGAGTGATGCTTTGTTGATATGCAAGACCTGTGCTCAGAGACCTCCACTGGTTGTCGATAACCAACTAGACATAGTTTAAGGTGCTGTTATTAGTATACAGGGATGCAGGTGGCGCTGTGGGTAAAACCTCAGTGCCTAGGACTTGCCGATCGTATGGTCGGCGGTTCGAATCCCCGCGGCGGGGTGAGCTCCCGTCTTTCGGTCCCAGCTCCTGCCCACCTAGCAGTTCGAAAGCACCCCTAAGTGCAAGTAGATAAATAGGTACCACTTTATAGCGGGAAGGTAAACGGCATTTCCGTGTGCTGCGCTGGTGCTGGCTTGCCAGAGCAGCTTTGTCACGCTGGCCACGTGACCCGGAAGTGTCTCTGGACAGCGCTGGCCTCCGGCCTCTTAAGTGAGATGGGCACACAACCCTAGAGTCGGACACAACTGGCCTGTACGGGCAGGGGTACCTTTACCTTTATTAGTATACAAATCCCTTAACAACTTGAGACCAGTTTACCTTTGAGATCACTTTGCCCCATATGCCCACTCAAACGCTTCCATCGGGGAACTGGCACTCCTACAGGTGCATGTAATACCTGGTGCACATCTGTAAGAACTTGACCATTTAGTGCAGCAACACCTGGACTTTGGAACTCCCTGCTTATTCAACATCAGCTAAAAACATTCTTGCTTAAACATGCCTTCCCAGATGCCTAGAAAGTTGAGGTAATTTTGAACGGTTTTAGTATTTAAAACTTCTGCACGCTTTAAGGTAGGGTTGTAGATTTTTCTTGATTCTCCTGTTTTATTCTTTCGTAAACCACTTTGAGGTTTCATACAATCAAGCGGTAAATACATTTTATGAAATAAATAAAAGTATGAGCCAAATGCACACTGAATCGTGAGTTGTTTATAGCCCAGTTTTAATATTTCTTACAGAAGGAAGACAATATTTAGGGTGGGGGTGTTTTTACCGACTACAATGCCAATGCATCATTGCAGACAGAAATACTGTGAGAGCGGTTCACATATATAAATTCTAGTACTGCACCCAGACAAGCTGCCACAAGCAATTTAGGGTTTGCATGTCGGAGGCCCTGGAATCCAAGTACATGAGCTGCAAGTTCCTGGAGGACAGAATGCCACAATCCCCGCTTTACTTACTCAGAGGTCACAAAAGCATGTTCCTTGATGGTGGCTAGGACATCAGAAAACTTTATTTTGGTAGTTAACGTGTGCCCGTGATAAATCACTGGCATTCCATCAGGGCCATCCCAGCAGTCAACTAAAAAGGGGAATAATTAAGAAAAGGCATCTAACTCAAGAAATACAAGCAAAGAGTGTTATCATTACAAGGCAGCAAGGCATAGCTATGCAGGAAATCTCTAGTGAGCAAGGAATCTAGAGGCATGCATCATGAGCACTCTGGCAGCCAGCAACCTGGCAGAACACACATTCTAGTGAACAATATCATTTCCTTTTCCTTCTTGATGTCAACATATGTGGAAGTGATGTGTGGAAGGGAAGGCAGGTCAAAGCAGTTTTGTGAATATACGTAGCATACAGCGCACTGGTGATGCTATTGGCACCAGAGAACAAGCTACAGGAAACTCTTGTAATTAAGTGTCCTGGCTTCCTTGAAAAGTTCCTGATGCAGAGAACTTTGGGCTGGGCCTGTGTAGCGACATGTGAAACACAGGAAGCTGCCTTATAGCAGACAGGGCCATCTTTACCCAGGGGTTACCCAGGGGTGCAAGGGGTGTGGGGCACCTGGGCACTGAATTCTGGGGGGCGCCAGGTGCCCAACGCTAAGGCCGCCTAAGCTCTTAACTAGCTACCTGTTATGAAATAAAAAATAATTTTGATCAAGCTAGAAAAACAAAATACATATATACCTAGGTATTACCAAAATGTATACCTACTGTTTCACTAAAGGACTTTCGACTTTGTGCGCTCATTTACCAAAGATGCGCCGCACCAGCATCATTCACAATGGCACATTTTAATTTCATCACTTACAGTTCAAATTCGTTGAGAGAAATCATTAAAAAAATAATGTTTATTTTTGCTAATTGTCGGCATTTGTCTGACATAAGCATAATAAAAGTTAATTTGGGGGCTAAACTAAATTTGGGGGTGCTGGGCAGATCTTTGCACCTCAGTGGCGCATATGCTAAAGATGACTCTGATAGCAGGTCAGACTATTTGTTCATCTAGCCCGGGGCTGGCTACTCTGACAGGCAGAAGCACTCCAGGACTCTAAGCAGGGGTCTTTCACATCACCTGCTGCCAGTTCTCCTCAACGGGAGACAGAAGCTGCAAACCTCAGTGTGCAAAAGCATGTGTTCTACCACTGAGCTGAAGCCCTGCTCCAAGGCGAAATCACTTCTAGTTGGCTGAAGAAAACAGCCTTGGAGGCATCAATGGGGAAGAGGCCAGCACTCACGCTCAATACAGCGGCATCCCATGCGCAGGCATCGAGCATAAGCTTCCAGCGAAGACTCACTTGAGAACTGGTCTCCTGTCAGGTACCTATCCATGAGAAGAAGGCAGGAAAACTGCTTACATGACCAACAGTGAAGGTCCTATGAACACAGCGATGTTAAAAACAACACCACATACACATCAGTGACTCAAATGCAACAGAGAATTTAAGAGGAGGGTTTGGTGGGGGGGTTGTACACTGTACAACTCAGTTTGCATCAGGATAGGCGTTAGGTTCATGGTGTCCCAGGCAAGAAGGGTTGGTTGATGTGCTGACATTTTCCTTCTCCCAGCAATGCACAAAATGAAATTAGTGAAGAGGGCTGAGTATAACTCCACCTCACCTGCTTCAGTGCCACAGCACCAAGGCAAAGAATTCCTAAAATTCTTTTAGCAAAAAGAATTCAACGGACTTTGCAAAATGCTGGTGAAGCTACAGAGGTCTATGCAAAGGATCCAAACTAGAGGATTTCAGAGCCAGCTTCACACTTCGTTCCTCCTCCCTCCAGTTTTCCGCAAACAAGCAATGCAAGTGCCAATAGCTCAGGCATCTCCAACACAGGTTCAGGAAGCTCTGAGATGACAAAGATTACAAAATGCATGTAACGTAGCTGTGGGAAGTAGCTGCTGTTGAGGGGCAGGGGAGGAATCGGTACAGAAGTCATAGTGCTGGAGGGTGTGGCCCCAACCCAGATCACACACATGAAGCTGCCATTAGCTGCACAAGGTATAACCTACTCTAACCTGAGCAACTACTGGAAATTTCCAGTTGCAGAGGCAACCTGGACTGGGATTACAGGATAAGGGTATTAGGCACCTCACTCATCCCCAGTGCCACAGTATTTGTCCAAAAATGTCCCACTTTAATGACTTCTTTTAGCAAAAATATGGAAATCACTTAAGTAGATGGATTCATTTCAGGTTTTGTGTCATCCTGAGATCCCTTAACTGCTGTTGGCTAACATACTGACCTGCTGGTACAAATGGGAGACAGGTATGAAAGCAGGGGGAGAACCAGGCCAAACTCATCATGCAAATCAGGTTCTCAAAAGTAGAACAAAACAGGGAACATCCTTTATCTTCTTACGTGTTATGCGAGGAAGAAATCCAGTAGTGGGAGAGGGGATTGTTCATGTCCTCAGGACGTACAACGTCAAGCTCCGAGTTCCATATACTGTTCTCTTTGGAAAACAGGAAGGTAAGGAACTGCCCAGAGAGGAAAAAACAAGGGAGGGGAAAACCCACATAAAACACTAAAACAAGGGCAGTTTTTAAATAAGCTTTTAAAATTGTGTTTATTCCTTTACAGCATTTATATGCCACCACTTCATCCCATAGGATCCAAAGGGCAGCAGCACAAAACAAGAATTAAAACCATAACAAAACTACAGTGGCACCTCGGTTTTTGAACGTAATCCATTCTGGAAGACTGTTTGACTTCTGAAACGTTCAAAAACTGAAACTCAATAGCTGACAGCTAGGCTTCAAAGTCTTGCACTCAGCGGAAGCCGCGTTTCCTGTTCGACTTTTGAGGCACATTTGAAAACTGAGGTATTATTATTATCATTATTATTATCATTAAATGAATTTATATACTACCCTATACCCGAAGGTCTCAGGGCAGTTCACATAAAAAGATCACAATATATATAATAAAAATAAAAACAATAACCCAATAATACCACCCCAAAAGAGCCACATTTTAAAAGGGTATGGGATGTTGATCAGGTCAATCAAAGGCCTAGTTAAAAATGAACATTTTTGCCTGGCGCCTAAAGTTATATAATGAAGGCACCAGGTGAACTTCCCTGGGGAGAGCATTCCACAGACGGGGAGCCACTGCAGAGGAGACCCGTTCTCGTGTTGCCACCCTCCGCTCGTGTTGCCACCCTCCGGACCTCTCGGGAAATTGATCATATAAGGCAGGGATAGGGAAGCTCTTAACTGGAGACCAGATATGGCCCAAAAGGTTTTTGAACTTGGCCCACAGCATTCCCCCACTTGGCCTTGCTCCTTGCAGAGAAATTTGGGTTGTCAAAATGGGGTGGGACATCAGTGGGAGTTATCCCTCTTAAGCCTAAATGTGGGACCGAGGGTGGTGGGTAAGGAGGTTTGGCAGGAGAGAAGGATGCATATCAGAAGATAGATAAGGAGAAAACAAGAGATAGAATGAAGAGGGGGGCAAAAAAGTGTTGCACTATGCTGCATTGTAGTGTTAACTCACTACAGTGAGCAGCAGTCAGGATAGCTACCTCCTAGCCTGCTTCTTCCTGAAGACTATTACCTGTCCACATGTGCAGTAACACAGGGAGACATGGCAGCCAGGACTGAGGTACCAGTGACCCCTCCCCCCCCCCCCCCGAGCAGCAGAGAAATGGCAAGGGCAAGAGGAGGGAGGGAGGCCAAGTGTTCATTGGTTCCAACGTGGCCGGCAGGCAGCCTATCAGAGAACAGGGAATTGTAAAGCATCCTAGGGGAACTGTAAAAGGAGCTTGTGCAATGTACCTTCTCACTTCACTTTTCCCCCAGCCCCACTGCAGCCACCCACATCAGTAGATTCTTGGGAGTCTTACCTCATCCAGGGAAAAATAAGGCTCTTCGATTTCCCTCAATGGGTCCTTCAGAAAGTTGAACATGAAGTCCTGGACAAAGAGGAGGTTAGTAGCCCAAAGTTCCTGTAAACACAAGGAAGGAGGAAGACAAGGAAACTTTCAGAAGCCAGATTCTTCCAGCTTATCCAAGCATTCAGTTCAATCCTAAGGTGCTCAACGTTTGTCACATCTATTGCTTCAGAAATCCTTAAAATAGCTCTGTAAGGTGGGTCAGTATTATCACCCCTGAATTGCAGATGAAGAGCGAAGGATGGGTGATTGTGTTAGGCTTGAATTGGAATTGCCTAGGCTCAAATCCCTGCACAAACATGAAGCCTGGAGAAGGAGCTATTTCTCAGCTTAGCCTACATCTAGCAAGGTAGCTGGGATGTGGGTGGCGCTGTGGGTTAAACCACAGAGCCCAGGACTTGCCGATCAGAAGGTCGGTGGTTCGAATCCCCGCGACGGGGTGAGCTCCCGTTGCTCGGTCCCTGCTCCTGCCAACCTAGCAGTTCGAAAGCACGTCAAAGTGCAAGTAGATAAATAGGTACCGCTCCGGTGGGAAGGTAAACAGTGTTTCCGTGCGCTGCTCTGGTTCACCAGAAGTGGCTTAGTCATGCTGGCCACATGACCCGGAAGCTGTACGCCGGATCCCTCGGCCAATAAAGCGGGATGAGCCCGCAACCCCAGAGCCGGTCACCACTGGACCTAATGGTCATGGTCCTTTTAGCAAGGTAGCTACAAAGAGAAAATGGCAAACCACAGAGGAAGCTGCCCTGATCTTCTTGGGGAATATGTGGAATGGAGGGTTTGTGGCCAAGCCAGAATTTCAACCAGGAACCTCACAGCTCAGAGCTCTTAACCATTATGCAGCACAAGATTTCAAAGCATCACTGAAACATGCCAACATCCAAGCGAGTGTGGCTTTCTGGACGACCACAACTTTAAGCACGTCAGTTTTACTAGATGAAAATGATCTCTATGCAAGGAAAAACAAAATTATAAAGAAAGAGAAATGACAAGAGAAAATGCAAATCAAACCCAAACAATATAGCAGAGGTTGATTGCTAGAGAACAGTGCCCTTTCCATATCATCATTACGGCCATTTGGTTCTCCTTGTGTGCATCCCAAAAACAATCTGTGCACACCACCGGGTACAAAGTGGGGCAGGAAAGTCTAGTTCACCCTGAGCGTAAGAGTTTGAGGCCCCGGCACACATCAGCTGCCCACTAAGTGTACTTGCAGGAAAATAAACCTCTCTGGGAATCAGTGATGCACAGAAATTAGCTTCACGTGGACAACAAACCACGTATTCAAGAGGCCCTAAATGACTTTTCACAAGTCAGGTAGACCAATGTAAACCCCTGAAATGGGGTGTTTGGGGCCAAGGAGAGAGTAGAGCTGGGCCAGGCAGTGACCCACTGGATCCTAAGTGATAGACCTGAATAGCTGTTCTCTACTGTGCCAGCATGACACAGTGTAATTACTGCTCCACACCCAGGCTGGTGAGCAACAGGGCTTCAGACATAACAGTGGTTCTGCCACTGTTCCCAAACCCAGAGCTTGGATTATGCCCTGCGCCAGATAATATCCCCAACTCCCATCAGAGTAATGAAGGAAAGAGGAAGGAGAGACATGGTTTATTTTGCTCTTTGACTTTATGGCTCCCTCTCCTTCATTATGTGCTCAGAAAACAGGCTGTTTTCTTTTTGTTTACTTCTCCAGTGGCATATCGTCCTCATTCTACAATATCAGCAGGATGAAACAGAAATTGTGCTAGTTAGTGAATATCTTAATGCACTCCTGGGACCACTGCAAGCTGGCAGCCGCATGCAACATGAAACAGCTCAGACAAGCACAGAGTGTTTTTCCAGTTTACCTGGTCTATTTAAATTTGAACTAGTGTTTTTTCCCCTAATATAGATTTTATTCTTTTCCGTTTTCTTTGAACCGTTTAACATGGTTGCATTGAGATATATATATATATATATATTTGTTTACGTTAGAGCAAATGGCACGCAATAATTACATAAAATTAAAACAACCATAAACACTCAAAAAGACATTTCTGAATATATTTTGTATCAGTAACAATTAGAATTTGTAGGGGGGGGAGGGGGAGAGGGGAAATGAAATATTTACTTCACACATGCCTTACTGTGTGGGTACTGTTCTACCATATGCCTCATTATTTGTGCAATCAATAAAGTCACACCAGGCAGAATAAAAATTGTTGTGCTTCTTTGGGCCTCTTGCTACTTTTGATTTTTGTGTCAGTTTTTCCAATAACGTCAAACTGCCAAATTGCATTGCACCATCGTGAACCAGTGTTATTGCAATAAATAATAATGGCAATAGCCATGTTGCATTTCCACACCCAACCACCCATTCTCCCAGTCTCTTCCGAGAGCTCAGAGTGGCCTGCACATGATTCTCAGGCAGCCTCTCTGCCACCCTAGCAGCCCTCATTCGCATCCAAAGTGTTCTGAATCATGTGACGTCAGACTGTTCTCCAGCCATACAGTTATCTGAAATATTTGCATCGCACTTCCCTTCTGTTTGAAGTGGCTTACGACAAAGAGAAAAGTCTATAAAACAATTAGAAATGCGTGAATTGGAATACAAAAGAGGGTGGTATGAGGAGGTCCGGGAAACAAGTAAATGTAAAAGAAGTGATGAAAAGATGGAATTGTTTTTAACTGGGGGGTTTTTTTTGGTACTTTGTATTTTGTATCTTTCCTTTTTATTGTTAATTTTTTTATTGATGTGATCTTTTTCTTTTGAAATGTTAATAAATATCATTAAAATATATATATATAAAACAATTAGAAATGCAGACCACTAAAATTCATCTAGATTTAAAACATAAAAATGAGACATAGCAACACAGAGGGTTTTTTTTTAAAAAAAAACCCACCAACTCAGCAGATTCATGCTGCATTCCTACTAACCAGCTGTCAGGATTAGGACTATGAGAGGGGAAGAGAAATTGGATGTCATGGAAAATCCACTATAGTTCTAAGGCAGCCTAAAGCATCTAGTCTCATTGGCGCCTGGTCTCATCTGGTCTGCCCAGCTCCCCAACCACATCCTGAATCCTGCCTTAATCCCTCATCCCCCTTTCCTCAGGACCACAATAATGAAGGTTAGCAGCATGGTAGAAGTGCAACAGGAGGGTTCATTCAGTTTGTAACTTAAGAGTTATTTCTGTTAGTGTTAAAGCCTACTAGCCAAGAGGGGGACAGGAGGCCTGCTTAGCAACCAGGCATAGTGGCAGGATCAACACTGAGGCAACATATGCTCTGATTGGCTGTGTGCTCCTGAGGGACCTTTTTCTCTGCATGTTGGGTTCAGTGTTTCCCTGCTATGGACAAGGCCTGGTGTAATGCCTCTCTGTTACTTTCCCCTCAAATTATATACACTGTTTTGGTTCACTTTTGCCCAGTAAAGTGTTATCAGGATTTATTTTCTCTCTGGACTCCATATGCGTTATTAAGGTGACTTCTAACACAGTAGATCTGATGAGAAGCCAGGTCTCTGAGTAAGAGAACTTGTTTGGTTATTAGTTAATAGTAGTTACATGGGATTTAGATATTGTTTTCTTATGTGTCAGTGCAACCTGTGAAATAAGGCACTGCTGTTCCAAATTTTCTAATTGTTACTGTGGCTGAAAGATCCCAATTATTTCTCAGCACCAGTGCAAGGAACCCAACTTTATTTAAAGAACTCAGAATTTTCAATTGCCTATGAGTGGTCACACTGTGTTGAGTGGTATCCAAAAAAAAAAGCCATTGATTATCACATTGTGCTGCTTTCTTTCTCCATTTCCCTTTCTATTGCACGAACTCACCTTTTGGTATTCTAGCAAAAACATCTGGAACTCCTTCAGTGATACCCTGCAGTGCTCAGATCTCTCTGCACTGCTGGAGGAGGAAGCACAGACAAGACACATTGGTTAGAAAGCATCACCCTACAGAACAAGCAGCTGCTGCACTGAGAAATCGGCTAAACAAGGAAGACAGTGTCAGAGCTGAGATGGATTACTGAAAGCAACTAGGGAGCCTCAACCATCCTCATACATGACAGCCGTGCTCCTTGTCTCTGCTCCTCCCTCTCCCACAGGGCAATAAGGAGTCAAAGAAATCAAAGGAAGAAATAGCAGTGCTAGAGGATCTCTACATAGACATAGATCATTTCCAGATAACCCACTTTACCACTGGGCAAGGACACTGGCAGGCATAAATCCAAATAATCAAAAGATAGTAACAGATCTAAAATGAAAAGTTGGCTGGGTTTTGCATCAGCTAGTTCAATCTATTTGCAAAATTCCAAGTTTTGTGGCCACGGCAACGGGCATAAAAATCACTCCAACTTGTTTGAATTTTGCAGTTTGCTGCAAAATAGATTTATTGCCATGCCAATGGTGAACTAAGAATGGGAAGAGAGAAACCTAGCCTCAGAGTCTGTTTTGAACACCCCTGATTTAGAAATTCCACCACCAAACAGCTCAGCCCAGCATTTTTATAACAAGGCCCTTCATTGAAGACATATTGAGAATAGGGTCCTATTGAGGAAACGAGCAGTCTGCAGTCAAATGTCAACATACATTCATAAACAAGTCTAATTTCCAACCCACTCAACCCTCCCACTGTATATAGGAAAGAGAGCAGTTTACCTTTCCAAGAATGGAATAGCCATCTGCATAAGGGGAAAAAAATGCATACATCAGCTGATTCTGCTTGGTATATCCAGTGTCACACTTTACACTTCAGTAAAGATATGCAATGGCTTAATCACAATCCCCTATTATTTTAGGCTGTGCCTGCCATCATTATTTCAGTATACTCACACATGAAATGAATGAAATAAAAGATGTGGGCTGGGGGGACAACTCAATGACGACACTCATTCTCATCATTGTTTTACTATTATTGTTCTGTTGTTTTATTTGCAAGCCGCCCTAAAAATATTCTTACTGAAGAGTGTCATGTAGTTCTTACATAAAATAAGTTAGAGAGATGCTTGGGGTTTGGAGATGGACAAATGGTGAGAGCTCACATAACACTTTTTTTCTGTAAAAACAAAGATAAAATGGCAAGTAAACTTGAGACCTCTTCCTTTTCAGAACTCTACTGTTTGTCTTTGAGTCCCTTTCTCTCACAATAGCAGGTCAGCAGCACACATAGCAACAGCAAGTCCTGGTCTGTGTAGAGAACTGATGTGAGAGAGCTGGTGATCTTCACTTTTCTGATCAGGGTTACCTGTACACGGCACTAGAAACTAAACTGCAAAGGGTACTTCCCATTTTCCACCTTCCATTTGTAGACACAGTTTTTTTTCTAGTTAGGGTCATAAGTGCAGGTAAGGGAAATAGTTTGCTATTTGAAATGTGTTCAATTCACATGCTAGATAAAACAAAAGGGAAAGTAACAGGAAGTGAAACAGCACCAAAACAAAAGAGGAGGCATAGACTTTACAAAGTATCAAATATTACGATTAGAAGTATCTCACCCCTTTTTGTGCATTGAACATCAGGCTCTGGTACAACTGGGCAAACTGTCCATATGTGATATCACCATTTCTCTGCTCCACATCCTAAAATGAGAGATTGGGGAGGAGAAAATCCTCTTAATAAATAACACTCATCCTCAGTCATGTATGACACCTCAGTTTTCCTGTTTGTGGAAAACGGAGTGCTGAGATGACTGCGGTATTTTAACACTACAATCCTTGCGATCCACCGATGTGTTTTTAAATATACAAAGTGGGAGTGCATGCCCAGAGTCTCTGAATAGTTTGCTGAACGGTAGAGCATATGCTCTAGCATACGCTCATTCAGAAGCCTCTAGGTTCAAACACTGGCATCTCCAGTTAAAAGGATCAGGTGAACAGAAGAAACATTTCTCTCTCTGAGACCCCACAGAGCTGGTGCTAGCCGGAGTAGACAATGCTGCGCTATGGCCCTTCCCCAATTGATGCTATGGTGCAGCTGATGGCAATGACTGCAAAGAGAATGCATGTTTAAAGGGGCAAAGAATATCGAGCACTTACTGTTAGCCTCTCGCGCAGAAACTTCATGTTAGGGACACGGTAGTTCACTTGTGACAGCATGTTTTTCAGATCCTTTGCAGAAATCCTAGGTGGTAAGGAATAAAATAAATAAATTTTTGGGCATGTTCATGTGGAGCATTTATACCCCTAAGTCCCAGAGACTACCTAAAATACATTTAAAATACAATTTAAAAGCCAAGAGCCGATAAGGAGGGGCAAAAGTACATATAGGTCCCTCCACCGCAGTTCCTGAGATGTTTTAACTGCCACCCTGATGGGTCACAGCTGGCCTCACAGGAAATGACCCTGGCCCAGAAATGGCTGCCAAAGCAGCCAGATGTTCGTTCCTCAGAGGGCAGGGCTTCCTCACTCAAAGTGCTGCTGATGCCTCTCTCAACTTCCGTCTCCGGTGTCTGGCCCCAGAGTCACTGGGGGAGCTAATGTGTTTATAACCCCAGTCCTCAGATGCTGCAACTGCCACAGACAACCTGGTTGCTGTCAGGTTCCTAAAATCTGAGCTCTCGCTTTAAATCCAGAATAAGAGGCAAATACAATAAAACCGAAGGCAACTCAATGAAAGGAGGGTGATAGGTCAAAACCACCTACAGTCCCTGCAGAAGTGGTGGTTACCTCTAAATATCTCCAAAATTACACACCTCAGAAAGCCTATTAAAGCTGCCACTTCTGCAGGATACTACTTGGGAAGGAACAAGGCCGTAATTCCTGTGGGCCTTTCCCAAACGGCAGATTGAAATGATTTCAAAAGAGCTTTAAAAAAACAAAACACAGCTTGAGAAAAACAGGTCTGTTTGCTTTCCCAGCCATCACTTGGACAGTTTTCAGAAATTGTTTGGGAAATGGTTTCTCTTCAAGCCGCATCAGGAAGAAGAGGAGAAAATAAAGGAAAAGGAGGCAGAGCACCGAGATGTAAGATGTGAGGATTTTTTTTTTAAAAGAGGAATGGGGAAAGTCATTTTTGAAAAAATCTATTTGTTTGCTGTTGGAAAAAAGTCCTCGTGGGTCTCATGGGTCTGCTTAAGAAAATGGGTTTCCAAACTGCGTTTCAGGTTCACTGGAAGCCTAGCCGGGGTTCCCAGATGAGAAAATAAGGCAGCCTATCCTCAAGGACTGCTCTGCCACGTGGGGCCACAGGGGAACACATTCTAGGTTGCGCCAACTATTCATTCAGGGCGGCAGGGAGCCCATGCCCTGCATGCACTTGTGTGTGGGGTTTTGTGGCAGATGTGCAGTGGTTCTGCCACCAATAATGTTAACAGAGTTCTGAAAAAAGTCAAACGTTTGAAAAATGTTGTCTTAAGGCATTGGGTTGTATTCAAAGCAGCACAAAGCAGAAATGTTCAAGCAGTGCATGGATTTCTCCTTGCATAACAGAACATTTCACCCACTTCCTCAGCAGCCTCCCTAAATCTTCTGTTTAAGGTTTTCCCTCTGGAGCGGATTTGGGGGTGATGGAGGGGAAATCCCCTCACACAAGCGTAATTCTTGAGCAATTATTTCACTGAATGCCATCCATAATCATACTGAAGTTCACCCCTCCTAACGCTTTTCAAGCCTTATTCTAGTTTACATACACAAGGACATTAGAAGAGCTTGTTGAATGAAGAGAAAAGCCCATCTAGTTCATTGAAGCAGGTGTTTAAATGAAATAAAAAAACAGCAAAACTGCTTTTAAACTGACTGGGGGCAAGGGGGGGGAGTGGACAGCAGCTGAGGAAGATTTGGTGTGGCATACAACTTTCCTCCACAGATGAAGATGAAAAATGTTGTGATCTTTTAAATTTCAGAGGGGTAAAGCTAGATCTTTTTGTCCTAACAAGCCAGATCTTTATTTTACCCTCCTGCACATATCAATGTCAAGTGACTGACAGGTGTGGCATATACCACCGCAGCAGCATCAAATTCTCTGCACATCAGCTGATTCAAATTCTGCTTTCTGCAAGCTTTGGACATGCAAGCCAGTTCCCTACAGGAACTCAATGGTACATGTGGACTCCTGGCACACCAGCTAATATGTGGGAAATTCAATCTGCCTTCTGCACCTGTGCCTCTGCCTACCCAACACTTATCATGACACCTGACATCCGGTGCACGGCAGGTGCATGTGGGTTTGAGGGAAATGGCCTGGGGAGCCTAGTTAGGTCCACGGCCCAGAGGTTATGACTTCAGGGACTACCTTCTTCCCAGCAATCTACATTTTGCTTCCAGGAGCTCATGACTACATTTCTCCATGTCATTGGTGCCAATATGCACCATGAGCACCAATTCTGCCCCAGAACTATATACTGGGCTATACAATGGGCAACATTCACAACTTTTGCCCAAAGCAAGCAATTCACCCTGGTGGTCTGCACCCCCAGTTAGCTATATTCCCAATTATAGACTCACCCACTCCCATAAGCAGGCATATGATGATTAAAGTGAAATTAGTTGCCACAGATTCAGAATAGGTTATGAACTCTGGATGACACACCATCCTTTTACTGAAGGCCTCTCCACGTATTATGTTAAAGCTATTTAAAAGCCTCCCATTTTCGATAAACTATATTGCCCATGGGTCATTGCTTGGCAATGCCAGGATCATTTGGATGCGACTGGGTATCTAAACCTGTGCCAATGTGCTATCCAGTAAGGTTTCAAAACAGGAACAGTGATTAGTCAACCATTTTTGTCTGCTAGTTACAGATCATTCAGCAACATTTCATTATAAACTGCTGATGACTCTAGCGCAAGACCCGGTAGAGTAATACTGCTATTACCTCGAGAGAGACTCTGCTCCTACCTGGCAAGGAGATTCCAAAGTGTGGTGCATTTCTTCATTGAGTGCCCTCCATGCATACTGGGCTGTTAACTTAAATGAATTTCAATAACATGGGATAATTGACTGGTCCAATTACCAAACTAGGAAAGTAGAAAGCTGCCTTATAATAAGTCCATGGGTCCATCTAGGTCAGTAATGTCTACATTGACCACCGCTAGCTCTCCAGGTTTTCAGACAAGGGTCTCTCTTAACCCTACTTGGAGATGTGCAAGATTGAAGCTGGGACCTCCTGCTTTTTGAGTTACAGCTTTTTTCCAACAGAGTAAGTTATCTGTCATTAAGAGTTTGGCCTTCTCTGATTGTACAAGTTCAGTTTAGGGGCGCTACTGCCAGCGGCTCTGTGTAATCAACATATTTTACCTTTTCTGCAGTGTGTAATCAAATCAAAGGGGCCTTCTCAACATTCTGATCTTGACCATTTGCTAATTAGCTGAGGTTTACGTTTGTCCAGGGATTCTCTCTGTTCCACAGAGCAAATTGATGTTGAGAGGAGAAACCTAACGATTCAGTACAGTTTGTCAGCCAAATGATGACTGATGAAATCCAAGCAAATCAGTTTCAGATGAGGATTTGCTGGCAAAGAAATCATGTGCTCCTGGCAACCCAGACACTATGGTCCCCTCTCCCCAGGAAGAGAGACTACAGAACTCCCTTCACAGCAGCACAGGAAAGCACTGGACTTAATCCAGTTAAAAAATCCTTCCCAGCTGAACTCCTGAGAGATGCATGTTGCAGACAGACAACCTTGCAGTTTGAGGATTAGCTCCAGTCATTAGGTCAGGAAATGGAACCCAGTAACTACCCATTTATTACTTCCAGATCTCAGTGGGTGAGAAAACAGTGTCTGCATTCCAAAAGGAGGAAGGGGAACTGAGAAACTGAACAAAGGACCAATGGCCACTAATCAGTTTTCCACACTGTAATCATGAGTTCATCTCCCCAACTCACCCCTCTCTCACAAACATACACTCACACACACATCAGTATACAGTGATTTCTGGAACTATAACAGCTGCAAATTCAATGACTTTGTGCAACTCTCGTATTCAGATTATAGTAAAAAACACTCCATGTTGCTGCGCATGTGCAGTGGCAAAGGTTGTATGAACATTCCAGCTCAGAACCCATCCAGGCTGTTTTACTGAAGGCATATTCTGTAGAAGTGAGGGGCAGATGGGGCTTGTAAACCTTAGCTGCCTTGTGGAGTATCTACACAAATCTTGACTGGAGTCCCTAAGATGGCACCTGGCACACCTCCTTCCAGCAACTCCTGCACCCAAGCTGGTGCCAAACATATTGCTTTGCTTTTATTTGGCTCAACTGTGAGGCCGAGAGAGGAATCTTGTTATCTGGGCATCCCAGGACCTCCATACACACTGCCTAGGCTTGCGCCCTGAGAAGATCACTTCAGGGCTGCTAACATAACAGTTTGACTTCACCCCCAGAGGCACACTCCATTGTCGCTCAAGAAAAATGGACGCCGGCAATAATTCTGCAGCATATTCTTGACTCAATTATAGTGCATTAGTGGTAGATTTATTCTGCTTTAGTTTGTTCTGCAGTGTTTCCCCAATGCTACCACATTACTGCTTTGAAGAGTGGCTACGAAAGTGGGACGAAGATAAAGCAGAACATTTGTAGTATACAAAGTTATGGGATTTCAGTGAGAGATTGGATTGGAAGTGGTGTGGTGTGGCCATTCCAAAACTTCTGCAGGTGCAAATAGTATTGAAAGTGGCATCATGTGTGACTGCTCCAATAGTATCATGAGCACAAATCATAATGAATGTGCAATGAAAGGGGTATCTAGAGGGGCCCTGAGAGCTTGTCAGACAAGCAATCCCACCTACTATTTCCTCACAGAATAAAACTTAAAAACATAAACACCCCCAAACTTCACAAAACACGTTAGTTTCACTTGCCACCACTGAAATTTTCAAGGCAACTAGGGATATTTCTCTCTCTTACAAAACCCAAAATATCTGCTTATCAGCAGAGTGTGCACACCAAAGCAGGCGATGTGGGTAGGCTTAACCCAGCTAATTCCAGGAACTGTATTACTGAATGGCTTTATTCTGAAAGGAATCAAAAACACATGGCGCAAACAAGAAAAGGTAATTTACAATCTGTCTAAGAAGCAGGCTTTCCTCTGCCCGCCCCCCACGACGGTAAAAAGGGCATGTCTCTTACTTGCATAATTGCAGGAGTCTAGAAATTAAATGTACAGATTCCAAAACCATATCAAAGCCACTGAACACCCACCACTAGTCTCCATTATACTCTATAGCACATGTTCTCTGAGAACAAAGAGCAAGCAAGAAAGAAGTTCAATCAAGGCCAGGAAGTTCAAAGCAAGATGGAACTGGGGGAAAATCCTTGAATTTCCGGAGTCCCACCTTTTAATAGAGAAAGCCTTGCTATTTGGAAGGTGTTCATCCACTTTTGGAATATGAACAAACGGATAGTTTACACAGACCCACTTAAGTGCCTTAAAGAGAGGTGTATATCAGGATATAAACCAGGGAGCTTCACTAGACAGAGAGTACCAGATGATACCACCAAGGAGCATCTATGTCAGACATAGGCAAACTCCGGCCCTCCAGATGTGACTACAATTCCCATCACCCCTAGCTAACAGGACCAGTGGTCAGTGATGATGGGATTTGTAGTCCCAAACATCTGGAGGGCCAGAGTTTGCCTATGCCTGATCTCTGCCAAACCTGGCAATTTGAGCCTCTCAAAAAGGCTTAGTACCTAATGCAGAGCCTTCTTTGGTGATCTTTGCTAGAAGGAAGAACTTATGCGATAAAAAGCATTTCCTGAAGTATGCGAGGTCTAATTCCAGCTGCTGGCCTGGTGTGCATGCAACCCATGCTGCTTTGGCCCCAACACATGGGTTTACTGTGTGGATCGGGTGCGTATGGGAGGAAACTATACCGACAGCTCAGTTGTCAAGGAAGACTACTACCTCGAGCACACCAGATTTCCCCAGCTGTCCTCAGCCTAAAGAACAGCTTGCAAACTCTGATTGTTCTTTATTTATAAAAATATATTTGCAGCACACCTAACTGCAAATGTGTTGGATCCAGCGTTTACTCAAAGAATCGAAGTACACATGCAGGTTTCAAATAGCAGGCCGACAAGCAAGCAAAAACATGTGAGCAATCCACTGCCAGGTATGTGTGAGCGGTGCCTTCTATGCAACCAGCTTAGCATCAACATAGAAGACATTTCAGCGCTTGCGAAAACCTCATTTATTTTCCCAAGCTTTTTGCTGGCTATTACTACCTGTTGGTTGTATTTATTTATTTTATGTCTACTTTGGTCTACTGGCTGCTTTTCCATTGTAATTTTAATGTATCTTTTTTATTGGACGCTGCCAAGCAGCGGCATAGCTGGGCGCCTGGGGTAAGTGGCACACAGTGCACCTCACCGCCGCCCCAGTCCTTCCTAGCTGCACCTCTGCTGCCAATAACAGCAGCATTAGCAGAATGGATTGCACTAAAGCAAAAAGCAGAGTTTCAGTTCTCTCCTGAGGGGCACCCTCAATTATTACTGCCCTGGGGCCCCCCAACCAACTTCAATCTCATATCGCTTGCCAGCATGGCAAATTTTATTTGTTGTTCAGGTTGTAAAGATTCCCTTGATGAAGAGATGGTCAAACAAACACACACACACACACACACACACACACACACACACACACACAGAGCGAGAGAGCGCCAGTCAAATACACACAAAGAAGATAACTGCCATTCAGATTTTGAGAGACCTTGCTCTGACCATCTAGGTCTCTTGTACAAAAGAGCAGCTTATTTATTCCTCTGGCAACAATGGTTCTTGCTCAAAACACACCAGCCAGTTGCGTCTTTGTTTCTTCGCCCTCTCAGACAAGGGACTGTGGAAACAGGGAAACTCAGAAGACACATACAAACAAGAAGGCATGACAAAGGTTCATTTAGAACACCAGGCTGGCTTATTATATCCACTGAGAGCACTTAGCATTTTTCTGCTTTGCAGGCTGAACCATCCCCTCAAGTCCGCGGAGCAGAGTATTCAGAAAGCAGGTGGCAATAATCTCCTGAAGACACGACACAAACTCATCAATATGCAAATCATGCAAAAATGTACCCCGCCCTCCCTGACAGATGTTGCTCATTATTGGCCTCCACGCTGCGTTGGTGCTGTGGGCTGCCTCTGTCCCAGCTCCTGGTTAAATAACGATCAAGCCAAGGCCTTCTGCCAGAACAGGAAATAGGAAGACTGACTGCACAAGGGAGAAAGGACACAAGCAAGCAGCACAGGCGCCAGGCAGCCTTTGGCACTGGAGACACAAGGGAAATGCAACTTGTATTTATTTGCTAGGGAAAGAGATGCAAAGGGTTTCAAGTTGTGGTATCAAGCAAGTACAGTGGTACCTCCGGTTGCGAACGGGATTCGTTCTGGAGGTCCGGCCGCATGCTGAGGAATTCACAGCTGGAGGACTGCTTCTGTGCATGCGTGCGGCACAGTTTAGTGCTTCTGCGCATGGGGCAAAACCTGGAAAAATACTTCCAGGTTTGCCACATTCGCATCCCAAAGTTTACATATCCAAAGGGATACATAAGCAGAGGTGCAGCTGTACTACATTTGGCAGGTTTAATAAACAAACGGGCTCTTGTGCTTTTAGTGGTTGGGCAGAGTAACTTTTGTGAGGTTTCTCCCAGCACATTAGTGCAGTAGTGGGAGAGGATGAACTCTCTAGCATTCCTCCTTCATGGCAGTGGCTTCCAAACCTATCTCAGGGAAGACTCTCCACATTGATTTACTTGCCATCTGTACTGCAAAGGATTCTGGAGGGCAAACTAGGGTGTAGACAGTGCTGGACTTAACTGTTCCCCTGTGCAGTCTAAGAGTGCACCTAAAATACATCCAACTGTCCCCATTGTGGCTGCAGAACAAGATCAATACTGATGGGAAATGGTTACATTTCAGGAATGGAAGGTCTGAAAGCTGTAATGTAAGCGTGAGCAGAGATATTACCAGCAACGTGTAACCCTTTTCCTGTTTGCAAAGGAGAAACGTCATGTCCTAACACAGTGAATTAATTGTGCATTATTCCCTTGGCCGAAAGAAACCCGACTCCCTTAAGAGATCTTTAAATATTAAACCATTCAGAAATGTTTTTAAATAAACAAACATAGGTGCTCAATCTCTGTCTCGCAGGAATACTTTTTTAAAAAATGAAACGGGCAAAACAGATGATCCGGCAGACTACCCAATCCATCAGATGCTCAGTCACCATGGCAACAATGGCATTATTCCTGGTTGCACATGCCCTTGTAAGGTGGAACCTTCGGAAAGTTTTCTTGCAGCATTTATTTTGCAGGCAGGTGGTTTTTGCTGCCGACACCATGTCTAGTTCAAAAGATCAGGTATCAAGGTGATGGGAAAGACCTTCACCTGAGACAATGGAAAGCCAGCGCCAGTCCAAAGAGACAATAATGGGTTAGATGAACTAACCGTCTGACCTAGTGCAAAGTAGCTTCCCGTGTTCCTATTGGCCGGGCCTGGGCTCCAACTCCCATTTTTGCACTCAGTGGTAATGGTTAAAACATTTCATTTCTCTAGGGGAAAAGTTCTTTTTAAAAAATCAATACTGAAAGGTTAATATACTACTCTCTTAACATCATTAAAGGAAATCTGTGTTGAGTGGTGGAGTGGGGGGACCTAGAGGCAATAGAAGAGGACATTTAAGATGGAAGGGCAGATGGCAAGGCACACTGGCACTGGCACCAAGAGCAGGCTTTTTTAAAAAGGGAGCATTTCGCTCTCTTCTAAACATGACAGCGAATGCACAGCACATTTTTTCTTCTCCATGGACTCAATAGAAGCCAACATGCCAAAGGTATCCTATGTATTCACAGATCCTAAAATAAGTGGTTAATAAGGAGCAGCTTGCAAAGTAGAATCATTCTATGGGCTTTTAAATGTGTTTGTGGGAGGGGGAGTTACTGGTTGTTTTTGAATATTTACATTGTGAACCACCCTATGATCTTTGGATGAAAGGCAGTATACAAATTTAAACAACAACAACAACAGAAGAAGAAGAAGAAGAAGAAGAAGAAGAAGAAGAAGAAGAAGAAGAAGAATTAGAGGAAGAAGAAGAAGAAGAATTAGAAGAAGAAGAAGAAGAAGAAGAAGAAGAAGAAGAAGAAGAAGAAGAAGTTGTCTTGGGAATGTAAACTTATCATGCTGGCACTACCACGACCAGTTTTCAGATCCATCAAACCAACTGTTCTTCTCACTCAATGACCTCAGGCTGCTTGGAAAGTGGTAGAAAACCCCCAGCTTTTAAGTTACTTCAAGGATTTCTCATTTTGTGGCTGACACTCAGGATGGCCTTTGGTTGGCAAGGAAATCTCCATCAACATCCCATCTCCAGGCACAGACCTGCACATTCATTTTCTCACTTCCTGGCTTCAACTCTTTTTCTCCCACCTCCCTAGACCTATATGATCCTGCTTCACTTATCTTCAGCTTCCCAGCTCTCTTTTGTTTCCTTTCTCTGTGCCAGCCTTCCCCAACCAGGTGTTGTTGGACTACAACTCCAACATCCCCGACCATCATCAATACTGGCCGGGACAGATGAGAGTTGTAGACCAAAACATCTGGAGGGCACCAGGTTGGGGAAGGGTGCTCTCTGCTACTTCTGCCGATAGTACCTCCCCTTTACAGCTCTACACAGGCTTCTTGATCACAACTATGGATTCAGATGGTTTACATATCCAAGAAAAGGTTGCACAATTAATCAATGTATCTTTTTAATTAATTAAAGGTTGTCATTGTTTAATCTGATTAATTTATTAAATGCTGCAACCCTAGTTGGTCTAAAATATAATTCCCAATACAGTCAAACCTCATTTGTCGAACGTAATCCGTTCCGAAAGCACGTTTGGCTTCCGAAATGTTCGACAACCGAGGCGCGGCTTCTGATCGAGTGAATGAACTCAAGCAGAAGTCGCATCGGATGTTCAGCTTCTAAAAAACATTAGAAAACCAGAGCATTTACTTCCGGGTTTTCGACATTCAGAAGCGGAAATGTTCCAAAACAGAGGAGTTCGGGATCCAAGGTTTGACTGTATTTGTTTAAAATTCAAATGTGTGTCTAGTCTTCTTAGTCTTCGGACTGAAGAATGTGCAAAAAGACATCCCCACTTCCAATGCAATGGAACAGCCATAAAACAGAATTGCTGTTTACATAGTTTTCTGGATGCCCCCAATAAATGAGACCACACTGCAAACAAGAGAAACGTTTGCTCTATTTACCTGTCTTCTCTGTTGCGATCAACTGAGTAGAACTGCTTTCGGAGCCACCTGAAACAAAATAGGTTTTGAAATCTTAGTCATTCCAGTGCTGTGCTGACCTTTCGAAGCACAGGTTATCCACAGGTTACCCACAGTTCACTAAAGAATAAATAGGTACAGTGGAAGTATACTCACTAAGCATGGTTGGATAAAGGGGGGGGAAAGAGCTATACATGATTGGTTTCTACAGTATTGTACAAGGGTTGAATTGCAAATAACCTACGTTGACCTCCAATGCTTCCCTACCCCATGTCTTTGAAAAGCAAAGTTAGAAAGGTTATGCAACAAAATGGTCTGATAAATCCCTGCCACTTCTGACTAGACATGCATAGGATTGCACTGAATCCTGTAAAACTGCGATGGAGAACCTATATCTGACCTTGTGCTGACTTTTAAGCCCCTAAACGACCTCGGTCCTGTATACCCGAAGGAGTGTCTCCACCCCCATCGTTCAGCCCGAACACTGAGGTCCAGCTCCGAGGGCCTTCTGACAATTCCCTCACTGCGAGAAGTGAAATTACAGGGAACCAGACAGAGGGCCTTCTCAGTAGTGGCACCCGCCCTGGGGAACACCCTCCCACCAGATGTCAACAACTATCTGACTTTTAGAAGACATCTGAAGGCAGCACTGATTAGGGAAGCTTTTAATATTTGATGAATTACTGTTTTGCATTTTAATATTGTGCCGGAAGCCACCTAGAGAGGCTGGGGAAACCCAGCCAGATGAGCGGGGTATAAATAATAATAAATAATAATAATAATTACTACTACTACTACTACTACTACTACAAAGTAGCTCTGATGGCTCAGCACTTTGCTATGTGGATGTGCGACACAACTGGCAATTATTCTATGCTCTGCTGGCCCTGCCCAGCTGTTGTGCCAAAGCCTTTGTGCTATTTTCCGCCATCCTATTACCCAGAAGAGGCTGGCTGGCTGTTTCCTGGTAGCTGCTAAGGAAGACTCTGCGGAAAAGGCAGGACTGATCTCCCCTCCCAAGTCCTGTCCCCATTGGAATGGATGCTTCCACAGACATAAAGAGACACCAGGTGTGGGTGGCAGGGAGAGGGGAAGAAAGAAGAGTGAAGGAACCCAGGCATCCTGCTGATGGGGGTGTCCAGCTTAGCTAAGTGCAACGACAGAGAGGTGGCTGAGCATCTGAGCTACATTATTGAGCAGCATTATTGTGCTTCCGGGAGTGAAAAATTTGGGAGCGCATTTGTTGATTGCCTGGTTGATTGAGAAGCTGTCATGGGGCACAGATCAAGGAAGACATGAAGACACATTCGTAATTCTCTCAGCTGTATGGTGGCTTCAGAATCAATCAATCAAGACAATTTCAGGATCTTTCACTCCCGGAAGCTGTAAATTATGGAACTGTACATAAATTTATTATGAAAAGGCAGTGCAGATTTTCTTTTTGGCATGCATAGTCTCAAATATGTTGGCGACGAGAGGGATTAAGTGAGAGCCACCTGCCTGTGTCTTCCTGCTCCCAATTTTTTGATTTACCTTTCAATCTGCAGCGGGGTAGCAGCCTTTAGGGTATCCGCCATGAGCCAGTTCAACCCTTTGATCCACATGCTGACTTCTTCTTCGGATGTGGCTGTGAAAATAAAGAACATGCCGGTCTTGTAAAGATATGAGATACAGGCACTGACCCCTGTTTCCAAGAAGGAAGTCCCCGAGCAGCTGGCCTCCAGCAGGAGGAAGCTAATCCCACCGAGCTCGAGGTTTAATGGCTCTCTGCTTTCATTCATAAACCTCAAGAATATTCCCTGTGTTTCAAATGTTTGTGACTGAAAGCAGCTACCCTTTCTAAACAAATCAAGAATTTATTTTTAATACTCAATGCCAGACCTATAAATAGCTACTTCTCTGGTCGCCAGTGCCCTGGAAGAAGAAGAAGAAGAAGAAGAAGAAGAAGAAGAAGAAGAAGAAGAGGAGGAGGAGGAGGAGTTTGGATTTGATATCCCGCTTTATCACTACCCGAAGGAGTCTCAAAGCGGCTAACATTCTCCTTTCCCTTCCTCCCCCACAACAAACACTCTGTGAGGTGAGTGGGGCTGAGAGACTTCAGAGAAGTGTGACTGGCCCAAGGTCACCCAGCAGCTGCATGTGGAGGAGCGGAGACGCGAACCCAGTTCCCCAGATTACGAGTCTATCGCTCCTAACCACTACACCACAAGGTCTGGGCAGTGAGGTGAAGGGGTTTTTCTAAATTGGGAGAAAGTTTGTCGTGGAGACATCCTTCATATCATACACTCTTAAATTATATCCCCATAGTACAGAGGGGACATACTGGCTGCAGCTGAGGGATAACATGAGAAAGGCTGGAGATTCCCTATCCCCAATTTAAATATATTAAAAACCAGATGATTAAGACATTTGAATTTTCTCAAAGCCCCAGTACATCTTTTAAACATTTTAGAAGTAGCAGATAATGATGATGATGATGATGAAATAACATTAAACAAAAACAAAACATCTCACAAATCAATGGTCGATCTTGCAAGCTCACATAGGCTCCCCAAAATGAGTATTGTAACTTAAGTAAACCAAACGTTATCCATTTTGATACTTGCTATGCATTAAACAGCATGAGCCTCACTCTCCAATAAGTATGACAGTTAATGGACACAAAGCAACAACAGGGCTGGCCACAGAGTAGATTCACAAGATAAGAACAAGCATCCATTTGCTCAGAAGCCTCGTGCTCCCTATAATAGCTATCTATTAGCTGCTACCAGCACCCGAGAACCTTCTTCCATCCTCTTGGTATCAGTGCCACCCCTTGCTCCCTCTCTTCTGCTAGAAGCCAGGCTCTCCTGAAGGAAGAGTGGGTTGTGGGAGTGGTGCTTAGAAGGCTGTGGGAGGAACAGGACAATCGTCGTGTATCATCTGAACCTATATTTACCCACTAAAAATAGGAAAGTGGAAAAGAGATCCCACCTTGCAGGCTGAGTGTTTTCAGTCTGAATTCCATGCCATAAAGGATGACAAAACAGTGTGACGGATCTGGCCGGAAAGAGGGATCCTCCTGATATCGGTCAAAGTCTCGAGAGTTTCTTCCCAGACGAATCTCTTGGATTTCACGAATATCAACTGTAAGAGAATAAAAGAAGGGAAAGAGATAAATTATAATGAGGTAAGATTAGGGTGCTTTAAGAAGGCACCTGTGATGTAGGTTCCAGTATCATGTACTGTGTTAGCTAATATGCAATCTCTCAATATGGCTTGATCCTGGATTGCAATGCTAGTTTAGACCTCTGTCATTAAGAACATAAGAACAGCCCAGTTGTATCACGCCAACAGTCTACCTCAGTGGTTGTCAACCAGTGTGCCGTGGCACCCTGGGGTGCCTTGAATGGTCAGGGGTGCCCCGAGCTACACTGACCTCTGTCCCTCCCTCCCTTCTTCCTTCCTCTGATGCCCTCTCACGTCTCTGCCTCCCAAAGGCTTGCACAGCTGTTTATTGCAGCAGCCCTGGCTTCAAGCTCCCCAGGTGAATGGTGCCTCTGGGAGGCACCTCTCTTTGGAGTGCAGAGGGACCAGGGACGGCAACCAGGGCTGTCTTAAGCATATGCGGCACTGGGGTGCACAGATCCACCCAGCGCCCCCCCAGGTTGCTCAGAATTGTTGACCTTCTTTTTAGTAGAGCGCAACAAACCAGTCTGAGACACGCTCTGAGCAGGCCGTCAAGGTGCGCACAGCAGAGCTGGCTGGCTAGCTGCCTCAGTGGCAACAGAGGAGCACAAAGCGGCGGTGGCAGAGCAAGGCCAGGACTGGGAGCCCTGGCAGGGGGCAGCCAGTGAGCAAACAGAGCCCACAACAGTCAAGCCCGAGGCAGCAGCAGCAACTGAGCAAAGCCAGGTGCCTCATGTAAGCAGCGTACGTGCACTGGGCGGGCCTCTTGACGGCCCGCCAATCCCAGGCACGCAGGAGGCCGGAGCCAGCTGGCTGCCTCAGCACCCACAGCAGAAAAGCCTGCTGTGCCTATGGGTAAGACAGCCCTGACGGCAACAACTGCTGCCCAGAGGACTCCCAAGGGACTCTAAAAGGTTGAAAACCTTTGGTCTACCTAGTCCAGTATCCTGTTCTCATACTGCCTACAGGAAGCCCACAAGCAGCACTCTCCCCAGTTTTGATTCCCAGCAACTGGTACTCAGAGGCATACTGCCTCTAACAGTAGAAGAAAAACAAAGCCACTATGGCTAATAGCCATTGATATCCTCCCTGAATTTGTCTAATCCCTTTTTTAAACTATCCAAGTTTTTGGTCATCACTACATTATGTGTGGCAGTGGTTGGTGGGACAAGTGATGGCAGGGTGGCACACCCGGCTTCTCAACAATGAGTGCCACTGCCACTTAGTGATGGGGCGCGGCACTTAGCATGATGGGGGCACAATGGCAGAGCCCATCTGATGATGATCCAACCACTATGCCCACACCACAGTGAGTTCCTGGCATCACCTGTTTCTCCATCTACAATAATAAAGTCACAGCAACGTAAGAGATAGAGAAAGGAGGCACCGTAGCCAAAACAGTAGCAAACCAAGACAACCTGTGGTATGGATAGGTGGCTAGTTGCAAAGGAGGACGGGGTGTAAGAGAGAGAATTTCAGCAGGTGTAGCTTCCATGACAAAAGCATACCTGCCAAAATCCACTTATTAAAGGAACAACCCTCCTGCCCCTTTTCCACCTGGTTACTCAAGGTGCAGGCACAGACTAACATCTGCTTGTATATCTTCAAAAGCCTTCTCCGGCTTAAAGGTGTAGCTTTTATTATTATTTCATTGAATAAATTCACAGAATTTATTAAAGCAAAACATCTTGCCAATTTCACACTGGTCACTTCAAGCCCTGCCTGCATTCTAAGCAATTCTAGATTGCTCTGTGGGTCCACCTGGGACCACTAGAGGCCACTGTGACGCATCACAACCTGGTAGCAAATACAGTGGTACCTCAGGTTAAGTACTTAATTCGTTCCGGAGGTCCATTCTTAACCTGAAACTGTTCTTAACCTGAAGCACCACTTTAGCTAATGGGGCCTCCTGCTGCCACCGCGCCACCAGAGCCCGATTTCTGTTCTTATCCTGAAGCAAAGTTCTTAACCTGAAGCACTATTTCTGGGTTAGCGGAGTGTGTAACCTGAAGCGTATGTAACCCGAGGTACCACTGTAATGTCTTTGCACAAAGGGAAAATGCAGTCAAGCAGACACTTCTTAGAGCAGGGGTTGGCAAGGTTTAACCTCGCCTAGGCCGGTTCACTCCAGCGGAGATCCTTCCATGGGCCGGATTGCGTGTGCGCACCCACGATTTCCAACGTCTGTGTCGACGCAATTTTTTGCACCTGTGCAGACGCAATTTCCGGTGCCGCGGAAGCGAGTCCCCATGCTGTGCTGTGCCAGTTTAGCGCAGGACGCAGGGACTCGCCAAGCAGGCAGCTCGGTTCAGGGGTGGCTTGTGGGCTGGTTAAATGACCCCTGTGGGGTGCTTGTGTTGCCAACCCCTTTCTTAGAGCCTCCGTAGGAGCAAATGTGAATGGATGTTTTTCTTTGGACTGCAAAAGCGAGCTGCATGCCAGTGGCGGGTGAAGCCATATGCAAAAGTGGCTGGGGCAATGGATGTAGCTCTTACCTTTGTACAGTAGACTACAGAAGCCACCCAGAAGTGAGCTGTTTCTACATTCCCACCCGCCATGCACATCTCTCCATTCTCCACAAAGGTAAGCAAGAGGCATGATCACTGTTCAAGGCGCATTCCAGACAGGCAAATGGAATTGAGCAGTAAAGGGCGTGGCCTGGGAGCAGTGGTGGCCGGGGGGGGGGGGCTGATAGGGAGGGAGACAGGGAGATGGGGACTAGGTGGAGCCAGAGCCAAGGTATATGCAGTGACACCTAATTCGTATTTTGTCCCCATTTGAGACGACAGAGGAAGAAGCTGGCAAATACTGCCCCCCCCCCCCGGTTGTAGGTAAAAGCCCAAAGGCACACTCCTCCACTGTCTCCCGAGACAGACGGATGCCAACATTGTAAGGCAAGTAACTGAAGTTAATGCATCGTTCTCCATGTTTCGTTCCATCCCTTGCTAAAGGGTTCCATTTGCTGCTGTTGAAACGTATACATTTATAACCGATGAGACCACAGGCTTGCCTAAATGCAGATCTAAGGTGGGGATCTTGTACAAACCAGGCAAAACAGTTGCACTCACCCACACATTTCTTTCTAATATTTTATTTTGCTTTGCTTTGTTATATGCTTTATGCAAAGACAAAGACACACACACACACACACACACACACACACGATCAAGTCAAACACCAGGATAAATTAAGCAGCTTTTATCGGTTGTTAAAAATCCAACAACTGTAAATTCCCTCCCCTCCTTCCTTCTTTCTCATAGGAACACTTTCTCCGCCATCCTTTCGGTCCTTGCTTCCAGGGATTTTTGCACACAGAGTGTCTCAGATAGAGCTGGATGACAGAAAACTGAAACCACAAGCTGCCCTGGAGACTTCCATATAACAGGCCTCCCACTCTCTCCTGTCCCTCACAGCTGCTCTGTCCCATGGTGATCACCAGGCAGGTTTCAAAACCCATCTACTGGCCATAGAGCTGGTTGGACGCCCACTTCAGAGAGAGAAAAACCTTCCTTATTCAAACAGCTTTTCCCACACCCCTTTCTCCTTTTCCAACCATCCTTTTCCTGAGTGCCTTCTCCTACCTACCAACTGTCTCCTAGCATCTGTTGCTGTGACTCTCCACACACCCATTTTGTCATGCTTAGCCCTGAATCCCCAAACTCGAGGACCTTGAGGAGCAGGCAGGGCCCCCTGAGCCCAAGGATTCCCTTGAGGGGCTTTGCAGGTTGGTGCCTGATGAGAAAGTCCTGGAATTCTTGGAGGAACAGCTGGAGTGGTCCTTGAGAGCTTTGGTCCAGGCCAAAGAGCAACAGCAAGGTATGTGTTTAAAGGACCCGAGTCATCAGTCTTCTCATGAGTAGGGCTGGGCAATATCTGGTTTTCAATATCACAATATATCGCCAGCTAAACATTGCGATATCTCACTATATCACGATGTCTGAAATAAGGCTGGAGCTTATAATAATCTGGGGAAAATATTGGGGGGGGGGAATAAAAAAATCTAAATTTGATGTGTATAATTAAATGAAAATTTACTCAGTGATAGCATGCTTAACTATACCATTAAATATTTCTGGAGAATATATTACTGTTCTGTTAAGGGTTTTATATACCCATAGCAACACCTTGAACTTGGCCCTATAACAAATTGGGAACCGGTGTAGATCAGTGTTAAAAAGTCAGGTAGACCATCTAGGTGCCACTTGCCACCTGAAAACTAAGTTACAGATGGCCATTCAACCTCTGCTTAAAAACCTCCAAGGAATGAGTGTACCACCTACCAAGGGAGTCCTTTCCACTGTTGAACAGCTCTTACTGTCAGAAAGTTCTTCCTGTTGTTTACTCAGAATCTCCTTTCTCATCACTTGAAGCCATTCATTTAGGTCCTTCCCCCTCCAGAGCAGAAGAAAACATGCTACCTCCATCTTCCATGTGACACCCATCAGATATTTGAAGGTGGCTACCCTATCTCCTCTCAATCTCCTTTTCCAGGCTAAACACACCCAGCTCCTTCAACCATTCCTCATAAGGCTGGGTTTCCAGACCCTTGATTATCTTGGTTAATATCCTTCTTAAATTGTAGACATATCATGCTTAGCCTGATATCAACCTGATATTGTGCTGGGTCTCTACTCTGCCTAGCAAGAGGCAAGGTGTGTGCCTTAAACCTGCATAAAAGAAGCAAGAGAAAAGTCATGTGGATCTTATCTTTTGCTGATCTGAATCTCCCTGCTTTGGCAGGGAAGCTTATTTTTATGCAGACTCTGTCTCTAGCAAGAGGTACGGGGCTTGCACCTTGGGATTGTGCAGGCAGAAAGCAGCTTTTACTGCAAAGTAAAGCCCTTTACTCTGCAACCTACCGGGCAGGCAGGGGCTTATGCCTTGCAGATGGGCAGACAGAAAACGGCTACTTACTCTGAAGGCTTTACTTTGTAGTAAAGTGCTGCTTCCTGCCTGCCGGGTTTGCAAGGCTGAAAAAATATGAAACCTTTATCGTGGTTCATACCGATAAGAGACAAAGTATTGATATATCGCCCACCCCTACTCATGAGTAAGGAGTCTATTCATGAGTCAGCCCTGATGCTCCTTCACTGCCAGCAGCTGTGGTTAGGCTGCACTCTAGGAGGCCAGAGTATTTAAGACCTTCCCCTTGAGCTTCTCAGCTGTTGTGATAGGCTATTAAACACCTTTCTGTTGCTGGCAGCAACACAGGTCTCTGGCTCCTCCTTCTTTGGCACTTAGTTCCTGATTCTAGTCTCCCTGCCTTGCTGTGTTGTCTGGCCTTGCCTGACTTCCTTTCTTCTGCATCATGTTTGGGATCTAAACTGATTCTCTGTGCTAGTCCTTGTTTTGTTTGAGCTATACTGCATCTGCACCCCTGCCTTCATTGGCGAATACTTTGGTGGAGGCTTATATATTCTATAACTCGAGCTTGATTTCTTCCCAACAATTAATTTTCCTAGTCACTGCGATCTAGTACCAATGATCCTATTTACTCTATGGTTGGGCACACAGATCCAATTTTTCCATGTGTGCTTTTGGAAATGTTTGTCCCTACATACACACTCTTAATTAGTTTCCCATCCTCACCCATGGGCAGTATCCATAGTGTGTGTTCTTGTTCCTCCCCCATAATTTGCATTCCTTATCCTCCCCGATTTCCAGAAATCTGAGGTCCATCATGGGCCTGCATGCAGGTATTTCTTTACCTGTGTGTGTGGCTATCTTATATACATCTGCACAAAACAGTGGGTTTTAAAAGGTGTGTGTCATGCCTGGGACCATGGGTAGACCACCCATCTTGAGTTTCAGAAACTTGAGGTTTCAAGTTTTGGACTTGTGTGCAGATTTTTGTTTAGTTGGGCATGCAGCCAGTTTTTATTTTTTGAGATAAAAGTTTTCAGATATAGCAGACTTGCACAAAATAGTGAGTTATTTCTCACCGCCCCTTTTAAAGTCCTATGTGTTGCATCCTAGTCCTGTTTGTTTCATGAAGTCTCACCAGCAGCCTGAGGAACACCTCACCAATGGAGGCAGGGGGTGTCATGATAGATGGCATCCTGCAAAATGTCACCACGTATCTGTAAAACATCAACAACAACCCCCATACACAATGCGCTTTTGGATGTCTACCATTGGGTAACATGCAATTTCATATTGGATCTCCCCCCCCCCAACTGCATTGTATGCAAAAAAATCCACATTAAATGGGGGGGGGGAGGAAGAGAACAGGCTGCCACTTGGGTGAGGACATCATGTGAACAAACAAAAAATATGCACATATAGGATGTACAGAGGTAGCTCTGGTTACGAACTTAATCCGTTCCGGAGGTCCGTTCTTAAGCTGAAACCGTTCTTAACCTTAGGTACCACTTTAGCTAATGGGGCCTCCCACTGCTGCCACGCCGCCGGCGCATGATTTCTGTTCTCATCCTGAGGTAAAGTTCTTAACTTCCGGGTACTACTTCTGGGTTAGCGGAGTCTGTAACCAGAAGTGTTTGTAACCTGAGGTGTTTGTAACCCGAGGTAGCACTGTATACTGAATCCACTTTAAACTGCTGTGTGTGCACAGCCTATGTCACATACTCATGTTTTACCTTACTAGCTTGCCATATGTGTGGTAAAATGTAATGTGCACCCACCCCATGACTGCGCTATGTTTCCTCAGACCAGACAGGGGGGAAAGCATAGGGAAGGTTTAATGGTAATGCAGAAGAAGAGGCAGAGGCAGGAAGGAGACAGGAACAGGAAGCTTATGAAACAGTGCCCTGCTTTGCTGTGGAACAAGCTAACCATCTTTCCCTTCTCACAGAGCAATTCCATTTCCCCTCAGTCTTTCCAAACTTTCAGAGATCCCCAGCCTCTCCACCACCTGGAATGAGGCCATAAGCTGGTCCTGGTTCTGCTTCATAAAGTCTCACGAAAGAGAAATCCACCTGTTTCTTATAGGCTCAAAGGGATACATTCCCCTAGACGCATGCACATACAGTGGTGTAACTATGTAGGAAACATTTACTGTTCTGCATTTATCCAGCTGTGTTTCCAAGGCTATGTATTCTAAAATCTAGTATTAGGTATAATAAGCATGCACTTTTGCTTCTCAGGCCCACAAATGACTTGAGGGAATGAAAAAGAAAAATAATTGGGGTGTGGGGGGAAGGAATAATGGAAGGGAACAGCAGAATTCAAAGACTGATGATGACAACAGCATCTGGTGACAACAAAGATTACTGAGGCTCACATGGGTGTAAAAAAAAGATTGAGCAGAGGAGAGACCATTTATGCTGCCGTCTCACTACTAACAGAGGTTCACGGGATCTTGTTTAACAAAACAAACACACAGAGAGTCAGGTCAATATCCTTCCTGGAAAATGACTGTGAAAACCCTCAGTGGAATCAATTAATGACATATGTGACTCACAGTTTTCCAGGCACAAGACATTTCCAAGCAGCACAGAGTAAAAACCCTTTTGCAGACACCCAGGTGTAATGGAACCCCTACTGTAAAAATACAAAACTGTGTTTTTTTCATCCACAACCTATCATATAAGCATATTTCAACTGGTAAGGCATTGTTTGCTCATGTTTGTTTTACTTTTAAATGTGCCTTTAGAAGTAGAAACAGCTTTGGCAAAGATGCCTCTGCCCAAGACAGCAGGCAGGTATGTTTACCCATGAGCTAACTCTACAGTCAAGCCTAAAGAAGAGATGGAGAACGGAAGAAGTGAGATGAGGCTACCATCTTTCTGAAGCTAAGCAGGTCCAGATCTGGATGGTAGACTTCCTGGGAGCCATATTTATATTGTGGCTTCAGGACAAGTCATAAGAAGTGATTCATAAAGGATAATAATAATAATCACTTCCTTGGATTCTATAATGGAAGGAAGGCAGGGTATAAATATAAGAAAAAAATATGTCAATTTTGATATATTAACTTATCCAGCATGTTGACATATCTTTAAAGAACTTGCCATTGTGATGAATTTAACACAAGACTTAAGTTTATTCTGCACCTTCCTTTTCAATAACACAATGAGTCCAACCTGTTAGGCCCAGCACCAAAAGGAACATTTTGCTTTCCAATGCACACAAAATTATAGCAAACAAGATTTAGAACTACAAGTATCAGAATGTGGAAGGAAGTGGAACTTGTAAAAAATATGAATAAAACAATGTATTGTGCTTTGATGGGTACATATTAATATACATTTGAGCTGGATTAAATCTGAAATTTGCTGTTGGGCTGGCACTCCTATGCTAGCCACATGAGGGCTACTGCCAGCTCTGAGCCCATATGTCCTTATGGCTTTCAGCAGGTGCGTGGAGCCCTTAACAAGATGGATAGGGTGTCCAATTAACCTTACCATGACTTTTTTTTTCCATTCAAATACTGAGAAAAGCAAAATGAAGCCCCCTCCCCATAAATCCACACATCCTCTGATCCCTGGAGTGAGTCGAAAACTGCCATCACAAATTGCAGGAGTCAGTCTGCCTGCCCCTCAGGTCCTCGGCTACAGCTTTAGATGAAAAATGCAATAGGGATTTAGGAAGCTGCTGGGAAAACGGGCGCACTGAACAATTTCCTCAAGTCCTTTGGGTAAAACCAATGTGTTTTACTTCCGAAAACTCTGAAAGGGAGCTGGGCAGGCTGCAGTAAGGTTACAGAGGCCAATGATATCCAGACACTCAGCTGAACTCAAGCTCTCGTGGCCCAATTCAAGCAAACCAAAGCTGCCCAGTTCGCTCTGAGAGCTTTGGTGGAATGCCAGGCACACCATAAGGGATTGATGAAGTGGCTGCACTGATCTCTAAGGAACTGGAGATGGCTGGGTGATAGAAGTAGTGCCAGAAAACTTCCAGCATATGACTCCCCTTTCTGATCCAACATTTAAACAAAGCTGAAATCCTGCCAACTGGCTGTTCAAAAGCAGGTGATGGGGTCTGAATCCAACCCCCCTCCCCTTTGTTCCACACCACCCACTCCTCATTCCCCTGCAATATATAATACTTTTTCAACAGGCTATATGCACACAGTCTCGTGGAACACATAAAACTCAACACTAAGCGTCAATATATCAAACAAGCCATTCTAGGAACCATCACTACTCCATGATTACTAATGCATTTTTGAAATTCCCATTTAATTAGAATCAGAGTCTGAGGACTGCAACTTCCAATTCCAAAAGTCTGCAAGACAGGGAATTGCCTGAGAGGCATGGACAACTATATTATTTTAAGCATTACATCTTTACATTAAATTTTAAGGCTTATACAGGGACAAAGGATGCAATTGTACGTCCTTTTCTGTTTTGGAACATCGGGACATTGAAAAAGGACATATACACACACACATACACACACAGCCATCAGAGTTGCTATTTTCTTCTCAGTCTTCCACATCTGTGTAGACAATTATACAGTGGTACCTCGGGATACATATGCTTTAGGTTACAGACTCCACTAACCCAGAAAAAGTGCTTCAGGTTAAGAACTTTGCTTCAGGATAAGAACAGAAATCGGGTTCCGGTGGCGCGGCAGCAGCAGGAGGCCCCATTAGCTAAAGTGGTGCTTCAGGTTAAGAACAGTTTCAGGTTAAGAACGGACCTCCGGAACGAATTAAGTACTTAACCTGAGGTACCACTGTAATGTGTTTCGGTGATAAACTAGCTCAGATAGAAAAGTTAGAAAGACAGAGAAAAATGAGACTGAGGGCAGGCAGACTGTCTCAAAGAAAAAGGTGGCATAAGAAAAAAACCAAAATGAATGGAGTAGCAGTCAACTAAGTTTTACTTAGAACAGACCCATTTAAATTAATGCACGTGACTAAGTGAGGCCCTCAGCAAAAATAGGTCCCCTACCCCTAACAAACAGCACAACATTATTGACACAGGGTATCCCCTTCTCTTGTCACCTGTCCCACCCAGTTCTTAGATTAGCCTTTGGGTATTTGAATGGCAGAAGATCGGGCACAAATGTTCAGCAGAACTAGAAGCCACTTCCCTTGCACCTTGCCTCAGTACGTGCAGAGTGCTCCCCTTTGCTGCCACCCTTGTGGTTCAAGCTTCCTTCCCACCCCCTTCATTTACCAGCAGGAAAGGCACATCTGCGTGTCAAACAAAGAAGCGAAGAATGGCTCTGCGGAAGCCACTACAGAATCAGATCAGCTACTCCCCCTCTGGTACACCAGGGGGTTTTTACCACTCAACTCCACATGCCTGGAAAGTTTGTTCATCCTCAAAGAAAAAAAAAGCCCTCAGGACCATTAATTTCCTCAGCCAAGAACATGGGTAGGCAAACTAAGGCCTGGGGGCCAGATCCAGCCCAATCACTTTCTAAATCCGGCCTGCGGGACGGTCCAGGAATCAGCATGATTTTACCTGAGTAGAATGTGTCCTTTTATTTAAGATGCATCTCTGGTTTATTTGTGGGGCATAGGAATTTGTTCATTTCCCCCCAAAAAAATATAGTCCGGCCCCCCACAAGGTCTGAGGGACAGTGGACCGGCCCCTTGCTGAAAAAGTTTGCTGACCCCTGGCCAAGAACAACCAGGTCCCTCAGGTTGCCAGCTTGCAACCCAGAGAATAATCTGTCACTTTCAAAATATACAGAGGTCATGCGAGAGACCACTTTAGAGGAAGAGTCCAAGCTCAGTGGTAGAGCCTCTACTTTGCACCAGGTAGGGTTGGGAGAGAATTCCATCTGAAACCGTGGAAAAGTGCTACAGTTAGTGGCTAAAATACTAGGCTACATAATGGGCCAGTGGTCTGACTCAATATAAGACCGGTGCCTAGGTTCCTAAGGTATCAGCCAACCCCAGCTTCTCCCAACCATATCATCTTGTTCTTTCTTCCACCATCTCTCCTCATTGCACAGGTGGAATGGAAGGCTGCTCCCTGGGATAGCTCAATTGGTAGAGCATGAGGCATTTAATCTCAGGGTCATGGGTTGAAGGCCCATGTCGGGCAACAGTTTCCCTCATGGTCCCTTCCAACTCAACAGTTCTATGATTCGACTATGATTCTGTTAGGAAGGTAAGAAAGGCAGTGGAAAGAACCAGGTGAGGAATCACAGCTAGTTTATTCCTCACCCAAAAACAAACATCTCCAGGTTGTAAATGGTCATGAGGGCCACCTGTCATGGATGCTTTAGCCAAGATTCCTGGATGACACTTGGGGTCCCTTCCATTATTCTATTATTCTAAACAGCCAAATTTCCCACATTAAAAGCAAAACCTCGAATAACATCCTAAATGAGATGCAACTGCCTTTCTCAGCAGAATACCCACATTTACGCCTTCTAAGTGAAGGTTCAAACAGCCTCAACATGGAAGAAACACCTCAGCTTCATGATGTATCCATAGAATGACAACACGATAAGTGCTAGAGAACAGCAACACATAAAATTATCAGTTTTACTAGCCTGGGGTATCGGGAGATGTATTCCTAGTGCATATTACAGTGGCACAGGTAACACACCCATAAGGGTTGTAATCCAGCTAAAGAACCCTTGCAGCCAGGACACACAAATTATTGTTTGTAGGATTTATGGAGATTATTTTAATCTGCTTGCTTGAACGATCTTGGTTTGGGGCTTGCCCTGTGTTTTGTTTTTGCTTTATCAAAGCTGTCAGGAAATTCTTTGTTCAGTTCTTGGGCTGTGCAGAGGGTAACCTGTAGGAGGATGAATTGTGCCGGGCAGCGGTGGGGAAGAGAGGCGTCACAGGAGGGAAAACGGAAATCTGTGCTCACTTGGGAGGAATATTTTCTCTAATAGAAGGCAAAGCAGCCCACGCATTCACCACGCACAAACCCCCAAAGCAGGAAAACTGTACTTTTAAAGGATGGGAAAGGAAATAAAGCTCATATTGTCAGTAACTACCTGGACTTTACCAGAACAGAGCAGTTACTGTTGACCCCTTTCTGGGGTGCCTTAGGAAACGCGACAAAAATTCCTCGCTCAAATCAATCTGAGTGAGAAACTGGGGACATCTGGGGTGAAGTGAAAGATTTACCAAAACTGCACCAGTTCACCTTTTTTTTTTCCACCATCACTACCACCACCTCCTTGGTCCTGGTGTTGCTCCCGAGAGTCCTGGTGGCAGGCAACTGGCAAGGTTTTCTTCCCAGCAGGAAAGTATTACGCTTGCCCTTCATAACAATGCTATGCTATGAAGCCAATTAAGAGTAAGGGCAATGCTTCTTGAAATGGGAAAATAAAAAGCCACCAGGACTCCTGGGAGGGCCACTACGGCTGGCAAAAGCTTGGCACCATTTCAACTCACCTCTCAACCACTCTAGAAAGCACAGGAGGTAGAAATTCAGGATTTGCTGAGGAAGTGGGGGAGAAATGAGAACATTAGCCCTGTACATGAAGAGGTCATGTGTGTACGAAATACTGAAGTTATTTCTGAATAAGAAAAAAAAAATTTGGTTTTTTTAAGAACTCTGCCCTAATTTCACCTAAATTCTCCCTCTCAATTGTTGCATGAGCTTCTGTGCTGGATTCTACTTACTACTCCTTGCGCTGCAACCCTTTCCTTCTGTCCAGGTCTAGCACACTGGATCCACAAATTTAAGATTGTGACAAAACAAACGCAAGCCTTCCCGACTCTTCCCAACCTGCGTAGCGTCATGCAAGTCACAAATAAACACCGAACACCTCGGCCAACACCAGCCACCCTCCTGAAGGTAAACAGGAAGCCCTTCCAGAGTGGAACTCCTCTTCAGTCTCCAGGCTTTACAGCACACCCACTTGTCTCGAGTACAGCGCTGCTCTTGTTCCAGCAAACAATGATTACTTTAGCCAGGGCCAGAGGTTACCAATCCCACGCACTGGGGTTTGGTTACATAAACATTCATTCTCCCTTGTCAATGCAATCATAGTTGGGTGGAATGAGACTTGAGCAGCTGGAGCAAGATGGCTGGCACGAAGGAGAACGCAGTAGCCCGGGGGTGGTAATTTGTTCCTGTGGTCCAGAGAAGAAGCGGGATGTACATCGGCCTCGACGGGCAACAGATGGACCCACTGCAGAGGTCTAGATATGTAGAACCAAGAGATGGGTGCACAGTGAAGGTCACGGAGCACTTTGCAATATTATACATCCGTATTATTCTCTCAAGTAGGGATGGGTGAATATTCATTTTCGGTTTGTCTCCCGTTTTCCATCTTAAATTATCCATATTTCTACATCAGCTCTCTCAACTGTAGGCAGTGACTTTTAGGTGCGTCTGATATGTGTGTGACCATGCATCACGCTGAACCCAGAAGCAAAAATGTAACAAAAAGGGGCAGGGCAGAGCAAAACGGGGTATTTGCCGGCTTTTTAAATGGCGTTTCAAATACCGTATATATGATTTCACTTAAATGCACAGTGCCTTGGAACGTAACCCCCACACAAATTGGGAGTTGCCTGTAAAATATAAAATAAACGAACCTCATAAAAATTGGCAACACTGTGTGTGAATTTCTTACTGTGTATATTTTTATGGTCTGCCTAATATCCACATTTACCCTAATAGAATGCATTTTTGTATGTTATTTTCACTAATATATGCATGCTTTACCATTATTATTTTTTAGCACATGACTTGGCAGAACTGCACTGCGAAATGCAGATCACTGGGAATTTTGAAGGATAGATGTGTTTCAGCTCGCATATTGTTTCAAAAATGAGAATTTAGTAAGCTCGCCTTTAAATGTAGAGTGCGTCAAATTTCTCCCTACCCCTACTCTCAATTTACACTTTGGAGTCCACATTCATGGCTTCAGAGGCATCATGGTGTAATGGGAATTTCAGTAGGTAATTAGCAAGCCAAAGTCTTAACTTTTCACTTCTCTCATCCATTCCTCCCCCCAATTTCTGCCTTAAACATTCCTTTTGTTATTGCCAATTAGTGCGGCAATGAGATTTATACAAATCCCGCTTTTAAGGGAATAAGCAGTCACCCAGTTGCTCATTGCAGCAGAGGCTGTTGTGCCTAGGCAACATCCAGCTCTGGGGATAATTTCCTCAGCACTACCCCAAAAAATATCACAGCTACATTCAGTAATGTGGCATTGAACAGGCCTTGTCTCTACAAATTATTAGAGTTGGCTTCTTTTAGGATGTTTTCTTCAATTACTCCTAACTTAACTATGGCTGGTGCTTCGGTTTTGTTTCAGTCAAGATGATAATCTTGACAAAGTTTCCCAATATTAAAAAATATTACCTTATAATCAATGGGGAAGTATTTCCCTGGCCATTTGGTAAAGTCCTGAAAACTTCCATATTTTCAACAGAAATATTTCAAAGGGAAACTCCAGCAATTAAGATGAAGAGCTGGATTTCATTTGAAAGTTTGAGACAATCAGCCTTGGGCCCAATAGAAACTGGGGGTGGCTAGCCCACAACAGAACATGTCTTTCTTTTTAGAGGTTTATGTACACTATTCAGTTTTCTTTGCCAATTCAATTGAGAGTAGTCACACTGACTCCTTTTATCTTTTACTCCTTTTATAATATCTCATCTTCATTTGTGCTCTGTGGCCTGCATTTTCCATCTCATTCTGTAAAAAAAAATTAAATCCCCTAGTATTTCTCATGCAACTGAGGAACTGAGCTCAGACCCACAAAAGCTGATGCACCAATTAATTTGCTAGTCTTAAAATGGCAAGATTTTTTTTTTGCTGTTTTTGCTTAGCAATTTTTGGTAGCATCTAAGCCCAGTCATGACAAGAATCTGCCCTTCAGTTGTGATGCTTATGAACAGTTCTCTTTTTCTTCCTTGTTTCAAATACTTTTTACACAACAAACCTTGGGTGAGAGTTGATAGAATACTATTTGAAGTTTCAGGAGGAATAGAATTGTCCTGGCTTTAACTGACTTTAATAATAATAATAATAATAATACCAGTAACACTCCCCATTCCTGTAGGGATGTATCAAAGCCCTTTATCATCTGCTAGTGACTAATCTGGCCTCAGTCATGAGAATTACCACAGAACCACAAACCCCACCCAGCTGTCGGCCAAATACTCTCCAGGCCAGTGGAGTGAGCCACAAGCTGATAAAGGATGCTATGTAAATGGTTTTGCGATTCCAGTCAGCAGAAAGCAGCCAATTTCTTCCTCAGCATGAATTAAAAGACTGCCTGGATTAGACCAGCTGGGTACCAAAACTCTTCAGTTGCGATTCTTCCATCTTCTGCAATGATGTACTTTTACTTACACACAAACACAAACACACACACACACACACTCAAACCCAAAAGTGGAGCAATAACCAGGACAGGTTGTAGCATGAAAAGCAAGAATAATCACACTATTTGAGGTACATTAGGGCACAGATCCTATATAAAATTAGACTGCAGAAGCCTAGGCAAAAAAAAAAAAATGTTTAAGTCCATCCAGTAGTATTTGCCTGCAGTACTTTTGTATGGTTGCTTCCCACCCACTCCAGAAAGAACCGTTTGCTATCTATACTAGCTCTGCCACTTCCTGAAAGTGGCCCTTTCCCCACCTCACTCCAACAATGAGGATGTATCATGACGTGAATCTTGGGTATCAACAGCCATCTTGGAAATTCAAACACGCAATGCAATATAATGTCAACGTTTCCAAAAACCCAGTGCCATTTGGGCTCTCCAGTTCCCACAAGTTTGTTTTTCGCTCTTTCATATGCAACCCTCTGAATATGAACCATGGCAGATCCTTGCATTTAAAAACAGCTTCAAGGGGGCAAATGTAGAGAGGGTGTTATATTGACCTACACCGTTCTTCAGGTCTAAATCACTCCACAAAGCTGGCATGAGCCCCACAGCAATTAACTAACTATCAATGTAGGCACAATGCAGTTATTTCTATTGTTTCTGTGGGTGCAGAGAACTTATAGCAACTTGGAAGCAGGTTGTTTAAAACTGGAAAGCATAAAAGGGTTAACCCTCCCCTTCCCAATGCCACTATCCTGATCCGAATAAGGTTTTTTTTAGTGAGTGAACAAATCAATGGAAGGATAAGAGGACTAGCCATGTTAGGCTGCTGCAGCAAAACCTAGTCTTAGTCTTATAACAACTTAAAGACTTCCTTCCCCGGGACAGCTGCCCAGTGAGGATCCGTAATCAATGTGTTCTGACATCCCGTCCACGAGCTGTAGTGTGGCGATGGAGGTTAAGCCGAATTGTCTTCTGCCATCTGGCTGACCATGCACAGCTCTCTGGAGTACAGAGAGCAATGTGGTGAGCCACCACCAACAAGGCTTTTCTTCAAAAAAGACAAAACTGAGTTCTATTTCAACTCCTAGGATGAATTAAAGACAAGTTATATAACTTGCAGCATGTAAGGAGTGGGGGGGGGGGATAGACCCATTGGTAGAAGGCCCTTAGCTAGAAGGGGACAACCTTGTTTAATTTTTTCAAACCTTCCACACTTGCTCCTCTTGCATATTTAAAAATGACATGGAAAAATAAAGCAGTCCCATGCTTGGAAAAAAAGAAAAGAAAAGAAAAGAAAAGAACGGTTTCATTTTAAGAACAGACTTTCAGAACGGCTCGTAAACCAAGGTACCACTGTATATGCAGAGTAATTGGGGGGGGGGGAATGTTTCCAAATGGAAAAAAATGCAAAAAGCACAATTGAACCAATTCCATTGGAAATAGTCACAAATAACCTTTCCTCATTCCCCAGGGAGACTGCTTTGGACCCCTATTATGACTAAGGATCTGGGGGAACCAACCATAACCCCAATGCAGCCTGAAATGCCCCCTCTTATTGATTTCTTCCCTCCTCCAACCTACCCCAATAACTCCTCTGATAATATCCCAAGCCCTGCCTTGATCCCTGATTCTTCCCCTTCACCCCCTGGACCTCAAGTGGCAGCAGTCACAGCAGAAAGTCCAGAATTGCCATACGAGTTTCTGTTTGGTTGTCAGAAGCCTCCGTGAACAAGGGTCTCCTTGAGTCTCCAGAATTCCCCTGGTCTAGCTCTGGGCTCAGAGTCCAGCGTCCCCACTAGGTGTGGTCATGAACACACAGTAATCTTCTATGTTAATTAACACGTGTTGTGGTGATAGGAAGCCATGGTCTTTATACAGGCCCAAAGTGACAGAATTACGCTTCCTGATAAACTGGAATTCCCCTTTGAAGTTTCCTTGCTGAAAAATGGCCACTTTCAAGTCAACAGCAGAGTCTCTTGGGTGATTTGACCCCTTCCCCACAGGTTTCTGAACGCTGCCTTTTTTTGAAGTGAGATTTTTGTCTGTTCATTATTTTTGCATAGAGAATGGCCGGTTATGTCAAGAATGCAGGGACTGATGGGGAGCTGTCACAGATATCATGTTGTAAGACGAGCAGGTAGAGAAACCCTTGATGTGGTGACTGACAATATTAGGCCCCTGAAAAAGTGTTGCTTGAGCAGATACAGGTACAGAGCTGGCATCTGGGTTTGTTGCAAGCTTTGGTCCCTGTTTTTGGATCTCTCTCATGTAGCCTGTTGCTGCTGGAGAATAACTCTTTTATAAGGGGCCTGTCATAAGCAGCAATATACCTACAGCCCAAGTCCTGTGAACGGGATTGCCCAAAACATTCATGATACAGTGGAATATTTTTAGCTAGGAGCTGTAGATGACAACAAATGAAACTGCATCACAGGGCTTGGCTATATATAACAGATCTTGTAGTATATTCTGGATGGAAGTGAGAAGCATGTACAGCAGTCAGGGGCATCTGGTGTAAGGTGGTAAATATCTATTGTGTACAGAAGTGGCCACAAAGTGAGTCTGACCCAAAACTGAACCTGCTGGTTATAACACTGCTGGTGCTTTCTCCTTGTACAATGGTACCTCTAGTTACAAACACAATCCATTCTAGGATGCCATTTGCACCCCGAAAAGTCCGCAACTAGAGCGGTGCTTCTGCGCAAGCGCAATAGAGCGCTTCTGCGCATGTGTGAATAGCACAGAACGCTTCTGCGCATGCGGCGAAACCCGGAAGTATATACTTCTGGGTTTGCTGCGTTCGCAAGCAACATGAACCTAACACAACCCGAGGTATGACTGTACTTGCATTGATTCTGATGCCAACAAAGAATGGAATTTCGCCTCTACAATCCAATAACATTTAAAAAACCACTATAATTTATGATGTTTTATCTGTTTATGATGGTCACACATCAGATTTTTCTAGTGACTTAATTTAGGATTTGGATGCAAGGTAATCTAGCAGGCCCTTAAAAGTATAAATGTATTTTGCACCACCAGAAATCACACAAAATACATTGTGGGGCATTGAAGGGGGGAAAAGGCTGCTAATAAGCTGAACATACCCTTTGTTGTTTCTGAAAAATCATTTCCGTTCAAAGCTTGCCATGCCGGCAGAATAATTTGCTGAAAGGAAGTCTCATGCGATCACCCTAGTATGTCATCCTATCTGAACTGCTGCTTTGGGAGCCAGATTATTTTATTCAAAGAGCAGCTAAGCAAGATATATGGGCTCATAATGCTCCCTGCTTCTCCCATCAATTTCAGAGCCACGTCAATAAGCTTGAATTGCTGTCTGCTAATTACGCTGTTATCTATTCTACTTCTTATTTTAAATATCAGCTTCAAACTGGAACCGTGTAGACCAGCTGAGAAAATCTAATTGATTGAAAATATGCATCTTGTTTATTTTCTGACCAAGAAATCTGTTTGCAGACAAAGTGAGCCATCTCACCTAGTGTGATCGGTTTTGTTTTGTATTTGGATTTTTGCAATAGGATGCATTCTTGAGAAATTAACCTACAACTGCAGGTGGGTTGATGCACACCATGCAAACAGTTGTTTAATTGTGCATTTAACATCAGAGGAGCAGAATACACACAATACTATTTCCCAAGAGATGTATGCAGCAACATACTACCACTGGAATGCTTATGGTAGCAAACAACCTCACCAGGTCCAAGACAGAGCTGGATAAATTAAGGGAGTGGGAAATAAGTTCCTCTCCAGTTTTCTCTGTTGTGGCCTATTGTGCCAAGACATTTTTGCCACTTGCCACCTACTACCACAACAAAATAACACAATGAAACAAAATAACAGTAACAAAATAACCACCATCAGTCAGAACAAGACTCGGGCTAAATATTTCTTTTGCAACCCAAATCTGACTTTCCTTTTATGCAATGATCACACCTTGAGCCATTCTCCTCTTCCTCAAACCCAAATGCTAGAAGAAAAATTCAGAGTAGGAAAGGGTTGAGAGAAGATGCATCTGCCCCCACAAACTCTCTCACACCAGCAAATCTTAACAGCGTAACCTGTATAATTCTCTGAGCCGGATGCAACACTAACCAAATATGAGAAAGGTGTCTCAGAGGACAAAGATCAATTGATAATGAGAAACTGACATAGCTCTTTCCCCTCGGCATCCAAGACATTTAAGAGCTGCAGTTGGGGGTGGGCGGCAATGGGGGATGAGAAAATGCAGGATCAAAAGCCGTTCTTTAAAAAGCAGGGCTGCTGTTTGAACCACAAACAGCTTTTTGGCTCAAACTAAAGTCTGGATATATCACAGGAATAAACTGTGCACTCTCACACTGGCAAGGAAATTGTGTGGCGCAATATACTGGTAATGTGGATAGATATTTGCATCTAATCTAAATTAGTAATGCAAAGATGGAAAGGCCATACACCTACTTTCAGATTGCTAGAAAAAGCCCAAAGGACCGTCGTCGTCCCCCATAAGCACAGAGCCTTTTTTTCTACATCTTCTGCCTTAGAGCCTAGTGCCTAAATTTTAAAATATGTCCGATTGTTATATCTACTTTGAATGAGTAAATTTGTAATACAAGAAGAAGCTGCTGGTGTTTTCTTTTTGAAAAAAGGAAATAAAGTTAAGCATTTAGCAAATAATCACATCCACTGTGCACATAAACAGCAGAGAGCTGCATGCCATGAAGCCAAGATGATTGTTTTTTCCTGGACCAGCTTTCAGATTACAAGGAGCTCCTTTAGGGGGAGAGAAATACCTTTGCTACCAAGTACAGTATGTTTTCCCTCCCAAGCTGCAATGCAACGCACTGCCTAACAATTCATTTGGTCCTTCTATACAAGTTTAAAAAGCTATTGGGAAGATTTGATACGTTTGACAAAGATTGCATTAATGCAGGAGTATGTGCACATACAAAAGCAAAGGTCCATCCAGTATTAAGAACTATTGAGTCCCACTGATTTAAATGGGAGAGTTCAGACTTGAATCTCACCCCTTTATAGAATCACAGAATCATAGAGTTGGAAGAGACCACAAGGGCCATCGAGTCCAACCCCCTGCCAAGCAGGAAACACCATCAGAGCACTCCTGACATATGGTTGTCAAGCCTCTGCTTAAAGACCTCCAAAGAAGGAGACTCCACCACACTCCTTGGCAGCAAATTCCACTGTCGAACAGCTCTTACTGTCAGGAAGTTCTTCCTAATGTTTAGGTGGAATCTTCTTTCTTGTAGTTTGGATCCATTGCTCCATGTCCGCTTCTCTGGAGCAGCAGAAAACAACCTTTCTCCTTCCTCTATGTGACATCCTTTTATATATAAAAGGATTAAAAACAGTGGATTGTTTTATCTGTGCTTAGTTTTGCCTGTATATATACATTATTCTCTCTTTGCGTGTTTATTTCACTTAACACCTTTTAGCTGCTGTGATACTGTGGTCAGTTTAAAAGAACTAACAATAAACGATTATTTATCCTTACAAGAGCAACCGTAGATGAGCCTTACTGTTCCTGCCCCAACCACAAAGAGATTTCACTTCAGTTTTCAGCAATCTCCCTCTATTTACAGGAGACTCAGCATAGACAGGTGGAAGCTTTCATACAATACACAATTAATTAAGAGAGTCTACAGCCACGAGATGTGATGACAGCTGCCGGCTTTATGTATTTTAAAATGGGGGTTTAAAATAAATTCATGAAGGATTGGTCTACCAATAGCTACTAGTCATGATGTGGTCAAATGGAACTTCTGTGTTCAGAGACCAGAGTGCCATTGAATACCACTTGCTAGGAGGAAACTGTGAGAGTCAAATTTTGCCTATAGGTTTCCCAGAAGAATCTACAGTAGACCCTCAGGTTACGTCACTCTCGAGTAATGTAAACTTCAGGTTGCGAAAGCGACAAACCCAGAAGTATTTGTCCAGGTTTCGCTGCTCACACATGCGCAGAAACACACTGCATGCCGCACACATGCACAAGAGCAGCACCTCTGGATACAGATTTTTTGGAGTATGCACAGACCCCTAGAACAAATTAAATTCATATCCAGAGGGTCCACTGTAGTTAGGTCTACGTTTATTAAATTTATATATTGCTTCTCCCCACCGCCAATGTTCCGAAGTGATATACAGTATAACAAAGTTTTAAAAGATGAAGATAAAATCACATAAATAGATTACAAACTATTTTAACAATGCAGTATCATATCATATCATTGGTTGATCAATCTGGGACATGACAAGACTAGACTATTGTATTTTAATATTTTGTTGGAAGCCGCCCAGAGTGGCTGGGGAAACCCAGCCAGATGGGCGGGGTATAAATAATAAATTATTATTATAGACAGACCCTTGGTCTGTTTCAGGAAGACTCATTATGTTGTCATAGTTTCCACTTAAGTACTATATGAAATCAATATGCAGGAAATACATGGGAAAGGAGACGGTATCTAATTCTAAAGAATTCTAAAGAAATGGTGATAAAATCTGCAATCTGGTGCACAGCACATGGTGAAGTCTTATGAAAACCCTGTATCAGTCCATGCAGATGATTGAACACTTGCAACCAGAAAAACTGTAAGCAACTTGTCCAAACAGCACAGAAATAAAGACAAAGGGAATGGAAGGAGCTTTACTGCTCTGTTTTTTCTCTCTCTCCACTGTGATTTTGTTTGTTTGTTTGTTTCAGAAACAGGTTAAAAGGTTTCATGATAATAGTACTATTTACGCTGAACTCGAACTTCGTGCCCTTTCATTTAAAATGCAGAAACAAATAAAGAGAGCTCTAAAAATCTAAGTTTAAAATACTCCAGCTACGCCTCTCTACTTCTTCCTGTAATAGGTTCCAGCTCTCTGCTGGACCGTCTACCAAATGGCAGATGAAAGGTTCAAACTAAGTACACTCACAATGAAAGCTTTAGATCTTAAGGGATGCTCTGGCAAGAAGAAACCAGAGAAAATCCTAGAGGTTAACTGGTATCTCTCCAGCACCGCCAAGTCCATTTTTTTTTTTTTTAATTACAAAACTTTTAGATCTTTACTGTTCCCGAAACAAACAAACGAAAACAACATCCCGAAGCCGCAAGTACTTAGCACAAAAGCACCAGTCTGTCAAGTCATAATTAAACTGGCATGTTCACAGTACTCGGGCGGGCTCTTAGTGTGGTCTGCGTCCAAACAGGACAGAGGTGAAAATGGCACAATATCTCAATGTCAGCGAAAAATAATTCAAAGCATTGTTTGAGGCTTCCTGGGTGGTCCTGCACTTCCCTCCCCATTCCATGTCTTCTTTTGCTTTAGGATCACCTTCCTGACCTCAGATCTCTCTCCCCCCCCCCTCCCCTGGAAAACTACAGGCTGATCCAAGTTCAGTTTCATGGTTTTATCAGGCAAGTGTGTCATTATGACCGCTCTGGCACAATTTGTTAAAGCAGGTGACATCCTTTTGCCTGAGGATCATTGGAGCTATGGCGCCTTCCAAACAAACCAACTTGTAAGGTAGGTCAATGCTTATTCTTCCCAGGTTCCATGGAGCAGGGCTGAGGCTGAAAGAAATCAGTTTGCCCTAGGACAAGGATGGAGAACGACTGACCCATGTACCAGATCCAGCCCATGGCCCCTTTTCGCCAGGGTGGATAAAAATCAATGATTTTTTTTAAAAAAATAAAACAAAATAATGGGTTTTTAAATTTTAAATCAGATTTTTTTTATTTAAATTTTATTTAGATTTTTTAATTTAAATCGGATTTTTTAAAATTTAAATCAGATTTTTAAAATAACATGCTTCTGGAGGAAAAATCTTTCTAAAGATAGTTTTCTATTTAAGTTACATTATAGGCCAAAGGCTATTTATCAGGAAATAAGGATTTGTTTTAAGTTTTTCATGTGTGCTAAAACTCAGTCTAAGGTTGTTGCTTTTTTAAAAAAAACATACACCAAACGTTTAACCACATTCAGTTAAGAAACGTGGATACATATGCTATAATGTTATTGCTTTAGTTAAATAAATTGTTTAAATTGTTATTAAGGAAATGATTATTCTTCTCCTTCCAATAAAGTACAGCAGAAAAGTTGTCCAAATATAAAGTTAACTTACTAAACCTCACAATAATTTCATAATTATCTGTCTATGTATTTCTAAGAGTATAACCAAATCAGTAATTTTTGATATAACTGTAAAAACTACTCTGAAAATGTATTAGTCCAAAAATGAAACCTTCCTCTGGTTGTAAAGATTAAGATTATGCCAGCAAGAATGAGTCTTTCTGTTAAAAAAAATGATTTAAATCAAGTCTTACTGACTAGTGATTTAAATCGTGATTTAAACTGATTTAAATCAAAGCCACCCTGCTTTTCGTCACCAGTTACTCCACCGTGTGGATTCACAGTAGACTAGTTGCAAACCAGCCGGTTTCCAATGCTTATCTCCTTCCTTAGCAACTATGCGGCACCAAGCCAAAAGGGACAAGGCAGATATGTTACCAATGTACCTCCCTGTGGCAGATGACTTTCAAATGGATGGATGTGCAAAGATCCAAGCTTAATGCAGAAATAAAGATTGCTGGCATCATTCGAAGAATCACCTCTGATGCCTTACCTTGGGCACCAGTAAAAAGTATTCTGTAATATACCAATGCTACAATCCCATGAGACCATCAGGAATTACTTAGCAATTTAATCACTACAGTTTGGATTGAGGTGGGCAAGACCCACATATAAAAGACTGGCTGAACTGAGACTGGAAGACATTGAATATTATAAAATCCATGCACTAGGTAAGGCTTAGAAAAGGTAGGGCAGAGGTAAATATATACAATGGTACCTCGGGTTACATACACTTCAGGTTACATAAGCTTCAGGTTACAGACTCCGCTAACCCAGAAATAGTACCTCAGGTTAAGAACTTTGCTTCAGGGTGAGAACAGAAATCATGCTCCAGCGGCGCAGCGGGAGGCCCCATTAGCTAAAGTGGTGCTTCAGGTTAAGAACAGTTTCAGGTTAAGTACGGACCTCCGGAAGGAATTAAGTACTTAACCTGAGGTACCACTGTATGTGGTGCCTTCTAGATGTCGTTGGACTGCAATTCCTATGATCCCTGACCACTGGCCATGCTAGCTGAGGCTGATGGGAGTTGCAGTCTAACATCTGTAAGGCACAACACTGGCTACCCTTGTTTTATGGCTTTTCAAAAGCTTACCATAAAGACTCGAGTATAAGCCGACTTTTTCAGCACATTTTCTTTATGCTGAAAAAGCCCCCCTCAGCTTATACTCGAGTGAGGTGGGCAGCGGCGGTGGAGGGACAAGCAGCCCGAAAGGAGCCCTTTCGGCCTACTTGTTCTTCCTCTGCCACCGTTGCCACCACCACCACCACCAGGTTTGTGGTGTGATGAACCAGCTTATACTCGAGTCAATAGGTTTTCCCAGTTTTTTGTGCTAAAAGTAGGTGCCTAAACTTATATTCAGGTCAGCTTATACTTGAGTATATACGGTATGTTGCTAGTACACAGCCTCTTGATTCTATGGCACTATCTCTGATAAAAGACCAACCCCTCCCATAAGAAGCAACCTGCTGAAGACCTTCCTCAACGACCTTCTTTGGATTCTTGAAAATACTAGAGGGGCGAGGAGAGAGACAATTTCATTCTTTTTTCCTGTTAGCCTTCCAATGACAGGAGAAGGCAGTGTTGTTTTTCAGAGGCCATTGGGGTGCTCTGGTTTGTAGAAGGCTTCCCCGGCTGTTTTACTGAGTTCTTTGTAACTGCAGGTTTTGTTTACTGTTCCTGCTGCTTAATTTGTTGTCTGTGTACTATGTTTTACTCTTATGTCTCTGGTTTTAATGCTATTTGCAGCTTCGCTGAGGCTTCAGTTAAAAAAGTGGGATGCAGATATTCAGAAACAACAATGTCCTACACACTGGTAAGTGGGGAGATCTGTCCCAGTTGCGACTAAAAATCTCTTCATTTTCCACTCCCTTTAGAAAAAGAAGAAAACCCCAGAGCATTGTGCCACTGCAAAGCATTGCCACAGCAGAGCAGAGAATGGGTCGAACCATTGCTATGTCAATGCCAATGGTCCAAAGGGACAAGAATGGGCCAGGTCCAATGAGCTGTCTGCTTCCCCTACCACCATGGCATCAGATCCTATGCACTACTGCATAGTTTTCACTGTTGTTAATCTCTCTTGTATCTTGCTGCTACTGCCCCCACCCCCATGCCAGCGAGAGGACAGAGTGAGCAATTTTCATTTGCAGATGAAGCAACATTAATTCTAACACTTCCAGTCATTATGTCTGTAAGATGATTTCCATCATCATAGTGTGTGTGTGTTTAAAAAAGAGTGTGTGCGCATGCCACAATTGAAAGAGGTGGTTGTGGGATTTGAGCACTGTAATTACCAATCCCCACAAGTCCGTTGGCAGCAGAAAGTGCACGCAGGAATCCCACAGAGGGACAGCAAAGTGGCTTGCTCTGGATCAACAGGTGAAGAGCAATTTATCAAAAGGAAAGCTGCTCTGTTAAGCATTGTATCAGTGGTTGGCTAGGCAGGGGGGTGGGGGAAGACAGAAAATAATAAGTACGCATCAAAAAATATAGAAGCACTGCAGCTTTTGAGATTCCAGAAATCTTGAGCTCTCTTTCTGATAGGCACATGCTCTCCAAAAGATAAAGAAAAAACCAAACAAATCACATACAAATGTGTATGCGCATACACACACAGAGGCAATGGTAAAGCGGTTTTTTTGCTTTCCATCACCATTTGGCACCTCTCCCAGTATGTAAACAGGAAAAAAAATCCATCCCAACAGCTGCCTTCAGCCTGTATCTTCCAACTGAGATAGAACCCACCTCCTCTCTTCCTCTCCAGTATCTGCACCACTTTCCATATTAGACAGAGATACTACTTACGCCTACATTTATGTAACCAACAGACATGGTCATTTCCCAGAGAGAACACATGACTCTTAGTTGGTCTTATGAGGAACATATACACATTTTCATACTTCTTCATACATATTAGTAACAGGGAGAGCTGGGAAGAAGTTATGGGACACCAAGTCACAAATCTTGCAATCTTCTTCACAGAATTTTAATTTGAGAGGAAGCCTTGTGCTGATCAGCAGAGCTGACTTCTGAGTCAGCAAGGGATTGGACTGTATGGTTAGTAAAGAAGTAATATTGTCCACTGGCAGAGAGTCAGACTTGAAAGGGTTATTCTGTTAGTCACTATTTCACAACCTCGGCATCCCACAGAGGACAAGGGTCTTCTTCTAAGGGAGAACTATGCTGCAACCCACTTTACAAATTAAAAAAAGGCTATAAGTCTTTTACCTGGCATTCTTCCAGAATTCAAAAAAGATTAGTGCAGGTTTCAAATCTGTAGTTAAAAGTTTTGAAAGATTCATTTCAATATCTTGATTCAAAATGGCAACCAACTGAACATAAGTGCAGATGAAAACCTGCTCTTTGATGTCAGAAACCAGCATGCAAACTTTGCGTAAGATATCTTAAGAGGTGCTAAAATGTGTGGGAAACAATTGACTTTCCAAAACTTACAGGTAAAGAACTGTTCAGTGCATTTTACGCTGCTTTCCCAAAGCTCAATGTGGCTTAAAGACTAGAGTAAGATTCAATAATAATTTAAGCCACAAGAACAGGCATGTTATGAACATGTCCAAGAAATCTTAACACTCATCTAACAACGTCTTGAAAGGCCAGGAATTGGACTTTTTCAATCAAATTGCAACCATTATTCAGTTGTGTGGGTTGGGTTGTACCAAATCCTGACACACTGCAAATGCCACCATATTGGGAACAAGCTTTGGTATCTTCTTCTTCAGTGAAATACACAAACTATGCTCCTTCAGACCACTGAAAGCAACCTCCAGGTTGAAGGAGTTCAGAAATGGGACAATGGGTGGGGAAATTACTTGATGTGGCTAAAGAAAGACAAACAAGAATCTAACAAAGGTATTGCTACTGGGTCATTTGGGGGGAAAGCACCTTATTGTTTTTAGAGTTAGTTTGCCATTTCTGCTCTCTTCAGCTATAGTCTTTCTTCAGATGCATTAACCAAAGGAAATACAGTCAACAGAAAACCCAAGAAAATTGATTAAATTACTGGCATCATTTTGTGTTAGGAGTCTGTGTTGAGCAGGCATTGGGAACCTTAATCCTAGGAGCTGAATGCATCCCTTGAGATTTCTCTGTCTGACCCTTGGACATCCTTCCTGGCCACACCTCTCATTGGCCTTGCTCCATACCCTCCTTAAGTACTTCTGTATATTCTTGAACTATGATCATTCTTCTTGCTTGCTCAGATGGAGGATGGAGAGTGGGCATAGAAACATCTGTAGCATAAAGCTAAGAGTCACTTTGCCTCTGGTCCCACCCACCTTGAGCTTGCAAACCCCTGGAAGACTTCCTGAAAAGGTTCTCTAGGTAAAGGATAAAGGGACCCCTGACCGTTAGGTCCACTCGCGGATGACTCTGGGGTTGCGGCGCTCATCTCGCTTTACTGGCTGAGGAAGCCGGCGTACAGCTTCTGAGTCATGTGGCCAGCATGATTAAGCCGCTTCTGGCAAACCAGAGCAGCACATGGAAACGCTGTTTACCTTCCCGCCAGAGCGGTACCTATTTATCTACTTGCAGTTTGATGTGCTTTCGAACTGCTAGGTTGGCAGGAGCAGGGACCGAGCAACGGGAGCTCACCCCATCGTGGGGATTCGAACCGCCGACCTTCTGATTGGCAAGCCCTAGGCTCTGTGGTTTAACCCACAGCATCACCTTGCATTAAAAAGCAGAGATATTCTTACAGGAACTATATTAGCAGCATCCAGAAAAGGGAGGAGGACTCAGATGACACTCAATACTAAGCAGCATTTTAAACGCTGCCTTAGACTCAGATGTTGAAAAACAAAATAAATCAAAAACACCTCTGTTTTTAAAATATGTAAGGGCACTTAAAAGCAACTTTCCTAATGCAGATTTTATTTGACCTGTAACTGATTACTGAACATCTGCTAAGAGGTTTCAGCCAGTCTCACAAAGAAGAAAGTTTCTGCTTTCTTAAGAGGTTTCCACAGCGTTTGGAGAAGAGCAACTTGAGACCACTCATCTGGCAGTCAGGACCCACAGCTGCCTACAGCAGCGTTTTATGGCTAAGATTATTTGGTCAGTCCAGGATTCATAACTGCTTCATTTTAACTTCTGCGCTGGCTTTCTTTTGTACAGACTCAGCTGGAGGCTTGCATAATTCACCCGGTTTCCCACGATACAAGCACTCTGAGACTTCTTCCATCACCCACTCAATTCTCGCAAGCAGCAAACGGGATTCTCGACAGCAAGACATTTTTGCTCTGGGAGTGAAGAAAGGGAATGGTCATGTTTAGACTATTATCCGAACCATGGTTTGGAGGCCCAAGAACAAACAACAGTGAGCTTCAGGGTAACATGCTGCCTCCTTCCCTTCTCCATAGTTGTGTCTTGCTTTGAGGACAAACGATGGTTGATGCAAACCATGGTTTATCACATGCAGACAGAAAGGTATCTTGTTGGTATTTAGAAGCAGAATTGCTTAATCTCCTCCCTTGACGTACAGCAGAAGGGGAGGAGGGAGTGTACACACCTGCCACTCATATAGCCAATCCATCATCTCAATTCAGCCATGCTCTTTTACATCACAGAAGATACAAATGGAAGATTACTTTAGCTCAGCGATGGGAAGCTTGTAGCCCTCCTGATGTAGCTGAACTCGGGCCAGCATACCCAATTGTGGGGGATCATGGGAGTTGTAGTTCAGAAGAGTCTGGATGAGCACAGGTTAGCCACCCCTGTTTAGATGAACTACTGAAAATGGAAGCCTAGCATATTCTGTAAAGGACAGGACCAAAGGTCTCCACAATCTTCCCATGCAATCAACACAACCAGCAACTAAGCGCAAATGCAGTGACAAACTGGCCCAGCTACGCACACGAATAGTGTGGAAAAATAATACTCCTATTTTAAAATAAGTGGTGCTACTTCCAGTCTGTTGCTATAGTGATGAAGGGCCTAGCAGAGCAGAGAATGGCTCAAAATGATCCAGCAGTCAAGCAAGTGAGAGGCACTGTTATCAGAGATATGGATTCTGCAGCCAGTTGCACAGCAAAGTGGCAATCGATTTATTAAAGAGAAGACCCTCTCACTTGCTTTCTGCTCCTGTGCATCCTTTTCTCAGCTAAGTGCTTGGCTGGGCATCTTGCGTGGAGTAGCCCTACGAAAGGTTGTCTTAAGAGTAAGCACAGCACATGTAGACCTGTGATGGATGTTGATCATTAATGTGGGGCAGTCCTGCAGCCAAACAGGCCACAGCACTGCTTTGAATGATATATTTAATGAAGCATCATCAATACTCTGCAGGCCTCTTCCCTCAACTATAAGGGGAAGGAGGACAATACCTTGTGGTGCACCAAAACAGATACAGCTGCACTGGCCCTTGGACTGCTATCGCCCACAATATATCCCTGAAGTCATTGGGGATAAAAGAGCCTTATTCATTGCAGTAGTTTAAAGTATTTCCTATTATAGTGTCATCACACAAACAGAGCAGTTTGATGCTCTTCAGCAATGTAAACCCTGAAAAGGAGGGATAGGATATGCTGGGTGAGTAGAAAGAGAGAGTAGATCAAGCACTGGACCCCATGGCTTAACTTTCACTCCTCAGACAGAATCCAGAGCACTGGGTATTAGGGTTTGAAAACAAAAAGACTAGACCAGGGGTCAGCAAACTTTTCCCACAGGGGGCCAGTCCACTGTCCCTCAGAACTTGTGGAGGGCCGGACTCTCTCTCATTCTCACTCTCTCCATATATTTCAATAATAATAATAATAATAATAATAATAATAAATTTTATTTATATCCCGCCCTCCCCAGCCAAAGCCAGGCTCAGGGCGGCTAACAACAAACAAATAATCAAACAATCAAATAATCCAACATTCTAAAACATTTCATTATAAAAATTAATTAAAATCAAATTAATGGCAACCGTTAAGCAAAGTTCTGTGCAGGTTGCCGGAGGTGGGAGTCAGGCTGGGCCCTGACCAAAGGCCTGGTGGAACAACTCTGTCTTGCAGGCCTTGCGGAAAGATGTCAGGTCCCGCAGGGCCCTAGTCTCTTGTGACAGAGCGTTCCACCAGATTGGAGCCACAGCCGAGAAAGCCCTGGCTCTAGTTGAGGCCAGCCTAACCTCTCTGAGGCCTGGGACCTTCAGGATGTTTTTATTTGCAGACCGTAGGTTCCTCTGTGGGGCATACCAGGAGAGGCGGTCCCGTAGGTACGAGGGTCCTAGGCCGTATAGGGCTTTAAAGGTTAAAACCAGCACCTTAAACCTGATCCTGTACTCCACCGGGAGCCAGTGCAGCTGGTATAGTACCGGATGAATGTGATCTCGCAGCGAAGACCCCATAAGGAGTCTCGCCGCGGCATTCTGCACCCGCTGGAGTTTCTGGGTCAGTCTCAAGGGCAGCCCCACGTAGAGCGAGTTACAATAATCCAGTCTGGAGGTGACCGTCGCGTGGATCACAGTGGCTAGGTCAGGGCGAGAGAGATAAGGGGCCAACTGCTTAGCTTGGCGGAGATGAAAAAATGCCGCCTTTGTTATAGCTGTAATCTGCGCCTCCATAGAGAGGGAGGTATCGAAGATTACACCCAAACTCTTAACGGATGGTGCTGGCACTAATTGCACCCCCACAAGAGATGGGAGTTGCCCCCCCAATCCCATATCGTCCCGTCCCAGCCAGAGGACCTCTGTCTTCGAAGGATTTAACTTCAACCGGCTTCCGCGTAACCATCCAGCCACAGCTTCCAAACATCTGGTCAGTGTGTCTGGGGCCGAGTCAGGATGGCCATCCATCAACAGATAGAGTTGGGTGTCATCGGCATACTGATGGCAACCCAGCCCAAAACTCCGGACAAGCTGGGCGAGGGGCGCATAAAGATGTTAAAAAGCATCGGGAGAGTATCGCACCCTGAGGCACTCCACACACCAAGGAGTGGCGGGATGACAATTCCCCCAAGCGCCACCCTCTGTCCCCGACCGGAGAGAAACGAGCGCAGCCATTGAAGGACTGTGCCCTGGATCCCCACGTCGGCAAGGCGGTGGTCCAGGAGTTCGTGATCAACCATGTCGAAGGCTGCTGACAGGTCTAGAAGAATCAGCAGCCCCGACCCGCCTCGATCCAGCTGCCTGCGGAGATCATCTGTTAGGGCGACCAGAGCCGTCTCGGTCCCATGACCAGCGCGGAAGCCAGACTGGAATGGATCCAGAGCCGATGTTTCATCCAGAAACCTACCAAGCTGTTCAGCAACCGCTCTCTCAATCACCTTACCCAGGAATGGAAGATTCGAAACCGGGCGGTAATTGGATAGATCTAAGGGATCTAATGATGTTTTCTTTAAGAGCGGGCGCACCACTGCCTCCTTCAATTCCCCTGGAAATATCCCGGTGCCAAGGGACAAATGAATTTCTATGCACACTGAGAGGGGGGCAAGTAGTCCTCCTCCCACACACACACACCCCAGCTCCAGCTGCCTGCCTCACTCGACAAAGGGCTGGCGGCGGTGGCATGAAACGCACTTCCTCCCCGCCTAGAGAAAGAAGGCGCTGTGCTTACCTCCCCAGGGGCTGCCACCACCGCCGCCACCACTGCCACTGCTTCTAGTGAAGCGGGTAGGCAGAGCGAGCTTGTCCACTCTGCTCTGTGACCCACAGGAGCACCAGGACAGTGGCAGTGGGAGGAACAGGCTGAGTGGCAGCGGCTCTGCCAATCAAACCAGGCATGGATTCTGATTGGCAGAGACGTCCCAATGCTGCTCTGAGGTAAACCAGGTGCGGTGTTTGATTGGCAGAGTTGCCGCCGCTCAGCTTCTTCCTCCCATCACCATCGCCAGGAGTCTTGGCTTCGCGGCGGGTTCTGCCTTCACAGTGCAGGCCAGATTTGTGAGCCTGGGGGGTCGCATCCGGCCCCTGGGCCTTAGTCTGCCAACCCCTGGACTAGACAGACAGCCTTTCAACAGCAACAAAAGTGTATACAGCTTAAGCACAAGACAGAACACACAGTATTCCTTAATGCCTCTGATAATACAAAGCTCATTCTTACATTTAGCCACTGATATTCATATCAATGCATTCTAAGGCCATCATAGAAGAAGGCCTACTTTATCAAATCACTGTGAAAAGCAGAACAAGTGAAGATAGGACCACAACTGTTCCCAAGTTCAGGTACCCTAGCACAAAGGATACTAGCATCTGTCATCATTTACTAATTTTAGTATTCTTCCTTTTCTAGGTGTTACATCAAGCACACCCATCTACCGCACCAGAAAAGGCAATGGAAATGTTTCCAATCTGGTCTTTTCCTTTCAAATACATGGAAGCTAAAGGCAGGTGAGGATTAGGCTGCACTGCTTGAAACACACACACACACACACACACACACACACACGTGCCCTGCATTACTGACTGGCATGCTACGTAAGAGGAGTGGTGCTTAAGAACATAAGTAGGGGATGGCAGGATCACACCAATGGCATATCTAGTCCAGCATCCTGTTCTCTTCCATGGCGGCCCACCACATGCCCATAGGAAACCTGCAAGCAGGACCAGAGTACAAGAGCATTCTCTCCCTTTGTGGCTTTCAGGAACTGGTATTCAGAAGCATTATTGCTTCTGGCTGTGGAGGCAAAGAAGAGCTATCATGGCTACTGGCCCTTGATAGGCTTCTCCCCCATGAATTTGTCCAATCCTCTTTGAAAGCCATCCAGGTTGGTGGACAGCACTGTCTCCTGTCGAGTAGCAATTTGTGTGAACGAGCAGCCATCCCAGATGCAACCACTGGCAGAGTGGGGGAACCATTTTTATCATTTCAGCCATAGTGCTTTCCACTGGAATCAGTTAATACATCCACGTATAAACTAGCCTCGAAACCACAGTTCACAGTTTTCTCCTTTAGAAGACCTCACCTTACTCCAGAAAGTTGCAGACCTATGGGCCACCCTCATGGATATTCCTCACCTCAGCAAGCAAGCAATTCTTTGCAAGGGAAATCATTAATCTGACACACATCTTGAAAAGTTCCCCATGACAAAGTGCTATGCACAGCCATTGGATAGGTGGATAGCATTTGTACTGCTCTACAGTGCTGACATACAATGCTTCTTCGCCTTTATTCAAGCATTTTTGGCCACTTTCACACATAGCACTAAGCCAGAAAACATTGTCCATTAAACCACACAGTGGTATCTCGGGTTAAGAACTTAATTCGTTCTGGAGGTCCGTTCTGAACCTGAAACTGTTCTTAACCTGAGGTACCACTTTAGCTAATGGGGCCTCCCACTGCTGCCGTGCCGTCGTTGTACGATTTCTGTTCTCATCCTGAAGCAAAGTTCTTAACCCGAGGTACTATTTCTCGGTTAGCAGAATCTGTAACCTGAAGCGTATGTAACCCGAGGTACCACTGTAGTTATGTCTGAACACGGTTTGTTCCACCCAAAAAATTATGCTCACTAAGCCAACAGCAAGCCGTGGCTTCAAAACAGCTAGTGATCAGTGGTTTGGGCAAAAGAAACCATGGTCCTGGATTCAGAAATAATGCTAAACCAACCATTTCATTGTCATCTTTCCTCCTCATGGAGGAATTCCATCCGCTCATGGAATTGAAAGCAAAACAACTGTGAGAAAGAGAAATAGGACCCCGTCAATCACAGCTCAATGCTGCAAAGAAGGAAAATTACTCCCCACACTGAAGCCTACAAAAAAACCTCCATGACAATAATGAAGAGGCGCAAAGGACACATCCCATTTTAAATCTCTTCCTCTGGAAATCTGGCCTGTTGCCTGCTCCCTACCCCCACCCCCAAATTAATGCACATGAAGCTTGGATAGAGATATTAAATTAGAATGATTAAAGGCCCAACTCGCAGGTTTTACAAAAGGATTACAGCTAATCAATCCAGCATCCTGCAGAGGAAAAAAAAAACATTTGCTTGCAAGGCTGATAAATTGGTGACTAATAGTTAATCTCTAGAGATTAGCATTTCTTATTTTGTCATTTCCAGGAAGGGTAGCTGTGATAGTCTACTTCAGAAACAAAAAAAGAGCAAGAGGAAAAAAGCATTTTAAAAATCAGCAAATTTATTGTGGCAGAGCCCACTGACTCAGATGCATGAACTGTTGTCTTTAGTTGGTGAAGATTATGTATATATATTTTTAATCTCTCTCACTCACTCAAACAAACATGCACAAGTACAAAGTGGGAGGGATGTAAACAGTGAGGTCCAAAAGAATGAAATGTCATAAACTGTATCCTTACATTTAGGTGTCTTTCTGTTTCTATTTCTACACACACCGCAATAAATAAATGTTATGCCACAGTGTATCTATCTGTCTTGAAGGTGCAACAAGACTTTTTGCTGAGTGATATCTAGCTCAAGGAAAGACGGAAAAGAGAGTGTTGCTATCTCAATTGCTCACTACCTAGATTTTATCTGGCATGAGATTCAAGAACCCCAGACCTCCACATTTCATGTATGAAGGACCTCCCTGCAGGGACAAACGGGGAACAAATTAAACTGAAGAGTTGTCAACTATCTCTCTACATTCCAGAGAACATGGCAGCAGAAGGTACTGATAAAAAAGGCAGGTTCACAGAAAATAATATTTGTATTACATGGGATACTGCAGTCTTTAAGCACCTAAGAATGAATGGAAGTTCACTGAGGAAGATCTATGAATTAAGTTTGAAAATATACAGACAGTGTATCTGACAGAGGAACTCAGCCTTGAAAATAAATCCAAAAAAAGTTACTGATGCATTGAAATTTATACTAGCCAATCTGCTTGTGCATACCTTACTCATTTATCGTGCAGTCACTGCAGAAAAAATACCGTCCATTTTAAAAAATCTTCCTTGTCTTGTCACCTGGATACAAATATTACTCACCACAGAGAACCAGGCAATTAACTGTTTCCTGCCTGCAGGAATTACACAGTTCGAACGTGCACTCAAAGCTTTCAGAAGCTTTACATTGCTTCAAAAGCTGCACTTTCCCCTTTACTTTTTAAAAAAGGTGTTACAATTTAAATTTTAGAATCTCCCCCCAAAAAATAATTATAAAAAGCTTTCAAGAGAATATTCAAACTTGAGAATGTGCAAGTCAAAAACCAGTTGCCATGAAATTTATATATATATATCAATCACTTGAGAAAAACAGGAAATATCTTTTCCTCTTGCAGCTCTGATGTATCAACAGGGCAAGTGGGAAAATTGTGGAATGGTTAGGGGATCATGACTACTTATGTCATCAGGAAGGAGGGGAATGCTTACAACACAATGCATTTTTAAAAAAAGTTATTCTTGCATTGGCAAGTGTCTATACAAATCTGTGCACCATAGTTTGAGCTAAGGGGATATTGGAATTATATGCATGCCAAACACTTGTACTACCCTTTGAGGGTGATACAAAATTCACCATCAGGCCGAGTAAGCTTGCTTTCAGTAAAACCTAAACACCTGCATTACCTTTTACAACAGCAATGGTTGGACCAGTTAAATCACGGCACCTTACAAATGTATGACTAGGGCCTTATCTATTTATTAATCATCAGGAAAGCATAATTGATTCCCCCCTTACACAAACATACACACCCCTACATTTTTTCTATCATACAAGTACCCTGCTGAATCCGACTAAAGGTCTCACCCATCTTCCTGTTTCTCAGTGTAGTTAACCAGATCTTTCTCAAAAGTCAGCAAGCAGAGTATGAAGATAATAACCACCCATCACCATTTATGTATTTAATTTATTTGTAAAATTTATATCCTGCCCTTTATCACCAAGTGATCTCTGGGTGGGTAGCAACCATAAAAATACAGCACTTCATAAAATCAACCAACGCATTAAAACAGAAGCAATGTTGCACAGTTCAGACCACGCAACATTCACCTCCTCCGCTCAGTACACACCAGAACCTTTAGAGCAGTCTTTCTCAACCTGTGGGTCCCTAGATGTTGTTGAACTACAACTCCCATCACCCCTAACTAGCAAGGCCAGAGCTCAAGGATGATGGGAGTTGTAGTCCAACAACATCTGGGGACCCACAGGTTGAGAACCACTGCTTTAGAGGATTACGTCCCCAAAGACTTGACAGAAAAGTTTTCAGATAGTGATGAAAAATAACTAAAGTTGGTGGCAGCTATACATCAATAAAGCTGTTCCATCACCAGGGTGCCATCACCGAGAAGGCTCTGTCCCATAGATTTCACTTGGCAATGCTATGACAAGCAGTAGCTCTCAAAATCACAGCCAGGACAATACAGACAGGGAGGCACTCCTTCGGATAACTCAGTCCTAACCATTCAGGGCTTTGTATGTCAGAATCTTGAATAAGGCTTGGCGGTATGAAGTACGGATCTTTAAGGACCAAGGTTATGTGATCCTGAGCAGGACACCCCGCCCCCCAAAAAATGTGGTATTCAGCGTTCACTGCCCCTGAACCCAGAGGTTCTATTTACCCATTATAGATAACCACCACTGATAAACCATGAGTTTGTCTACTCTGCAGTATATTTTAGAAAGGCTGTTCTCTATGCATTTGGACACCTCTTAAGAAATTTTGCATGATGGTTCCTGAGATCGAGGAGCAGGATATTGTCCATATTTGGGATACAATTGGATGCTTTTAAAAATCAAGATGGCAGACAGAACCATTCAAATCTCCCCTGGATTTACCACTGATTTCTAAACTGATTTTCCCCCCTGTGTTTTATAATTCCACTGGGCATGAGGCTCCTGGTCTCCTACAAAGTGAAGCCCACAAACATCTCCGCATTGTGGAGCAGGGAATGCCATAAATTATGTGTTATAGGAAGAGAAGTATTTTCATATCCTCAGAATAATCCCATGGGCTAAACTGGGCTGAGATATACTTACTGGCCCAAGATCGGCCAGTAACCTTTGTGCCAGAGGAAGAACACAGCAGAATTCAGCAGCCAGATTATGAATATGAACTAGGCACTCAGATTAGATCACACCCATTATGGTGTGGCTGCACTGGTTGCTAAATTGCTCCCAAGTCCAATTTAAAGTGCTGGTTTTGACATATAAAGTTTTTCATGGCTTGGGACTTTTAGAAGACATCTGAAGGCAACCCTATTTAGGGAAGCTTTTAATATCTGAAGGACTATTGTGTTTTAATATTTTGCTGGAAGCCGCCCAGAATGTCTGGGAAAACCCAGCCAGGTGGGTGGGGTATAAATAAATAAATAAATTATTATTATTATTATTATTATTATTATTATTACAGTGGTACCTCTGGTTACGTACTTAATTCATTCCGGAGGTCCGTTCTTAACCTGAAACTGTTCTTAACCTGAAGCACCACTGTAGCTAATGGGGCCTACCGCTGCTGCCGCGCAGCCGCCGGACGATTTCTGTTCTTATCCTGAAGCAAAGTTCTTAACCCAAGGTAATATTTCTGGGTTAGCGGAGTCCGTAACCTGAAGCGTATGTAACCTGAAGCGTATGTAACCTGAGGTACCACTGTATTCTTATTCTTATTATTAGGACCCCAAAAGCTCACTGACGGCTGTTTCTACAATAATGAGCCCCAAAAAAGTTATCAGAGGCCATTCTCTGGGAGAAGAGAGACAGGGCCTTTTCAGTGGCAGACTCCCATTGTGGAATGGTCACCTCAGGAAAACTCAGCAACATTTACATCCTCAGTCAAAGGCATTTTTGTTCTACCAGGTTTTTGGGTGCTAACATTGTCGCGGTACTTGCTGCTATTTTCATGGGCAATCTCTTGGGTTTGGAGGTGGTTATCCTTTTGGTGAATGGGAAGAATTTTTTCTTTTCTTTTTAAGGCAGTATAATTGTTGGTCACTTTTAATATATATTACCACTGTAAATGTTGTTGGATTTTTCTTTGTATAAGCCACCATGGAGCAAGTTGCTCTGGGACGGTTCTTGCACAAAACAACTCATAAAATAACCCAAGCCTACGTTATTCTAGGACCAAGATGGGGAAGCTGTGACCCTCCAGCTGTTGGGGCCCCAGATGTTGTTGGACTGCAACTCCCATCATCCCTGACTATTGACTATGCTGGCTGGGGCTGATGGGAGTTGGGAGTCCGACAAGAAGGTCGCAGGTTCACCGTAGCTGCCCTAGAACAAATGACTCCTACAAAAATTAGGCATGTAAATCACCACTAGCCAGTCATCGCCATAGTGAGTAAGGATTTCCCTAGGTGACCAGATTTTTTAAAAGCCCATTTGTGTGCTAAACATTTGTGGATTTGCAAAACCAAAGAAAGCATTACATGAGGGCAGGGGTGGAGTAATATGCATGCATCTGTTAATTTATTAAGACAATCAGCTGCATCCCCTACATTAGAGGGAGAGTTCATTCAAGCAGGAGCTATGCCTTGCAAGTAATTTACTTGCAAGTAAGTCCAGTTGTGGCAAATGGAGCTTCTTCCCCAGTTCCCCCCCCCCAGGACTCCAGCCTCAACACTCGAAGTACTATAAAGCGTCAAAAAAATGGATGAAAATGCTCATCACATTCCACTCAGACGCTGCTCCCTAAAGTGTGTGTGTGTGTGTGTGTGTGTGTGTGTGTGTGTGTGTGTTCATACGCCAGACAACTTACTTGCGCCTTCGATTTTGTCCGATCCCCTGCTCCAAATGATCTGCCTGGTCTCCAGCTTCACCTGGAACGTTTTCCTTTCTGGCCTTTGGGACTTTTTGGAGTAAAACAAAGTCATCACGGTGCCCACTTCCAAGCTCCTGGAGAGGTGAACCACTTCGGCTTCGCTTGGGTTGCAGGGTCCATTGGTAAAAACAGACGCCATGGTGGCTTCCCGAGTCCTTTTTCTTCTCTCTTTCTCTCGCCCCCCCTCGGGTTCAGCAAACGCAGGGCGAATGAAGGGGGGGAAAGGGGGCAGAAAACTTCCCAAACAAAAGAAGGAGTTCAAACGCTTCTTCTACGCCAAAGCTGGAAGCAAAAGCGTGGAAAGCGGGGAACCGGGTTGTGGATTTATTTATTTTTTCAACTCCACACCAACATCCTCCGAGCCTTTTCCAACCGAGAAGCAACGAATTTCAAATCTTGGGAAGCCGTCCCTCCAGGGAAGGAGCCAGGATGCCACCACCGACCAGTGTTTATAATGCGAACGGGAGGGAAGAGGCGAACTCCTTAGCCCCGGTCGGTGGGCGCCCTCTTGGGAACCAGCAGCTCTTCGATCCCCCAAAACGAGAGAAAATCGCCCCTCTCCCCTTCGCGATCATGCACCATTTTCCCTCTGCTTGCTTTCTTTTCTTCCTTCGTTCCTTTTTGGGGTTTCACCCACACCCCCTCCGCGTCTTCTCAAGTCTTTTAAAACGAAAGCGAGCAGAAAGGGAATCGGGCCGGATGGTACGGTGGCGGCGGCGGCGGCGCGGGAGGTAAGAGAAAACAAATATGCATAAAAATCTAACTCCAAGTCGGTCTTCCCCAAGCGCAAGCAAGGCTGGCCGGGGGCTAGAAAGGGCTGGCTGCGATCGGGGGCGGAGAGGAGGGCTCTGGCAACCCCCGCAGCCTTGCTCCCTCCCCCTGCGACTGCCCCTCTTATCCCCGCCCCCTTCCCTCCTCCTCCTCCTCCTCCTCTGCCAGCCCCCTTTGGCGCTGCCTCGACTCTGCAGGCAGATCTCTCTCTCTCGGAATCGATCAGAGACAGGCTGATAAAGATCTCCCTAGAGCTCAGCAAGTAATGGCTGGAAGTAGCGGGGGGAGGAAAACCTCCAGTAATCGGAGTCCATTGCACATTCTTAAATGACTCTCTTGTGTCGTGCTTTGCAGCAACGTATGCAAGGTCGGAGTGAGGGGGGGGGGCGTTGTAGCAGGATTTTCTTTTTCGCATACCGCCCCCCCGGTCCTACCACCCCCACCTTCCTTTCTTTGCACATTATAACAAGGGAGGAGGAGGCTCAGGGTTGGATTCGGACGCCCTCGTCTCCAGATCCTCTCCCCAAAGTGAGCAGGCAGGGCTAGTCCGCAGGGCCCAGCGAGAAGCGAAGATTTCCTTAATCCAGTTTTTCCTCCTTGCCTTTGCATGTGAAGGGGGGGGGGGCAGAGAGATCAGGAGACTTTGGGGGTGGCGGGTGGGTTTTTCATCCCAGCACAAGTGAGGCAGTGGCACGTTTCTGTTGGGTCTTGTCTTCGCGCGCCCCCACCCCAAATCAAAAGGGAGCCCAGGAGAGGAGTGGTCGCGCTGGAAGGAAGATGGGAGGCGCCGGGCTTCGCAATGCAGGGCCCTTTTTGCGGCCTGCGAGTCTCGGGTCGACTCGCGTCCAGGTGGCGGGTTGGTTGGTTGGTTTGTTATTTTTTCGCCTTCTTCCCGAACACGTGACGGCGCCTAAGAGAAGAAGCAGGAAAAGGACGCGGTGGGGTCGGGCGTCGGGATTGTCGCCAATTGCGTGGTGGAAGGCTGCAGTTGGGACAGGCAGAAGAAAATGCAACAGAGGCAGACACACACGCCACTCCGCTGTGGAATTCGGATCAATGGCTACTGTGTTGTGGTAGCTCCAGTGTTGGACTGGGGAGACCCGGGTTCAAATGCCTGCTTAGCCCTGACGTTTCCCAGACAGTGTTAGGTCAGGCACCCGATCTCAGCTGCTGCTTCTTTCAATACTGTATACTTAATTTTCAAAATAAAAGCTGTTAAGTATGGTCTAGAAGTATTGGTTCCCAATAAACCAAGTACTGCAGACCCCCTACTTTGGAAAAATTTGGTATCTCTGTGGTAGCTTTTGTTATGTGAATGGTGCCACAGACCCCCTGGGGTCCGCAGGCCACCAATTGGGAACCACTGGTGCAGAAAACAAACAATAGGGCCTTGAGACAAAAACCTAAAACCAGTAATCAGTGATATAAAAGCATAAAAGCAAATGAAACGGAAATTCAAACATGTGCCACAGGGTCCATTCTTGTGAGTCAGGGAAAGCTTGGGCGGAAAGATCTCAAAAGCGACATGCGGTTAAAATCAATTCTTCTGATTGGAAATCCTCTTAACAGATTTTAATACAGTCATACCTTGGGTGTCAAACGGAATCTGTTCCGGAAGTCTGTTCAACTTCCAAAACGTTTGGAAACCAAAGCGCAACTTCTGATTGGAAGCTCCTGCAGCCAATCGGAAGCCGCTGAAGCCCCATCGGATGTTCAGGTTCAAATAATGTTCGCAAACCAGAACACTCACTTCTGGGTTTGCGGCGTTCGGGGGGAACCAAAACATCCGAGTACCAAGGCGCTTGGGATCCCAGGTATGACTATTGTATTTTTATAGAGCAGCCTGCCCTAGGATGTTATGATGAAGTAATATCAATAATACATACTTTCCCTTCCTTCACCCTAAGGTCTCGAGGTGGATTACAACACAACACAAGTAATGCGGTTTGAGACCAAGTAAAGCCCTTGCGGAGGAGCCTCCCGGGATGTGCAGTGGCTTTGTATGAGGCCTCTCCACGGCCAAGGAGGTTCCTTCATTGGGTCCCCTGCCAACTGCTGTGGTGGGATGGGGGACCTAGGGAAACAGCCCCACAAGAGGAGCCCTTCTGTGCCCTGCCTGGCTGGCCTCTGGTCTCCTCCAAAGAAAAAACACAAAAACACTACAAAAACCAACCTACCTCACAGGGTCGTTGTAAAGAGAAAACATGGAGGGGGAGAACCTTCTACATTGTTCCTTCAATAGAACTTCCAGCTTCAGGGGCTGTATACTCCTGAATGTCACTTGTTGGGGGACAACCCTAGAAGACAGTTTTCGCCTTTAGGCCTTCCTTGTGACCTTTCCAGAGGCATCCAGCTGGCCACTGTCGGAAGCAGAGGTATTGGACCGAGTTGACTTTCAGTCAGGTATATAACTCTATAGGTACACTCAGTTGAGAGAAAGCCCTATTTCCATTCTGAGTAGAAACGCCTAGGGTTGAGCTGCTAGTGGAAAGGATACTGTTCAGGGAGAGAAACTGTGATTATTATCAAAGTGGCGTAATAGTACTCTTTTAAGCAGAGAGGGAAAGAAGAATGTAAAGAGCGATGTTTGGTTTCTGTAATGAAAAAAACAAGGATCCATACGTGCTTAGAAGCCATGTCCTCTGCCCTAGAGACCTTTCCCTCTAATATTAGGGGTTGAGATTTGGGGGACTGTGTGTCCTACTTTGCGCAGGCCACTTCTCTAGTTGAATGGCTGTCAGAAGACAGTCTTCTGTTTGAAGGGCTGTCCAGTCCAACCCTGGTTTAACCCTAAGAATGGAGAGCAGATGCCTTGAAGTTGCCCGTCCACCACACAGCTGCACACACACTGTACATTGAAAGCACACACACACACCCCTCCTGGGAACTGCAATGTACACCTAACAGAGTTGCAATCCCCAATGCCCTTAACAAACTACAGTTCCCAAGATTCTTTGGTGGGCAGGAGCAAGCAAAATGCTTCAAAAGTATAGTGTGTATACTATACAGAGCTGACGCACAAGTTGTCTTCCTCACTGTGGTGAGGCATTTCTGTTCAAATCATGTTGCTGTTTAGTCGTGTCCGACTCTTCGTGACCCCATGGACCAGAGCACGCCAGGCCCTCCTGTCTTCCACTGCCACCCACAGTTTGGTCAAACTCATGTTTGTAGCTTCGAGAACACTGTCCAACCATCTCATCCTCTGTCGTCCCCTTCTCCTTGTGCCCTCAATCTTTCTCAACATCAGGGTCTTTTCCAGGGAGTCTTCTCTTCTCATGAGGTGGCCAAAGTACAGAAGCCTCAGCTTCAGGATCTGTCCTTCCAGTGAGCACTCAGGGCTGATTTCCTTAAGAATGGATAGGTTTGATCTTCTTGCAGTCCATGGAACTCTCAAGAGTCTCCTCCAGCACCATAATTCAAAAGCATAAATTCTTCGGCGATCCGCCTTCTTTATGGTCCAGCTCTCACTTCCATACATCACTACTGGGAAAACTATGGCTTTAATTATACGGACCTTTGTTGGCATGATGATGTCTCTGCTTTTTAAGATGCTGTCTAGGTTTGTCATCGCCTTTCTCCCAAGAAGCAGGCGTCTTTTAATTTCGTGGCTGCAGTCAGTGATCATGGAGCCCAAGAAAGTAAAATCTCTCACTGCCTCCATTTCTTCCCCTTCTATTTGCCAGGAGGTGATGGGCCCAGTGCCCATGATCTTAGTTTCAAATCATAGTACAGTAATGATTTTGAAATGTGCATATAAATGAACATGTGCACATTTTATGCAGATCCATGTCCTCTTTTACCCACTTCTCTGCCCCCCCTTTTTTTACAGTGTCATAGAATTATAGAGTTGGAAATGGCCCTGAGGATCATCTAGTCCAACCCCCAGCAATGCAGGAATCCTGCCCAAAGCTTTTCCTAGGTGGACTCAAACCACCAACCTTCTGGTTAACAGCCAGATGCGCTGACTTGTTGCACCACCTGGACATCCTGCTGGGGACTGGTTGTGGTTACTAGCTAAAGTTTTTCTCTTTCTAGCTGGTCGTCTTTGCCTTTAAGATCTACAGTTGCAATTGAAATTATTCACACACACCCCTCATTGCAATTAGGGTTTATTATCAAAATTGACAGACTTTTCAGCTGTTTGCAATGAGCCAATCAAACAAAAGTCGTTCTGACTCAAGCACACCTGGTGCAACTAATAAAGCCCTTGATTAGTTGCATCAGGTGTGCTTGAGACAACCCCAGTTGTATTGGTGCTGTTGTGAGGGATTCTGTGTAGGGGGTTGAATAACAGTGAGACTGGAGAAGCCAGTATAAGTTGCAATTTCAGCTGAATTTGGGGGAACGACTTGAAGCATCCATTATGCTGAGCTATTTCAATTGCTTTTGTCTGATTTGCTCATTGCAAACAGCTGAAAGTGTAAATTTTGATGAAAAAACCCAATTTGCAATGGGGGTTCGAATAATTTTGATTGCAACTGTATATGGAAAGCAGAAGCAAATGTTGCTTTCTCTAGCAAAGCAAAACAACAACAAAACAAAACAAGACTTTCCCCAGCTGTATTATTATCTCATAAGAATGGCCTATTTGATCAGAACAAGGTCCAGCTCTATTGGCCCCAATATTTTGCTTCCAATTACAACCAGCCAGATATTTTTCCTCCTGGGTCTCAAAGTACTTCAGGATTGAATCCTGGTGCACCTGTGTTAAGTGAAACTGTGGGTGGAAGGACTTTTGACTGGTTTTTAAAATGTATTTTTATGCTCTGAATGTTTATTAGCATGTGGCTTGGAGAGGGAGAGATCAGATTCCTCATTTAAGCTTTCCCCAACCCTGGGGCTGCAGAAGTAACACCAGGCTCAACCCATGTGGCTCCCTTGATCATCTGCATGACAGATGGGGGTTAAAAAGGGGTCAGCGGGAGAAGCTGCCCTGTCTCAAAAAACTCAGGTGTGATCTCAGCCTATGGCTCAACTCCATGTCCTCATACCCAAGCATGAAATGTTAAATGTGTGATTTTTGTATGCTTCCCGGCTGTCACTATTTGGGGGTGGGATTCAGTCACATACTGGTAAATTCAGCATTGCACAATTCTAGTTGGTTGGGTGGTCTTGTGCAACCACTTCCCCCAAACCCACTTCCCCCAAAGACCACTTCCCCCAAAGATCAGGCTTTTTGAGATAAGGAAAGTGATGAGAAACTGCACTAAAAAGTGTGGGGTAACACTTGCTCTGACGCAACATCATCTAACCTCCCTGCAAACCAATCAGGATGAGTGAGCGCTCAGCAAACAGTTTCTGTAGAAACACTAAGCTTGCCATACGTCAGGAAAAGTCCTGACATGTCTTGGTTTTTGGGTGTAAAAATGGCATTGGGCGGGGGGCAGGGATTTTACCAAAGTGGCAAAATGTCAGAGAAAACCTGGATGTATGGCAATGCAATGGAAAAAGCAGCGGAAACAGCTCAAAAAGCTTTAAATCATTATTTTGGGGGGAGGTTCTCCCCCCCCCCAATGCCCAACAATTTGGGTGGGGCCTTCCTAAAAAAATGCTCAACAACTTAGTGGGTGCCAGGAATTTTAGTTTTTGAAATATGGCAACCCTAGGAAACATACTTTGTGTATATTTGTTCTGGTTTTATTTAGATTTTGATGAATTTTATGTCCTGTTGTTTTTAATGTTTTATTTTATTGGTATTTTCAATGAATATTTCATATTGCATATTGCAAGTGCCCTTTCTGCCTATTCAAAACTGTTGTGTTTTTTTTTGTCACATACACAATTACACATCTGCCCTTCTCCTTAATGCTGTGTGTATATGTGTGTGTCTCTCCTCAAACTCAAATGGGCATCTCTTTCCCAACTGTCTCTTAATCATTGACTCCCATCAGCCAGCCACTCAGAGCTATTAGCTGGACATCTGCCTAGCAAATGGATGGCAGCTGTAACAAAATCAGGTGCTTCTGGTAAGGCATGGGTGAATCTGTCAATTTCAGTTTCTCTAATTTCTCTAGCCTTATGTTCAGTTCTCCACATTTCTTCATCAGTTTGTGGTTTATCTATTTAAATGGGGGGAGGGAATCATCCTGAAAATTCACCAGTATTTTAATGATAATATACCATTTTTGGTAGGCGGTTTGGTCAAATATACACACAATTGCGAAACAATTTCCCCTATAATCATGTCTTTTTGTACGTTATGTTCGCTGGTGTTTAAAATGTGTGGTAAAGGTAAAGGGACCCCTGACCATTAGGTCCAGTTGTGACCGACCTTGGGGTTTCGGCGCTCATCTCGCTTTATTGGCCGAGTGAGCCGGCGTATAGCTTCCGGGTCATGTGGCCAGCATGACTAAGCTGCTTCTGGCAAACCAGAGCAGCGCACAGAAATGCTGTTTACCTTTCCGCCGGAAGGTATCTTACCTTACCTATGTATCTACTTGCACTTTGACGTGCTTTCGAACTGCTAGGTTGGCAGGAGCACAGACCGAGCAACGGGAGCTCACCCCATCATGGGGATTTGAACCGCCGACCTTCTGAACGGCAAGTCCTAGGCTCAGTGGTTTAGACCACAGCACCACCCGCGCCCCTGTTAAAAAATGTGTGGTAAGGAACTGCCAAAAAAGGGGTTGACAAATGCCTGGCAGAACATGATATGTGGCTTTGAGGTGGGGGACAGGGTGAATAGTTTGGTGGGTCACAAGTTGTGGAGGCATGCGCTAGAACCCCAACTGAGCAAATGGCAGAGGAAATGTGGTCAGGGATAGCAAGCCAGCCTTCCCCAGCCTGGTGCCCTCCAGATGTTTCGTACTACAACTTCCATTAAGTTCCAGCCAGCAAAATCAAATGGTAGGGGTGGTGGTACCTGTAATCCAAAGCATCTGGAGAGCACTAGGTTGGGGAAGGTTGTAATGAGCCATCCGAAGAAACAGCCAGGTAAAGGGAGGCAGTTTCAAACTAAGTGTTAGTCTGTGCTGTTGTGCCTTGTTCTTACTATTGCAATTATCCCCGCCTTCCCTTTGACGTACATGCCCATTGCCCTATGTTTTCATTGCCCTTAGGCTAGTTTGCTTCCTGCTTAATCTAGCCTTCATGGCCTCGTGGATTGGCTTTCAGACAATGCCAGCTCCTCTTGTTCCATCCTTGAAAACCCCCACTTCTTAATGAAATAATCAATCTCACACAAGAAGATCACTAGCGAGAGCTGGAACCGGGACAAAAAGAGGCAGCAGTTAAACGGTAACGATGATTCACGCTTGGTGTTCCTGCTCAAGACATGTTTGTGGACGTCGAAATATCCCTGATGTTGGCTCGGGGAAGTCCTTTGTAAAAGCACCATCAAGCACCTCTTCTAGCACATTAAAGAACTTCCATGGTCCCACGCTGACCTGTGCCCTTCTATGCTCCTGAATGGAAGTGATGCCATCAGATATAATCCCTTGCAATGGAACAAGGGTCTGATTCATAGCCAGAGTGGAACAGTGATAAAGGATTTTCACCTGGCAGCACCTGGGCCATAATGTTCCAGAAGATAATCATGCCATTCAAGCAGAAAGAAGCAACAGGGAATTTTGGTTTGTGGCTGAGCTTTGGAGTGGCCTAGTCACTTGAGCAGTTGGCCCAGGAGTACTCCTGGGTGTAATTTTTTTGTAGTGCAAAGAATTGGAAGTGCAGGAATTGCCTGCTTTAGCACCAAGCCAAAACTGCAGGAAGAATTCTTCCAGAAAGCTGATTCTGACATTTCACGGTGGGCTTCCGATTGCTCCTTTGGTGAAAACAGGGTACGTTCACAATCATGCATCAGCTGATGGGCAGTAGGAGGGGGAAGCAGTTTCCATTTGAGTGGCACTCACACTTACAACCTCTAATGTCAGAGGTTGAAAGGATCAGCATGGAGCAAGCTTTGCAAGCTTCCCCACACTCCCTTTCAACCTCCAATGTCTCTCACTTTTCTGCAGAAACCAGGGCGCTGCTTTTCGTTTCCTCCTGTGCTATGCTGATTTACTGCAGTCCCTTGTAAGTACCCTTAAAGGTAAAAGTAAATGGACCCCTGACCATTAGGTCCAGTCGTGGGGTTGCGGCGCTCATCTCGCTTTATTGGCCGAGGGAGCCGGTGTACAGCTTCTGGGTCATGTGGCCAGCATGACTAAGCCGCTTCTGGCGAACTATAGCAGCGCACAGAAATGCTGTTTACCTTCCTGCTGGAGCGGTACCTATTTATCTACTTGCACTTTGACGTGCTTTCGAACTGCTAGGTTGGCAGGAGCAGGGACCGAGCAACGGGAGCTCACCCTGTCGCGGGGATTCGAACCGCTGACCTCCTGATCGGCAAGTCCTAGGCTCTGTGGTTTAACCCACAGCACCATCTGCGTCCCTTTTGTAAGTACCCTTAGTTATGAATAACAAGACCTGGCTATTGTGGCAGTTTTGTTTGCAATCTTTTATTTCAACTAATAAGGCTGGACCTGCTTCCAAATGAAGATGCACAGGGTTGAGCTGCACGTGTTATATTGTTGATGCTTTTTATAAATGATTCCCAAGCAATAAAAGAGTGCCACAAAGTACCAAGAGTTGCATTTGCATGCTGAGAGTTACAGGCGTGCCAGACATCTTGCCCTTCACATGGACTTACCCAGGTTCAGAAGGGAAAGCTGTGGCAGAGAGAGGAAATGAATCTGCATTCCCCAGGACCTGAGCCAGAAGTCCATCCTTCTCCAGCCTGAAAAGAAGTCTTAGTGACCCTGTGTAAAAATAACTCAGAAAGTGCATCCTCCCCATCCCATATAAAAATCAACTTGCATCTCAGACAGAGGATACATTTCTTTTCCTATTAACACCAGGTTTACCATCGCTTTTGAAAGCACCAAGCCAATTGCAAAGCTGTATTGGAAACAGAACAAAGGGAAGTTTATGGGAATGAAGGGCTGATATGGAAAGTATTTCAGGGGGAGTTTGTGGCTCTCATTCTTTCCAAATCCCCTATTTCCCTTTGCCTCCCCAGCCTCAGAACCAGGCAAAGGAATCTGGATAAATAGAAATAATTAAAACAAAACGGGGGGGGGGGATTGCTCCATCGTTGGGTTCAGCCACCCTGACTTTGCACCAGCTTAGTTATTTTATTAATTTTAATAAAAGTTCACCAGACATATTTACTAAGGACAAAGAAGAGACTAAATGGAATGAAAAGTTTAAGAAGCAGCCCTTGAAATAAGTAAAGCAATCAATAAATCTCTCGATGTGAAATCCAGACAGCCCAGTCAACTGCATGGGGATGTGGCTGGATGTAAAGTTTTGAATCGCTGAGAGCTCTGAGCTCTAAATTTGAGAGGGTAATTACCAAATGAAGCCATTGCTGTAACTCCTTAGTTCTCATGCCTTAAGCATCCACCCAAACCTGTGTGCATGTAGCAACTATATTCCTTCCATTCATTTTTGCTCCTCTTCCCTCTCCTTCCTCTGTGGCTTTCCGATGCTGAGTTTTATATGCCAAGCTCCTTGGGGCAGGGACCAGTCCTCTTCCATTCTGTATAGTAACATGAATACCATTAAATATATGTGTGCCTGTGTGTAGGATGGTAGCCTGTAGAAGCTTCTGTCTTACCATCAGTGGTGGGTGTATTTTAACTGGATTTTGAATAAATGTGTAATTGTCACTGTTCTGAATTTTATTGTGTTACTATATTCCTTCGTGCAGGGGTCAGCAACCTGCAGCCCATGGGGGTCGTTTAAATGGCCCGTGAGCTGCCCCCCAACCAAGCTGCCTGCTCGGCGAGTCCCCATGTGCTGTGCTAAACTAGCGCAGAGTGGGGGCTCACTTCTGCGACACTGGAAATCACGTCTGTGCGGATGCCATCTGGCTCACAGAGCGATTTCTGCGGGAGTGAACCAGCCCAGATGAGGTAAACCTTGCTGACCCCTTCCTTATGGGTCATGCAAACCACCATTCTGAATAATGCTTTATATCGGGTAGGGGGTCTTAGGGATGGGTTTATGGAACCGGGGGGTGGGGTGGCCCATAAAGGTTTGGGAACCACTGATTTTGGTAAAGGTAAAGGACCCCTAGATGGTTATGTCCAATCAAATTCAGCTATGGGGTGTGGTGCTCATCTCCGTTTTCAGGCCGAGGGAGCCTGTCTGCAGACAGTTTTCTGGGTCATAGCACACAGAAACACCGTTTACCTTCCCACCACAGTGGTACCTATTTATCTACTCACACTGGTATGCTTTCGAACTGCTAGGTTGGCAGACGTTGGGACAAAGCAACGGGAGCTCACCCCATCACACGGATTAGAACAGCCGACCTTATGATTGGCAAGCCCGAGGCCCAGTGGTTTAGACCACAGTGCCACCCACATCCCCACCATTGATGTAGACAATACTGAGCTTGAGAGGTCCATGCTCTGACTCGCTGTAGGTCAGTTTCCTATGTACTGATCAGTTAGAAGCCTCATGCCCCTTGGTGTCCTGTTCCTATGACTGAATCCTGCACCACAGTGCCAAATTTGCTAGAGATGTCTGAGGAAGCACTTCCCCCACCAACACATCCGACGAAGCTGCTCACCTGCAGCAGGCAGGCACATTTGAGGGAGGCTAGCTGGCAAGATACAATCTAGCAGCACAGGAAACAGCGCTTTTAAAAACACTCAAGTCGGAGGGTATCTCCGGAGAAATCGTACTCGACAGCAGGGCCCCATGAATTGTGCATAAAAGCCTTTGTCGCTTGCAACAGGAAAAGCCAACTCCATTAGCAGAATATATCACATCAATCTGGGAGCGTAGGAAGTTGCCAGTCAACCCTGCCACAGATGAATACAGAGGATTTGGTACTGAAGTCAGATCTCCTCCTCCTGGCTAGGGATAAGCAGACATATACATAACATGACATTTTGGGCTACACTGATCCGGTGATATGGCACCAGTACTGAAATGGACTCCAAGGAGGAGCCCTGCATAGATTGCCTGAAAGATCACCTACCTGAAAGATTGCTTTCCCTTGCATAGAACTGCAAGGTGCTGTGCCTTACAAAATTTCATGTAGGCTCTATGTAGCCTATGGTTTAAAGGTAAGAATCCTATCCATCACTTCACCCTCTTTTGCCCAATGACATGCAGCCCCCAGTAAGTTGCCCTGGGCTTAAAAAGGTGCATCCCCCACCCCTGCACCATGTTGCATATACTGTGAAGATTGTGTGTGTGTGTTAAGCAATGGAGGAAGTTATGCATTTTGGACCCTTTGGACAACAGTCCAACATTTGCCAACTTTTAAATTGCAACTGAAGCGCCAGCTGCTTTTCACCTTGTGGAGATGCCCTTGTGGAAATTTATATCCATATCTGGTTTTCACTAGAGGCTCATCATCTTTCAAACACAATCTACAGTGGGAGGTGGGGGTAGGGGGTAGGGGGACAGAAGCAGGGCAATTCCAGCCCCTCTCCTGAGAGACCAGTTGCCTCACGCCCTTGCTCAGCTCTGACCTAGCAGCAACCCTTTCTTCACATTACCTGAACTGTTCCCATCCCAGCTGGTCATGATGAGAACTGTAACTTTTAAGAAGTGGTGCCTGAGCTTCCTTTTCCTTCCTCCCCATCTCCCACTTTCCTTCTTTCAGACTGGAATCCTGAAGTCAGAGGAAAATCTTGCTACTGATTTTTGTAAACTGCTATGGGAGCCTTTTTTGGTTCATAAATGAATGAGTGAATGAACAAAAGACTAACCAATCAGTCCAAGAGCTTTTGCTGGTGTGTTGATTCTTTGTTTCCTCTGTGAATCATCACATGTGAGCAATGACATTTAACTAAAGCCATTTTATGGCTTTAGGTAGCAACCGAACACTCAGCCTAACAACATGAGGGGCCATTTCTCAAAGCAAACCAATGATGTTATTTGAAGGACTAATTGCACATCAGTAAACCTAGGTTTGCTACTATGCTACAACAGGGAGTTGCAACCAATCCTGGCTCAAGAATAGTGCACCAGAGTGACACTCATGTTTGCTGTTGCAGGCAGGCATTATTTTTGGGGTTATGCATCACCTTGAAATATGCAATGTGTGACATGTATTGATCACCTTTAGTGATCTCCACAACATCCCTTGAAGTAGGTTAGGCTAAGAGAAGAAGAAGAAGAAGAAGAGTTTGGATTTGATATCTCGCTTTATCACTACCCAAAGGAGTCTCAAAGCGGCTAACATTCTCTTTCCCTTCCTCCCCCACAACAAACACTCTGTGAGGTGAGTGGGGCTGATAGACTTCAGAGAAGTGTGACTGGCCCAAGGTCACCCAGCAGCTGCATGTGGAGGAGTGGGGATGTGAACCCGGTTCACCAGATTATGAGTCCACCGCTCTTAACCACTACACCACACTGGCTCTTGAGAGGTAATGACTGGCTCAAGGTCACCCACAATGAACTTCCTAGCTGAGAGAGAATTCGAACCAGGTTCCTCCTTGTTCACCACTCTAATCACAACAACATATTTACACTTTCCCAAGTTTTGTTAAGTCTGGACCCTTTAAGTAATTCGTGGGGGAAATGTTCACATATATACACTGGTGTTTTCCCAGCTGGCTTTCCCAGTTGAACAAATGATCTTTACCACGAGTAGGGTTTTAGTCTTGTTTTAAACAAATTTGCTGTTTTTAATTGTTTTTATTATCTCATGTGTAAATCGCCTTGAGACGCTGGTTTAGAAGATGAGCAATAAACAAATTGTAATTAATAATATGTATGAGGACAGCAGAGCTTCTCATCTTTGTTAGTAACAGAACAAATCAAAATGACTTGAGGTTCATATTGGGCACAAGTCTGTGATCTCACATGTCTAATAGTGGAAAGTAGTATATTGTAGGTAAAAGGTAAAGGACCCCTGGACGGTTAAGTCCAGTCAAAGGCGACAAGGGGGTTGTGGCACTCATCTTGCTTTCAGGCTGAGGGAGCCGGCGTTCGTCCACAGACAACTTTCTGGGTCATGTGGCCAGCATGACTAAACCACTTCTGGCACTATGGGACACTGTGATGGAAGCCAGAGCGCATGGAAACACTGTTTACCTTTCCGCCACAGCGGTACCCATTTATCTACTTGCACTTGTGTGCTTTTGAACTGCTAGGTTGGCAGGAGCTGGGGCAGAGCAACGGGAGCTCACCCCGTCTTGGGGATTCGAACCGCCAACCTTCTGATCGGCAAGCCCAAGAGGCTCAGTGGTTTAGACCACAGCACCACGTCCTGCAGTACCTCAAACATGAACGTTGGTGATGCTGCACCTGAAGGGAAATGGTTACTACAGCATTTTTATTTGCACTGGCATGAACACATCATTTCAGTGAGGGAAAATCCCCCAGAACTGAAATCTAAGCAAAGCCTCTGACCTCAGAGGCAAAGCTGTTGACAACTGCATGTTTTGGGGTACAATCATGGTGTCAAATCATGTGAAGCTTGGAAACAGCTTGCATTTCTTCACTTTACACGTCTCCAGCCATAGCTGGCCTGAAATTCTTTTCCGCAAGCTACCACAGAAAAGAATGGGAAGAGAAAGGCTGCAGCCCTCTCCCTCCAACATCAGCTACAGTGGTACCTCAGGTTAAGTACTTAATTCGTTCCAGAGGTCCGTTCTTAACCTGAAACTGTTCTTAACCTGAAACACCACTTTAGCTAATGGGGCCTCCTGCTGCTGCCGCGCCACCGGAGCACGATTTCTGTTCTCATCCTGAAGCAAAGTTCTTAACCCGAGGTACTATTTCTGAGTTAGCAGAGTCTGTAACCTGAAGTGTATGTACCTAAGGTACCACTGTATTACTGTATTTCAATTTTTAAAAATATAATTCCTTCAAATCCTTGTTTCTCCTCAACATATTTCTTAAAAGCTGCCTTGAGAGGGCTATGGAGGGACAGCACTACCTCTCTCCAGACAGGCAGGGCTCATCTTATTTCCTTATGAGAATGAGAGATGTGACAGTAGGTGTTCAAACTGAGAAACACATCAATCACCAGGCTTTTTGGAGTCCACATTCAGGCAACGCCTTTATCAGGACCAACCAAAATAGCACAAAGTAGCAAGCAAGCACCTCCATTTCCCAGAACTTTTAATCAGGCTGGATGTTAAGCAAAGCAGGGGTTGGGGTGAAGGGAAGGGGCCGGGGAAATAGCCTGACACTGAAGCCACAAAATTTCCATTTAGTCACAGGCCTCATTTGCCTCTACGAGGTAGCAGATCAGGTTACACCTAAAGCTATCTGGGACAAATACACCTAAAATGGTTAATTCACTTTTTTTAAAAATAATAATATGAACCACCAGCACCAACTAGGATCTGTCTCTTTGTTGCTGTCTAGTCGTTTAGTTGTGTCCAACTCACATAGGTTCCTCATTAGGTAGAGAAATGTAACATGGCAGGTTTTTTTATACAATGGTACCTTGGGTTAAGTACTTAATTTGTTCTGGAGGTCCGTACTTAACCTGAAACTGTTCTTAACCTGAAGACCACTTTAGCTAATGGGGCCTCCTGCTGCCACCGCGCCATCAGAGCGCAATTTCTGTTCTCATCCTGAAGCAAAGTTCTTAACCCGAGGTACTATTTCTGGGTTAGCGGAGTCTGTAACCTGAAGCGTTTGTAACCTGAAGCGTCTGTAACCCAAAGTACCACTGTATTAGCAAAACTGAAGATTAATTTTAGATACCATTTTAAAGCCAAGAACCCAGCTTGGGACCTTCCTTGTGTGCATATGCCTGTCTTGATGTGCAGCAGTGTGCAGAAACTAGCTGACTCTACAAAGGTAAAAATTCACATTTGTTGTTCCACCCACTTTGCTTCTGGCTCTGCCCAGGACTGGCATGCAGTCCCTAGAAGACTGCTTAGCAAAGACTGTGGCCCTTTGAAAAGTGCTAGGGGACAGTTAGTTAATTCTTCACCCACATCCACCACTATAGCCAAGTCCTGCAAGAACTTGGAAACACAGGCTCCATGTGCAAGTAACTGTTGCCATGTACAGACCAACCCAGTGTGTCCACATAATGGATCCTCCCTGGCACTGATGAATCACATAGAACTGGTCTCTGCAGTGTGTTGCTCCTAGAATGCATTGCCCCTGTTGCAGTGCTGCTGTGGTGTGAAGAACATAAAAGCTCTGCTGGGTCAGTCCAGTCTTCTGCTCCCAGTGGCTGAGCAGGTGCCCCATAGGGAGCCCCAAAGGATGGGAGCATGGCTGCCCTCTCCCACTCTTCTTCCCGAGCAAGTGGTATTCAGAGGCATACCACCTCTTGACACTACAACCAGTTCTAAGCATTAGCTTTGCTTTTGTTCCCTTTTTATAAAACACAAGAATCAAAAGATATTTATTTTCACAATCTCCCTGCTTACCCTCTCTGGGTTGGTTCACACATGCGCACATCCTGCAGTCAATCACAGCTGATGCGCCTGCAGTTCATCACTCAATGCTGCAGTCGCCGAATGAACTCCTTGCCTGCACAATTATCTGCTGTCACTCAACCCAAGTTGTTCAGAGGAAGGCTAGAGCTGGCATTTCTCCCACTATGCAAGTGGTCAGGGTTTTGTGCAAGCTTGCTCCTTAGGGTTTTCAAAATGAGTCATGTGCAACCAGGAAGTAAGATGTTTAGATAGGCTAGAGAACCAACTTGATGCAGTAGTTAAAAGAGGGTTGGCACATCTGTAGCATCCCAGATTTTGTTGGGACTACATTCCTATCACCTGTGACCATTGGCCTTGCAGGCTGGAGGGAAAGAGGTTCCTCATCTCTGGGCTAGAGGGCCAAACGAGGACTGGCCATGGAACTCACTGGAGGACCTTGGGCTAGCCATCTCTCAACTTAACCTCCCTCACAGGGTTACTGTGGGGATAAAATGGGGACTGAGGACTATGCATACAAAATGCACTCCTCAGAGGAAGGGCAAAAGTAAAATGTATTAGGTACATCAAGCAGCTTAGAACATGAACATTGTGGTAGGGACGACACTTCCATCGGTATTAGATGGTGGGAATGGGGAGAATAAAAATGGTTGTGACATCTACATGACTTCTGGCACATTTCTCTGCTGCTCTAAACGTTTTTATGAAATAACTTCCCTTTCCACCATTTCGTGACAGAAGTTGTAGGACACAGCTATTGACCAGATGGATTCTAATCACAAGCATCTCTTTAGGTCCTTCTCCGGAAAGACTCAAAGCCACTCCTGCACTCTTTTCACATCCTCACACCCCTTCCTGGAGACACACAGGGAGTCAGATAGCAATGGCCTACAATGCCTTTTCTTCTTTTGTATTATTTACAGAGCATTATAAATAGAACATTTTGTCCTCCCACATAGCTCTGGCATTGTCCAATGAAGTGCTTCTGGCGTATTCTGGTCAGCATGAGAGGTCAAATATTTAAGCATTTTCTTACATTTATAGAACACCTTTCTTCCATTGTGAAACCCAATACATGCAGTCCAGGAAGTCTGCATCCCAGCCAGGCATTGACCAGACTGACCTGCTCAGCTCCAGCAAGGTGGTAGCATCACGCCACCTATAGACCACACCCTGGGACCATATTATCTCCTTGCGACAGGAGAATTTTGGAATGCTTAGCTATTAGACTCCATCAAATTGTTTTATGAATAATCAACTGTGTGCGCACACAAAAATTATGAAGGTGCAGATACATGATGCCAACTAGAAGCTCCATGAATGTCTGGAGCTCCCATTGTTGGTTACATCAGATGGAATTTTGTGAGCAAATGATCTTCCTGACAGTGTGAACCCAGCACTGCACTGGTACATAGCCCATTTGTTTTGATAATTTGGAATGTTCTCTGTACAAGTTCAGGCATTTATCTTCTCTAGGTCTTGAACAGTCATTTTATATCCAGCCAATGTTCTCAGGCATATAGGGAGACCTTTTCAAAGGTGAAGAAACACAGGGAAGCAATGCATGTATGAAAACACTGTTGATGGAGGAGCCATCTGTATCACCCCCCCTCAATCTTATTGTGTACAGCTGAAGCATCAGCCTTTGCCACCATGGTGCCCTCCAAATATTCTGGATTCTCAGCAGGCTGACCAAACAGACACTGGTTGGGAGTTGTGGTCCAAAAGAAACCTGGAGGACAGCACACTGGTGAAAACTGAGCTACAGTGTCTTCAGGGATATGCTGGATATTCAAATGAATGGCGGTGAAGGCAGTGATTCAGCCCTCTTGCTGTACTTATCATCACAGGAACTCAAGGGTGCAGCAAGGGCACTGGAAAACCAAGTTCCTTACTCTCCTGTACCTACCATCATCAGGGCATCTGGATAGCTGCGGGTACTGATCTGATCTTGGCTCCAATTTATTGCTCAAGGGCAGGGTGAACTTCTGAAAGACTGCCTGAGCAGCAGCTAAATTGCTAGCATGCATACTTGTATTTTTCAAGGCTGCCAGGCCTGCGTACACTTTCTCCATGCTCTCTCCCCTACCTTTAGTTGGGCAAGAACTGTAGTTCAATGGTAGAGCACATGATTTGCCTACAGAAAGTCCCACGTTCAGTAGCCAGCTAGTCTAGGTAGGGATGTGAAAAAGTGGAACCTTGGACCACTGCTGACAGTTAGCCAACCAAGTGGCCTTCAGACCTTTGGTACATCAAGCTCACTGCCACCTCTAGTGACTGGCAGTGGTTTGCCTGGGGGAATATTCCTAGTCCTGGAGAGGGTGGGGATTGAACAGTAGACTTCCCACATACAAAGCAGATGCTCTATCATGACTTAGCAGCCCTTCACCATGGGTGCAGAGTTCGAAGGTATAAGGCTGGTTCCTATGCTCATATGCAATGTAGGGACAGTGAATTCCACGTCTAAGCTGCATTTGAGTGCTTGGGGCCAAATCCAACCCTGTTGACTCCGCTGGATGCCAACTAGAAGTGGTCTAGGCCAGGCTAGGTGCATATTATGGAGTTTTTTTGTATGCTGTAGAAAGTGATTTTTGGTTTGTGGTCAGCTTTGGACAGGGAAATGTGTATGCATGTCAATACCCACCATTCTAATGGCAAACTTTGTGCCTAACTTAAACACAATTACGGAAGCACTACAAAGCGCACACACGCAAAACCAGATGCAGAAATATCAAATGTCAACATGGAATGTTTAGATTCAGGATTTTTGTCAAATGTTAAGAGCTTGGGAAACTTTGGTTCACCACCCGAGTGGGCTCAGAAAACATCGCAAACAATGTCAAAATACAACAAACGTATCTAAAAGACTGTTGAGCACTCTGACCTTATTTAAATGACTGGATGAGAAGAGATGCATTTCTACACTGCAAAATGATGGGGAAACAACTTCATGGCTTAATTGGATCTGAAGCTAGAGAAGCTGCTGGTTCTTAACTATTTATGGAATAGATTCTCCAAGACTGTTGCTATCTCTCATTTGGCAGCATTGTTTCCACCAAGGGCCAATGCATCACTGTATCGAGAGGCCTTGAAACAGATGGATTTCCTACTTGCCTTAAATGCAGACAAAAGGAGGAGGGAACCCCTGGTGGGAAACACTCTCCCCTGGGATTACAGGCTTGTTCTGAGTTTCCTGTCAATAACTTCAGGCACAGAATAATCTAACGCATCTGATTAAGATGGGATGCGGTTGGAGTCAGTGGGGGAGAACATGTAAAAATAGAAAACGTGTTTATAATAGGCAACATTGTTACAACTTCAGAGACATAAGGCTGTTTTCAGAGAACTTACATATTTGCTGCTCTCACCAATTTTACCACTAAAGTTAAAAGAGGTGGGAAGGGGGATCTCCCAAAGGAGATTTTTGAAGGTATTATTGTGGGAAAGACACAGCTAGGCAGAAACCTTCGCTAAATGCCTCTAATGCAGTGGTTAGATTCAAGCTAACTGGGAAGAAATTCCCCATTAGAAACAGAGGGATGAGCACAGCATCTTGGCTAAAGCTGTTGGAGTGATGGGGAGCTGATGCACTCCAACTCCATCCATCCCTGGACATTCACTATCGCTATTGAATTACCCAAATATAAACCATGTCAACTGCTCCGTTCAGTCCAAAGGTCCATGCCAGCAACTTGAGGTTGCTACTTGCATTGCATAAAGGTGCAATTCCACTTGCTAGCCCACTGGGCAATGTGATGAGTAACCACAGTGATAGAATATATTCATCATGCTGTACCAAGTGAAATCTGGCACAGCAGTGGATAAGTGCGTGAGCTGTGAAGTCACTGGCTGAGTGGCTTCAGGCAAAGCGCTATAGCCCTGTCCAGATGCCTCACAATTACAAAATGATTGAAAGAGACTTGCCCACGTTTGCTGAGCTCGCCACCTCTGCTGTGCCCCTTCTATGTGTTGGGAGGAGGAAGGTTTGAGCTATATGCATGTAAATTTCCTATGTGATTTGGAACCCTTGTTGTTTTGTGGGAGAACACCCCAATAAGGCTTAAAATAACTTCTCATCTGCAACATGGAAGTATTGACTTACCTTATCCGAATGTTGTAAAGATTACTGCTAAGGAGAATATACTGAACCCTTTATTAAAAGGCATCAAAGCAAACCAGTTCCAGTGGTCAAGAGGTGGACAGATCTCCTGTCTATAGTTTCTCCTTATACCGCCTTCATTTGTCCTAGAGAAGGCTACTCTAGGCCTTTTATGAAATTCTGACTAACAAGCAAAATGATCAAACCGAGCATGCATGCATAAAAACACTTGTATAAAAAATTTATTCTGTTCACAGGGCCAGTATTTTCTTGCTATGTAAATGGAATTTGTAGGAAGGTGAGGCAGGTATACAGAATACATACGAGTCTCCTTACCTTTACCTGTTTACATTACCTGTGATTCTGAAACATTCATTTCAGTATCTGGTTTGAATGTGCAAATTTAAGATAAACCAACCTCAAACGGGGATTTAAAAAGGCCCTAGGGGCTGCTGGCATGCCTGATTCATTTGGAGTGGCAGTGCCAAACAGCAGCAAGGCCAATGGTCCTAGAATGCAGATTAGCACCTGTAATACAGCAAATTGAGTGCTACCCAGGATTGGACAGCTATGTGTGGTTAGATGTGTATGGCTAGTGTTTCCAATTATCCATACCTTTGAATATTGGTGGTTTTGAGGCTCCAATTTCTTGTGGTTTCAAGCATACCCGATTCTTGATGCAGGCCATAAGTGCCAGTTTAAGAAAAGTGAACATGTGTCCTGTCTTTTGTACAAAGGCACAAGATGACATACCAGTCAACTCTGTCAAAGCAGGTTGACTAGCGTTCGAGTTCATGTTGGAGAATGCCTTTGCTCTCCAAACTCTTGAAAGCAAGACACAAGGAAGATGCAGTATTCTGAGGCTCTCCAAGTCAAGAAAGCAAATGGTCTGATCTCCATAAAAAGTATAGCTATAGTCATCTTAAAGAATACAGCGCTTCCTTCCTAAACAATTGTCCTTGTTTGTTTCTAGAGAAGAGTGCCAAGAACCAGCCATGAAAAAATTGTTCTGGCTGTGGATTGGAGCTAGAGGGAAATCTTCAGAACCAGGCTGCCCCTAGATAACTTGATATATATGTAGGATCCAACATGCAAGGCACTGTACAAAAATACCCAGAGAACTGGCAATCTACTATTTGGCTGCCAATGTCTATGGTGTAGAAGGCCACATGGAATCTTGACTGTGCCTCCGGTCCACAGTTCCTCGGGCATTTCATCCTAGAGCGCCTCCACACCCCACATCCTTCCCCAAAGCATCTCCTGACAGCTATTGGCCTGCAGCCAGCCATTCAGCTCTCTGGGTACAAGAACAGACAGATGCTGGCATTGCGTTAAGTTGTAGGAATTTATTTTAAATAACCTACAGTTGATTAAAAGGGGATTCATGATAAAAATAGAAGATACTTGTTGAGGAAAGACTGCGGGAAACTTGTTTTTGCACCACACTAAGCTAACAATGCCTCTAAAACTAATGGATTATAGCAAAAAAGGTTTCACATTAAAATTCTGCTTTAATTTTTTTAAAGTTTTTGTACACAATTACAAAAGAAAAAAAAATAAAAAGACCTAAGATCTTGATTATTTTTCCTTTTTTTTTTTTTTGGACCAAAGCTCGCTTCCCTCAAAATTTTATTGACCTGTGAAAGTTCTTTTTACACAATAAAATCTTTCAAGTAAAAGAGAGGAGGGTGGAGTTTTCTTTTTTTAAAAAAAGGAGGGAGAAAAGAAAAACAACCCTGCCAAAAAAAGCAAAACAAAACCCACAAATGTGGATATTCCTGATATATATATATCTATATATATATATATATATTATGTACTCAGAACAAAGTATGATGGGAAAACATTTTGTTACCAATTTATTTGTACTCATAATGCATCAACCCTCCCCAGCCCATTCCTTCCTACCCCCTGCAAATCTACATGATCTTTAAGATCAAGAAGAAAAAAAAGCTTAAATATTTTAAAATAATTAAAAGTAGTAAAAATTCACATTAACAAAAAAAGAAAGAAAAAGAAAATAACACTCAAGTCAGGAAGGATCTTCCCATCATGCTTTGCTTTGAAGAGATGTTGTATTTTTATTATAGGTTTTCAATACCATGATGGTGGCAAGTAAAAATGAAAACAACTGGGTGTTTCCATGATGACTGTTGTGGCCAGAGCCAGTGTGCTGAGAGGGCTTCAGTTGTGTTAAATTAATTGAGGGAGATGGGGCGGGAAATTAAGGGAATCCATTTTCTATTAAAATATAGAAGTTATTGCAAAACCCTAACTGTAAAAACACACCAATATCTCATTGGATTCTGTATACAGTAGCTAATGATTTCCAAGCTCCTCAGTGTAATGGTGAATTTGCCCGGCAGAAGGTTAACAAATTCCCCCATCCACTTGTCCTCCCCCTCCAGAGACAAAAACACAAACCATACAGCTAGAATTTGGGTTTCTGAAACAGGTTTAAATAAGTTGTCCATAGGACAACTGGCTCAGCAACTCTATAATATTTCCAGGCCTATCTTTTCTCAAAGATGTTGGGTATTTCATCAGACACTCGCTTTCCCCTCCCGACACCCCCCTCCCCTCCCCCAAATATAAAGGACAAGTAAGGCTCACAGTTTTATCAATCTCCCTAAAACCAGGCTATTCCCCTTCTCATTCATAAGATTCAGCCCATTAAAATCAGGTTAGAACTCAAAGTCTTCATCTGCCATGTCAATTGCCCAGGCAAATTTCTCCCGTTGGGTTTTGTTATAGATCTTCTCTATAGGTATTCCAAATTTCTTGCACCTGGAGGGAGGGGGAGAGAGAGAGGAATAAAAAGGATGAACAGCAAGAGGTGTGTACAGCCAAACAAACACAAAAGTGCATCCCAGCAGAACCAATGCCTCTTTTCCTTTCAAAGACTGAAGCAAGGCAATAGGATGGAGGCTGCTCTTTCTTCCCCAACAGGCAAGAGCTTACCAGGCAACAGAGATCCTAGGATCGAGATAATTTAGTTTGGAAGTCCCCAAGGCAATCTGCTTGTTTTCCTCCCGGTCTGTAGCTTGGACCTCCAATTTCATCAGCTGTTCTGCAACCCTTTGTACTGCTTTCTTCTTACTTTCTACGGTCCTGTGAGGGGCAAGGAGATACTTTTTTTCAGGTGGGAACTATGAATGGCTTTTCTTTCTATTGGAATGAAGCACACCTGAACAGACCTGCTAGGTGTGACCAAAGGCTAATCTAGTCCAATATTCTGTTTCCCACAGTGCTCAGCCAGATGCCTCTGGGAAGCCCATAAGCAGGCCATGAACACAACAGCCCTCTCCCTCAGTTGCTCCACAGTTATTGGTATTCAGAGGCATGTGGTCTCCGATCCTGAAGAAAGGCTGCAGCTATCATGACTAGTAGCCAGATAGCTTTTTTTCACGACAGGCATGAATTTATTGATTCTCTTTTTAAAGCAGTCTAAAAACTACATACTGTGGTAGCCACTACACACTGTGTGGAAAAGGTTTTTTTCTGACAAGTAAGGGGAGACATGGTAGAGATATATAAAATTAGGCAGGAAGTAAAGAGGTTTTTTTCTTCCCTTCATATACAGTGGTGCCCCGCAAGACGAATGCCTCGCAAGACGAAAAACCCGCTAGACGAAAGGGTTTTCAGTTTTTCGATGCGCTTTGCAGGACGAATTTCCCTATGGGCTTCCCTAAAACCTTGAGTCTTGAGATTTTTTCGCTTTCCCCCCCTTTTTCTAAGCCGCTAAGCGCCTTTTAGCCGCTAAGCCGCTAATAGCCGCTAAACCGCTAATAGCGCTAATCTGCTAAGCCGCTAATAGGGTTGCTTCGCAAGACGAAAAAACCGCTAGACGAAGAGACTCGCGGAACGGATTAATTTCATCTTGCGAGGCACCACTGTAGTACCATCCCAGTGACAAGGTGAGCCCTTTGAACAGAAATCTCATTCTGAGCAAAGTTGGTTTCCCTGAACGCCATGCAGAAGTGTTTGGATACACGTGAGTGTCACACCAAGGTGACTTACTTTTTAGATTTCTCATCCCTCCGGACCTTGGCATCGGCTTTGGCGCTTTTCAGTTCTCTTTTGGCATCAGCCAGCTGTTCCTTCTTGGCATCAATCTAGGGAAGGCAAAACACAAACAGAAAGCAGGAGATGGAAGGTGTGGAGCTGACAAGCTGCAAACAGCTGGTAGACTTTTGTCTCCACTGGAGTTCTAGATACCAAGGCAGTGTCTCTGTCCAACACACTTCACTGGGTGCCCAAAAAGCCTTTTTTAACCTTGACTAAAGTTTCACTGAAGAGCTGGCTGCGATTTACATTTTCAGATAGGCATGCAAGGATCAAACTTGCAGAAGTGATTACCAGGACTTTAGATACCAAACTTATGGCACCGCACTTAGAAAGGAACATTGATTCACTTACTGTGAGTGGCATAAGAAGATATCAATTTAGAGGGCTGTCTCTATTGATTTGCCCAAAGCAGGGAAAAGTGACTTGAATAATCTCCTCACCCAAGCTCCTCTGTGCAGTTTGATCCATGACTAAGCTTGAAGCAAAGAGTAGATCAGGCAGCCATCATGGCAGACAATGGTGTGGCAGTAGCTGCCACCCCGTACCAGCCTAGAAAGCCCATTCATGGTATGTGAGCTATTATTTGTTTCTTAGGTTGCCACGGGAGATAGAGCAACATGGAGAGGCTAGGTGAGATCTAAGTGCAGGTTCTGAAGAAATATATATGGTCCTCTAAGGTGGAGGCTGAATGTTCTGGAGAACGCTTCTTCTGAAGGAGGCCTTTACAAATGCATACAGCTCTAAATGTAAAGCCGGGCGAACATAAATGCAGACAACCATGTTGGTACAGCAGCATCAATAATGTCAATGTTGCATTTGCCGTGATCTGCAGAGGAATGGGCAAATGCTGAGTTTCAAAGGCAAAGGGAAAAAAGTATATGAAAGAAATAAAAAAGAGTAAACCTGAGCCCAAAGCCAGAGAAGAGAAGGAAATGAGGGAAAAAAGTCATCTTTGGGCAATGGCAGGGACTAAACTGAAGGAGGCACTAGGGTGAGGATAGCCTATAGAAATATTCAAGTCACATGTTACGCCTGGGAAAATCAGGAGACACAACTCATGGGTGGGGAACCTGTGCTCCTTTAGATGCTGATGGACTCCCAGCTCCCATCAACCCCAGGCAGCATGGCCAAAGTTCAGGCATGATGGGATGGGGGAGCCTAAGTCCAGCAACATCTGGAGGCCCACAGATCTCCCATTCTGGGCCTAGATGGATGCTTCTCAGGCCAACCACAGAAGACTCAAGGTTTTATCCAAGAAATACCTGATGTGTCTCAAGTCCAACAGTGCGCACTGTCAGACGAGAAGCCCTGGCTGGGGTGCCAGTTTGCTTCTGTTGGTAGGAGAATCCTCTGAGCAGAGGGCCCCTCAAAAGACCCTGCCGAGTTGCAAGTTTATTAGATATAGGGCAGGGGAGAAGAGAACCTACGGCTCAGGAACAGTTTATGGCAAAGATTCACATGTACAATTACACAAAACAGAGCTTGCAATAATGGAATTCAGAAAACAAAGTATGCAATACACATAGTCAATGGGTGACTGGGGACGAAGTGCATGAAGCCATATAGATGGAACCCTCCAAATAAAATTCCCATCATCCCCACTGCCTATTTAAAGGTTCGGATGCACTGTGCTAGGTCACGTCAGGAAACTTTCTCAGCCCAAGCAATAATAGGTTTGTTCTAAAGCAGAGACAGGGAACCTATGGCTTTGCAGATGCTCTTGGATGCTAACTCCCATCAGTTCCAGCCCAGCAACATTTGTAGGGCCACAGGTCCCCCATCTCTGCTCTAAAGGAATGAAAAGCAGAAGCTGTATGATCTGCGGCAAACTAAGTAAGATGATCTGAAGCTGAAGGTTCGCAGCTCCATTCGCCTAAGCTGTGACTGACAGACTGTTCAGCTCAGCTAAGAATAATGGGACAGGTGAGTTGGGGGGGGGGGGAGAGTGAAGGCAAACAAGTCGTTACCATTCTGTCAAAGCTGTCAGTCCTAACAACTGAAGCAGCCAGGTTAGATATTATGAAAGCCAAAAAGAACACCCCACTGATTAATAAAACAGATTCAGGCTGTAAACCAACCTAACCAAAATGACCTCAGGGTTTTTGTCAGAAATAACCTGAAAAGTAAAAGGATGGTTTAGACAAGCAAAATATAATCAAATACTCGATACAGATAGGCTTGCAATTTTGTGGAGGAGGAAGGTGGATAATTTTGTGTTAAACCACATCATTATCCTCAAGCCATGGACATGGAAGAGTTATCTGTTTTGAACTTGCTTTAAGTTCACAAGATAATGAGCCTTTATAGAAATCTGCACAGAACACTTTAGAAAAATAAGGCCTGAGCCACACAAATAGTTCATCACACAGTAAAATAATTTTTGGATCTGACCACTTCAGACTACAGGTGGGAGCAGAGTTGCACTTTCAAGCTTTTCTCCAGGAATGTAGATACAGAAAATGAGCACATCAGAGAAACTGCTACGATTGGAACTTTCTGCCTGCCTATTTAATTTTCTAAATGCAAAGAACTTGGAAAAAAACATTCACTCAAATGATTTCTCCACCTGTGGGTCTCAAGTGGTACAGTCCAAATACAGCTTTGCCATGTGATTGGCAGTTTGTGCAGACAAGCTGGAAGTCTTCCCTGAGGTCAACTGGTCAAGAAGCTTTCAAATTCAACTATGAAACTTTTCTTCAGCACTGATATTTATGATGTCTCAGAGAAACCTCAGGAAAGCGCCCAAGCATATGTATCATTAGCTTAGTCCCTTGTTCTTTAAATCAAGTTACTCCTTTCCCCACGAGTGTCTAAATACAGGTAGGATCCAGAAAACCAGGAGCAGAATTTTGCTCACACAAAGGGGCTTTCACACCTTCACCCTTCCTGAACAATCCCGAAAAAACTGTTCCTGGGAGTTGGTGGTCCCTGTCAAGCAGCATGGGAAACGGGCCAGGAGGTTAAGGAGACTGTCATTATTTGAAAGACATGCTTTCTGGCCATGTAAGGGACTCTCTGGATTTTGCCCAGTGTCCTGTGAGTAAATCAGGATGGGAAAATGCATCATAACACCAGAGAGCTATCAGGAGCAAAAATAATAATTATGGTACATTTTGTGACCCCACTAGAGATGCTTTATGGATATTTCTTCTCCAGGACTAAAAGGCAACTTGCCTAAATTCAGTCAGAAACAGGAAGGATTTGAAGAATGATTTTCTGTAATAAAATCAAGCAGGTTTGTCTTTCTAAAAATCAGAAAAACAAGCTTCACTAGTGAAGTTAGAGGAGAGCTTGACACAGGTCAGCTAAATAACAAAGGTAGCCAAACAACGTCTTGGTTTGGGTTTTAACGAAAGGAAGCAGTCAGTTACCTTGCTCTGTAAATTCATCATGGATTTCTCAAAGGTCTTTGGAGGCGCCCTCTGATGGTTGCAGAGAATAGCAACAGCTCTATTGGCACGGTTATAAGACAGGATCTTTGCTGGGACATTATCATCCGCTAGAAAAGTTCAAAATGAACAAGTGAAATGGAAAAGTCTAGCTCTTTCTTTGATAATTTCACTTTTTCATGGGGAAGAGAAATTAGCAGCTTGGCTCTCAGCCATCTGTACCAAGCTTATAATGGGACGGGGGGCTGTGGCTTAATAGTAAATAACAAGTTTTGCATGCAGAAGGTCTGAGGTTCAGCCCTCAGCATCTCTAGTTAAGGATCTCAGGCAACAGAGGGGAGAAATGGAGTTCAGAGGGATGACCGCATACAGAAAGACTTGCTCTTTTAAGGTGAGTCCACAGCTTAGTGGCAGAACATATACTTTGCATGTAAAGGATCTGAAGTTCAATCCCTGGCACCTCTGCTTAACAGAATCAGAGAGCATGTGATTGGAAAGGTTTCTGCCTGAGACCATGGAGTGAGTAATACTGGGGGTAGATGCAAAGCAGATTTCTACATTCCTTATGCAGGCTTGAACACCTTAAAGTGCTATGAAAATGCTAATGATTACAACTTGTATTCTAGTGTATCAGCTCCAGTATTCAGTTTAAACCCTTTGTATTTCAATAGTTATCCATGGTCTCTGATCTAACTGTTATTTGCCTCTTGCATTCCTTCTCGGCAAGCCTGGGCTTGCTGGATTTTAAAAAGGCACACCATCCATTTATATGGACAACACAAACAGAACATCTTTATCAGGCAAAGCCTTGAAGCCCAGGGTCAAGCCTGCCTTCATTGTGGACAGAACATTATCTGATTGAGGTACATATTACAGACATCCACTTTGGTGGGAGATGGGTTATAATGTTTTTCTCGGGAACTAGGTAAAGTAAAGAGACCCCTGACCATTAGGTCCAGTCGTGGCCAACTCTGGGGTTGCGGCGCTCATCTCGCTTTATTGGCTGAGGGAGCCGGCGTACAGCTTCCAGGTCATGTGGCCAGCATGACTAAGCCGCTTCTGGTGAACCAGAGCAGTGCACGGAAACGCTGTTTACCTTCCTGCCGGAGTGGTACCTAGTTATCTAATTGTACTTTGACATGCTTTCGAACTGCTAGGTTGGCAGGAGCAGGGACCGAGCAACGGAAGCTCACCCCGTCGCGGGGATTCAAACCGCCGACCTTCCGATCGGCAAGTCCTAGGCTCAAGTCCTAGACCCACAGCGCCACCCACGTCCCTTGTCTAAGGGAACCAAATAAATCCTTGAAGGCTGTTAGAGATTTACCAAGTGTCCTGGCTAGCTGTCTTCTCTCTGGCCTGGCTAATTTAGGGCAGCCTTTGTCAACCTGATGCCATCCAGATGTTCTGTACAGCTTCCTAGAAGTTGTAGTCCAAAACATTTGGAGGGCACCAGGTTAGCACAGGCAAGTCACAGACACCGTTCCTATTTGAAATGTTTCAATACACCTTTGAAGATCTCTTGGAAACCACAGTTGTTTTAAGAATTCTGTGGTCTCCTTTGACATTCTTCGCCACTTGGCACTGGCTGACAAGCTGCCTCTGACCTAATTCAAGGTACTGCTGGGCACATTTCAAATCCGAAATGGACATGGAAAGGCACAGATTTCAGTTCCTTCCTCTTCAGAAGGTCAGCTAGCCACAACAGCAACTTTGGAACTTTGTTCAATGTGGTTCAAAAATAATTGCCTCTGAACAGAACATGAAACTGTGGAGAAGCCCAAGTAATTTCCAGCCAGTGGCTCTTAAGCCTGCATTTGGATCGATGTGACAATCAACACAGAAACAGAAAAGCATGAGGTGTGCTAATCCAAAAAGTACTTACCAGTTGTGAGCTCCTTTAGCTGCTGCTGTAGCGTAATGGAGGCATTATACGTTCGAAATACCTTGGCTGTAAGTCCTTCCATAAGGTCTTGAAGATGCTTATTTAAGATGCTAGTCTAAGGGGAAGAAATAAAGAAGGAGGATTGAATTAATTCCAGCATTCATCAGCAGAACACCTCAACCTGTGCACCCTCCTTACTCTCGTAATTTGAGGAGATGGGAAGTGGGAGGATGAACCTATCAGTGGCTGGTAGCCACCATGGATATGTTCTGCCTCTGCTGTCCAAGGAAGTATGCCTCTGAATACCAGTTGCTGCAAATCACAAGTGAGAAGGGCTCTGCTGCACTCAGATCCTGCATCTGGGCTTTCCATAGGCATCTGGCAGGTCACTTATGAGCTCAGCAGAAGCGACAGATACTAACAGATGCAACTGGGGAAAATGGTGGTGGGCACAGCATGGAAGCAGATACTACTAGTACTACTGCTACTACTACTACTACAGCAACAAAAAGGTAGAGTCTGCAGTTAGGGAGGCTGGGGTATTTTGTACAAGAAAGACACATTTCCTTTTCATGTGACACATATACTCCAACTAAATTCCAAGAGGGACAAACTCATCTATTCAAGCTAGTCTTAAACCCTTTCCAGAATTCATTTTTTTTTTGGGGGGGGGGGGGGAGGGAAGACCACCTGCAGCCTGTGTGTCAAATTAAGCCTACCAGGTGAGCCAATCTGGTCCACATGGCCATCTTTGGCAGGTCACACCTCCTTGTCACTCCCCTGATGACACATGTGTATCAGAAGAGGTAGCTGTCAAGGAACAACTGGGAGTGCACATTTTTTGGCAGCTTACCTTCAGCACTGTTTAAATTTGGCACTGCTGACATTGTTGCACTCAGGAGCTCTGGAACAGAACCAGATCCCTGCTGCTTTCCAGAAAGCATGGATCCACCCAATGTCAGGCATTTAACGTGTGGTGAACCTTTTGGATTTCTCCTCCAAGAGCAATGCATTTCTCCAACTCTTACTTAGGGACTTATGAATTCTTGGTGGGTGGGGAGATCATGGGAAAGTGTTTCTGCCTCCATCTATATGCATTCATTGGAGCAGGAATCCCCAAACTTGGCCCTCCAGCTGTTTTGGGACTACAACTCCCTGACCACTGGTCCTATTAGCTAGGGATGATGGGAGTTCTAGTCCCAAAACAGCTGGAGGGTCGAGTTTGGGGATGCCTGGATTAGAGTGTTCTCTTCAGATCCATGTAGATCAGAGGTGGAGCCTGTTTCTGCCCACCCGTCAGCCCCACTAGTATACTCAGTGTTCCCAGAATGAATGCCTGAAAGCGGATTTAGTGAACTGGTAAGCTGGGAATAACAATCCTCTGGCCCTCTTTGGACTACAGCCAGCTCCCATCATCTCTGACCATGAGCCATGCTAGCTGGGGCTGATAGGAGTGGAAGCCCAAAAGCCCGATGGTAAACAATGGAGCTTGTGTTACACATTTTTTATGGGTTTTCAATCTTTACAGGGCACCCTATAACAAGAAGTTCTCAGGGCAGCTTATAGGATAAATGAAAGAGGAATGCAATCAATTGTGATGCAACACTAAAACCAAACCCCAAATTAAAATAGAGAAACAGAAACAAGCCAGCAGTACTGTATCACACATCCTTCTCTCAAGCTGCTGCTACATTACAGTTTCTACGAGGGCAGATTTCAGTTCCATGAACTCTTCTGTTACATACAAAACTGCCTGCACCATAAGCAGCCTCTTAAAAATTGCACCCTTTCCCAAGTCAGTGGAAAGGGAACCATAATCACAGCAATAATTCCAATTAAAAAAATCTAGCCAAGGTTATCATTTATGATTAACTCTCAAGTACCAGGTATGGAAGGCACTCACATTAAGTCTATCAAAGAGGTCATCTTCAGGCTGTTTGTTTTCCATGAACAACTGAAGATTCTTAAAAACCTACAAGGCAAATGAATGGGAGAGAAGAAGACTGTTACAGCATGAAAAAAAGAAACTGGATGGACATCATCCCAACTTGATGGCGGTATAACGTGCTCCTCACTAATTCACATGTCCATGCTTCCATGTACACAATGCTGAAGGAACACTGTTCTCTACTGGCCTACAGGAAGTGTGTTGGTGGATCCTGCAAACAAGGGATGGGAGTACGTAGACCACTATTCATCAGTGGTGGTGGGGGGGGGGGGGGGAGAGAAGCAACAAATATTTTCCTGACTGAAGAGGTAAATCAAAGAACTGGGGTGCCTTCCCAATAAGAATAGGCTGAAAGCACTAAGGTAGAGATGATTTTGGGGGGCAGGGAGAGCTACAGAACTTTATAAAAACAATTAACACTATGGAGACAGTGAAGAAAAAGAAAATTAAAGAAGGATCCATTAACCACGATGGTTAAATGGAACCTCCTTGCTTAGATGCAGCTGGTAAGAGCATGAAACTCTTAATCTCAGGGTTGTGGGTCTTTGGGCAAAACAATTCCTGCATTGCAGGGGGTTGGACTAGATGACCCTTGTGGTCCCATCCAAATCTACATTTCTATGAGTCCAAGATGTGAAATATTTATGTCCAGATGGACACTGTACTTACTCAAGGTGAGATCTAAAGACTCACCAGAAGAAAGACGATTCAGTAAGACGACTTTTCAGACTCCCTTTAATTAAATGTTAAGTGCAAAAGAAAAAAAATCTTACCCTTTTCTCAACGGGGACTTTGTTGTAGTATCGTATGGAATCCTTTCCAAGGAAGTCAAATTCTACCACGTATTCCTGGCCATCCAACTCTGGATGCAAATTAATATGTTCTACACGGAGGGAGCAGCAGCCCACTGTGTCAGCCGTCTCCCCTTCCTCTTTCTCATTACCAGCTCTCAGAGCAAGCTGCAAATATGAAACAATGAAAGAGAGAAGAGATGTCACAAATAGCATTCAAAACAGGAGGCATTTTTAACCCCATTGGTTAGCCAGTAAGAAGCTGCTTCAGGATTCCTTGTGCTAAGAAGCTATCAGTTTAAACTCCAGAGCTGAGATTATAGCATTTGTAAATGCAACTGAAAGAATACACTAGGCTTGGTCCCATGTTATCTATTTGCTTAGGTGACTGGGGGCCTGTCTGTGTGCCGTCCACATGCCTTAATGAGCTAATACGGGGCAGTGCTTATAGGTAAGTTAGTGCCAATTTTACCACTGATGTTGCAGCAAAAATCCATTTATCATCATTTGATTCCAGAATAGATCTGCCCACTTTGGCTGCCACCTCTTAACAGCATTGCAAAAAGTAAATTGTGTGTGCATGTATGTACATATGCAGAGGCGTCCAGAGAAAATTGGGCAGAATTTTACCCGTACTCATTCAGCTCATAGTTAAGCAATCACAAAAAGCAGTGCATCTGCCAAGGAAAGCTTCCCATCTCTGCTTTAGAAATATTTCTGGATTATTCAGTTCCATTGGCACCTACTTCAAACATCTCTCCAGCACATTTAGTACCGTTGTGCTTAGAAGCTTATCAGTTTCAAACCAATGCTTCAACAAGTCTAGGCTGAGAAGCCCTGCCTAGGCAATAAAATAAAAAAAAAGGAAGGAACTGGAAAAGTGACAGATTCTCACTTTGTCAATGAAGTACAGCGCAACCGCCCTCTGCCGCACTTTCATCTCTTTGGACTTCCAGTCTTCTCGATAATTATTTCGAATCTTATCTACACATTTCTTCAGTCTCCGAGCAGTCTCATATTTCTGCCAGTCCTTCTCACCCTGCAGAGGCAATCACAAGGAACAACATGATGACCTGCTCCAAAGCATAAAGTCTCCAGTTTGGAGATGGAGCATATTTCAAGAACACTTTCCCAAGATTCCCTCATTGCCACCGTACAGACATTATTCGACTTGAACGTTACTGCCTATTTCAGAAGTGCCTAAGGGGTTAAGAAGTTTTAAAGACCCACTAAGCTGGCAGCAGAGTCGCAAAAAAGTAACGAAGTACTCTTTGGATCTTCCATTTAATGACACATCGATTCCTTAGGAACGGTCAGTAGTTCAGTAGTCCCTGGTTCAATTCCAGCATCTCCAGGAAGGGCTGGGAAAGACTCCCATCTGAAATCCTGGAGAGCTGCTTGCAGTCAGTGTAGATGCTGCCGAACTAGATGGAGCAGTACAGGGCAGATTCCTATGATACAGAGCGTTGGGCATGTCAGAAGTAGCTTCCAAGTTTTCAGACAAACTATCACCTTGATTCTAGAACTGGGATTCAACATGATGTACTTAATAGATCCTTGGATGTTCTCTGTCCATGACACCAACCAGGTCACCTTGTTATCATGCCGGACCTCTTTCCATTTATGTCCAGGGGGAGGTGGAGGAACTTTTGAATCTCTGTACAAGGGGGTGGGGAAACAAGAACACAACAATGATTTCAGAACTGAAAAGACTAAAAACCGTGAATAACAGCAAAATACAACCAGGAAATAATTTATTCAGTTTAATTCAGATAATCAAAGCTGGAACCATTAATTGAAATGAAAGTCACAATACGAACTGTCTAGATTCGCCAGATATTTATAGGCCTCAAGCCCAGCAATCAGAAAAACCAAGTGTGTAAATGTTTGCATCAATTCTTGTATATATCTGCTTTAAGATTCTTAAAGGTTTTAAAGCAAACAAGGCTTACGCTATTCTTACAAATAAAAACTACAATCTTAAGCTTATTAGCATGTTAAAAACTACTAAGCAATTTAGTCACTGTAATGTTTTGAAACAGCCCTGCTGAGGTATGTTAAGAAGTCTTTCCCTCTGCAACCTTTACCCTGCACTCATGTTTCTACAAATCACTTTTGCAGAAATACCAAACTGCCTAAGCAGCTGAAATCTTACCTCACTCCATCAGCTCTCACCATCCAGTCCCGCCTTCCCCAAACCTTGCTTACTGAATATTATTTTGCTCCTTAGGCAGACCAGGCTATCAATATTCTAAGGTCTTCTGAAACTGGGCAAATTGCTCTTTTGCCTTAAAATATAAACTACCATGTCCTGAACTGCAGATTTTTTTCAACAGCTCTGACACAGTAAACATTGGGCAAGAGAGATCGCTTGTTATTACAGTATACCAGGGACCAAGTTGGGATGGGGCTATACCCTCCACAATCTATTAAAGTTAAAAGAGATACGATGGTGTCTGTGAGCTAGGAAACTGGTCTGAAGTGACATAAGGCAAGTGATTTGTTAAAGCTAACCAAGTCTTAGGCTGAACAGTAGAATGCCTGTTTGTCTCAAAGTAAGCCACTTTGAGCTTCCCGAAGCAAAAGGAGGGTGGAATGCAACCACCACCATCTACTAATATTTAAAAATAAATAGATCAAAACATTTGAGTTTTGCCAGTTCACAATACTTTTTTTAAAAGAAACAAACTAATGATTTGACAGTTGTTTGTGAACTACGGTGAAAAGTTCACAAGTGAAACTTAACGTGGTATGTACTGAACTTCAACTCTTGGGCTGCATTTATGTTACAAGTTTCTACAAAGAAACAACAGATTCTACTTGGCAGAAAGGTTATCCGGAGCGAAAAGCCTGAACACAGCTGCTACGCATTATAACCAAAAGTCACTCCTAGCTGGTGTGTGAAATCTTCCATGCTCACTTGCTACAATTGATGATGATGTCTTCTGGCATTATCCGCCTCTTCAGCATGCCCATTTTGGGATGGTTTCCACGCCCTCTGAAGAGACCCGGAGGCTCAATCTTAAAGTTGGCAATTCTTTCCTTATGGTTATCCATGATACAATAGCCATATTCTTTTAATAACCGCTCGTTCTCCTCTTTAATTTTCTAGGGGAAAACAAAACACCCACAAAAAAGGAAAAAATTACAACACATTCCAAACTGCACTATAAATTATTCAGAACCAGAGTTACAAGACATTCATTAGCTCCATCCAGGTTGTGCTGGAAGGCATTTTACAAGTACAGCAAAGCACAGTGAAAGAAAGAGGTTGTGATCTTGAGAGTGTTAATAGTCACAGACCTACTCAACACAGTTAAGAAAGAACTTGAAATATCCCCAGTATTTCAGCATCCCATCCTTCCACCATGACTAGCCCATCTCAACCACACTTCTCATTTATCTGAAGTCTTATCTCTGGGCCAGCCTTTAATCCCTTCCTTAATTCACCATTTAGCACCCATCATATTAGATTGTACCCTTTGGTTGCACCTTGAAACAACAACAACAAATTCTAAATCAAGTTACCTGTTTTTCCTCCTTGGTCATCTGTTTTCTGGCTTCTGACTGGGCTTTGAAATACTGACTCATATGGTTAAAGTCACACTTGCTGAGGCTGGTGATGGTACTCTTTTCTTCATGGGTCATTTCCTGCAAAAAAGAAATCTGAATCTGTAAAACGCTTAAAAAGGAAACTGCACTCCACCTTGTTTTCAGTAAAGTCAGTTTGGATGCTGCTATCATATCAGTGAAGTTACAACAAGATCAGTGAAGTTACAACAAGAGCTATAAACCTATAAAAGGCCAAATGCAGAATGGAAGAACATCATGGTTTCATCTTTGAGAGTTATTATCATCTAATTAAGAAAGAAGGCATCCTTCAGCAAACCATACTCAAGTGCTGAGAGATGAAACTTTATCAACATTCTACACCAAAGAAGTCTCTGAAGTCAGGAACTGTATGTCAAGTATATTCCTATAATTTCATGTTATTTCCAAGGGAGCTTGAAATCCTGATTTTAAACCCCTTTCAGGGACAGAATGGGGAGCACAGAACTGAATGGAGAGAGGGAGGCAAGGAAGAATTCCAGATTGCTGTGCAGTCACACGCCTGGACTCGGGAAGCCCTTCTTAATTTTCCTCTAATTATTAATTTTTTTACCAGGCATTGCCCAGGATGGATTTGATATTCAAGCTTTTTTAAAGAATGCTAAGACTCTCAGGGTGCCAAATATTGCACTTGAACAATGCTCCTGCAGGCATTGTTTATTACAGAAGTATCCCTGTCTCCTAGGAGTCCAGAGTGAAATATAGGAAGCTCTCTCAGTTTATCTGAACAATGCTGTGAGGTATCTAGGCTGAGAAATGATTTCCTCAAAGCAGCTAAAGGTAGAATATGGTATTTCTCTCCAACCATTTCATCTTCACAACAACAGTGAAAGATGGTTGAAAAACTGGTCTGATGACATCCAATGATACTACACTAGCTATTATACATTATTTTGATCATACTTGTTCCATGTTACATGAACAGAAGAGAACGCAGCCAGCCTGCCAATCCTGGGTCACCTGTGACAGCCTATTTCATATACTTCATCACTTGGCAGATTGATTCTAGTCAGGAAAGCTGTTAATAAAAGGTTCCTGGTCCACAGAGTTTAAGTAGAGCATGCCTGTGATAAACACAGACACATTTTGCTGTTTCAGATAGTTTGTGGCCATTCTAGGACAATGCTTCACACAAAGTAAAAAAATAGTAATAATCAAGCCATTTCAACTTAACCAAAGCATTAAGCAGCACTGCTATCACCAGGCAAGCAGAACTGCTATCACCATAAAAGCAACAATTCAGCAGGTGTCCAGGCAAGTGGCAAACTGCATGCCTACTTTAGCTACCTAAGGAACCAAACACTCCCACCCTTCCATAACCTTGACCATACCTTTCTCCAGTCTTTGAAGAAGTTTTTCCTGAAGATGTCCTTTGTAGTGTATTCGTGATCCAGCATTTTTGCAAAGAACGTTGCTACTTCTTCTGCTTTGGGACTGAGCTTCATAACTTTACCTACAACAGAGAAGGCAATCCATGAGTAAACAGGAAAAAACGAGGTGGCATCCTACAGACGCTCAACCCCTCAACCAGCCTACTCCTCTTACCTCAGAGAGAAGGGATCCAGGAACATCCCTCCCCAGCGTTGGCCCTCTGTGAATATACAATGCACAGCCAAAATAATGACCCTGCGAACAAGTTATTGAACATCCTTGTGTTTCAGGGGAAGCCAGGGGTCAGGAGGAGGAGGGCTGTAACCAAAGTCACACACTGGGCTCCAAATTTTACTATGGGCAGTACAATTTTACTTTACATTCACTAACCTAACCCAGCATCTTTACATCAGTTAGCATGAAAATAGTGTTGGGTCTGGTTCTAAGTTTTTTCAGAAGTGAATGAAGTCAGGTACTCCAATTTTGGGTTTCTGTTTCGCTTTCAAAGAGGAAGAGCACAGGAATTTTTGCTCCTTTAAAGAGGTAGACTCTGGAACTGCGAAATGACAACATACTATGCGAAATGACAACATAATAACAAGGAGAGGAGGAATTAGCTACCAAAACCACCAAGGAAATAGGCCAACAGTAGAAAGAGAACATTGAAGAGGAAAAGGCTAAGTTAAGAAACCCAGCCATCGCAGACCACAGGAAGAGCCAGACTGGAAGGAGGGAAAATTTCCCCTGGAGAGGAGGTGAAAGGCCTTGAAGACGCTGCCTGTCTAATCCAGTAGGGGGAGCTATCCCACTCAGGAATGTGCTCCAGCTCTGTCCTTAGGAAGAAGTGCAATCTCCAACAAAGTATGGCATTAATGTTTTGAATTTATCCATTGAGTTCTATTAGATCTCACTTCCTTCTCTGGGGACACTTAAAAAAACAAAACACCTTTCTTTTTATTTCTCTGAGTCTTTTCCACCATCCTCTTTACCCAGTCACACTATCCCATTCCCACTCAACTGTCAGTCTGCAGGTATTGAGCACATTTAGGGTTTGTTTTGTATTTTTGGAGAGGGATGGAGTTATTCCTTCTAAGTTCCTCTGCCCAAGTCTTCTTGCACTTCTGCAAATCTCAAGGGTACCCCGAGTTTGCCAACGGCATCCTCCTGTGTGTGGCTTTCGCTATTTCCAGATAATTTGCAACAGCATTCAGGTAACTGATTTGGAATTAGAATACAGGATGATGGAATCTCTTAACTCTTCCCCTGTGGATGTACAGTGAGACTCTTCTCTGACTACAGCGAGTTCAATCCTACAAGAGGTGAAGCAATCAAAGGATTCCCAAGGGTGAAGAAGCATTATAGTAGTTCAGCTGTATGCTCCCACGTAACAACATTGGCTTGCCATGAGGCCTAGTGGGGCCGACCCCATTATATGCATAAAGCAAGGGATAAAGGAATCAGGCTCTCATGGCAGAAAAGTAATAGCTGACATGCCCATCATCAGACTGTCTTCCTCTTTATCCTGTTCTTGAGGATCATATAACTGGCACAAGAGTCCTCCATATTGGGCTGATTTTGTGCTGTGTGAGAGGACACTGGTATTTCTAACTCCACTGGCTTAAAAAGTTGTTGTTAAAAGGCTGCCTGCTTGATATACCAGTGATTCGTGACTGTCCTCTTTCCCCTTGACTGAAGAATTGTAATAGAGGCTCAGCATGAAATAACTAGCTGCGCAGAAAGGCAGATTTTTCTCACAGCTCAAGGGGGAAGCAATTGCTGCATCAATGTGCTGCAGACCCAACATCTCCCCCTTTCTAAGCAATCTGACTAATGTAGGCCCAGACAGTGTTAACGTCACACCAGTCTTCAGTGCACCCAGAGAAGGTGCTTGCCAGCATTCCACAGCAATACCAAACAGGAACAAATATTTCACTTGCCAGCAGCCTAAAGAGTTGGCATCATTTCAGAATAATGGATTCCTGTGAAATCCAATCCAGCCACTACTTGTACTGGTGTAGTTAAGGCAGACAGAGATGGCAATATGGAGTCTTCATGATGCAGAGGGTGTGCCCAGTGTGGGGGGAAAGAGGAATTTTCCATCTAGCTTGAAGGAAGTAAGCTATAGAAAAGTACTACAGAAAACTGCTAAGAAGAGTGCTTCTGAATGTTGTAAAAGATTTATGGCCATCTGATCTATTTTGTAACATCTATTTTGGAAGATTAGGAACATAGGAATGATGTTCACTTGACATTTTGTGCTCTGATAGGGATATCAAACTCACAAAGGCACAGAGGTACAATTTGAGGTTTGTCCCTTCAAATACTCAGAAGCACAATCAAGAAAGGGACTGGGTCCCTGCCTCTATCTATCTTTGAGCACGAAGGAGGTAGAAAGTGGAGAATGATGTGTACAGTCCAATGCCTGTGGTCTCATAATGCTAAAACAAGGTTTAACGTAATTTCTGAATGAGACCAGTAACTACATCGAGTGTTTATGTGCTATTAAGACAGTTTCTAGGATGATTTGGTAGGGAGACTGAATATAAACCATTTGGGGATTTTATACATTAGTGGCAGCTTGGTCAAACTGCATTCAACTGATTTCACTGTGATAGGGCCAGAGGTATTTATTCCCCTGAAAATATAAATATCAAGTTAATTTAAATTGCTCACAAACTTGCTTGGGGAGATTACTTGGGCATAGATGCCATAAGCTTTCAACTAACTCATATGGGCCAATTAATCCCTCTCACATTTCATATTTTAAAGCAACTTGAAAAGGTAGTTTCTAATGATGGCAGCAATCTCCGGAGCCAGCATAAATAGTCATGTCAACCTCCTTTTCAGTAAATTTAATCTCTCACACACTGGAAAGGTTCCAACAGTCATTACAGATGAGTCAGAACCAGGAAATTCAACAGGGATAGGGTGGGAAGAAGATATGGATAATCTCTGAATTGACCTTTGGTCATTGGGCAGGGACAGTATGTTAAGTGGCAATACCTTGCTCTGGAAGCAAAGGACCCTCAACCAGCTTTAGCAAGACAGAACTAGAAGTGGCCCTCAATGAGAGCATGCCTTGCATTCTAACTGGAAAGATGCATGTAAGCAATGAATGCACATCAGCTGCACATGAGGAATTCCGCTGCCAAAAACAACGGTCAGACTTGAGAAATAAAACCACTTTAAAGGAAAATATTATTACCAGACAGCACTTACTGCCATTTAAAAAAATGAAAGGGAAAAAAGCATTATCTCTGAACAACTTTTGCTGTGAGAACCCACCACTGAAATACATTGCACTATTTCAAAATAAGCCTCATTTAATATGACTGGATACTTCATGAGTGTCTTCCTATGCAATTATGTATCTTTCATTCCTGCTACTAATGCTTTAACATTTCTAAATGACACTGCATTCACAGCTCTGGGAATGATCCAGCACTTCTGTGCTGACATCAGGGAGCACAAGGGAACACTGTATCCTGTCTCTGCACCAATCACAATTCACTGTCCACACAGGGGGACAAGAGGGTTAAGGATTGTCACATCACAAGCCTTGAATGGAGGAGGAGGAAAGGGAGATGGACAGACCTGTACTCAGCAGCCTCCAGTACTGGTTGCATGGTTGTGCAGATGAAATTCCAACCACCTTCAGAGAATATATAAACCCCCAGCCGCATTTTACCAGCATGGGATGATCCTCCCTACAAGGTCTCCCAGTATGGGCTTTTTCTGCCTTATGAATGCTCATTATAAAGACACCTATTTCTCCACCAAACACCAGCCTTTAGTAGCTTACCATCATAGTAGAATTTGACATTTTCAGGCACAGGTTCATATGGTGGTGCAAACACAGGGCCTTTGTGTTCCAAGAATTTCCACTTAATACCTTCAGGATAGCGCTCTTCCTCCCACCTTAAAAAAAAAGGGGGTGGGGGTGGGAGAGAGAAACATGTGCTCATTCAAATGCCATATGGATTCAGAATCTATAAATGGGGCACCATGAATGCTAAAATTAGTCAATTCAGCAAATTCAACAATCCATCCTTTCATTTACTCCATTTACTTCTTTCATTTTTATAATGCCTTTCTGCCAAGACACTCAATATAATTTAGCATATTAGAACAGGAAATGGTACAAAATATTCTCAGCTTCCTTGCTTCTGACTTCCCTGAGAGGATATAGGTCTTTCTTAAGAAGCACCAGGGAAGGCTGGTGCCCCAACAGTTCTCTTAGGACTTGGTGGTTATATTCTTCCTCGCCTGGGCTTCCTCATTTCCACCTTCCCTCAGGGCACATGGGTTTTATTTTGTTTTATTTATTCACACAAACCTTCTACTATATTTTCATCTAGAAAGCCAACCCGTTGTGCTACACACATTACCCATGTCTGCATTTATCAGCCAGCACTTTCTGACCGCCTCACAAGCAAGACAATATATTCCAGGCTTCTTCACAAAGAAGATAGCATTGTTTTTATGTCAGTTTAGATGCATGTCCTACTTGTATACACCACTTGGGGTGTTAGTAAAAGCAACAAAGAGAAGAAATCCCCAGAGTAACCTGCACTAGGGTCAGTGACCTCTCCTGTGGTCAGCAGAGGGAAATGATGATTAATGTTGCTTGAGGTACAGAAATGGCACAGGCCAAACTCATCCCCACTTAGAAGTCTGTTGGGTTGTACTGGCAGCAGGGGATGACACTTTTCTGCAATAACACTAAATCCAAACCTGAAAGGCTCAAATTCTCAGGTACTTGTCATGTCTCTACAGAAAAACCTGAAATAGGCATTTCCGGTACAGGGATTCGCAACGTATCACCAGTGAGCCATATCTTTCTTCCTAGATTCACTCAGCAACTGACTTGTGTGTTTAGTCTATCTGTATTTCAAGCTGCAGAACTGAAGGTCACATAATATCTTACAGCAGAAGCAGGCACTGGGTAAAGGGCGGGTGGATGCTATTTTTAAAAAGTTTTGTTTTCATTGTGTGTAGAAACATACAGAGAGCAGAGATACTCCTCAACGTTTTTCTATGGTGTATACCAGGCAGGAAGGGAGAGAGGAGGGGAGAGGATATTTTAGCTTCCACTTTATTACTGTGTGGAAAGAGCTCTTAGCAACAGTTTTTAAGGTGTCCTGCAGCTATCACACACTGTGTGAAGTAGCTCCAAAAGAAATAGTGGTTGGATGGGGATACAGAAAGATCCTAAAAGATAAAAAGAAACATTGGAAGCAGCCCAAAGTATCATAAATTACCTCCATGCTAGTTTCACCAGCTCTACCACTTGGAAAGAGTTGCTATGACTTAGACCTTAGCCATTTTCACCCCTGGCTATGTGGGAATACAGAGAGACTTTATCTACCACTACAACTAGTGCTGAGAATAATAGCTTGATTCCTCATAGTACTTATCTGATAGAAGGTTGGCATTACTCCTCTAAAACCCTAAACACTAAAACCCAACCAAACAGGTTCCTTTTAAAACAACTGGCATCTCTCCACCCCCTCAATACCCCCTGGTCTTTCACTCTGTCAGATCCGCTTGAGGGGGGGGTATCACCAGCTGAATTACATGCAAATTTCTGGGAGTTAATTGGGCAACGTGGGCTAACAGTTTTCATTTGAAAGCAGGATCACTTCAAAAGTGTGGCTGCTGTGCTACACAGGGTACAAGGGTGGGAGTGGGCAATGGTAAGAACCAGCAAGAAAGCATGGATGAACAATTCTACATTAAGCTTGAGATATCTGCTTGGCCATATGTTTGTTTTCCCCCTAGAACTCTGACATTTATCAGCTGGTGTTAGGCTGCAAAACAGTGGTGGGGAGACATAGCAGCAATGGCCTATCGTGGCTCCCTGACATGTGCACATATTACAATACAATACAAAAAACTATTCCTTACATTCGTATTTTAAATTTTTAAGTACAGAAAAGTAAAGACAGAGTGCCCTGCATTGTAATGGGCATTGTGTTTCACGATGAAACACAGAAACAAGAAGCATAAAGCAAAGGAAAATTAAGGTGAATACCACAAGCTCTTCCTCAGAACTATTTTCTAATGAAACTGCCAACAAATTCTCAATTAAAACGATCCTCGGGTTTTGAAGCCATAAAGTATGTTTAAATATCTGCTGGAATGTTTTCACTTAATCAGTTTGTTGACACAGCCTCTCTCCAAGGAGTGTATCTCGAAACACTGGGAGTTGGTTAGCCAAAAGTACAGAACTAAAGAACAAACACCAAAAAGTTATTCAAAACACACTGCTGTACAAAGTGGATTGCAATGCAATACACCATTACGAGACTGTTAGCACTGTGTCCATTTTAAGCAAAATTCAGGATCAAATCAGCCTTGATCCAGAAAAGCATGGAGGGATGCCATGCATGGAGTAAGGCCTTGAATTTTCAATACTAGACAGTTGCTTTCACAGGCTTCTTTTAAAATTCCCTGTGGTATGAGGTAGGCTAATGCTCAGGAATGTTAGTAAAAAAAAAAAAAAAAAAGACTAGCTTTACATCCCTGCATATGCCTAAAAAAGGTTGGTTTAGTTTGTGGACTGCAGCCTGTAAGGGTTAACGTTTTGAAAGAAGGCTAAGCAGCATTGTTCTTAACACAAAAGCAAGAGTCATGAAGTTTTATAAAGACTGATTCTCTTGCAAAAGGCATACTAGTTTGGAAAGTAAGAAAATAAGCAGAACTACAAAAAGTATTATTATGGTTCAAAGGAGGTAAGCTTTCAACTTCAAGATTCGTCAACTAAAGCTTCAGTGGATTAATTAGTAGAGTCCAACTTTAAAATTAGGTGCCAAGCTATTTTTTGCGGGGTTGGGAAATAGGAATGTTTCAAAAACCTTCCCTGGAAATTTTTAAGCAGGAGTTGGATGGCCATCTGTCATGGATGCTTTAGTTGAGATTCCTGCCTTGCAAGGAGTTCAACAAAATGACCCTCAAGGTCCCTTCCAATTCTAAGATTCTATGATTTCACTTGTTCTAAAATGATGCAGCAGTGTTTTCTATCCCTTGGTAAAAAGGTGTAGACTGAGGGGGTCCACTTGCTAGTATAATTCAAGGGACCATTGGTCTGGCTACCTCAGCAACAGGGACACGCTCCCTTAGTCTAAGCAACTGCTAACTGGAAGAACAAAATGAAGATAAGAGCCCTGCTAGATCAGATTAAAAGCACCAGCCTGTTCCAGTCTATGGGAAACCCACAAGCAGAACCAGATTGCAGCAACACGGTTCACACTTGTGATTCCCAGCAACTGGTATAAATGAGAAAGGGCTAATAGTCCTTGATAGACTGATGCTCTGTGAACAATAGCATCATGAATAATGAACAGTGGCTGTGAGCAGGTGTTTAAAAAGTGTACTTACGTGAAGGTAGAGGGCTTTTTGAACGAACATTTTCACTGCTCCTAACTGGCAATTTTTGCTGAGCAAATATAACTTTATGAAATCAGCAAAGTGCTAGCTGTAAACTTCACTTAATTTTTGTGATACTTTTGCTGCTAGTGAAATTGATATTAACAGAAAACAAAAAACTACCGTTAAACGTTCCCTCTAATAACAGATAGACATGCCACCTAATAATAAAAGAAACAAAGGTTATGACTTCAGTACCTCAGGACTTCTAATAAAATGGATATTAAATTTTTGTTCCAATGATAAATCAGTTATTTGAAAGCCAATTATTAACCTAACAAATCCTTAACTAGTTGAGAGCTCGAACTGGGGTTTTCCTTTTCCCTCTAAAATGGAAGATAATCCTGTTTGCAGCTTTGAAGTCCAACCACAAAGAGTTTTCAGTCAGCATTTTTTCAGATGTAAGAGGAAGCAGCCAGCCACAGGCTGAAATATCAGAGGTGTGTTACCATTTCCATTTCTGCTCCTCTTCTTTTTTTGTTTTCTTCTTCTTCATGTCTCCTTCAGGAGGCTTCTTATCTTTGCTCTTTATTTTCTTGGGTTTGATATCCTGAAAAGAGATTTTTTTAAAGAGAGAGACCCTATACCGGGAGTAGTTTTACAAGATACTCTTACATTTAAAAACAAATAAATTTTGTAAGAAACCATTTGAAATGTGCTTCTCACAAAAATGGCCCTTGGTCTGAATCAAACTACTTATTCAGTTTCCTACCGGTGGCAAGGAATTATCATCAATTAACATGCAGAGTGTATCATGGTACGACATAAATAAATTGGCAAAGCCATATACAGGAGGCATATACAGAAGTGAAAGGGCATAATGTAGAGAAAAAAAGGAGATGAGGACCACTTAGCCTAAGGATGGAGGATGAGTTGCAACTTTGTGGTGAGCAGAGCCCAGCCACCAGTATGCTCTCTGCATGAATCTAGCCAAAAATCACGATCTCTACATACTGATCTTAACATGTACTCTAGATCGAGACATCGTGTGTGTGTTTTGGTTAATGTTTTCAGATGAATGCTAAACTGGATACTCTAAGCAAAATAAAGCGTTCTTTCTCCACAGTTGTCTCCACAACCTGTTATTACCCCAGAGATCCAGAAAATATAAATTCAACCAAACCTCCTCTTCTTCCTGTTTCCGCTTCTTTGATTTTTTTATATCTTCAGTTTTGATCTTCTTGGGTTTGTAGTCGACACTGAAACAGATCCAACAATTTTAAACAAATCATTTATTTCCAGTTCCGGATTTTATTACTCTCACCCTCCACACACAAATGTTGCTGCTGTGCTGCTTGTAGCCTGCATTCCAAAAGCACCAACACCCCAATTCCTATGGCTCAGATAAAACCTGCTGCTTGACTTTAAGTTATACATTTCCTGAAGCCCCTTCCCTAAGAACAGACGTAACTACTTTCCAGCGTCTGTAGACAAATGCCAGTTCTCTACCTGTGCTACACACACACTGACACCATATTATACATGGCTACTGCAGAATACAATCAAGAAATAAAATCTGCTATTTTTGTATTTGACGCAACCTGTTGCCCCTCATTTGCACTGATCGCTTTTCTTCTCTTTGCTGTTGCAGGACCGGAGGGCGGGGAGAGTTTAAATTCCCTTTGCAGCAGAAATGGGTTACACTAGTAGGACGACTGATGCCAGTGTGAATCCCAGGCACCTAATGGTCCCAGATGGAGTAGCGGGATCCAGATGAGCACTGTGATACACACATCAGGTCCACAGTTGCTTCTGTATTAACATCTCCCTTGCAGGATCAAGGCAATTCACTATAGAAGACAGCTGGGGTTCACAAAGTATTATTAACACTCACTATTCATTCGGTCCTTAACATTTTGTCTTACTAATTATTCTTTTGTTTTATAAAAGCATTTGTCAGCTACCTTTCAAAAGATCAAGGCCGCTTACATAAAATGAAAACAAACAAAAAACTGCGCTATTAGAAAAAAAGGTAAACCCCCAGAATGCGGTCCTCCCTCAAGGGTAATTAAAAGCATTCACTTTTCACTGAGTGGCATGATGAAGTCTGAGTGACAACTGATATCTGGAATGGGCAAAAGAACTTAAGCCCTTAAATCCATTGATTTCAATGGGTCTATTCTGAGTTATGACTTAGCAAGATACTATAGTTGCTTGCTATAGACAGATCCAAATGTCCCATTATTCCCACTTTTCACTGTAGGTAATGTTCACAAGCTACTCACTCATCATCCTCTCGGGGTCTCTTTAGGGGCTTATAGTCTTCTTTGTAGTAGCCATCGTCATCCATTTCTTCCTTAATACGAGGTGGGCTAGAGAGAAAAGGAAATGAGTTATTTAGTCAAGAACATGAATACTAAGCTTCAGCTTGTAGTCTGACTTCACCTACCACTTCAACCCACGCGAGGAGAACTCTCTCATTATCCCTGCCATATTTAGAGTTGAACAGGATGTGTGACTTTCATACAGTTTCAGCTAAACTGAAAATGTAACACCATATTGCAGGGCTGGTGGGGTTCTGCCCCCCCAACCCCCCAGATTTTGGTGTCAGCAAAAAACAAAATTAAAATAAACATGCTGGAAAGTAGATCCCAACACCCTGGTGGGGATACAAATAACTCCCCGCTTCTTAGCTGGTTTCCTCAAACTCTCCCCCATGACACCCTACTAGGTTTCCATTTTCCTCCAGCTGTACCATTTTGGGAAGCTCTGATTTAAATTAAGGCTGCATAGAAAAATGAGAAAAAAATCCTACAACAATGGGACAATGGATTATAAATCCTGAACACAAACTTGTAGATGTTAGCAAGTATTAAGTGTTAAAGATGTGTCAGATTCAAACTACTTGATTGCTTTTTAGTTACAACAATTCAAGTTTTAAAATTGTTTTAATAAATCTACTCTCTCTACAATATTGACACATTGGATATTGGGATATTTCATAATATAAATTACTAGCTCTATTTTGTTTTACCTACAGGTATGCATGGCATTTTTGTACAGTGTGTGGGGGTGTAATTCATATTTAAAGAGAATTTGTGGCTTGCCCTTCCAGTGAAAACCATGGTGGGTCAAAGCATATAAAACAATGTAACAAAAAGTGGCTGTGTTCAAACATCACATTGACCCAGACTTCCTACCTTATCATGGTTTATCAGGAATGAGCAGCATGCTAATGCACGCTGCCTGATCTCACAGCTGGAAAAACTCAGCAGCGCTGGCAAATACACCTCTACAGTTACTGGGAACAAATGCATGCTGCTAAAGGAGCCATCTTGATGGAAGTCACTTTACAAAGCTACTCAGGAGACCACATTTCAGCCACTGAAAGCTAATTTATTGAGCTGACTCTAAAAATACATTTTTTCCAAAGGCTAAAATTCTGCAGCTATTTTGCAATGAAGATTGCGTTCTGTGGAATACAAAAGATCTTAGAGCTGCAGTCTGCTTGGATGTTTCAGTGCAGTGCAAACTGCACAAAACCCAAAACACTGCAAGCAATGAGGTCACCTTCTGCAGTGCCATCTCTCTTCTAAAAAGATGTAGCCTGATCTGCTTTCCACTTCAAATATCTAACACAGATAAGATCAGCTGGTAATACAAGACAGCAGATTAAAAAACTTGTGCAAGGAATGCTAGTATTTTAAAGTACAAAGGCACTGCAGATTTTAAAGGCTGTGTTTTAAATCAATCCAGCATCGTGCATCAAAATGCAGGAGATTGCTGGAAACAGGCTGCACAATAGTGGAAAAGTCTGGTGTCAGTTCCACGAGGTATTTATGCTGAGCATAACTGCTGCTGGCTTTTTGACAAGCGGGTTTTACATTCTTAAGATGGCAGTTCCTAGAAATACCAAGAGGGGTCCTTACTTTCTTCTACTGTGAATCAAGCAGTTTATATATGCTTGAATACTGTTTTAGAAACAGTGCACAGGAGGAACAACTTTAGTTTGACCCTAAATTCCCAGTTCTTCCACCGAGCGTTTGATATTGATAGGGAACAACTTTAAAAGTCTATGTTATTTTAGAGTCTTTATCAGGGCCAAGAAGGTTCTATGTCTACATTGGATTAAAAAAGAGAAGTGCATCAGAGAATCCTTTACAATCTTATTCCTGTCCATATAGCTGGACTGGTTTTTAACACAAAAAAGCTTCCCCATCTTTGGTTTTAGGTTTTCTTTATGCCAACAGAAAAGAGGATCCCAGAATGTCTCAGGGATCCCACTGAGAAAAATTCCACTCATCTTCTGGGTACAAGTCAAAACTAAAAATCTAACAGTCTTCTTCACACAAGGCTCCAGCTGCATACCTGGAGAAGCCATTTTCTTTTTCCTTCTTTATTTTCACTTCACCAGATGATTTACTCTGAAAACAGAAGTGAGAGCTGGTTAGTAAGCTATAAAAACCACTGTCATATCTTCCCTGTGCATTCAAATGTAACTGACAAAAGACCCTTGTACCAGGAGCAAGTGCACTTCCAGCTATTCCTCAGAAACGCTTTCAGCATTATTGGATCCGGCCAATCCCAAATACGTGCTCTGTCCTGCTGTTTTCCTATCTATCTAGATGTTCTCCCGAAGTTTTTCCTTTTGTCTGGCCACAACTGCAGAATTTGCTATCAACTCCTTAGCTTATTTAGACAAGGCTTCTGCTTGTACTGTTACACTGCATAATTATGCACTTTGCCCAGACATGAACAGATGGGGTAGGAAAATTATCAAGGTACTGTCTGTCCCTCTTCTGTCTGTCAAGGCTGGGCTAAGGTGTGCACCTGCACCGGTGCAATGTTTGTAATATCCTGCATCAAGTTACCTACAGAATCCCTCCTCTTGTAGAACACAACATGTGCTGAAATTCGGCCTGTAGCTGCTATGAAGTTTAACATGACTTTTATTATGACAAGTTTACAACAGCCATTTAAGCAGACACACAGTGATATCATCTAACACCTAATGCCACAGCTCCTATACTCATAGCCTTGAGCTTCTGTTGAAACTGTACGCGGGATTTGACTTGCAAAACAGCTTAAAAATGTCAAAAATGTGAAGCTGCTCGTGTCTTTATCCACAACAAATCCCAGTCCAAAGCAGTGCCATTCAGCCCCACCACCATCCTGTACCTTTTCTTCCTTTCGTTTCTCCTTGTCTCTATCTTTGTGTTTGTCTTTGTGTTTGTCGTGTTTCTCTGAACTGCCATCTTTGTGTTTGGTTTTCTCCTTCTCTTTGTGTTTCTTCTCCGAGGAATCTTTGTGCTCACTGGAAGATACAAGAGTCAGTTGGGACAGGATCGGTAGCAACGACCAAGCGGATTGACACGCCAAGCCCTAGAAAGTTTTCTATTAATGTGAAGAATCACATAACTGTAGCAATAAGGAACATAGTAAAGTCAAGATGCCTCAGGGACACCACAGACTAATGCATTTTCGCCTGAAGGAGTTTCAACAATATATGTGCACTGTTTAGTACACCTTAAGCCCAGTACTAACATCTTGGCATTTATGCTTTTAACAGCAGACATTAACTGGAACCTTCAGTGGATTTGTCCCCCTACTGAGACAGGGGTAAAAAGAAGACAAACCCTGCAGTTATAACACCAAACATCATATTTATGGCTCATATTGGTATTGATAAATTTATTAGACGAGAGAAACAGAGGCATACAGCATTTAAGCAATGGGCTGTGGTTCACTCAATTCAGTCACTAGAAGAGCCAGAAACTGAGTTCAGGAGTTCTTTCATGTCTAGTTACATTCGCCTCCTGTTAGTGCATTTTAGAAACCAATGATACTTGTGCCATATGACCTTCGCCAAGTCTCACTTCTTCCCTCTCCCCACCACTGGCCTGTTTCACTTATGAGGGAAGAGAGCAAATGGAACGTATGTTAAAGCTAAAAAAAATGATGGGTTTTCATTACATCAGAAAGAAAATGGTATGTCTCTACAGTCATACCTCGGGATAAATACGCTTCAGGTTGAGCGCTTTCGGGTTGCGCTCTGCGGCGACCCAGAAGTAACATAGTGCGTTACTTCCGGGTTTCGCCGCTTGCGCAGACAGTCAAAATGACGTCACACGCATGCACGGAAGCGGCGAAACGAGACCCACGCAGATGTGTCTTATGTTCTATTCGGGATGCAAACGGGGCTCCGGAACGGATCCTGTTCGCATCCTGAGGTACCACTGTAATTCTATTCTAATGCCAAAATCAAAACAAAACCCAGTCTCTTTAGAAAGTGGTCCATTTCCCAATTAACTATTCAGTGGCTGCTTAGACCACAATAATCAGAATTAAACTTGTAGATTACAGAGATGAATTGTTGAAAAACCCTTAACGATGTGGTATATCCTGCTAGCGAAAGATTTAAGGCTCATGTGTGATTATATTATATCCAGGCACATGATAAAGAAAGCAGCTCTTAGAGAACTCCAACACTGCATTTTGAGAAGTCAACTGCAGCCTTCTCCTATTACACTCATTAGGTTTCCTTACTTCATTATCCTGACCCTCTTGCCCCTCAATGACTCTGCAAGCTAAGTACTCTGGATTCCCCTTTCATTCCTCCCACTTGCTAGTGCCACTCTATTTCTTATGGTTTGATTCTCAGCTCCCACAAGCCCTTCCAATGTGACTTACTGCTTCTTGAATCTGGAAAATTCTCCGTCCCTAATGTAGAGACACATACCACAATAAAGTCAAATAAGCAACTATATTTATTACATTTTTATTCCGCCCATATCCTAATAATATTTTTAAAGTACTTTTTCTTGGTTTTAATGAATGTATGGTATAGTTTGTTTTTTGTAAAGCTGATTTAAGTTGCCTGCGACAAGAAAAAGTTTCTAATAAACTTAAATAACAACAACAATATAGAACAAGTGCACGTGCTACCTCCCCATATTTCAGCTCACTACCCCTCTGAAAAGGTTAGACTAAGTGATAGTGATCACCTATGCTCATCAAATTAACTTCATGACCAAGTGGAGTTTTGAAGCTGGGTCTCCCCAGGTCTGGTTAAACACTATATAATACCAGCCTTCAGTGTCATATACCTTCTCCAAATGCCCATAAAACATTTAGTCCTTTTAAAAATGGGATGCAATTTCTTTGGATTTTTGAGATACTTCATCATTTAAGTATTTAAGACAAGAACCACTACATATAAAGAAATAATATTTACCAAATACAAAAAGATGGAATTTCTAATACAATCTTCTGTTCCCCACAGTGGCCAACCTTTTTTGGTCCACATAATTTATTTCAACATTCCAACTTTCATAAAATGGAAAGCCCACTTGTTACAACATCTAACAAACTTAAACTGGCTAACAGTATTTTTATTTCACTTTTGTTTTATGCAATTGTGACCCCCCCCCCTTTCATGAAAATGATGCTGAAAAGGTTAAGTTACATAACTTCGTATCTAATAATCAGGTCTGACTTTGGCTGTCTGTTTGCCTAATTAGGAATGCCTAAATGTCATCCGCTCCTTGCTTGGAGGACAGAGAATATACTTCTTCCTACCCATTCATGGCTTATTGTCTAGATAACTTGCACATTCCATAGGTTCCCAACCCCAGCGCTTCAACAGAAAGAGAAAATAGGAAAGAGAAAGAGAAAGAGAAAAAGAAAGGGGGGAAATGTACAGGTGCTGTAAAGAATTAAGAGAGGATCAATACTAGCCTGGCTAAGTACGCTAGTTTATTAACCAATGTTAAGCCAGAGTTGTATGATGTAGTTTGGGTACAACAGGGAATAGGTTTAATGAAGTCAGGATTGTTGCACCGAACAGAGTGTTTGATAGTGAAAAGGGAAGAGACCTCTTAAAACCATGGTTTATAAAACAATGGATAATCATCAAAACCTGGCCACTATGATGGAGGTTAATTGCTACTATGCTGTGCTCCAACAGACATGGACACCAGCAAAAAGTAACAGTTTTTAATTGCAGGAACACAACAAATTTTTAGCCAGCTTTTTGTCATGGCACATTAAAGATTCTTCACATTTTTCTACTGCTACAACATCCTCTGCTCTTTTTTTCATTACTTCTACCTGGGTGTATTAAATACAACTGATATGAATTCTTGTCACCTGCAGCACTACAATCAGTTTCCCTACTTCAGTCACAAACACATGCACCCCACAGCTATACAAACTGACAAGTAAAAAAGACAGACACAGTAAGAACTTTCCTGGTAACAAATACCTATTTAGAGAACATACACGTATGAAATGTCACCACAAGCAAACTTCGCAACAGGAGAGAAAAAAAGAGATTTAATTTGCATGACAGCAGAAAATAGGGAAAAAACCACCAAAAAATGGTATGTGTCTCTGAAGAAAAAAACTCACAGACCAGTACAGCCTCTAATAAATGAAGGTAAGCAAATGTGTCATTTAACTTAATATCGTTTTGTAATCAGACAAGAACTATTTGGAGCACCTCACATCAAGACATAAGCCCTCATTTTAAATGCCTGTTTGTTATGAATAAGACTGGTAAACTAGCTTATGTGCCAAAATAAAAAATAAAAAAATAAAAAAATTGTCATCCTGTGAAAGAGAGGACATAATTTCCCCTATTTGACAGTTGGGAAATGGATGATATGGGGATAGCAACCTGGACCATAAGTCAGCCTGAGATCAGGCAATACAGTTGACTCAAATCTACACTGCAGTCCAGCCCTTTATTTAAAAAGCATGTTCAACATGTGCAAGTAATCTCCTGCTGGCACAAAAAAATGGTTCACCTAACAACTAATAAGGTGGTGTTTTAGTGCCTGAGGCAAAAAGCCCCCGTTCTACATACAGAAGCCAAGGAGATTGGCAGCTGGATCTATCAGTGGTAATAGGACAGTGTCTTCCATGGCTCTTGAGGGCAACATGCTAATTGAGAGGATTCAGGACAGGCTGTTGGCACAAACAGGGGAATGCTGTCCCTCAGCATCTACCACCCGAAGCAGCAACCCCACTCTGCCTAATGGTAGGGCCAGCCCTGATTCTCCTGCGCAAGCTCTAGAATTCCTTCTTCCACCAAGGTTCAGAACAAGTAGGTAAGCTTAAAGGGCAAGTTACCGTACAAAATTACTTTGGCCTTTTCCAAGAAGAGAACACTGCAGCTGCATTCATTGCTTAATTCTCAACCTGGCCAACAGGCACAGACTACCCTTTCGGAAAGCTTACCTTCTCTAGTAGGCAAAGCAACTGGCCCTAGTGCAGGCTTCCTCAAACTCGGCCCTCCAGATGTTTTTGGCCTACAACTCCCATGATCCCTAGCTAGCAGGACCAGTAGTCAGGGGTGATGGGAATTGTAGTCTCAAAACATCTGGAGGGCAGAGGTTGAGGAAGCCTGCCCTAGTGTAACACAGTTATCTTCCCAGATGTAGGACAGCAGTGTGTTGCAGCTACTTTTACTCCTCAGCCTGGGGCAGGATGATAATGAATAGTTAGTTGTTTCCTGACAGCCTCTCCTTCAGCTAGATCATAGTAAAGGACACTCTGTTCCCTTCAAACATCAGCTCACAGCTTGCCACCGAAGCTGCATTACGTAGCTTCCCCTCTGAATCATGAAGGATGGATCAAGTCTATGCACAAATCAGGTTTAGAGACTGTTGCACGAATCAGTCTTCACTCATAGCTGAGCTGGGATCACAACTTTTATTATTTTATATTTATATCCCACCTTTCCTCCAAGTTGGTCAAGGCAGCATACCTGGTCTCCCCTCCTTCATTTTATCCTTGAAACAACTCTATAAGGGCCTTAATAGCCTGATGTCTAATGACCTGGTTTTTAAGTGTTGCCTACAGAATTCTTATTCCGACAGAGTGCATAAGACAACATGCAACTGGTGTAAAGACTGAAAATTAGAGGTGGTTCTTTTTGCAGGGAGGCACTACTCTATTCTGTGATCCACCAAAGTGGAGGACTCAGATTCAGCACAGGAATCTGAAAGCTTCTTTCGGCCAATTACGTGTGGAGAAGCATGGTAGAGTTAGAAAACGTTATTTTTGCTCCTATGAAGTGTTTTACTCAGTGTTTGCATCTGTTTCTGCTCCATGTTCCTTGTTTTCATAAAAGCTTTTGATTTGATTCACAGGAAGCAAAGTATTTTGATGATTTATTCTGAGATGTACTTAAAAAAAAACCTCTGCAAAAAGCACTTTACTTTATTAGTAGATTGATGCACAGCTATTCCTTCAGGAAGTGTTTCCTTCAAGTAGGCATCACTGTACTCTCTGGAAATTGCTCAAACATTAATGGCATTGCTAGAGTTAAGACGTAGCTTTTTGTTTTGAGATGAACTAACCCCCCCCCAAAAAAAAACCCTGCACTGAATATGACATAGCAAGCCACTCTGAGCCTAATCCTTGTGGCACTTATGTATTGTACTGACTCAAATAAATACATTTATTTCTTATTTATTATCTTGAACCAGCACAGGACTTTCAGCAAGCTATATAAAGAACCATATAGACTGCTATAAACCAAAACTGATTATAATAGTTACAGGCCCTAGATAAAATACCAGCTAAAATTCTTTCTCCAGGTTAACACCCCCATCAGCACTCCAATGAGCTGAATTACATTACAGGATGTGGGTGGCACTGTGGTCTAAACCACTGAGCCTCCTGGGCTTGCCGATCAGAAGGTCGGCGGTTCAAATCCCTGGGACGGAGTGAGCTCCTGTTGCTCTGCCCCAGCTCCTGCCAATCTAGCAGTTCGAAAGCACACCAATGCAAGTAGATAAATAGGTACCACTGAGGCGGGAAGGTAAATGGGTTTTCCATGCACTCTGGTTTCCATCACGGTGTTCTGTTGCACCAGAAGCGGTTTACTCATGCTGGCCACATGACATGGAAAGCTGTCTGTGGACAAACACCGGCTTCCTTGGCCTGAAAGCAAGATGAGCACTGCACACCAGTCACCTTTGACTGGACTTAACTATCCAGCGGTCCTTTACCTTTTTACCTACAGGTAACTCTCAACTTACACATATTATACTTATGCTTTTGCAGTGGTGTGTGTAAGTGTGTGTGATAAATAAATAAATAAATGGAAAGCAGAGGAAACCCACCATTCCCTCTGCTCCCTATTTATTTATTCTTCCCTGGCCACCTGTGCACAGCTACAATTGCAGGCTTACAAGATTTTGGGGAAGCAGTGGAAGGGCTCTGGGACGCTGCCAGAGCCCTTGCACCGCCTTCACAAAGCAGAGTAAGCAGCCCTCTCACAGGAGGGGGTTGCTCCCGGCTTCATACATTTCTGTGTTTAGGCGTGGACTCCCAGAACTGAAATCTCGAGTAAGATGTGAGTTACCTGAATATTATGTCCTGCAACTTTATACTCTCTACTAAGAAGCCCTACATTTTTGCTACATTTCCTTTGTACACCAGCCTGCTTTCCAAGTTGCCTTTGGGCTGAAAGATATTGGATGTTGGATCCAATATGTTGGATTTAAAAGCATGAAGATTAATCCAGAAACAATAATAAATTCAAGTAAACTTGAATGTCGGCTGGGCTCCTTTGGGATGAAGGCTGCAGTATAATTGTAATAAATAATTTTTGCTCCCTTAATGGAACTATTTTATAAGTATGAAAACAGCTATAGTACCAAGGCAACCCCCACCCCACCAAAACTTCAATATGGCTAGCCCAAACACTCTGGTTTGCCCCTGATCATCTCTTACACGTCACCTTATGCAGGCCTAAACCATTCTACAGGAATTAGGCCTGCCCCTTTGGCCAGTTTTCCCACTTCCTAGATCATATTAAGTGTAATTCAGCAACCTGCCTCCCTAACATGGGTGTATGCTACAGAGTTCTATGTAAGCAGAGACACTGCTTGAGCACTGGAAGATTTGCTGCCGAGCCAAGTTTGAGGTTTTAATATTAGTATATAAAGTCTTTTATTTATACAGGTTCTAGTAATTCAACTCCTGACATAGAGTTCTGGTCTCTCTCTCTCTCTCTCTCTCTCTCCCTCCCTCCCTCCCTCCCTAGGGTAGGACTGAACACAGGTATATTTATGAGATAAAACATGGGAGGCATGTGATTTCAAAACGCAAAAGGAGTAAGAATGGAAAAAGTGACAGAATTTCTTCACTGATTTACCATATTCATGTTATACAAAGTGAGGAATGTGCACCTCCCCTACTTGCCCTCTCAGCATGCCTGTACCACCTCCTCAGACATCACCAGACATCTTCTAAATATGGAACATGAATCCAACCCTAAAGCACATGGGCCAAGATTGCAAGAGCAATATCCTAGAAAAAATTCTGAATTAAATGCATGATCCAAGTTATGTAGTCAGTTCACGTTGAGCCCCCATATAGGCGATCTGCGGCATAAGAGGCAGGATACACTCATATGCTTGATCCCCTCGACACACAGGGGAGTCATCTCAGTATACACTTCCTGATCTGGCACATGAAGTGCTTCAAATTGCAAATATTATGTTCTCAATGAATCTATTATAATTGAATCGTGCACATTACACAGTGCATGCTTGGATGGGACAAGGCAATTTATTGTGTCTACTCAGAAGTATGTACTACTGAATTGAATCAGGTAAAGGGGCACAGCGTGCCTTCTAGAAAGAGCCAAAGTATTGTATTAGGAAATCATCATGAATAGGTGGCCAGATAATGAATATAAGGTGATTGGTATATAAATATGTTCATTTAAAATGCCTCTAAGTTTTAGGAAACCATAAAATATGAATACAGTTACTAAGCAATCATACTTGAAAAGCTCTACATACCATAATTAATTTGTCTGCATATAAATTCTAACCAAGAGCTCCTCACTTGGGCAGAACTGTCACACAAGATTCATTGAATGGACACAAGTAAACATGTGCATGATGAATAAGGTGCTACAGGTGCTACAGCCTGTGGCACTGTCTACCCTTTATCCACTGTGTTCTCACTAATAATAATAATAATAATAATAATAATAATAATAATTTATTTACACTCCACCCATTTGGCTGAGTTTTTTTGCTCGCCTTCTAAGATATATATCTTATCTTTTGGAAGCCTGCAATGTGATTGAGATTATAAAAAAGAAACACATCAGAATAATGAGCCAAAAGCCAAGCAGGTTTTGCATTATGCCATGCAAAAAGTCCCTTTCTAAAAGGCTGTAAACACTACAATGTGGGTGGAGGAGAGAAGAGAGTTTCACAACAATTTAGCAACATTTGGAAGCACAAGGTGAAATACCACCCCCATTCCCTGCAAAGTGTGTTAATTAGCATTGCTGGGATTTAAGCAACCAGTTAAGTGTGCAACAGCTTAGCTAAGACATTTACAGCCTCTGCCTCCAAGGTCTATGAATGTTGTAAGTTTTGGAGTTATGTTGGCTCAGAAATATCTCCCATCTATCACAAATTGGAAAATGAAATGGTTTATTAAAATGTATTCAAGTTTAGAAAAAAGCACAAAAGGGATCAAGGTGTTAAATTTGTTAAAAGGTTAAATTTGTGTAACTGTTTAGGTACAAAATAAGGCTATGTGAATGAAAGGGGGGGCAGTCAAATATACCATAGAATGGCAGCCCCATAATTTGATATCTGGAAGCTATTCACAGGTTTTAACCTCAGTAACATTAACTTACATGTAACTTGGTTAACCCCCAAACAGTAAAAAATAGCTGTCTTGAATTTACCATTTCAAGTGTCACTTTATGACTCAGGAAGATTATTAAAACAAGAGTTCCAATGAGAATGGCCACCAATTTATGTGGAGACCTTTGAAGTAGGGAAAGGAAGCCAGTACCAAAGCACAGCTATGCCTATCAAGAGCAAGCACTATTGGTTTTAATTTGTGGTGAACTAGCCTGCATCTCCTGCAAAGTTAGAGTATGTGAACAAAAGTGACTAAAGCAGGCTTCTTGCCTTGCACAACACTTAGGCCAGCCAATGTACTTATTGGCATAGTAGACACAATACTATCTGACCAACAACAGCCTGACTGGGCTAGCCAATCTCTGAGATTGCATCATGTCCACATCTCCCCCAGCTATGGCTGGAAACAGCTGAGAAGTATGCCAATAGCCCAATCAGATGGGATCACATGAAGCAAGTTCAATGCATGCCACCTCCCCACTAGCCAGCTGACAAGCACTCAGACTGTAATCTTGCAACCGGTACATGTTTCCAGGCCTAGTTTTGCACGTCAGGACAAGAAACCTGCTGACAACAGCCAGCAATCTCACCTGTTACTGTGCTTGGATTTCTCTCGATCTTTCTCTTTGTCCTTCTTGTGCTCTTTGTGTCTGTGTTCCCGGTCTTTGTGTTTATCTTTATGTTTGTGAGAATCTGAAAGCAAGTGAACAGAGAAACGAATTAGGAAATCGCTGAGAAGCTATGACAATTTCTAGTAAAGCAGCTTTGTATTGGCGGCCACAAATATGCAACCTAAACACCCCAGTAGCAGTGATGTACATCACTTCACTATATGTATGAAATTGGCATCAATTATCAGGCAAACCCATGTGCATCCTCTACTGCTGGGGTCCTCAACTTTGGGGGGGGGGGGCAATGGGCCTTGGCAAGTGCCAAGAGATGGGTTTTTAAAATAGTTTTTGATGCTGTAACCTGGGACTTTTGGGTGAAGGGAAGGAAATGAAATGAAATAAATAAATAGTCTGAGGACCTCACCCTACATGACTGTTTCTCTCTGCTTCTCTCTGAAAATAAGCCCAAATCTATTGTTATTATGTTCCCTGACATTTTACAGATGGGCAATTCTCCTCTCCTGGGATAGACAAGTTAGTATTTCTGGTGCATGGAAAGTGACAAAAAAGTACAGAGGGAAAAGGTTTAAATGAAGTGTGCAGGTTCATCCATATACCAACCTGTGGGAAAAACTAGCAAAGGATCACCACAGTACAGTGGACGCTTGGGTTCCGAAAGTGATCCGTGCAAGAGGCACGTTCGCAACCCACAGTGCCGTGTCTGCGCCTGTTCCGGTACTTCCAGGTTCGGCATGGTGCACAACCCAAAAACACGCAACCTGAAGTGTCTGTAACCCAAGGTAGGCCTGTACTCAGGACTTCCCTACTCAAATAGATAAACCATATTGCCCCCAAGCATAAAACCTTGCAAATATTAAAGGTGTTTTGGTGTCCTGTTCTCTTCCACATGACATTTAAAATAATTGGTCCTCCTTCCCTCCCACACATACAAACACACACAAACACACAGCACCGCACAACAGATTATGTATTCTCTGCTTACTGTACAAGAAAAGTATTGTCTTTTTCTAGCCCACACAGATATACATGCAGCTAAAACAATTAATTTTTAATTTGGGGGAAAGACAAAATTTAGAGGGGTCTTTGGGCTGCAAATCAAATCAAATCAAATCTTGGGTGTTCATATGTAACCTATGTGCTACAGGTTACCATCTTCTTATAGAAAAAGCAGAAAGGGCCACTAGTAAAACTGGCACAGAAGGAAAAATGTCTATACTGGAAACACTCCTAACTGGAAGTTAGCCCCTGAATCTAACCAATTATTTGATCAACTGCCTTTTACACATTGGATACTCAATTTCAAGTTAACGAACAGTTCAGTGGAGATTTTGATTGGAACATTTTATTCAAATTACCTAGAAATTATACTCATTAAGCAACTTTCTAAATGCAAGCAGTTTTATTTCTCCTAATACATGTTTCCTCCATAGCTGTTTGGAAAGCATCTCAATTTACTGGATCAACAAGTGATGCAGTGACTATTTCCTAATGCCACTGAGGACCCGGCTAAAGGGAAGGTCCTCAAAATATTCCCATCTAGACCTGGTTCACGTTATAGGCAAGCCAGGTTCTGTTTGCTTACAAAGCATGCCTAGATAAGTTTCCTTAACAATTTGGTTGGTAATTCCACCCTAAATGTCATAGAGTTATAATGTACAAGCAGTAGGAAAACAGAACAAATTTTGGAGAAACAAGTCATGATTTGATGGACTGTGGGGAAACCTGTACTTAACTTGTTGTTTAACAAACCATGGCTGAGCATTATGTGCATACAGGGTTTTTCTTAAAACCAGCAGCCATGATATTCAGAGGTGAAGTATGGGAATAGAGGACTTTGCATATTGTAGTTGTTCCTTCTGTTTTTCTAGTGTTGTTCTTTTCAGCTTCACCCTACTTTGTCCCAGTTCTAATCTCACAACAAAAAGCAGTAAACAAAAATGAAATGTTTGTGACATTTGACTAGGCTTAGGCTAAGGTCTGATAGTTACTGGACAGACTAAAATTGTTAATTTTGCATCAAGAGAAGACTAAATGCTTTCTTCACAGATGGAATATAACACAAAGTAGATAACCTTTCTTGGCCTCAGGGCCACATTGAATCTTGGCTAACACATCAAGTGCTACATACCAGAGGCGGGTGAAAGTGGGTTTGGCCACTGTGAGAGCCTTGTGACTATGCATGATTTTAAAGCTGCAATTGTAATAGAGTAGCCTTTCAAACCACCATAATTCTACAGGCAAAAACAGACAAACTACTTTGGCTTAATAGACATCAGATTATCTTGGTTCACCGTAGCACAAAGCTATACAAACAGGTTCCATCAGGAAAGAAAACTAGATTATAACAGTTACTAAATATCTTTAAAGCAACTTGCTTCATTGAAAGCGATTATCTGGGAGCCTAACTGTAGAGCCAGCAATAAACTGTGTTTAATGGAAGTCTTGTAAACAAATTATTAGAGTAATCTCTTTAGACAGTTGTCTACATAAGCATAATGGAAAGTACAAGACCAATAAACAGCAAGGAGGAAGCGAATAGGAAAAGAATGTGAAAAAGAGAAAGGCTTGTGAAATTCTGAGATGTTTGGATTACAACTTGATGTGAAATACTTGACAGGAAATATAGTATATACAGTAAAGTTTACAAGCAACTTTTTGTATTATGGGGTCAGTAGGCACACACTCTTTATCCACATCATATAGGGCTGAAAGTGTATTCTGCCATACAAACCGAGGCCCTCACAACTGATCAGATTCCATAATAGAGTGTTGACATCATCTAGTAGTAATTTTGAGTTAGGCTAGACTGCTTGTACTACACTGCATACAAATATGTACATTTACATGTTATATACACACAGAGGGGAATCACTCACTTAAAAGTGGAATGACTCACCTTGAAATCAATTTCTGCCCTTCATTTATTGTAGAAATCATTGCCATTTTTACCATACCTAGATTAAATTTGATACAACCACTTGAAGCAGTAAGAGTACAGGTGGGGGTTAAATTCTGCTCCCTTTTATAATATCAAATACAATGTAAAATGTGGAGAAAATGACCACCACCCCTCACAGGTCTCAGTGAATCCTGTTATCCCTGAACAAAAAGTAAAACGTTTCCTTCTCTTGACCTATATTCCAAAGTGCAATAGAAACAGGTAAGACACCCTGGAAACCTTTATTTCAACATTTTAAAATAAATAAAAATGAAGCACATGGAGATGCACAAATATGCAATTTATGCATTCTGTACAGATAGCACAATCAAATGATTGTATAATAAATGGGGAAATGGAAAGTAAAAGAAAGTTAAGCAAGCTGAAAATTATTGTAAAGACTCGGGTGGGCAGGAGGGGGGGGGCATATGAAGCAAATGCTACCAGTGAACACTTTTCAGAAAACCTTTTTGCAATTCCAAGCAAAGACCCCAAGCACTTCCTTCTTCCAGCTCTTTATTATAATTGTTTTACTGGCCCAGTGCCCTATTAGGTATTAGAAACACTCATAGAATATTTTGAGAGTATTCTGGCACCTGTCATTAGAAAGTCTACGAAGGGAAACCATTTATGCTTATTTACAAAGATAAAAATCACTCTTGAGCTCTAGAGACTTTGAACTCAGATTGGATTCCAAGGTATTTTGTAAAATGGGGAGAGGGATTAATGGAATTATGTGAACAAAATTGGACTGAAGCTATGGGTTTGTAGGCAGCAACATTGCCCTCAAAGAGTTTATTTCATTTTATTGTAGTTTAATGTAGAAAATAAGCTGAGCACCTATTCCCACAGAATTACACACTACACTGTACTTCACCACCTTGCAATTTCATAATTATCTCTCCAGAACAAAGAGTCAATTTTGTTAGTGTATTCTGGAAGCATTTGACCTTCTGTAATTTCACTTCATTGTTTCAAGGTTCCAAACTCCTGGCCGCCAGCACTATCTGGGGACACACTTCATTTCCTCTAAATGTTAGCCACACATTTGCAAGAGTTTTAATCTGAAATATAAAGGCAGGAATTGCTGCTATTATGGTAGTTGTCATATGCATGATCTCCATGTTAAAACTACTGAATCACCTCTCAAGGCAATCTGTAATACAACTGTTCTTTTAGTAATCTTTGACACCCCTCCCCAGACAGAAACTAGTGGCTTGGGAATCCCATCAATGGAATATCCAAAGGCTGCAGTATCCAAAGCCACAAAAGTGCCATTTCCTAATCCTTGTAAGCATTCAAATGTTAGTAATTGTAATAAGTGTGAAGATTTTTATACACAGGAACAGTTCAGATGCCAACAGGCCAGGTGCCTGAATTCCAACAGATTGACCTCACCCCAAAGGTGCACTCTTCCATTGTCTCCCAAGACAGATGGATGGCAACAATGACGTTTAGATGCCACACTGGTTGCAAAACCATAGCTGAATGATCACTAGTGGATCAAAGGCTCACACACTTACCCCCTCCCTTGAAGCTCTGCCCATGCAAAGTTCATCATCCTTTCTTGTATTAATTATGCTTTAGAGCTACACTTGAACTGGCCATAGCCTTTAAACCAGAGACTGAAAGCACTCTCGGAAACTTTAAACAAATCTCTGGTTTAAAGGATAACTATGGTTACACCAGTTCAGAAATAACTCTAAACACAAAGGAGAGGACTAAGGAATTAATACGGGGAGAATTAGGGAAGGAGTGAAGAGCATGGGACTGTAGGGTTCTTATTAGTTCTGCCTTTACTATTGAATAGTTCCTAGATCCCACAGCCACCACTGTCACTACTCTGTCATATTACTGACTCAGAGGAGGTCATTCACTCCAAGGAATACTGGTTATGGGAGCAATCAAAACGAACGGGTAAAAGTAAAAGTTTATAACTTTCCCCAATTATCATCTGCATGTTCTTCATGCATAACATGACAAAGGACAACAATGGTAGTGCTGAACAATTTAAAACAGACAAGGATGGCTTTGGGAATGTGTCAAATTGTACAGTGGTGCCTTGCAAGACGAAAAGAATTCGTTCCGCGAGTCTTTTCGTCTTGCGATGTTTTTCATCTTGCGAAGCACGGTCCGTCGCAACCGCGCCTCTGCAAGAGGCTTTAAAAAAAAGCGCAAGACGTTTTCGTCTTGCGAAGCAAGCCCATAGGGAAATTCGTCTAGTGAAGCAACGCAAAACCGAAAAACCCTTTCGTCTAGCGAGTTTTCCGTCTTGCGAGGCATTCGTCTTGCGGGGCACCACTGTATTAACAACCTGCATGCTCCCATGATCTGTCACCCCCCACTCCGCCAAAAAAACCATACACCCAGAAAATTCAGGGAAGAAGATATATGCTAAATATGTTCCATCAAGCCCTTCATATGAAGATCAGTGATTTTATCAAAGCATTTTAAAAATATAATAACAGGGGGCTTGGATAGGAATTCTGAATTAAAATCTGCTGTAGACTAAATTACTCAGTTCAGATGATCTTTCTAAACAATTGAGGATGTGCCAGAGACTCTTTTATTCCCTCTTCTATTCTTACACCTTTATTTTCTGTTCAGTGTTCAGAATAGTTTGCTGCAACAACTTGGCAACCCTAATCACTTTCTTAAACAGAATCAGAAAAAAACTAATTCTAATTCATGTTTGTTTGGTTTTTTTGCAGGGGATGGGGAGAAGTACTAATCATAGTTTGCTAATTTGGACACCATGACAAACTAGAAGTAGTGCGAGACTAACCTTATAAGTCTATAAAAGCAACTAGCCTATGAGGCTGGTAGCAGGTGTTTCCATGATAGATTCCCCTCCTCCACAGTCAGGATGGAAAACAGGCTACAAGCTAAGCATTTGGTTTTTTACTCACCTACCATGCTCCTAATTTATTCTCTCTCAAACTTACTTGCCTGCCTATAAAGTGCAAATAACAGCAACTAGCTCAAGATGAGGCACTGCAATTAATTTGAAATCATCACATCAATGTTCTCTTTAGAAAGTATTCAAAGTGCAATTTGAACGTAAAATAAAAGCAAATTCCCAGAGGTATTGTGGCTTAGGAAATGTAAGATTGCAGTGATGGTTGTAAACCCAACAGGGATAAGACTGTAACGTAGAAAAATGGGAAGAGCTATCAATGACGACACTGAAGAAGTATTGACCTTTGTTGAAAGACTTGTACAGAGAGAACAGTAGCCAAACCCAATTGGATGTATTTTTAAACAAATTTTGCTGGATTCCAAAAAAATATTAAAAATATAGTGTTACATATAAGTACATTTAAGAAACTGCTTGGAAATCAATGGGATTGCCCTCATTTACTTGTGAGGCTAAGGAAGGCGCATATGGGTTTGCCAGTCTCCCTCCCTCGTGCCTTAAGAGGATGTGGTGGAAGAGGTCAGTTCTATATTGATTTTTCCCATTATCTTGTAGCACTGCCATGGATTTCTCACAACGTAGAAAAGACAACCCTTTGACAGAGAAGCACTAAAACATACAGCAAGAGATGTTCTGCACCCAGCTTATTGTGCTAATATAGATGTACTTCTCATAGAATACCAAAGTTCTATGCTATAGGCTAGAAATATTTTTAAGCTAGTTCCTGCAACCTGCCACTGCAATACTATACAAAAGCTCTGTAATCTATCCTCCAAGTTCTCATAGCTTACATAAACTACAACTGTGTAATGCAACTATTCACAAAAGAGTTTTCTGTTTGAATTGCAAGACTTTCGACATGGCTCTTTTATTAAAAAAAAAATTCCAATAATTTCACTGATAAAAGCAGGCAAGATTATTTACACACATATTACAACCATCACTGAATGGTAGAAGAGTCCCTGGAGCAAGCCTACACATATTTCACATACTTTTCCCATGCCTTGAGTCCTGTCAGGAGAAAAGGTGGGGTATAAATAAATAAAATAATAATAATACTTCAGCTAAATGAAGGTATTTGACAACTGTCATACAAAACAGTGGTGCCAGTACTGAACTTGGCAAATGCTTTCATTCCCTGGTAGTGCAGCACAAATTGCTTTGTGAGGCACTGCTACTGCTACAGATTACTGGCAAGCATCTTCTTAATGTACTCAGGAGCTGCCTGGCAACTTGTGTTTCTCCACAGAGGCCTTGTTGTGGGCTTCTTCTCCCCAATGAGGAATTCCAATGAGACCAATATGATATTGCAAAACCTACTGAATACAGAGCAACAGCCAATTTTAATGGGACCCAACACTCAGGTGTCATTAATACTTGCTAATAATTCTCCCGGAGAGGACTGTATGTTGGAACTGGCTTTCTTTAACAACACAGATTTAAGAGTGCTTGGAGCACTTAGAAAGAGTGCTATATAAATACTACATTCTTATTGTCTATAATCACCCTTCAACCTTCTATTCTTGAAGGCCTTAGCAGGTAAGTAAATAATAATAATAATAATAATAATAATAATAATAATAATAATTTATTATTTATACCCCACCCATATATCTGGATGTTAAGGAGGAGGAAGTACCACAGACCTTTCCTCTGAAGAAAGACGTTTGTAGACTGGAAGTACACTTGGAGACCAACTTATCACTGGAGTCTTAAGTGGCTTCTGTAGCTAGGAGTGTTTATGCCCAGCTCAAACTCTGTCACCAGCTGTAATTGTTCCTAGATTGGAATAGCCTTACCTGAGTTGTCTATGCTCCTGTATAGACTAATGTAAAACACTATTATGTGGGGCTGCCCTTGAAGACAGTACCAAGTACCGAAAAGAACAACCCCCCAATATCAACCATCTCAGATCTTATAATGGACAAGTGAGGCCCTGTTGGTGCCACCATCACTGGATCAGAAGCCCATCTATTTCAACATCCTGTTCTCACACTGGCTAGCCAGATGCCTTTAAGAAGCCTACAAGCAAGACGAAGTGCAACAACCCTCCTTCTGCTTATGATTCCCAATAACTGTATGCAGAGGCTTACTGTCTCTTATAGGGAAAGTAGCCATTTAAGAAAGTGTCATTAAAGACCAGCTACAATTGAATTATTTTTAATAAGCACTGCTGCACCCTAGTGGAGCAGTTGGTTATCGTCAACAGAGATTTATGTGTGGGGAGGGGACAGATGGACAGGGGACAGATGGACTCTACACTAGTGAATGTATGAAGCCTGTCCCATTTAATTTTAGTGAAGAAGAAGAGTTTGGATTTGATATCCCGCCTTTCACTCCCCTTCAGGAGTCTCAAAGCGGCTAACATTCTCCTTTCCCTTCCTCCCCTGCTGTGAAAGCAACAGCCCTATTTTCTGGCTTACAGAAAGGGAGGAGGTAAATATTCTGAGGTCTAGAATACTTTTTGATTAGAAAACAGGAACCCAGATAACTTGGAGAAATAGATTCAATTTCCGAGGCTACTAACATCTTAAGCAGGTGCTGCCCAGCATTACAGTGCAATTATTTAGCAATCTAAGAAAAGCAATTTAATCATGTCAGTTGCATCACTGCCTGAATCAGCTATACCCTGGGAAGAAAAGAGGCAGAGGAAGTAAAATAATGATTTTCACTAAAGTAGACCTCACTTCACACTAGAATCTATATTGCATCTTAAGTGTAAATAAAGGGCAAGCAGATGTTCAAACATCAAACAGAAATTTATGTCAGAAAAGATCATTCCAATATCACAAATCTCAAGGAAGATATTGCATTACAGTTATGGTTTATACTTTTTAACCCTCAGAAAACCTGAGGGAGTTCAAACTTGAAACTCCAAATAGAGTTCAAAACATGCACACCAGCTTTCATCCATATAACTGTCTTCAAGACAGACTCAAAACAGGTCTAGAGACCAAGGTAGTATCCAAACTTCAAATGAAGACAAACTAGAATACTTCTGTTATGGGACAGCTATATAAATTAAGTAGGTAACTAAATATGGTGAAAGCAAAATGTCACTTTAGAGAAGAATCTAAATACTGCCCTTGAAGCTTAAATTTGTTTTACTCTGAATTGTTTTATTTGATGTTTTAATGTGTTGTAAATCGCTTTGATTTTTCTTTAACGTATAAAGTGGTACAGCAATGAAATTAATAACAATAACGTTTAGATTTCCAGTCCAAATGGCCTGCTGAGCAATTAAAGCCCTAAATAGCCTCAGTCCTGTATACCTGAAGGAGTGTCTCCACCCCCATTGTTCAGCCACTGAGGTCCAGCACCGAGGGCCTTCTGGCGGTTCCCTCATTGCGAGAAGTGAGGTTACAGGGAACCAGACAGAGGGGCTTCTCAGTAGTGGCACCCACCCTGTGGAATGCCCTCCCACCAGATGTCAAGGAAATAAGCAGCTATCCTATTTTTAAAAGACATCCGAAGGCAGCCTGTTTAGGGAAGTTTTTAATATTTAATGCTGTATTGTTTTTAACACTTGATTGGGAGCCGCCTAGAGTGGCTGGGGAAACCCAACCAGATGGGCGGGATAATAATAATAATAATAATAATAATAATAATAATAATAATAATAGTGACTGGTGCTCATTTCAAATAATGGCTTGTGCTGGACTAGTTCTCTACTCACCTGTGAGGCTGAAGAGAACAACCGCAGGACCACAGAGGCTGTGTAAAATGTGGAGGTGCCTAGACTTCTTCCACAAATAGTTCCTGCATTTGCAGTTGCACACTTAAGATTACCAAACATGCCTCTCATTTGTTGCCAATAGGACTCTGAGTCAAACTAACACAAAACAAATTACAATGTATCTGCTTATTACCAAAACCTCAATATGTATGCCTTTTTATTATTGAAGAAAGTTCAGTAACAAAAGGGAATGTCAACATTTTATTTCATTATTATTCCTATTACAGGGCTAACATCAGGACCAAATTAGATTTTTTAAAAGTTCACTGATAAAAATAATCCAATGTCAGTTAATCAACTAAGACTGTTACTTTATTCATTTTGCCTGTAAGAAAGCCCCATTCCAAGTAAACATACAGAGGATTGGGCTGTGAATCCTACTCAGATATAAGAATAGCAAAGTCAGTGTCAGAAAAGGCTATATAAAATGAATATATATTCATGTTCATCACTCACTTCTCTCTGTCTCAGTTTCTCTCTCTCTTGAAACCTCATAACTTGATGACTCTCAGTTAAACAAGTGAAGTCCTTTGATTACAGGTGTTAGGTGACATGCAAATACTATTTGTAGAATTTGATGCAAGATAGGCAGCCTGCACAGGTTGAGCTGTTACTTTAACTGCAGCCATCAAACAATGAATTTTCTTTCATCTGTGAATTGAACTCGTCTATGAGACAACTGAACAGGACAAGGTCACAAATCTGCGCAGGTAACTTGCAACTTACACCCATTTAACTCGTACACATTCAGGTTTACACATTTGGCAAAAATTGTTTAAAAAATTAAAAAGGAGGCAGAAAGGGGGCATCCAGGGGAAAAACTTAGGCAATCTCACCCACCAATGAATCAACTGTGTTTTGACTATACATGATCTTGGCTTTAGCACTATCCCTGGAAACATCAGGAAGAACTTTCTGACAGTAAGAGCTGTTCAACGGAAGAACAGACTCCCATGTATATGATCTAGTTGATATTCCTGCATTGCAGGCAGTTGGACAAGATGACTCTCAGTGTCCCTTCCAACTCTGCAATTCTCTGATTCTATGAAACATAAACCCAGCGTTAAGAGCCATACGCACCTGGTAAAAGCAATATTAGCAGCCAGTGGACCATCTGCATTTTTCCAACAAGCACAAGCTATTTCTTTTCCCCTTGTGCTGATTCCAATCTTCATCCTTCACAGTCAGCTCCTGCTCAAATGCTAACTCTTGTGTCAGATGCACTGGGACTTTGATTCAGGTTCAATACACACACACCAGAACGCATACAGCCATTCTAACCAAGTTCTCTTGTGATGTTTTGTCTACAAGCTCTTAAATGCCATGGTAAAGAAAGCTAGTAGTAGGAAGTGTTTTGCTGTCAGCAACAGTTTGTAGCAAGGTGGATTGTGATGCTGATCACACCATTTACTAGGAGCAATTTCAACAATCTACTTAAATCCTTTCACAGGCATTAGAAAGTGAAACCTTAATGGGCTTCTTAGCAGTTCTTTCCAGGGCCAAGATCAAGCAAAAGACTAGCGCAGCTGAAAGAAAAATGCTCTGACATTAAACAAAGCAATAGTAATTGAGCTTTCTAAATAACACTAATGTGTTAGTCTCAGCTCAGTTCAACACGCAATCTTTACTGAATGCAAAACAATGCTTTCTTGCTTTCCCCTCCACATTTTAAGAAGTGGCTATATTTTTTTAAATCTTCCTGGGAAGAGGAATCTTTCCTAATCTTTGAAAACCTTAAAATGGAAAGTTAGCTATGTTAGCCATTAAGAAAAAAAGTAGCACATCCATACGAGGACAACACCTTTATTAGATCTAACAAAATTCCACAAAATAGTGCACATACAAGTTTCAAGTTCCCAAACCCCTTTCATGAGGCGATATATGCTTTTACCCATCCTGGGACGCCAGGGTGCCACCTGAAACCTGCAAAACACCTGAAGGGGCCCCTCCTCCAACATTCTGTCTTAACGTTTTTAGCAGATGCAGGCACAGATGTCTCAAACAACCTTTTTTCCTCTGCTCCAGCCCCTTGCTCTTCTTTACCCAGAGCAGAAAAGGCAGCCTCTGCAAAGGAGAAAGAGGAGGACAGCAATGCCAATGCAGGGATGCAGCAGACAGCTTCTGCTGTGGATACTTGGGACTCAAAGGAACCATTAATTATGGAACATATTTTCTTGATTCTACACAGTTCGTCATTAATCTGTTCTGCAAATTTCATGTTGTAACTACACTGATCATTGGGGGGGGGGGGGAGAGAACCACATTCAATAGATTCATCAGTCAACAAATAAATCTATTGCACCCTACAGAAGCAACTTTACTATACAGAGGAATTTTTAAAGCAAACATTTCAATCTATACTGCATTGCTTCCGAGAGCAGGAAAAGACAACTGAGACCACTTCACAAGCAGTATGCCTCACACTGGTGATGATCCTGTTATCTGCTGGTTTCATGCAGTCTGTCCTTACAAATGGTTGCTGAGTTTTATAAAACACACAGAGGAATACGCTGGATATACATAACTCAAAAAGCTTTTTGATTCATTGCTTTCTCCACAGGACACCAGCATTTGCTGGATACCAATAAGGACAGCTTGCTAGAGAATGAACACAGCTTAATAATATTATCAAGTATTTATATAGCACTTCTGAGTGTTCAAAAGCACATAATGTTATCTCAGTAATTGCTTAAAAAAACCTATACACTACTCAAGTATTACTGTCCCCATACTACAGATGGCAAGGGTGGGAGGATACCAAGGCTGAGAGAGGAATTTGCCTAAGCCCATTTGAGCACCTAAATGCCACAAATGAAGGTAACAAAATTCCAAATATTCTCTTCCAAGGAAAAGCAGCTTCTTCAGAAACAGATGAGCAAGTGGGTTGAGAAAGGGGTAATAAGCAGGAAGGGAGGGCTCAATCCTTCCCTGTGCCACCCACCCAAGCATTCCAAGCATGTTTACGTATTAAATGAATGCTTGGAACCAGTGCTTTCATTTTCCACAGAAAATTTCCCATTTTATAAGTTCACTAACCAGGTTCCACTTGTAAATATGTATTAGTCAAACTTGGCCATTTCAAAGTTGTTAGCTTTGTTTACTAAATATAAGTAAATTAAACATGCTAATTAGTTCATTCTCTGGGACATCAGAAAACTTTCCAGTGCAAACTGATACCTTTCCAATTCAAATTACCCTGATTTACATAAGAATGTTTTTAAAGAAAATTCACATTACTGTCTCAAACTCCCTGGAAGAAGAAGCAACCTGTGAGGAAAGGCTTACATTGGGAAAGTGAGTCAGGGAAAGTGTTGAGCCACTTCTCCATTTCAGACAGCCAACCAGCTGAAGCCGTTTCCCCCCACTTCAACAATAGAGCCAATAGGCCTCTGATACACACATTTGTTTCCACAATGCAGTTTGGGCATTGGTGAGTTTATAAGGTGGGCTTCACAGCAAAGTCCATCATTATTACTTTACACTAGCTCTTACCAATACAGATTTGGAAGCAGAGGAGCAGAGTTGTTATTCACTCTGCTCTAGTCCTATGCCACTCTACTCAACTTTTGTGGGGTTGGCTAAATTAGAAACGAAGCCTGCTGGGAGAGTTGGCTCACACATGTTCTGTAGATCACAAATAAGTATCGTAAAAACTCAAACAAATTGGCAAGGACCACTGCAATAAATGGAGCAGCAGTTTCTCTAAGTACAGCACTATTATACCTCCCCTTCAAGAGGGGCAGACTTTTCAGTTCTCCAGCACTGTGAGTTAAGGCACTTAATGTTTGAAAGCTACACACTTCGTTATGGCATAAAGAGATGCCTTTGTGTGTATTTGTTAAGTAAATCCTTATGTTTTAAGCTTTCTTGGAAATACATGCAACAATGGCGTGATTTATTGCATAAAAAGATTATAACACTGGGTTTTTAAAAAGATAACCAATTTATTTTTAAATAAACAGTGCTACCACCAAAGAATTATCACTGCAATGTTTCTGTTTTGTTTGCATTTCAAGAAATTAAGTGTTGCTAAGAGGACAGCAGCAGGATGAACAAGATGATACATTGCCTCCCACTGCCCTGGGATGAAATATGTTATAGAAAAGTTTGCCAAGTTCTCAGAGTGCATTCAGCCCTAGGACTGCCAGATCCTTGAATGGAGAGATTCATCCCATAATTAGGCTGCTAAGGTAGGGTGAAAGGGTGCAGGTTTTCCACTGGTCCCTTTTTCCAGATCTCTTTCCTGCCTACTTTACAATAGCAGGGATAACCTTGACTTTATCCTGCAACAACTGAGGAGGCTGGGTGGGATTTCCAGCAGCCCCAGTCTCTTCTGTTTCTTCCAATTATTGCAAGAGACAACTATACTCTCAAGGTACAAAACTGACAAAACAGGTATGTGACATGATTAAGAGAATTTTTTGAGTCACTACGAATAAACATTAGTCGCTAGCCCTCTTCTGGCATTCAGCTCAACATGCAAGGGCAAAAAGTGTGTAGTGGGACAGCGGCTTGAATGTCAACCTTGTCTGCGATGCCTGAAGATAGTCCCATGCTACTCACCCTTTACATGTTTGGTCTGAAGTTCTGAAGGGGGCTTACAAGCATGTTTGTCTGGATGTGCTTACAAGCATCCTTGCAGTCAAAAACACTGATAAATGATCAGGACACTGGGGACGGGGCAACATATACACTCCACAGTTTTGACCCCAGGTGACCAGGCTGGAAACAAGAAGACTACAAATTTTAGTCAATGCTATTGTTCTGCAGCTAAAACATATTTCTCACTTTCTTGGTTTCTAGGAGAGATGCACATGTGTCATAATATGCATAAACGTGGAAGAGCCATCCCTTGTGTAAGAGAAATAGGGAAATTGCCTCTTAAGGTGTTTGCCGTCTGCAATTTATCTCTCAACAGGTATGTCTATATAATGATCATCACCATCTTTAACCAGTGGCATCTATTTTAGTACTGAAAATGTGGTGAACTTTTAGCCCATGAGCTAATCTTAGCCCATTAGGGAGTCCAATTTGGCCTTCAAAACCATTTCCCTCAAACCACACCCACTCATCAGCTGGCATCACCAGTGACATCAGCTGTTGAGCAGGAGGAAAAGGTTTAATGCTGCATTGGTTGTGTGCCCTGTTCCCAGTAGGGAACAGCATACGTATGGTCAAGGCAGCAGGATTTAATCCCTTATCAACTGATGAGGAGGGATTAAAGCCTTTTGCAAAAGTACTGTTTGAAGCAGCTCGTGCTTTTCTTTAAGCAAGTGGGTGAGCGAACAGTAGAACAGTCTCTCTCACACACCCCATTGCCACCTGCCAACATAAAGAAGCACAAACTGCTTCAAGCTGCACTTTTAGGTAGCCCCCACAATCCAGTTTCAGCCTAAAATGGGAGCAAGCAGTTTATCTTAAAGGCTTTGCAAGTATCACCACAATTCCCTTTTAAACATCTCAGATTGGGGGCTTAAAGGGGAAGCGAGGGGCGAGGAGACTTGCAAAGCCGCAACGGGAATTTTTGGCAGGTGGATGGCCGCTTCCACCAGTAGAGTGTTGACAATAATTTTTCACGAGTTTTAAAATCTGTTAGTTTGTTATATTGAAGCACATCTGCAGGTGTGGCGGTGGATGTGCTGGACCATTGTCTTGCAGGTGGCAGCATAAGAACAGGCCTTTTCTGCAGCAGCTCCGTTTGTGGAATGCTCTTCCCAGGGAGGTGCGGCTGATGCCTTCATTATATACCTTTCAGTGCCAGGCAAAAACATTCCTCCTCAACTAGGCCCTTAGTTAATTAACATCCTATACCCCTTTACACCTTTTTGTGGGTAGGGGAGTTATGTTTTGTTCTTATTATGTATTTTGTGTTTTTATCTTGTATTTTTATGCTGTGAACTGCCCTGAAATCCACGGATGCAAGGTGCTTTACAAATGTAATTAATTAATAAACACACCCCACCCCCTAAAGCAGATGGCAACAGAGAATCTGGAGGGGAAGGAAGCACATTCAATGTATGAAAACAGATACTGTATGCGTGAAGATGCACATTCATGCTGTCTCTGAAGTTTATTTGCAAAGTTTGTAGACACAAGCACTTCTTCAACATTGACATGTATTGACTGCAGAAGGTTAATTCCACAGTCTGAGCCACTACACCACACCGCTTTCAGTGTACAGATATTTACACATAAAAAGGATTATGAACTTTCTAGGTTTTGAAGTCTAGATTGAGAGGTCAGTCAATCCTCACTAAGCCTTGTATCTGCATTCAGCATGCAGGAAAGAAGTTAGAGCCACAGGATCCCCATGTATGATTATACAAGAACTGAAAGGCCAAGTAAACTTCTAACTCATCCAGGAATACCTCTATAAAAACTAGATCTACTGTTTTATACTGACTAATATTTATTTCCCCATACATCAGGAGTGTAAAGGCAAGTAAAATAAAGCAGAAAATAGTTTTGGTTCACCTATAATAGAGCAAATAAATGAAAGTGAAATTTACAATATGAATTTCATTTTAACAACCTTAAACTACTCTTGCATATTGTTGGATATAGCTATTCTACAAACCTGAATTTCAGATACAGTGGAATCTAATGCAAGGAAAAGCTAAAAAATAGACCCAAACAAAGTACAAAGTAAAGTGAAGATGGGGTACCTTCCATTCTACCCCTGGGCCTCAGAACAGATGTGAGGTGTTGAACCATCTCCACTCCTCCTCCCCACATGCACACATGATACATATGTCTAGCAGGTGATGCAGAAACAAATCCTTACAGCATGGATAGGGAACCCATGGCCTCCACAAGTTGCTGCACTCCAAGCAATCCCAGCCAGCAATGACTGCTAGAAGGCCACAGATTCCCTATCTCCACTCTGCAGGACACCTCAGAACATGTTGGACTCTCCTTTATTAGATGTTTTTAAGCAGAGGCTGGATAGCCATCTCTCAGGGATTCAGGTCTATTGGATTTCCTGAAGTGGCAGACAGCATGGATGCGGCGGCTGCTTTGATGTTCCTTTGAGCTCTGGATTCTATAACATCAGACTATGGGAGGGGGCATAGCTCAGAGCAAGTCCCAGCCATCTCCAGTCAAAAGATCAGGTTATGCAGACAGTCCAGAGTACATTTTGAAACTATTCAGAGACACCACCTCCTCCTTATTAAGTCTTCCTACATGATTCAAAAGTGGCCATTTGTTAATAGGCTGACCTAATGTAATACCCGATTATGAAATCCTGCATACAGTTACTTGAACAAAGTCCCATTGTGTTCAATTCGGTTTACTTCCAGGTAAGCCTGCACATGACTGCAGTCTTGAATGTGAGATTTCTCTCTCTTAAGCAACATTCCATGGCTACTGAGTCCTCACTGGGCTACCTCTCCCATTTTAGCATTATTTTCTTCCTAAAGACTTTATGTACTTCTGAAAACCTTGTCTGTATCTCCCTCACGTGTGTTAAGTGCTGCTGTTTAGACTACATAGGAGCAGGTACTCAACCCTATATATGATTATTATATACAGCATAAACAACCCTATCAATATTACATTTAACAAATGAGCAGATCCCCAAGCCTGCCTTTCAAGAGAAGCACAATTCTCCCCATTTTGCACAAATTGCTTGTATTATAAAGTCTCATACCACCACCACATGGAGTTCTCCAGGTTGTTCATGCTTAAAACTTCTAAGAATTTGTAAAATTACCACCTGTCTTGAAATGAGCTTTTCTAGACACGTTAGAACTGGTACATGCCCAATTCCAGTTTTTCCACTATACTAGTCTAATGAGTTTATTACTGAATCATCAATGTGTAGTTTTAAAAATCTTCGGCATGGACACTAGTCAGGCTACTAAACTGCGAGGCATTCAAACAATTCCAAGGCTAGTAAGCATTACTCTGGCCACAATTCTTACCCTTAGTTATTCTGAACAGGCAACACTGCAAAAGCAAAAATACCACCAGCACATAAGAAAGTGCCTTATGCTGAGTCACAATACTGGTCCATTTAGCTCATTCTTGCCTACACTGACTGGTTCTCAAAGGTTTCAGACAGGGAACATTACCACCCATACCTGGAGATGCCAAAGATTGAACCTGGGATCTTCTGCATGCAAAAAAGATGCTCTCTCACTGAGCTGCAGCCATTCTTTCAATAACAACCAAGGGGTGAAGGAGATTCTTGGATGCATTAAAAATGTAATTGCCCCAAAGTAGAATATTTTAAGAGCATTTGCCATGCTTATTAACTAGACTTGTTATTGAAAAAACAGCAAGTAAACCTTTACACAGGGCACGAAAAAAGAGAAACTACCTGTCCTGTCCTCCTGAGCAACTGATCCAGCATACCCTAGTTACGTACAAGACTACTTCTGTCCAACATCACAAATTTCTTACTTTTTCGTGTCTTGCATTTATCTCCTGCCTTTCTTCCTAGGAATTTTACAGCAGCATATCTCATTCTCCTACTCATCCACATCTTAATCTCATGACAACTCTGCAAGGTAGGTTAGCTTAAAAGACAGGGACAAGCCCAAGGAAACCCAGTGAGCTTCACAGCAAAATGGGGATTTAACCCCAAGTCTCCCTAGGCCCATTTAGTTAGCCTGTTTAAATTCTATTGACATCAATCAGATTTAGACCATTGATGTGAAGTTCTGCACATGATAGTGTGAAGCAGCACAGTTTGACTGGTATCGTATCCATTTCATTTCTCAAGCAATGCATTCTTGAATTGGACAGTAGAAAAAATTACATCATAGCAAGTTTGCAATAGGATTTTCTATACTTTTGCATCATCACATCTTACTTTTACTTGTAAAACAAATGTTAGAAATGCAAGTAATGAAAGCTTAGCAATATTCAGTATTTCTTTAGCTGCCATTTAAAAATTAACAAATCCCTGGAAAAATATCCCTGGAATTATACAAGCTGCATTTACTGCACAACCTATCCTAAAGCCAATGTATGTTTGTCCATCATATCTGAACAGCCTCTCTCTAGAACAAGGAACTGCAACCTCAGAGGAAACCAAACAGCTGTTTCAACAAGTTTTGGCTGTTGTTCAAATACTGAAACGTAAGCTCTGACCAGGAATGCATATCCGTCAATGAAGAGCCCAATTTAAGCCATGCCAATTTCTTGTAGGGAAAGAAGTAGTGAGCTTAAAGTGACATATCAAATTTGAGAAAGAATTGCTGTTCACTAGCATAGAATGATATAAAATAAATGGCAATTCCATACATTAGGTTTTCAACCAATGTGAGTCTCTACACATTACTTTTATGCCTCAAATCCTGAGACTGTCGGATTTTGTCCACCTGCTCACTTCTGAGACAAATTATGATCAATATGTTTGAATGGGTTGCTGTTCATAGTCCTCTTCAGAACTAACCCTTAAAGAGGGGAATGGGGAGACACCAGCTGACCCCACCACCTGTCAGGTATACTGTGTATTTATGCCAATAGATCAATAAATCATATGAACAGTTGCATCTTGCACTGTAGATTCTGCCTTGAACAGGGGGTTGAGCTAGATGACCTCCAAGATCCCATTCAACTCGACAGCTGTACGACACATTGTCACCAAGTTCACTTAATTCAATAAAATCTGCTGAAGAGGGCGCTTGTGCCTTTTTCAGAGAAAAAGAAGCACGCCATATAGACAGCTTTCCTCAGCATCAGCGAAAACCTACAAAGCTGGTTTATCAATGGTTCTTGAGTTCCTGCTCTGCATCAGTGGGTCAAACGGGTTTATCATGAAAATAAATTCATGGTATACTGATGTTCTAGGCTTTAATTTTCATTGTATGTCACTTTGGGAGCAAGGTATACACAGAACATGAAAGCAATAAAAATAGATAAATATCTATGCTTACCTTTCTACAGATGCTACCCCCACGCCAGGGTGCCACAGTGTTAGGCCTTCCAATGCACAAACCTTTCCATATTACAAATTTTAGGCTCCAGAATGAGCTCTAGGAGTGCTCCCACACCTTACTATTATAAAGAGAGATAGAACCTCACCTGGTAACATTTCCATCTCTTCAGTTTCTTATATGAGAACACCATCTAGACATTAACAGTATAAGGAAAACTAAAAATTATAGGATTCCTTCAAAATGACAAATCATTTTGAATGATTTTAACTGATTTTATATCTACAGCTTTTTGTATTTTTACTGTTGCTACAATAACTGCTTTTGTTTCTGATGTTTTTGATCTGTTTTATATTTGTTTTATGGTTCTCTTTTGTAGGCTATCTTGGAAATCTAGATTAATAAAATTACATTTTTTCAAAAGAAGACTAATCATTTTCACCATGCAATGCTACCAAACCCGTGCTCTCCCAGAGAATTCTCTGTATGCTCCGATGCACATATGACACTCCACTGCAAATGACTGTGCATGAGGATCAGTTCCAAAGGAAAGCCACTGCAGGAGCTCTGTTCATACAGGAGATTCCGGTTTTTCATCAAGTAATTTGCATTAGTAAAACTTAAGAATTGTTTCTGCCATAGGTTTCTGGTGCTTTGTTAATATGGCTGCTTACAAAAGCAGGACTAGAGTTAAATTCCTACATGGATACAGTGGTATCTTGGTTTGCAACCGTTTTGGATTACAATCACGTCAAACCCGGAAGTGCGTGTCCCCTTTTTTGGATTACAACCAATTTTTTTTTGGGGGGGGGGGAGACCCCATTGGCGAAAGCACGCCTTAGGTTACAACCTGTTTTGGTTTACAACTGGACCTCCAGAACGGATTATGGTTGTAAACCAAGGTACCACTGTATAGGGAAATACAACTAGCTTTACTTTTGGTTTTGCAAACAGCAGTCAACTTAAAAGAAGCTGATTAACAACCAGAACAGATTCCAGGCAGAGTTGGCAAAACAATTTTTAAAACCATTTTATCCACATTGCAGAGTCTAAAGTCTTTTTCTCACTTGTTATTTCCAACCTGTGATTCAACAACCTTCTGCTGGTGAGATTCCCAACTATTCTATGGAAGCTACTTAAGATGCTAAACTATATCAAGAACCAGTGATTGAGAGGTGGAGAAAATGACATAAAATGGGAAGAATTGGAGGATGCAGAGCTATTGTCTACTGAAGCTGATAGAGAAAGTCCATTGATTTTAAATACGAACATTATTGGATTTAACTATTTTAATGAAAGGAGAAAAGTACAAGGAATATCATACAGCCAAGAGTAATTATATTTAGCATAATGGTTAGATCAGGCACCCCCAAACTCGGCTCCCCAGATGTTTTGGGACTACAATTCCCATCATCATCCTGTTAGCTAGGGATGATGGGAGTTGTAGTCTCAAAACATCTTGAGGGCAGAGTTTGAGTGTGCCTGGGTTAGATCTTTCCCAAGATCTTGCTAGTTCTTTAATAGCTAATGTCCTCTAATTCAACTGGTGGGTGTGGATTATGGCATGATCTAAGGCATAACAACAAGACTACCACGAAACCAATATAATGGTAAGAAAAAATAAAAATGTATGTTTGGGTCAATAGTGGATCCTGGGTCTGAAGCAGTTGAAGGCTCCTCCTCTAACTCTAAGAAGATAAGTGGGGGGGGGGGAGCCAGCAACATGTCTTTAGCTAGGGCAATTCAAGTACACAGGCATCTCTTGGAAAGGGAGATCAGGTGTGATCTAGCAAGACATGTGATACACCTAAGTGAGATGCTTTGAGTGAGGCTGCAAGTACACTCTCTTTTCCTTGAGGCAGAAACTGGTCTATATTTAGTCATCTAGTAGCTCAAATCTGCGCAACACAGCAAATCTCTGGCAAATAATTTTAACAGCTTTGTAGCCTTAACAAGCATTCAATGTCATGACGACAGAAATGTTCACACACCTCAATAAGAAACCGCAGACAACTTCTTTCTTAGGAGTTTGCTATTTAAAGAGAAAAGGTTGATTATATTCTCAAGGGCATGAATTAGGGAAATGAATTGCCTTGTCCTCTCATGAAAACAACGTACTATGCTGGAGAGACTGACAGACGGACAAGTTTGTATTTTTTTAGTATTTGCAATACTGTTTTCTACCAGATGTACGTATCCATATAATTTTAACTAGATGAGCAAATGCTTTCCTTTGACAGGTGCTATGCAGTTCTGTAATGGTGGCCCCTCTTGCCTATAGTCAAGCTTGTGCTAACTCTAGTGAACACGCAACTCCAGATTTTCGTCCTGCCCAATTGTTTTCTGGTCAACAAATTACTAGGCCCTAAATGGGCAAATATCTGCAGGAGCGCCTCCTTTACTACCAGCCGGGGGGAGGAAAGGTGACTTGGTTTGCAGTCCCCACCAAGGTTCCTGGTTGAGGGGACAAAGGAAGAGCATTATCTGTTGTAGGGTCCAGACTCTGGAGTTATCTCCCACTAAATGTACCTTCCTTCCTGCAGTGCCCCACCTCACCACCATTACTGGTTTTGATGTCAAATGAAGACAATTTTATTTACCCAGTCTTTGGCAGTTTGATAATGAAATGTTTAATTCTTTGCAGCAATACATGAGTCACTGTTTTGATGATATTCTACTTTAAAAACAAGGGTTGTATTCAATGTTGCACTAAGTAGTTCTGCTTGCACATAGTTTATGTTTGCACAACAGAACCTTGTCTGCTCCCCTTCCTCTGTGCAACCTCTTAATCTGTACTAGGGGTTACCCCAATCCTCTGGAGCAGATCTGGGGAGGGTGTGGAGCAAACACAGGGACAGGAGGGGGGAGTCCTACTGTGCTAGTGGTAACCCTTGCACTGACAGGATGAGTTAGTAGAATACTACTCTCCGTCTGCCTATTTTTTTCTATTTTGCTTTTACATTTGAGACCTTTTGAATGAAGGGCTAGTCACAAGTGCTCTACATTAATAATAAAACCATCTTTTCAGGGAATTATTTCTGATACCATTTTTTAGCTCATCTCTCAAACTATGCAAGAGCTAATTACTTTTGGAAATAAAGCTAACAAGTCTCATGGAAATAAATGCATCAAAAACAGGCCCCAGCAAGGGTCTCTGATCATATTTCTTTGGCGAATACACAGATTATGCATGTTTTGTTCAAGTTTCTCCTTAGCTACATGCAGCTGTACATAAACAGTCCAAACATCTGTGACCAAAAATAAAAAAATTCACTACACCATACATGCGCTCCAATATATACACCATTTCAATATATACACTGTGCTTACAAGCCTATCAAAGGGGGAGGGATAGAAGGGGGGGGGGAAATGCAGATACAACTTAAATCTGAGATTACAACTTAAAAAGCTTAAAAGTAGGTGGTTCCTAGAATATACATTCTTCACAAGAGCACAGGGCAACTTGGCCTTTATCTAAGGAGTGTTTTGTGGAGACAAAAAATTTTCACTGCATGTTTGTGATAAAGCTTTTAGAGGTTTCTGAAAGCCTCCTTACTGCCTCTTTGCTGTTTTTTTCTTGTGCTCCCTTGCATACCTTATCTTTGCTCTTTCATTTCCATCTGATGGGAAACCCTGACGCTGACATTTCACCAAACAGCACAAACTTTGCTTACTTGTTTCTCTGGGGTATCAGAACCACAAAGATTGTTCTCTTTACTCCACTACTCAATATATTCATAAAACCAAAAAGGTCTAGTTTTCAAAACAGCAAATATTGGATGTGAGCATTCTAGAGTACTAGTGGGGTTTTTTAAGTAGGTCCATTGTGATCAGGGGAGCTCTATTAGTGGAATTATGTGAATTTTCAAAGATCTTGAAAAGGGTTGCTTTATATGTTTTGTTTTTAAGTGTATTTCTTATAAAACTGCTTTGTATACTTGCCAATATCATATCTGAAGTGAATACGCATCCTCAAGTTCATTTGTCAAAACATGCAAGTTGGGCCAGTTGCAGCTCCCTGCATCATGTGTCACTGGTGCATCTTATTTGTCACCTTGTACAGAGGATGAAAACATGTTCGTTTCAAAAGGCACATAAAGCAGATCTGCAACAAGCACCCATTTAAATTGTGTTGCATTAAGTGACTCTCAAAATGACACAAAGAAAATTGAATGAGTTATAGAATTATGGGAGTGAAATGGGCTCTCATTTGTTAGGCAAAGGCCTGTTTCACACATTACACAGTAATAGACCTGGGTTTATAACCAAATGTGCCCTCAGTCAAGGGTTGTAGCCTCTCCTAGTTCTTTGATGAGTGAGCCTACAAGATGCACATATTTTCAAGCACCACTTGTCATACTTGCACTTTACGTTATCTAGTGTACAATGTGTATCTAGACAAACTTCTAATTTTGTCGAGACTCAAAATCTGTGAAACATCTAGTAATAAAATCAGAAGGTATCATGTTAATATGAATACAAGACACACAGTTCATGCATTACATTTCTATGTGTAAATCTGAGAGAAATACCCAATGCCTTGCCAAAGTTCAAAAAGTTGCTGGAAGGGAACCAGAACCAGGATACTTTAAATCACTATAAGTGTAGATACATTATAGAACTCTTACGATAAGTTATTTCTAGGGTATTGTCTAGGTGGGAGTCACAGAAGTTTGGTAACTGCTCAGACCTTCCAGATCCTACCAAGTCCAGATGAATCCACTGGTTGAAAATTACCCCATCCAACAAACCACACATTCCTAACACAAATCATCAAGGATATGAGGAAGGAGCATTTTCTGTCATTAATTCTGACTACCCAATTGTAAACAGTTTATCAGTCCATTGTTGCCTTTGGAAAATTTACAACAACGAAAAAGAAAAACTACTATCCCACCAAGCTGCAACCCTACACATGCTACCTTGGGAATTAAATTTCACCCAACTAACTGAAATGATGATGATGATGAACTACAGCAGTAGTTCCCACAACTGGAAGTCCATGAACCCCAGGAGGGCTGCGTAACCCACCCAGGGGTCCATGGCACCATTCACATAGCAACAACTATCACAGAAATGAACCCCTATACTACAGTATTATTATTTAAATGTATTACCCACTCTTCTACATTAAAAATAGTGTAAAACAACTTCTAGGTTGTATGTATCTTAATGAGGACAAGACACATTTCAACACTTACATAGCTAAATATCCCAACTAATCATCATGCCAAAAGAAAATTATGCTAGCTATGCTGCTGTTCCTGTCAAATCAAGTAGAATTAAAGTGTCATGATCTGAATGTGCAATTTAAAGCTCTCTTTAAGATATATGTAACACTCCATAAGAGATGGGGAGGGAGAGAAAAGATATATAACACTATATATTCATTTTTCATGACATAGGCTGTAAGAACCCTACTAAGGCAGCAGATTTAAAGTCTGTTAAGACAACAATCAGTTTCAGCCAAATTTGTAAAATGAATGAAAAAGACCTGTGCTGATCTTCATAAGACTTTCTTTTCAAAATACAAAATAGCTCTTCTCTTCTCTCTTCTCTTAAGAGCTTATGCTCTCATTAAAAAACAACTAAGAAGAGAGTGATGCAGATGCCAACAACACTGTAATTCACACGGTCTGGTTTGCACAATTATTCTGCAATGAAAGTAATAGAACAGTTAACATGAATTACATGTCAAGTATATATTGTAATTTCCACACTTCATGCTGACAGTGCAACTAGGAAAATGAACAAAATCCAGTGGGCTACCCCCCAAAAATGCCTGAAGGTACAAATGTACTCTTTGCTCTTATGCAAATACTTGAATTTGTATGTAGCTTTGTTTGAGCTAAAGATGGCTCTTGAAAACTCTGTAAATTCTGATTTACTGTTTAGACTGCAATCTCCCTTGTGGGGTTTGGCCACTGAGATATTTATGTTCAGTTAGTTCCTCATTGACCCATTATAGTTGTGCATTTCTAAAAGTTTATCATTGAACAGTTGAAATTAACATATGTTCTGATCTCACAAATATGGATTAAAGGGGGGGGGCAAGCTGTTCTTATCACTAGCTGGCCGACTGCAGCTTACATCAAATCATGAGTCACTATGAAATGGCCTTGTATCACCTAAACACACTAGTCAGTAGCGGAAAGAAAGCTTGGAAGTGAGGGAAAGGGGAGATGAAATGTTACCTGTTAACAGCCATTATTTCCTTGAGCTGCTGCTTTGGCACCACTTTTGTTTATTTACTAAGCCCATCACATCTTTCTTTGCTGTGTGATCCCAGTCAATCAGGGATCATGTAATGAACATGACACTGCAGCATCAAATAGCCAATCAGATTTGGCTTCATGGCAACTTTATTGAGGGAAAACCAAGCCATGACCTTGCACTTTCTTTCTTTGGGGGGTGGGGAGAGAAGAGAGAGCACACTAACATTGCCAAGGCAACCAAACTAGAGCTGATGGTTTCACTGCCTGCTAGCGCTGAATGACTTGCATACTTTACAATTCACTAGCTGGGGCAGGGTGCAGATGGCACCAAATCATCCCAATCAAGGTACTGCCCCAACTGGTTAACTATACATAACAGTAAACATCATCCTAAAACCATATGCTCCATCCATCAGATGATCTCAGCCCACCTCAGTGAAAAATGCTACTTTCTCTCTACAAAGCAAAACAGAAAATACAGCAGAGAACCACTCACATGACTTTAAAAATACTTTCCCTTTTGATGATGAAGAGGCAAAAGTACTTGTGGACATACAGATGCACGACCCTGCATTATATAAACATTAAATAATACAAAATGTTATTCCTTTATAAGCCCTCTCAGTAAGCAGGCAGGCATACTAGTTTTCAGTGGAGCAGTAGGTCAAACTGAACCAAACAAAAACTTGAGCATGCTTTCAGCAGCCACTGACCAGGAAGAAGCACTACCCAGTTAGCCAGAAGGACAAGAAGGACTGTGCACCAACATTTTTTATAGATGGAACAATAGCAGAACAAGGCAGATGAGCAAGGACTTATCTCCAAAATTGTACTGCATCTGAAGCACCTTCAAAGTTCAGCAGACCTGCAAAGATGAGTGCCCGCACGCTGGGGGAGAAGAGGGAATTATACCATACTGGAACTGATTTGTGGATTCATACATTAATAAGCAATACATGAAGGCAACAAGAGTGTTTATCGTCCTGTACCATTCACAATGATTGTATTAATTTTGCTTATGCGTGGCTCCAATTTCTATTAGTGACCAAGTGTCAATGACTATGGTCAATGATATCAAAAGACACTAAGAGATCAAGTAATAGGACACATCAACAACAGTTACTCAACAAATGTGAGACTCTTGGAAGCAATCTGTACTCCCACAGCCCATCACAATTATTTACTGAGGATGAGGAGCACATTTCTGAGCCAACCTGAGTGTAATCAGTTCACTAAAGAAATGGCATCATTTGCAATGCAGAACACAGAAGTTTTTATAAAACTGTTAGATAATACCACACAGTAGGAGCTACAACATCTGCAGTACAGTGGTACCTCAGGTTAAGTACTTAATTCGTTCCGGAGGTCCATTCTTAACCTGAAACTGTTCTTAACCTGAAGATCACTTTAGCTAATGGGGCCTCCTGCTGCTGCCACGCCGCCAGAGCACAATTTCTGTTCTTATCTTGAAGCAAAGTTCTTAACTTGAAGCACTATTTCTGGGTTAGCGGAGTCTGTAACCTAAAGCGTATGTAACCCGAGGTACCACTGTAATACTATTGTAAACAAGTACATAATATCAAAGCACAGATTTTCTTCAGTGTAAGGACATGAAAATCTGACACTCAGTTTCAAAACCAATGCTTGCAGCTGCATAAGCTGCTGTTTGGCATGCAAGTTCTGTATGGTCTTGTTGAGTGCTATTAATGCTACATTTTGTAACTAATAGCACTATGGAAGAAATGGGAATGACTGAAGAATGGTTGGGTTCTCTTTAAACATGGTACACAAATATTTACTTCAGAAAATTAAGGAAAATGTGTGGACAGTATCTCATTGAACTGTACAAGATAATGAGAATGTATATACAATTCATAATCAGCTCAAGTAAATCATATCAAAGCTGCCCAACAACAGGAAATAATGCAAACTTCTATCTCATCTTTGGAAATCTTTTTCAACAGGGAACTCTGACCAGAGAAGTTACAACACTAGCCAGAATTAATAATAAAAAATGCTAATTTGGGCTACTGCCAAGCATTCAGCCAATGAGCTCTACAAGCAAAGATCTTCAAGATCTTCAATATTTTTACTCACTTAGACTGCAGATTAAGCTTATCCACAATTTAAATGTGAAGAACTGAGGCAAAGAACTTAAGCAGCTTGCCAAAGGTCACATGCTAATTCATCTGCAAAGACAGATAAAAGGAAACTAAGGAGACCACACCTAGAGAGAGGGGAAGATCAGAATTGCAAACCCTATTATTCTTGAGTTTATTTGGCTTACCATACCTGGAGTTCACAGATCATATTAGAAAGGAACAGGTTTCCCAATAATTGGCTGATACAGGAAAATAAGAACAAGCTGACATTTCCCAAAGTCATTTGTTTCCTGGCAACATTAAACAGAACACTTGCTACCAGAACCATAGTCCTTGGAGGTTGATTGACTAAACTAACCTATGTGATCTTTTAGAATTTAAGTTTCTCCTTTTTTATTTAGCTATTGTTTACTACAAATCCCTAGTTCAAACAGCTTAAAACTTAATAAGCTATTTCATGCATCTAGTAGATTCTGCCATTTGTAAATGTTATTAGACTTGAATATTTAAAAGTCATTCTTCTACTTATTATGCCCTTTAGCATTTTGAGCAATAGAGTTGAACCAAAATTGTCATATAGAAACATTTTTGTGGTGTTACTGCAGATTCTATTAAGACTCAAAACTTATTTCTGAGGAAGCAAATGTACTTCAGTGAGAAGTTCCCATCTAACAAGCCAGAGGTTTGTAAAGTTGTCCTCAATCCTACATAATATATTTCACTGCTATTCCACAGATATAGGCCTCTAATCTCTTTTACTACCAATATACATTCCCACATTGACCAAAACAAAAACTTAATGATATATTTTACTGAAGATTTGTTATGCAAGCCTGCCAGGGAATGTTGAAAGCAAAATCATATTCTACATGCTACAAAAAGTTTATTGTAAGGCACCAGCGTTTTTGTTTCTTAGTAATTACCCACCATAGCTAAAAATCTTTACTTGTATAAAAAGAAAACAGCTATGTTTTGCATTGTCTAACATACACACTTTTTGGTAGTGGTGGGAGAACTAGCAAGTTGAAACAGATTTTAAGTCTTCAGTACAGACACAACATCGTTCACACAATTTTCCTCTGCCAAACATACAAATTCGTATTGAGAGCCTCAAACCCATAGAACTGTTGGAAAATATATCACACAAGTTCATTTCTTCATTAAACTAAGTTGCTTGCTTTCAGAAGCATGCAACGTGTTCATTTCTGTATCAGAGTAATATTACATGAGTTCAAACCTCCAAGCTATCAAGTATTGGGATAAAATACAGCTATAAGATGACTAACAGGTCTGCATAAGGGGGGGGGGGGGGAGCCTGATGTAAAAAAATTAAAGTGAATATTGTAACTGAAAACTTTTTTTAAAAAATAAAAAGAACATTTTATTAAAAGCAGCATGGGATTGCTAGTTCTGGTTATACTTTATACTGCAATTTCTGGATGGTTTACCCTGGAAAATTATTTTCCATCATGGGCAAATTCAAAAATCTGCAAAAGCACATTGTTACAACCCTATCTGAGCTGTACTATGCACCAGGCAGTTGGGTGAATGACATCTGAATGCACCCTCTGAATGTCAAAGAGAAGAGTACATGTAAACTAACCTTAACTATGGCATGTAAATTTTCTATGTGGAAAGTGGTGGTGGTTGTTCTGATGAGAGCATATCAGCATGTACTACTACTGCTGCTGCATTCTGAAATAGTAAGCCATGGGATACACTTTACCTGAATGGTTAAACTGGCTCTTTGAATTGGCCCTATTCAATTGCTGCATGTAGTGCAGGAGAATTATTTTGAAAATTATGAACAGGAGACCCTTCTACACATGGTGCTTAAGAAAGCATAGAAAAAAGTCACAAGTTTATAGAAAATAAAGTACCAAAATGAAGCATAAAGCAGATTTATTTTACAGAAGTACCTAAGCAGATGTTTACAAGGACAATCTGGTTAGGATAGGTATTGATACTTAACTGTCCATGGCAGGCCAAACTTATGCTTGACACCACTTTGTTTCCCAAACCATACTAATGCGTGAATTTAGTTCTATTCACAGGAAACAATACTATGCATTAAACCAGTAGTGTTCACTGAGTGTCCCCCATCAACTTCAGAATTTCTACTATTCTTTCCTTAGCTTTTGAGATCTAAAACAGTTCACACATGGTGGCACAGCTGTACATTACCCCAAACTGGCTGCCTTCATCAAATACATATGGTCATTACATACTCAATAAACAGAGATATGTAGTTTTCATCAGTGCCTTTAAATAAATATGAATAGACAATAACACTTCACTACTTTTCTGTTTAAACACTTTTTCACCTTTTTGGAACTGTGTGCTTGAAGCTACACGAATAGAAGATCTGGGAAACAAGAGGAACTAGCAAACTTTGTTAACTACAGTATAAAGAGATCTATTGAACTAAAGATGCTTTGTATGGGGTTAATTCTATGTCTTCTCCACTGCTTTACTTAGAATAAAAATGGATATTTAGGACTCTAACTTCAACATTCTGACTTAGAAGTCAGGAACACAATAGTGTAAGTAAAAAAAGGACATGAAGGCAAGTACAGTCTTAGTGGCAAGGTCAAAAAGGATGTGACTACTGACACTGTTATTTCTTGAAGAATAAGCAAGAGCCTGTGGCTGATTGCAGTGAAATAACAACTAAAGAAAGACTGGAGTCAACAAAAGGGGAGAAAATCCATCCTCCAAAGCCATCTTCATACTTTACTTAGTCAGTGATAAACATTACTTGTTAGTGAAATAATAAATACCCAGGCTAGGAAAATGTTTCTAATTCCCAAGTATAAGACTGAAAATATTAGATACCACCACTATGTTAAGGCAGCATTTAAGTTTTAGGTGCCCACGGTAACCAGAGACTTGAGATCTGCTCAGTACACACTTCAAAAAGAAGTCAGAATAGGGCAAGAAGCCAAAAGATTCAACACAATTACAGGTATATTGTGATTCAAACCCCATCTTCAGCACAGTCTTAACACTGAACTGCTAAACCCTATAGAATACAACCACTGATATTTTTATTTTATGTATTTGTATTAGTCAATGGATGGCCATTACAGAGTGGTTAAAAATATTAGTGCTTATTTCTTAGCAGTTGGGGAGGTTCTGCACATTTTGTACATTTCTGAAAAATCTAAAGGTCTTAGCAGAAATATTTCAACATACAGGGAGAAATACCTGCATTACATCAACACATATTCTTAATCATAGATGATTTCATACTCCTTATACAGGAGCAGAAATTCAGAAGATACGAGAACCTGCTGTCAATCCAGTATGCAAACATGCTACGCAGAACACTGCAATGTTTCATGAAAGCAAGACAGCCAGTATCATAAAGCCCCCAGGAGTTAAAAGCCAAGGTGAAATCACCTTTCAAAAGGTGGGAGAAGGAATCTTGGCATTTTCTGACATATATGTCATTCCAACTCTACATCCCCTTCCCCCAGAACCTATTTTCTCCTTTTAAAAGAAGAGGAAAGCTATGCAACAGTGACAAAGGCATATATATCAGAATCATAATCCCCACACACAACAGATTTTTTTAATTAAAAAAACCTCTCAATATATCCATCATGTATAGCTTTTATAAACTGAACACAGACATACACCATCAGCTACCAAACTTTAGCAAAGTGATACCGAATACAATTCTAGAACTGCCTGTGCTGTTTTATTTTTGCTTGTTTTTAAAATCCAGAAATAAAATCCCTGTTCCTGCATCCAGACCTTAAAATATGCTGTATATTCAAATGGATGGAGAATCAGTTTAAGAGCAACATGTTGCAACCAGCTTTCTACAGGGGAAGGTTTTGAAAGAAACAGAACTGGGGGAGGAGAAAAAGAGGACGAGGTGGGAATAAAAAGGCAGCGAGGAAACTAAACCAAGCTTTGAAAGAACAAAACAAAAGCAAGCAAACAAAAATGACGGTTTTCCCTTTTCGGGGAGAATATTTGGAGCTAGGGTGGTGATTATATCGCATGTTTTCACTGCAGGAGGCTTCTCATGGGCAGCTCGAGGGAGGAGGAAAAGGAGAAAGAGACACACACAGGGAAGAGACAGAAAAAGAAAATGGCGCAGAGACTAAGTCCCGACCGTCGACAAGGCGACTTTCCAGGGGGGAATCGGAGCCCAAGAGGGCCTCCGAAAAACCAAACGAGACCGGATTTGGGGTCTCCACTGCCCTCACTGCCGAGAAATGGGGTCGGATGGGCTGAGGGCCCTATGATTTCCGAGTATTAGGAAGCTCGATGGGAACAATGGGGCCGATGAGCGAGGAGACGGGACTTAGTCTCTGGGACGCCATGTCTGTCCTTTACCATCCTCAGCAATACAAGAGAAGGGGAAAGAGAGGAAGAAAGGAGAGAAAGCAGGGCAAATCCTACCCACTCCCCAGTACAGAGGGACAAGGCACTCACCATTCGCTCGGAAATCTGGATCGATCTATGGGGGGGAAAGGAAAGAGGAAAAAATACATATATATTTTTTACGAAAACAGGACCTGGGTATGGTTTTATCACACACGCGTTTTTGCCCTGTTCAAGGCAAAACACGAGCCGAGCTGAGGAATCAACCCGGTGGCCCTTAAAAACTGATTCAGGGTTACCCCTTAGCAAAAGCGAGGGGGGCAAATAGAGATCCCCCCCTCACTTTCCCCACCTCACCAAAGTTTTCCCATCCTATTTTAATTGCCTTTTTTCCTCGTGCGTGGCTCAGTATTCCCAGTAGGATTTTTCCTCAACCTTCCCGCACCGCCGCCCCCCCCCCAATTTAAGGGCCCTACGTGCCCTCTAAGCGCTAGGGGAGAAAACGAGAATGAGGAGGGGGGCCCACAAATTTCCCCTCCCCCCAACCCCCCTTCTTTCTGGAAGGAGTTGGGGAAGATGCGGGTTCAGAGAAATGACGAGGGTGGCGGGGGGGTTTGGGGGGGTGTCTATAATGATTGATTATAGACACAGTGTCTACAGGCAACTTGAAGGAAGCCCTGCGAGAGATTAAGGTGTGACTCTCCGCAGGCAAAAGGGGTCACCCCTCAAAGGGGTCTGATGGGATGCGACGGTTTGGGGGAGCAGAGGGAGAGAGAATAAGGTGAAAGGCCTAACTACTATTAAAGGGCCGCAGCCAAATAATTCCGGTAGGAACTGAAAGCAATGAGGCTCTCTCCCTCAGAGAAAAGAAGCCCCCCCCCCAAAAAAACCCCTTTTTATTTAGCTCCCCATCACTATTATTAAGAAGGGAAATACCTGCTTTTGAGGAAGCTGAGGCAAAAAACACCTTCCCGATATTTATGGGAAGGGGCTAAGTTATGAGGGGGAAGGGTTCTCTTTCCCCTACACCTGAAGGGGGGGCGGGAATCCTAATTTTTCCCCTCCAAAGGAACTTTAGGCCTCGGTCTCCATCCACTTCCCCTTAAGTAATGTAAGAGTAGGAGCCCCCCGCCCCTTACCTGGGAGTCGTTGTGCAGCTGATCCCCACTCATGCCTGTAAAGCAGGGCGGGGGCGGGAAGGGGTAAGCCTCGCAGGAGAGCTTGGGGAGCGGGCAAAGTCTTGAGGCCGAAGGGAGAACGCAGCCCCCTCAAACAGCACAGTCAGTTGTGTAACAGACTAAGTCCTCGTTTCCCTTTACTGCGCAGGCGCCGCGACTTTTAAACCGAGGGGAGGGGCTTAGCGAACAGCGGGACGAGGGAGGGCAAGTTCGGAGGAGAGAACGCCTTCGTTAACATGGCCCAACCCTTCCGCTGCCTCTCCTCCAATCAGCAGGCGCCATGGCTGGGATTTGCATGCTAGCCACGCCCACCACCTCTTGGTTGGACTCGCCTCCCCGCCCCGGCTACACTTTGTGCCTGATTTGGCCACGCCTCTTCCTTCTCCGCCGTTTACGAAAAATGCCGGTTGCTCCCCCCCTCCCCCTCGCGCGTCTCTTCCTTCCTCCCATCTTCAAAACGCCGGGTTCTATTTACATATCCGGTCACGCCCCTTCCTCCGGCACCAATGAGGCGGCACGAGGCGGGCTCGCCTTATTAACATATACAGAGGCGAGTTCTCCCCGCTGCGAGAAAGGTACTTTTTCCGCAGCACGTTGTGCAAGACCTGTGGGCGCAGTGCGCCTGCGTGCCCTTTCAGCCTCCCCTTCCAATGGGGGGGGGGGGGTTTCTATTAAAAACTCACCTCATCTAACCCTCACCCAGTTCTGGACACCTGTTAGCCGGTATGTAAGGTGGAGGAGCCCTACGTCGGAGCCAGACCGCTTCTCAGACGTCTCAATGCTGAATTATACCTGCAAAATATCTTTTGCAAAATTTCTACTCTCCTTTGTTGTGAACCACATTTTTTCTCCCCCTTCCCCTTTTAGGCTGATTACTATGGTTTGTTTTATTATTGTTCCTGTTTTGATGATGTATTTTGTGTTCTTATCTTGTATTTTTATGCTGTCAACCGCTCTGATTTCTTGATATGAAGGGTGGTATTCAAATGTAATAATAATAATCATAATAATATGGCCATATCCCCACGTTTCTTTTAAAGCACACTTAGAACAATTTAAAGCACTCTTATAACCAATTGGCTTCCCCAAGAGAATTCTGGGACCTGTGATTTGCTAAGGATGCTGAGAGTTGCCATAAGTCCCCTATTTCCCTCACAAAGTGTTACAATTCCCAGAGAGGCTTAACAACCTCTTCCCAGAGAATTGTAGCTTTGTCAGGGGAATGCATGCTTAACAAACTATGGCTTCCAGGGTGCTTTGCGAGAAACCATTACTGCCAAAGAGGCCTGCTAGTGCTTCACTAGTTTTGTGCATGTGGCCTATACTTTAGAACAGGGTGCACAGACAGCTCAATTAGCCATAGGGGCTAACTGAAGAGATTGGGAAACTTTAGCTATGGTTTTTCTGCATCATTGACCAGCTCCTGCTCCAACTCTAACAATCCTAAACCATTTGAACACATTAACAAGTCAATATGCAAGAGGTATGTATTGCAGAGAAAGTGCCGTACCAGTATAGAGATCAAATACCCTTTCCACAATTTTAAAAGCTTTTGAAAGCATAGAATCAGAAGATTCTGTGAAGTAGGATAGCTCTTTTAAAAAACACCATATTTGCCTAGCACAGCAAGATGACTGGCATTATCTGAGGGCACATATACACCATACATTCCAAGCATTATTATATCACCGACATTGATGCCAAAATCCAGCACCCCCTGAGCTCTGCGAGTGTGGCTTTCTCCCGATTGAAGTGCAGAGTGTTTGAGGACTGGGACATTCGCAGGGAAACAAAAATGTTTGTTTACAAAGCTATTGTACTGCCCACTTAAAAATGCTAACTCCTTGAAAGATTCCATCAACGGTGTCTCCGAAAATTTTTACACATCACTTGGGAAGACAGGCAAACTATCCTGGTCCTTAAACACTTGGCACTTCAGTTGGGAGAAAGCTGCACTCACAGAGCTCAGGTGATGCTGGATTTCGGCATCAATGTCAGTCCTTGGGGAAAGATAACTGCCCAGGTAGAAGAAGTGATTGACATTTTCCAACATTACACCATTTAGTTGAATTTGTGATGCTGCATAGGGGTTGTTTCGTGCTTGTTGGTGCAGCACTTTGGTTTTTTTGACTATTGAGTGATAGGCCAAGCTTTCCGTAAGCTTCTGCGAAGATATTTAGGATGGTTTGGAGGTTATCCTCTGAGGGTGTACACAGTACATTGCCATCAACATCATAGTGCTTTAAATATATGGTGTGAATGTGGCCTTAGTTGTCTCCTTGGGCTTTAAATGGGCAACAAAAGACAGCTGAGCATGCGGCAAACGGATGTAAAAAGGCAGTGTGGAGAAGCTTGCTCTCTAACATTAATTCATTAATCAATCTAATAATTGTTATTCACCTTAGGGACCCAGGGTTTTGTTACATATATACCTCACATTTCATCCAAGAAGCTCAGGTTGGCATACACAACAAGGTAGGTTAGGCTAAGAGATGGTTGCTGTCCTGGAGAGCTTCATGACTGAGAGGAGATTTGAACTCTTGTCTCCCGGGTCCTAGTCCAACTACTAAACCACACTGACACTAGTCCTCCTGCAACCAACATACATCTCCTGACCTGTGAGGAAGAGGAAGAGTGTGAAGTAGACAGGCAAACAGAAATTCAGGCCTGCCCCAGCCAGACTGTCCCCTCCCTGCCCCCTGCCCAACTTTAAATGAAACATCATTTGTTTTAGTCCTTTAACATTGTAAACTACATTGGGTGCCTTTGGCAGAAAAGTGGAATATAAATGCAATGGATAAGTAATAAATAAACAGAATACCTTAGCTGTCGAAGGCCAGAGTAGGGAGTTGTGTCTTCCACCAAAGGTTGTGCAATGACAATCCTAGATGCATCTTTGTGGGGAGGGAGTTCCACAATTTAGGGGCTGCCACAGAGAAAGCCCTCTCCCAAGCCACCAGTCTCAGCACTTCTGAGGGTGGAGAAATTATCATATTCTGCTTGCTGATGACATCATTTTCTGCTTGCTGATGGCATTGTCTATAGTTACGTATTGTATCTTTGATTTTTACGTGTTAGATTTTTGGGGTTGGGATTATTTCCTATAGGATCAGCATGAATAATTGACAAAAGGAAAATGACACATTTACAGTGCATTTCCACACACACACACACACACACACACACAGAGATGTCTGATGGAGCTTACTCCCAGGTAAGTGTGTGTAAAATTGCAGCTTAACTGTGTAAACAGCAGGATGCCATGCACAGAAATAAGTTCTGCTGATTTCAGCTCATTTTACTTCCATGTAAACATGTGTAAGATCACTGCTCATGTAAAGCTGAGTTAGCAATAGTATCTGAATTCATTCACTTGCTCCTTGACAGTTTAACATTGTAAACACTTCGAGTTATATACTTCTCTTCTATTTGTATAAAGCCCTAGGCACAGTTTACAGCATTGTATAAATAATAGCAATATCTATACTGTAAACTGCTTGCTTCCCATTGTGTTATTTTCAGAACACTTCTTCTAAAATGTGACACATAATCTGAGCTGGTTTTTTCCACTCCATTTCTCTGATTTTATGCCAGAGCAGCTCTGCTGAAGTCAACTGTGCAGTGTTTAGCGCAAAAGTATTGTTAACACAGCAGAACAGAAGCCTCTCTGATTTCTGGTAATCCAGTTTTGAAAATTCTCTATAATCTATGATGGAGGCTCATCGCAATAGAGCATTTGTTCACAGAAAGGCCCAGCTTGCTGCAAAATGGTGCACTAGGCACTACTAGTGTTGGATGTATTAGAGACATTGTGGAATGACTGAATATGGAATCCCATATTCTGAAGACTTGCAGAGCTCTGGCCCACATTTCTTTCTCTCCTTACATTCACAGAGAAAGTGACACGTTTCCTAGCACAATTCAAAGTGTTGGTGCTGAACTTTAAAGCCCTAAACGGCTTTGGTCCAGTATACCTGAAGGAGCGTCTCCACCCCCATCGTTCTGCCCGGACACAGGTCCAGCGCCGAGGGCCTTTTAGCGGTTCTCTCACTGAGAAGCAAAGCTACAGGGAACCAGGCAGAGGGCCTTCTCGGTAGTGGTGCCCACCCTGTGGAATGCCATCAGATGTCAAAGAGATAAACAACTACCTGACATTTAGAAGACATCTGAAGGCAGCCCTGTTTAGGGAAGCTTTTAATGTTTAACAGACCACTGTATTTTAACACTTTGTTGGAAGCCGCCCAGAGTGGCTGGAGAAACCCAGCCAGATGAGTGGGGTATAAATAATAAATAATAATAATAATAATAATTAATTAATTAATTATTATTTTGTCTGTGAGGGAGAGAGCATGGCTATGTTCACTAAGGGGTCCTGGACCCTTAATCGCATCCCTGATGGAATGGAAGATTAAACAGATGAGGCAAAAGACATTTGAATCGGCAAATAAATGTGGGAAATTGTTGGCCTGGCAAATGAAGAAAAGACAAAAACTCAATACTATTACGAATTTGGAAGTGGAAGGAAAAAACATACAGAACCCAGTGGAGATTAGGAAGTGTTTCCAGAGGTATTTTAAACAACTCTATACATAGGAGAAGCAGAAAGAAATGGACATTGATCGATTTTTGAAAATAAATGGACTACACAAAATCTCTCAGGAGAAACAATTAACGTTGAATTATAAAATAACGGACCAGGAGGTGGAAGGGGCTATCCAGAACATGCAATTAGGTAAATCTCCAGGACCAGATGGTTTAACTTCAAGATATTACAGATCTTTGAAAGAATGGTTAATACAACCATTGAAGGAAGTCTGCAATGAAATATTGGAAGGGAGAAAGGCACCAGAGTCGTGGAAGGAAGTTTACATTACACTTATACCGAAAACAGAGACTGAAAAGACACAGCTCAAGAACTACCGCCCCATATCGCTGCTAAATGTGGATTATAAATTTTTTGCAGATATTTTGGCTAAAAGATTAAAAAAGGTGTTAGTAGAAGAAATTCATAAAGACCAAGCGGGCTTTCTCCCGGGTAGACATTTGTCTGATAATATGAGGAATATAATTAATATTCTAGAAAAACTTCAAGTGAATATCAATACTAAGGCTGTTTTGATATTTGTGGACGCGGAGAAAGCCTTTGACAACATTTCCTGGAGCTTTATGAAGAAGAATCTACAGGGGATTGGGGTAGGTCAAGGTTTTGAAAATGGTATAAGTGCAATTTATTCAGAACAAAAGGCAAAATTAATTGTGAACAATGTAGTGACAGAAGAGTTTAAGATTGAGAAAGGGACACGACAAGGCTGCCCAATTTCTCCACTGCTCTTTATATCGGTCCTTGAGGTTCTGTTAAACATGATAAGAAAGGACCAAGAGGTTAAAGGTATACAAGTGGGAGTTAAACAGTATAAACTAAAAGCATTTGCTGATGATTTAGTATTGACCTTACAGGAGCCAGAATCCAGTACAAAAAGAGTATTGGAATTGATTCAAGAATTTGGACAAGTAGCAGGTTTTAAGCTGAATAAGACGAAAACTAAGGTTTTAGAGAAAAATTTAACTGAATGAAAGAGAGAAGTTTCAGGAAGAGACTGGACTAACATTGGTTAAGAAAGTGAAATATTTAGGGGTTAACATGACTGCCAAAAATGTGAATCCATTTAAGGATAATCATGAAAAATGTTGGATAGAAGTGAAAAAGGATTTAGAAATATGGTCAAATTTGAAGTTATCACTGTTAGGCCGAATTGCTGTGATAAAAATGAATGTGCTGCCAAGGATGTTGTTTTTGTTTCAAACATTACAAATTTTGGACAAGATGGATTGTTTCAAGAAGTGGCAGAAAGATATTTTCAGATTTGTTTGGCAGGGCAAAAGGCCTCGAATAAAATTTAAGATATTAACTGATGCTAAAGAAAGAGGTGGATTTGCCCTGCCAGACCTCAAACTTTATTATGAATCAGCAGCTTTTTGCTGGCTGAAAGAATGGCTGCTTCTTGAAAACACTGACGTGTTGGATTTATAAGGTTTCAATAATGTATTTGATTGGCATGCATATTTGTGGTATGATAAGGTAAAAGCACATAAAGCGTTCAAAAATCATATTGTTAGAAAAGCACTGTTTAATGTTTGGATAAGATATAAAGATTTGTTAGAAAAGAAAACCCCAAGATGGTTGTCTCCAAATGGAAGCGAAGGCACAGAAAAAACTCAATATGGAGGCCAAATGGCCGAAATATTGGGAAATTCTGGATCAAGATGGAGACAGAATAAAATTGCAGAGCTTTGAAAAATTGAAAACTAAAGTGCGAGACTGGCTCCATTATTATCAAATAATGGAGGCATACAATTTGGACAAAAAAGTTGGTTTCCAGGTGGAAAAATCAAAATTGGAAACAGAATTGTTAGATTCCAAAATTAAGAATTTGTCAAAAATGTATAACTTGCTGTTGAAATGGAATACTCAGGATGAAACGGTGAAATCAGCAATGATTAAATGGGCACAAGATGTTGGACATAACATAATAATGGCTGACTGGGAACAGTTATGGACCACAGGTATGAAATTTATGGCATGTAATGCCCTAAGAGAAAACTTAATGAAAATGATTTATAAGTGGTACATGACACCAGTCAAGCTTGCAAAAATCTACCATCTGCCTGATAATAAATGTTGGAAATGTAACGAGTCTGAAGGTACATTCTTTCATCTTTGGTGGACATGCCCAAGGATTAAGACATTCTGGGAGATGATATATAACGAAATGAAAAAGGTATTCAAATATACCTTCCTGAAGAAACCTGGGCATGGTCGGCCAATTGGTGTTAAAGAAGGATAGAACTTTCTTTATGTATGCAACAACAGCAGCAAGGATACTCATCGCAAAATATTGGAAGACACAAGATTTACCCACCCGGGAAGAATGGCAGATGAAGTTGATGGACTATATGGAATTGGCGGAAATGACTGGCAGAATCCGAGACCAGGGAGAAGAGTTGGTGGAAGAAGACTGGAAAAAATTTAAAGACTATTTACAGAAATACTGTAAAATCAATGAATGTTAGAAAAATGTTGGAATGAAGTTACATGGCTTTAGTAGAAATGTTATAAGGAATTAAGTATAAATAGATTAATAGAGTATTAAAGGAAAAAATAAGGTTAGAATGAGTTAAGATAATTATAGGATAGAAAACAGAGGAAGATGGAAAGGAATTGCTGAAATAATTAACAGAAGTGGAAAACAAAAAGGGAGGTGTGAGGAGGTCGTGGAAATAAGTGAATGAAAGATGGGATAATGAAACTGTTTGATTTATTTTATTTTTCTTTCGTTTTGTTAAGTTGAATGTATTGTATTGTTTATTCTTTCTTTTAGTGTTTACTTTTTTTGGAAAAGTAATAAATATTATTTTTTTAAAAAATCGCATCCCTGATGGTCCTGCCTCCATCATCCATATGGTTTGAGGAATGGTCTGAAGGGAGACCACAGTATACAGTATAAGCTCCCCACTGCCTAATGGGTGGGCTGGGTTGAAACCAATTATGGCAAAGAGCAGATAGTTTCTAGTGCAAAACAGATGGGTAGACCTAATGGTGAGCTGAAAGAGCTGGTAGGTCTTCAGCAGGAAATATGGAGGCATAGTGAGAGAGCTTCTGCAGAAGCAATGAGATCAGGTCCCCATTTTAACAGCACGGCTGCAATGCCGCAAGGCCTAAGGAGACTATTGGAAGATAGCAGCATTCAGGTGGATTCATAATGGCCCCAGACAACATGGTGTGCACAGTCATTTGCTTCTTGTGTAGTGCCATCGGCCAGAGTTTAAAATATTCTTCACAACTCTGAGCATTTATTTAATTTCATGTGATGCCTTTAAGTTTAAAATCTCCCAGGGCAGCTCGCAGTGGTAAAACCCACACTCTTTTTCATCCTTTGTGGAGAGGGTAAATATTTTGTGCTGTTTTAGATTACCTTTTCTTTGGTTGAATATTTTTGGATATTTTTTTTTATATTTGTAATTCTGTATTGAATTTCTTAGGGATCTTGTATTTGATTATTGTAGATCACTTTGGGGTGCCTCTGTGTCTGTGAAGCAATAAACTAGCTCAGTCGGTAGAGTATGAGACTGTTAATCTCAAAGTCATAGGTTCAAGCAAAAGATTCTTGCACTGCAGGAGGTTGGACTAGATGACCCTCGCAGTCCCTTCCAGTTCTATGATAAACTAAACTAAACTAAACTAAACTAAACTAAACAACTAAACTAAACTAAGCTAAAACTACTACTAAGTTCCTTTTTACCTGTGAACTCATTCTGAATTAAGAGTCTAGCAATTATTTTTAAAAATAAATACAGTGGTACCTCGGGTTAAGTACTTAATTCGTTCTGGAGGTCCGTTCTTAACCTGAAACTGTTCTTAACCTGAAGCACCACTTTAGCTAATGGGGCCTCCGGCTGCTGCCGCACTGCTGGAGCACGATTTCTGTTCTCATCCTGAAACAAAGTTCTTAACCCGAGGTACTATTTCTGGGTTAGCGGAGTCTGTAACCTAAAGCGTATGTAACCTGAATCATATGTAACCAGAGGTACCACTGTAATACTAAAAATAATTTTTAGAACAACTTACACACTGCTTGGTGCCTGCATGTTTCTTCATAACAAAGTTCAACTGTGAGAGAGAAAGAGAAGGGGGGAGAGAGAGAGAGAGAGAGAGAGAGAGAGAGAGAGAGAACACTCTTTTATACCCTTCAGGTGCAGGCACACAGTGGCTTTTAGTATACTTTATCTCAGCATCATTATGTTACAGATGTTTAGACTAAGGCTCGGAGAATCATTTCTTGCTTTAGGCTATCTAGTGAATTACGGCCTGGGTGTCACAGATCCAAGGTATCCTTGCATTAGAATTACTTGACGTAATGTTAAACGGCAACTAAGTGCAGGTACACAGTATCAGCATGTACAAAGATCAGTGGCTTCTGTGCAATGAATGGCTACAATTATGAGCCATAGGCCAATAAAGACTTTTAATCATGAAGTATAGAAAAGAATTGCCATAGACATGCTGCAAGAAAAACAACATGTGGTTTCTCTCAAGATAGCTAGCATTAATGTGAAGTGTTATCTCTAATGTTAATGACGGCAGAGTAATTTTTTTAAAAAATGATTTTTTGTTTGTTTTGATTTCTTTCTTTGTCCTGTTTGTATTTTGAAAATTTATATATAAAAAAGATAAAAATAAATTCCCCTGATTTTTTTAATGCATGCAGTTATTTGTTTGCTATGCTGCTTGTGGAAACAGGAACTGTTGTACAAATAAATTATTACAGTTATTATTATTTCTCCAAATGCCCAGTGCCACATTAGTCTCGTGTGCATAACATGGCCTACAACATGAACATGTGAAGGAGGGCAGTAGCAGGATCATGCCAAACGGTCCTGTTCCCCTCCAATCCCCATTGCATTCAATTGGAGGCAGATTGAGGGGAGTGAGACTGGTTCAGTCACACTAGGTGTGGAGCCTTGGGGGTGCTGCAACTATGATGTAGAAAGGAAGGCAAGAGGTGGGGGCACACTGAATTTTGGTGTCACGCAAGGTGCCACTGAAATTTGAGACCCCATGGTCTGCCGCTGATTCAACTGACTTCATTTTTTAAAAAATAAATATTTTTTATTAGATTTTCCATTAAAAAAACGTTTTTACAAAACTATACATCCATTTTTAACTTAAACCCTTTTTTCCAGAACTTCCCTCAGCTTGTCTGATAATTTTACAATAAAATGATTGTCTGATAAAATACAATAAGCTTTCTAGGTGCTTATTGTACATCAGTGGCATAGTGTGGATTGCCAGTGCCGGGGGCAAGGCAAGTATTGTGTCCCCTAATCTGTGGACCGTTAGCACTCCCTGAGTCCTTTCCACCAGTATATAAGTTATAGTTATAGAAGTCTATTAACCCCTGTCTCAGTTTGCCTCACAATCCAGGCTCATATCTGACTCGGTGCCATGGGGGGGGGAGTGTGGTTTTATCATTATAGGACACCCCAAGATATCGATGTTCCAGCTAAACTGGCTATTTCAATTACAAAGATCAGCAGAGAAGATAATAGTCTAGTGTGATTATGACTGCTTACATGCCAAGACTGCTAATGCCCATTAAGATAAAAGAGGACATCCACACATCATATTTCTATAGCATTTCTGCCTTTGCTGACTCAACAAGGCAGCAGTGTAGCATGCTCATTTAATTAAGTCCAGGTGATAGCTTTGGGGGAAAAGGGGGAGGGAATGAAATCATAAATATAGTCCCACCTCAAAATTCACCTTTTCCAGGAACCCTTTGGAACAGATTATACCCTATTGTAACTAAGCAAGAGTGCATGTAATTGAAATAATTGCACATTTCCCTGCAATTTAGTGTACCCATGCCTCTCCCCCCCCCCCCCTTGTTTTCTGTGTCTATTTTAAGATTGCAATCCCTTTGGGTAGGAACCAGTAATACTTGTATGTTTGTATATAATTATAAAAGTGAATTTATATAGTGAAAAATCCACTCCAATAGGGAGATTGGGATTTTTTTTTTTACTTGCTTACTTTTAAGATTTGCCCCCCCCCCCCCAAATGTGGGTGACTTTTTCAGCCCAAGTGCCACCATGGACAACCTTCTGGAGTCACATGCCAGTGGTGGGCAGGCCCAGAGGCAAAAGTGGGTGGAGCATTGGATCTTACTACATCCTTACTGCATTCCAGCAGCAAAGTTGCTACTTACAGGCTCTCCACCCTGGAAGGAAGGGCTGTAGTGTAGAGGTAGCGCATCTGCTTTGGATGCACAAGGTCCCAGGTTCCATCCCTGGCATCTCCAGGTAGGACTGGGAGAGATTCCTGCCTGAAACCCTGGAGAGCCACTACCAGGTCAATGTAGACAATTCTAAACAAGGTCGGCCAATGGTCTGACTCAGCTGAAGGCACTTTCTTATGTTCTTCCTATAGATTCTGATGTTAGGGCTTCAATAGCAAATAACCTGGACTCTGTAGGCTTGCATGAGTGTGTATGCATTCTTAGTCAGGAGTCAGGAGTAGATCAGCAATGAAAACACCAGTGTCAGTGAAGTGAACTCTAAGAAACCATAATAATAATAATAATAATAATAATAATAATATATTTATACCCTGCCCATCTGGCTAGGTTTCCCCAGCCACTCTGGGCGGCTCCCAATTGCATATTAAAAACACAATACAGCATTAAACATTAAAAACTTCCCTAAACAGGGCTGCCTTCAGATGCTTTTTAAAAGTAGGGTAGTTGCTTATTGCCTTGACTGGTGCCACTACCGAGAAGGCCATGTAACCTGACTTCTCGCAGTGAGGGAACCGCCAGAAGGCCCTTGGCGCAGGCCTAGTGATCACAGCAAGGAGGTCTTTTGCCCCAATGAGGCAGTTGCGAGGACAGGAGGTCCCTGCTTTCCCACCACTTTCTAAGGTCCTCCTTGAGTTCCTTCCCCAGCAGCCTAAGGCTCCGTCCTCTTGTCTCTTGTTGCTCTGCCCTCTTCATTTCTGTGTTCTCTGGGATCAGGGGGAAGGGGAGCTGGCCACAGCAGCAGCAGGAGGAGACTCCCTGGATTCTTCAGCAGCCTGCCTCCACCCTGCCTCTTGACCCCCCTCGGATTCTGCCTCTGATTCTGGACCACTCTCTGCCCACCCTCTTTCTGCTCACTGAACCCTGTTGCCTTTTCAGCATCCAATACCTCCTCCTCCCAGTCTGCTCCCGCTTTTCCCTCTGAACACTCATCATCGTCCCACCACCAATCCCCTGGCTCTGAGTCTTCTTCTCCTGGGGGTTCCCTTGGGGTCTCTCCAGCTGGTGCTTCCTCTGCAACCAGTCAGTGCATGACACTTAGGCAGTAAGCGTTTATTGCAGGAGAGAGGAGCAATCGCTCTGGAATAATCTGAGGATTAAATCCTTTGTCAAGTTCAGCATGGCGCCAGCTATCCTAACCATGTTTACAGCATGCCGCCTTTGCTACAACTAGTAAGTAAGGTAGCCATGCGGTCCAACCCTTTGATAGCCCCATGCTTCACAGCAATTCTCAAAGGCCATCTTTTAATTACTGAGCCGCAGTCTAATATTACGCAATTACAAGTTTGAGAGTACTAGCTAATATTGGCAAGGCTATACCAAACCTGTTGCAACAGCCGGCTAGCATCCCTTTCTGTGAGGATGACTCACAAAGAAGAAATGACTTTAAACATGGGAAGGGTGAAAACAAGAGCCGCTGATGTGTCCTCATTGAGTTAAGCAGCATTTCATTAGGCCACATAAATCCCTCCCAGGTATTTTATAGCAAACTGGGTAGCACAATTATTGTCTAATAGGTGCAAATATCTTGGTATAATGGCTAGAACATCCAACTATGACTTGGGAGGCAGGTTCAAACCCCTGCCAGTGACTGCCAGCCTAACGTACCTCACAATGTTGTTGTGAATATAAAGTGTGGTATGGAGGGAAGAACCCTATATACCAACCTTGAGGTCCACAGAGGAAAGGCACAAACTAATGGGATGGATGGATGGATGGATGGATGGATGAATAAATAAATAAATAGTAATGCTTAATTGGGCCTTCTGTGTGTTGTTTCTTAGGAAGACATTTCTCAAAGTGAGAACAAGATATTAAAAGTACTATTTCCCCCTAATATACACTTTTGTGTGATGCAGGTTTTGCCTGAAAACACACATTTTTGCAAGCAATTTCCCCTAATATAATGCATGTTATAAACAGTTTTCATGAATATTTGCATTTTTAGGCACACTTTCCCCTAATATACAAATGTTTGCACATGCAACTTTGTCGGAAAACTGGCTCACAAAATCTGGAGAAGTGCAAATTTTGATGAATACCTGTGTATTGTTTCACATATTGTTTCAAAAGGTGTCAATAGGTAGGTTTGCATTAAATCAAAATCCTACCTGAACCAAATTACTCCTTTATCCCTAGGAATGGGACTTGGCTTACTTGGACAAAATATTACATTTTTTGTTTTCCTTCGTAGCAGGTGGCATCAGGCTGCAGCAGTAGCGCTGAAATAAGGTACAGAACAGGAAGCACCAAAATAAATAATTAGTTCCTCTCGCAAGATTTAGAGCAGGGGCAGGGAACCTCGGTCCCAGGGGCTGAATATGGCTGTTCTCTACCCTGGCCTCCAGACCAATTTATTTAGCCCTAGGCCAAGAACTGGGAACCTCAGATCCAATGGGCAATTGCTGCTAGACCCAAAGAGCTGGTCTTGACCTTTAAAGCTCTGTATGACTTGGAACCACTATACCTAAAGGACTGCCTTTCCCCATATGAATCTGCCCAGAGCCTGAAATCTGCATCTGAGATCATTATGCACCAGACTTCTGTAACTTCAAGCTGAACTTGGTGAATTTGGAGTGGAGACTTACCCTTAATCATTGTTCCTTGCTTGTTAATTTTAATGGCCAAATGCATTTTCACCCATCTCGTCACACAGATGCTGTCCAGATGACGTTTGTTTTGTTTGTTATACAGTAATTGGCACTTTTAAATCAGAGTGACCGGCGTTCTAATTCAGCACTCACAAATGGTGAAGTGTGGAAGCTCACTAAGGGAAAAGGAGGGAAATTCATGTAGAAAAGAAACACCCTGTAGAAAAGATATGGTACTGACCCCCAATGACATGAATCAACTGACCAATTCTATCTATGGTCTTCCAGTCCAAGCCCAATATCTGACAGCAGTTGTTACAGTGTCAGTCTAAGGCCTGGGATGCCAAGGTTGAAATTCCTGCTAAGCCATGAACCTGACAGGTTGGAATTAGGTCGGACATTGTCTCTCAGCCTAACCAACCTCACAGGGTTGTTGTGAAGGTGAAATGGGGAAGGGTGAACTATGTAGGTGAACTTGAGCTTGAAAATGTACATTAAATCTGAACTAATTTTAAGATGTATTTTAATTAATTGATTGCCTGTTTTTATGTTCTTATGTTCTTTGTATACTGTGTTAGTTTTATGATGTTAGCCACCCTGAACCCAGCTCCGGCTGGGGAGGGCGGGGTACAAATAAAATGTTGTTGTTGTTGTTAAAAGTGCCAGGCAGGAATCTGCCCTTCAACGGCAACTATTTGCATCTCATTGGGGAGGCTAGCTTACTTATGCTGTTAGAATCACTGCTCTTGTACTGTTAGGGCTACCACCTGAATTTCTGAGAGTCTCTGAATTAACATCTGTCAATTTCACTTCTCCTTTTCGGTCAGTTTCATTTAATCTGATGGGCTTGCACAGCCTTCTGCAACCTGGTGCCCCCTAGCTGTTTTGAACTACAGGTCCTACCAGCCTCAACCAGCATGTGGTGGCTGGGGTTGATGTGGGGTGTAGTTCAAAACAGAGGGCACCAGGTTGGCAAAGACAGGGCTAGCATAATGTCCTTTGACACTGCCAAATGCATTGTTTCAAATATCAAAAACTGGGTAGGATTCACATTTCTAAAAAAGGAGAGATGAAGAATCTAAAGCTGCCTAGAAACTACAACTTCTTGAAACCCCTAATACCAGATGTGTGTGGGCTGGAGGGAGTTATTCAGTGAGGAGGGAAGGAAGGAAAGAAGGAGCGAAAGACATACTTTTCACACATTCAAGGATATTATTATTATTATTATTATTATTATTATTATTACACATCTTCCAAAGCAGAGTCCTGGCATTCATACCAGTCCAGATGGCAACTCTAGAAATGGGTTTCCAAAATTAATGGTTTGGGAAAGATAGCTCTTCTCGTCTATTAGGCCTCTGACACCCTGCCTAGAAACATAATTCATCTGAATCCATTTGGTGGGGATTAAGAAAGAGAGTGCAGAAATAAGAAACTTCAGGGTGCACCTGCATCAGCATAACCAGATGCCTTCATCTACCCCAGCTGCAATAAAACATGTCTCTTCTGCATTAGCCTCCACAGCCACAGTAGGCGCTGTAACTCTCCAACGGTCTGACTTCACACCTGAAGATGCACTTTTCCATTGCCTCCTGAGACAAATGAATGCTGAGAGAGAGAGAGAGAGAGAAACTCAAGAGCTGATAGTACAAAACTAGTATTGCTTTATTGTTGCTGATCTAACAATCTCAAAGGTTATTGATTAGTTATACGGTAGTTATACAGTAAGCATGCAAAGTACACACATTTAACTTGTGTGCATTCAGCTTTACATGCTTGACAAAATAATTTATTTATTTTTTAATGGGGGCAGGAAGGGGCAGGCACCTGGGGGAAAAGACTTTGGCCATTCCACCCACCATTGAACCCACTGTGTTTTGACTATGCCCGATTTTGGCTTTAGGCACACTCTCCAGAATATAATCTCTGCATAAGTTGCAGACTCACTGTACAATACAGCAACAATGTTTTTGAAGCACAATCCAATGCACGCTTATGCAGACATCGCAGGGAGTTCAATCAGAGCTACTTTCAAGAAAATATACCTATTCATTTTGGGAATATGGAATTTAAAATGTGGGCAGTCGCTCAGACAACTCCATACCTTACCTTCTCCAGTGTTCCATATTTGGACTGACCTAGGACTAGGGTCCCCTTCATGGATCACTGCCTTGCCATGGCGAAGGGGGTTGAATAACTCAGAGAAGCTATGAACTATGCTGAGCAGGGCACCCAAGATGAACAGGTCATAGTCGAGAGTTTTGACTAAATGTGATCCACCTGGAGGAGGAACCGGCAAGTCACTCCAGTATCCCTGCCAAGAAAACTCCATGGACAAAGACAACAGGCATATAAAAGTTATGACGCTTGAAGATGAGCCCCTCAGGTGGGAAGGCGTCCAACATGCTAGTGAGG